CGTTATCGAGGTGAACTGCTAAATATATTGTGATATTGATTTGAGGCCATATCGCCCAGCCCTACCTGGCAATCTCTGGTCCTGACATGTGCAATGACATCTCTACATGTCTAACTGGGGGGATTCTCAGGCTAACAGTGCCATGAAAACTGGGGAAACTTGAGTATCACAACCTCCATAACAGAAACTGAGCATATCCTGGGAGGGGACTGTTTGAAACTTCACAATAATTTTATCAATAGGTGCCAAGATCATTTATTTCCAACCAACAAGAAGATATTGTTCCTATCAGAGATTTGAACGTCTGATTTCTGTTTAACTGTAGAGCTGATGATGCTGTAACTGAGGATCTTTGTCTGGTGCACTTCTGAACTGTGCCAAATTGTCTTTGTAACTCTATAGCTTTACAGAGCCACAATTTTGAGGGACACAACCTTTTATTCTAAACTTAGTGTGTGTCAAAATTGTATTATTTCTCTCCTGTAAGATGGAGAAGAACATTATCATCACAGTGATTTTAGTGGAGAAAAAGGTAGTGCTAGTGGGAAACATAAAGTCTGACAGTTAAGTTAATGGGCCTTGCTGTGTGTAAGGAGTCAGAGGCTGTGACTGTGACATAGTCCACTGGGACCTCACTCCCCATATTCTGTACTGGGCGGTGGACGTGCCATGCCTTTTATGGCCCTCTGTAATATTTCATGACTCTATACATTGGTAAATCAGAGTGAAGCAGCTTTAAAGCACAGCAGCTACCAGCTACCATCCTCTTTTGGAAAGAGCACAGACACAAAAAAAGTCTTCCAGCTTGATGCCTTCAGCAAAATTAAGTTCATCAAGACAAGCAAGTGCAACCAGGCATCGTAAATGAACTCCCCAAATGGTGGTATTCAAAAGATAGTTTTCTAAAGTCATTTGTGTCGTAATGGGGCTGAGCCCTGCTGTGTTGTGGTCCTTTTTTGCAATTGACTTCAACTGCCATGTTTGGTCTAATGAATCTTGGATGAGTTTTGTTTCACACTTTCATTAAAGAAAAGAGATGCGGCAGCCTTCCGGGTCTGCAGATCTCAAAACGCAGCCAACCTTAAACCATGTTGTCTCTGTTAATAGAAATGTTCATTTGTGAAATATCTAATACACGACTATGGTAGGAACTATTTTAAGTAGTAAAATCAACGAAACCCTTCCATGAACAAACAGAGAGAGCTAATGTGAAGATGAAAGCATTGCCAGGAACAGATTTAATCAATGACAGACAATTGTAGTCACTTTATGTAATCATTAATTAATAAAACCCTCTTTTTTTTAAACACTTCACTATTACAGCATGGAAAAAGGAAGGTGGATTGTTTTCACACAAAGCAACACTGCCATCTAGTGTGGTGAGAAATTTGGGCAGGTCTTCATCATGTCTCCAAAAATATACATTAGAAAAAATAAAAGAAACCTGTAAGAGGTTGTCAGTTTTCAAACACAGAAACATTATATGGGAGATAGCACTGCCTGTGCATCTCAGGACATTACAAAGAGCATGTTGCTTTGTGGAGGGAAATATAAACATCTGCATTACAGTGCTGATGATATGAAAACTGCCATTTGTGGTAATAGAGACTCAAACAGACTGAGCCTGTGAGCCTGATGTGATGGAGGTGCAGAAAATACTTGTTAATATCTTTATGACATTCAATGTTTCCTCCATCAGCTGCACTCATAATACTGGCTCATGTCTCATAATGTAACTGTGTATTTCTACTGTATGTATTTTGTTATGGGGATCAGTATAAGGGGCGAACATGTGAGATTTGTGCACCCATATTAATAAAAAAGGTAAAAAATCAAACACACCACCTATTTTAAGAAGTATGTATTTGACTGAAGCAGCTTTATATCATGACAGAAGAAAAGTTTTGGTTAATCATCATTACTTAAGCTTCTTGAATTTGTCAAAATGGTGTCAACAGAGCACACGTCTTCTTATATACCAAGGCTGCAGAAGTGTCTCCTCTGTGCCACCATGCTTCCTTCCTCTTTAAATTTTCCTGCCGTGCTTTCTGGAGGTTTTGTCTGTTGGCTCAGGTGTCAGGATCAACTGAAATGCCTGCAGTGACAAACGGTATGATAGACGTAGCTGTATTCTGGCTCTGTCTCAGCCCTCCAGAGTATTTGCGAGGTATCAGCACATCTTTACTTTACTTTAAGCAGACAGTGAGCTGTCAGGTGCGAGCCATCACTGTTCTCTCCAAGCATCCGAGCAAGAAGAACACTATTTACAACACATCTACAGCTAATTGGTTACTGTGATTATCAACAAAATTGCATAAATGACTATTTTGACATAGCGTCATATAGCAAAGAGAAGGCATTTCTAAGACGGTGTCTGGACTGTAGCTATCAAAGTCTTGTGTTGTGAGTTTCACACAAGATTAGAGAGTTACTAGATAAATCGTACTCACAGAGGAAGTCTGAAAAATATGACCATTACCACTGTAATGAGTCTCTCGATGCTCTGACTCATGAGTTTTGGCACTTTTCATTGTGTAAATGTAAAACACTACACCCAGCAAAATCAGTTTAGCTGTCAAACTGTACTTTCCTGAACTAGACTTAAAAACATTAGTGTCTTCATTGCCGTGTCACTCTGTTACTCACAGATTCAATATCCATTTATTCTTGGTAATAAAAAAATCAATCTGGAAGGAGGTTGGCGGGCGTCCACAGCTGCTGATATAGCAGAGTTGTCTTTGGCACATTACAAGCAGCCAAAGTGCCTCCAGAGCCGCACACAGGGTTGTCCGGTCTATCAGGGAAATTACGTGCATATCATTCAAATTGAATGTTTACTCAAGGATCGTGACTTGGCACACAAGTGCAAACAGCTGCATGAACTTGTCTTGGGTTTTAATATGAAGACACAAGAATCACACAGACGGCATGCTCTCTATTATTGACATGATGAAGATGTTGACTGAGATAATTAGAAATGACTGCAGGAGTACGATGGGTTTATAATCCAAGATCAAAGACGTACAACTGTGAAAAGTGTGAGAAGCGCAGCTCTACAATACAAACTATTTAGAGCACTTTGATCGCAGACTACAAGTCAAACACACTCAGTGTCAAGAAGAGTATAAAGAGGTAACTAGTCAAAAAGAGGAGCTCTGATTTAGCTTGGCAATAAAAGCAATATCTAATAGATATCTAACATTTCTATTCAAAGTCTTTTGAGGTTTACGCCAACATGACAACTTCAGAGTAAAAATGGGGATTTATCTCTGCCAGGAAAGTGTCATAATTCACATCTGGCATTGCAAACTTTAAGTCTATAAGAAAAAAAAACACTCCTGCTTGTGTCTCTGCAGCAGAAATTTCTCTTAGTCAACAGAATCAAGCAAAGAAAAACATACGGCCAGATGTCTGCTGCAGCACATTTTTGCCTAATTGATCTTTAATCTTGACAGTGTTGTCGTAAAGAGATATTTCCTCTGGGTGACAGTCACTCTTCCTGAAGTTGCTATAAAAGTCAATTATCTTTATGAAGCCTGTGTTTAGCTAATGTCATTTATAATAGTCAGCACAAACATCAAACAAATCAAAGTTAAAGTTTAGTAGGTCTAGAGTTCAGCCCCCTCCCCCAACTCAAAATGTTAGTGGAAGAAACTTTAGCACAACGAATCAGTTTCTTATTTCTCTGACGTATAAAAGCACATCAGTGACATTTTTCAATCAGGGAATGTTATTGTAAGCTGTTTTTTTATTTAAGAGAAATGTTTGGTGCTCCTTTGAAAAATGAGTCCACACTTTTGTGGTTTGGCACTTGTCCTTTTCTGTCCTCTCACACAATTCACTCTGGCATATGCCACAGAGCAGGCCCATTAATCAGGGCTCATTTTATAAGGTCTGGATACACCACTCACAATTCTCATGCATTAACCTTGCTACTGCCCCTTACCACCCCTGAAATTTGGCACTACTGCGCTGCATCTGTGTGTGTGTGTGTGTGTGTGTGTGTGTGCATATGTGTGTATTTTGAGCCCTTGTCACTTGTTAGTGTAGCAAATCCTGCCATGCTATAAATAAAACCAGTCAGAGGGAGGGAAGGAAGCCAGTGGAGTGCTTTGACAGCAGAGGGCACAGTGGCCTTGTCTCCCCAGGATACGAGGATTAAATTCAGTCAACAAACTGCATACTCTGTATGCACTTGTGTATGTTTGTACACTTTGAACCCAGATGGAAATGTTTTTAAAGTATTCCACAAAAACTTGTTTTTCCATGTCTGTCATTCTGTTTGAAAATATTGTGAAAAAAAATGATATTTTTGTCTGTTTTCTGTGCTGTATAGTGGGAGGGAAATGCCTAAAATCTACACCAAATATGTTCTATGTTAATCTTGAATAGATATGAGATCTAGGATTCCTTTTCTACCACACAACAATCTTTCAAAAGCAGCTTAGCATAACTCTGCACCAACCATATCAAACAGCAAACAAACAATTTGTGACAGTAGCAGTGCCACCCGTTTGTTTGCTCACAGAGGTCAGTCTATTAACTATGTGTGTGTCAACATAAGCGTGTTTTTATAATGTTTATAGCATGGAAGGTACCATGGTGGTTATCCAGAGGTTCAAATCCTCTATCTATTCACTGTGAAAAGATCAGCTCTATCTACCCATCGTTCAGTCAAACGGCAACATAGCAAGCTTTCATACAAACGAAACAAATAAATCCAAACAGCCAATGGATGAGGAACAAAAAATGCTTTGACAGTGACCATGACTCAGGCGCTTACCTTCATCAGCAGACAACATATTCCCTGATCTTCAGATTAACAGAATTATGAATAACCCTGTACAAGCTCTTTGTCAAGCAACCGAACCAAGAGGAGTCACAGCTGGAGAAAAAGTGAGTCTTACCTTGACCTTGGACATCCAGCAAGTGACCGACGAGAAGGAGAAGAAGCTGGAAGGTGGAAGAAGGCACACCCACTTGGAGCGCTCTGTAACCCACGCTGCTTGGGAGTCTTGTGGGTACGACACCATTGGATACTGCGAAAAAGACAAATGGAGTGAGACACAAGTAAGACTATCAAGATCCTGAGGCCCACCAGGAAGGATAAATCATCTCTCAGATTAAACTCATTACATTTTCAGTAAAAAAAGATGTTTGTGCTGATAATGCAGTTACTGAAAAAAGATTATACTGACCAACACCGTATCATATTTAATGATAAATATTCACCACATACTGAAAATGTACAGTACACTAAAAAATGTATTGTATATCTTACATTGTAATTTAAAAATTGTCTGCAAGGATGCAATCTGAAAACAGAGTCCAGTGGTGGAAAGGGTATTAACTGAGTATGAAGAAAAAAACAACACCTCTATAAGTAGCAAGTTACATTCGCATGTGTCCAGGTCCATATTCAGGTTTGTTAGAGTGTACTCGACACTAGTTTGAACAGTAAAGGCTCAACAAATACAACACAGTTTAACACGGCAACTAATGAAAGAAACAAACACAGAAAATTCACAAATAGATGAATATGGACTCCACAAAAGCATCCCTGACTACAAATTCCGCTTCATATCGACTGGCTACATGATTGGTGTATTAGTTAGCTTGCAATGGTGTAATTATAGATAATACTGTATGTCTATGTAAGTGATCATACAACAAATTTATTCCACAATAAACACAAAAAGTCTAACTTTGTTTTGGTTTTGGCACAAAAACACCTTTCGGTTCACAGACCTTGTAAAACCAAGATGGCACATCAGCAGTCCCCTGAGGCAAAGCTGAGCTTTTAGAGCTCCTCCTGCTGGCTGCAGTTCAGCTCTTACTCCATTATACCTGAATGAACATGGCTCTAACTAGAAGGCTGAGATGTGTCTCAAGAAAACATGTCCTCCGTCACAGCAGTTATTCCGTGTAGTGACTGAAGTCTTCAACCATAATTGTTTTGTGTTACGTCAAGATCATCCGTGATTAAACTATAGGAATGAAAATCCTCACAAGACATCTTTTAGCTGTAGTTTTCACGTCGCGTATTTTCCGTTTCATATGTATCAGATTCACAATAATCAATTCTCAAGAACAACTGTCAAAAATGTTTAGCACCAAGAGTATATACTACATATTTTTCCATCTTGTACAAAATTTGGTGTGTATAACTTCTGGTAAAAACAAAGGGCCAGGTTGGTTTGGTCCGGAGACTTCCCTCTCTGCAGGAAGTTTGGATAATTTATAAGTCAGATGCTCACAGTTGAATATTGAGGGGAATTGAACACTGTTTAGCCAGTTAAAAAACAAAATGAATGCTCAACGGATATACCGAGTACCTCAGCACAACTTTTTCACCCATGTAACATGCCCAGACTTTAGAGTTGCATTTCATTTTGACAAGAATTTGTGTAAAATGTTTGTAGAATAATTTAAATTGTTTAAAATACAGAACGTGACATCCTGGAGTACAATACAGGTCTTTAAAACTGTAATAAAAGCTCACACTGACACAAAAAGCTGAACTTGTCATCCAGCGCATTGTTTAACTACTTTACTCTGCCATCCCACAAATACACACAGACACACACTCACATAGTACCTGTACTATATGTGCATCTCCGTGTCATGTTCCTGTCGTACATCCCAAGAACAGGTCCTGCTCCCGCTGGTGCCAAACGACTTTCTTCCCTTTCTCTCCGCTGTACTCTCACAACTGGCAAAGCTCTCTTCCCTTTCTCCGGCCAAATAGTCCATCTGCAGAGTCAGAGGGAGGGAAAATGAGAGGTAAAAGAAAAAAAAGAGAAAATAGGAGGAAAACAAATGGATAAGAATGAGGAATAAAGGAAAAAGAGAAACAGATTGCTTTGATAATGTGCACTGTCAGGAGCTGCATTCTTGGTGAGCTATTGTTGGCAGAGTAAAAATCACAGAGTTAAACTAATTTGATTTCACCTTCCCACAGACCAGAAGTTTCTTTTTCTTTTTATTTGTCTGCATTTCAACTTTTCTAGCTATGGTTGTTCAAAGTTATTCAAAACATCTCTAATTCACAGCCATTAAGGGAAACAGAAGTATAAAGGATAAGCTTTTGGTTTTGTGTAAGACAATGTAGCAGTAATCAGGAAGCCAAGGCTTTTTCACAGTTAACACAGACTCGTCCTGTCTCACTTTTGTATAGGGTGGCAACATGCTGATAATATGCAAAGAAAGCATGATTTGACAGACCCTTTTAGCAGCATTTGTAAAGTTATTTAAAAACAGAGCTGAGTCCATAAAACCAAGGTGTTAAAAATGCAGCTGTAACCTTTTCATAATGTCCCCAACCTTGACAACATAAAGGTTAAAGCAGAGAGGAGCTCAGCTAGATACCCTGAAGAATTTAGCAGCTTCCACAAAAAAAACGAGCTGACCCAGCAACTTGGATCCGGATCTACAGCTGAAGGACACACCCTGCTGTCCAGTAGGTACATTACTCATCTGCCATCGTCACCTTTGAATAAACACATCCTTTCCTTAAAATAGAAAACACAAACCCGGTGTTACAGCTCAAGCTCTTATTATAGTCACTGCAAATTTCAAGGCTGATGTACACATAAAAAAGGAGACACACCAGGTGCACCAAAGTCATTCTTCTCATATATGCTTTCCTTGTCACCACTGTGGCAAATAGCTACATTAGCCAAATATACGCATTGCAGCATTAGTATGGATAGTTGAAGAGGAAATGCAAACATAATGTCTCTAAAAACAGTGCAGTGGCTAAGACACATACTTGCCTTCAGTCAACAGATGTTGCTAACTTGGTAGACTGCTAAACAATGACGCATTAGCTCAAGCATTAGCCGTTACCTGTCGTTTCTCTCGTTTACAACTGTTTTCACTTCATTCAGTTAAATTTTTAAGGTGTATGTATGAGTTTGGCGTCTTTTAAAATACACTACACAAAACAGGAGTGTACTACCGCAGTAAGTGAAGCTGGTTCTTCTACTAGCATAAACCCCAATAGCGAATACTTCCGCCTTGAGTTCGCGCTCAAACCGCTTTCGCACTTTGCGCATGCGCAGACCAACGACCGCCCTTTTTTTACTGTAAAAAAGTGATGCCCAATTGTCCTGAAATTTTACTTTTATACGTTTTATGTAAACACGCTCCCCATATTTTGCATTACACGTTAGTGAGTCATGTGGAAATCAGTAGTTGATTACTGGGAATATTCTACTTATTATCACCAACTTTAGCTTCTGCCAGAGCAGTGGATTAAACAGTTTAATCCAAGTTTAAATTTAATCTATTGATCTGGCTTCTGCTATTGTTTCGGATGGTAGCATTTCTCAATCTAAGTTTGGCTTAACAGACTTCGATAAATTAACCTCAAGAAAAATTCATGTGAAGTCTCAATTTTTCGACTGTCCTACTTTTCAGTCTGTATCTGTATGTCTATGTATATCAGTGGATCCATCTACACTGAAAAAAATAACTCATAAGATTCACTTAAAAAATATATTGTAACTATTTGCATGCAAATGATTTAAGTAAAATTTAATGCTGCAATATCAAGTAATACTCACTTGCCAGTATCAAGTAAATTTTACTTTCCTTAAAACATAACTGTGTGGAGATATGAAGTAACATTTACTTGATTAGATCTATTCTAAAAAAATAAGTAAAGTCTATTTGGGGTTTAAAGGCAGGAACCTCATTTTACTCAAAATTTTAAGTACATTTTATATTTCTGTAGTATTTGCTGTCATGAAGTTATTAAGTAGATATTAATTCTTTTCATGTGCTTGATGTTTTAATTTACTTGGTTGATCAGATTTCATATAGCGCTTTATCAGTGACCCTCAAAGCACTTTACATTGGATACATCATTCACACAGTCGCACCCTGGTGGTGGTAGACTGCCTTGGTAGTCACAGCTGCCCTGGGCCAGACTGACGGAAATGTGGCTCTCTCCGACCACCACCAAACAACACTCACAATCATACATCAGTAAAGGACATGCACTGGGAGCATAGTGGGTTAAGTGTCTTGCCCAAGGACATAACGGACAGACTCTGGATAGGGGGGAAACAAACCGCCAACCTTCCAGTTACTGGACGACCGCTCTAACTCCTAAGCTACTGTCGCCCCTACCTTGCTCTGTGATCCTGTAATGTCCGGACTTGGAGCAGAGCCAGTCTTGTTGTTTCAAAACTCTGCACTTAGTAAAGGTTATGTAGTATTTGTACGTTTATGTACATACAGCTATTCAACATTTAAATAGTGTAAGGAAACCTGAGTAAAACTTACTCTTCCCCCATATTTCATTACGTTGAAAAAAAGTAAAATTTTACTTAAATTCTAGTTCTTACTAAATCTTAAAAATACAAGATAGAAATTATGACAGCTACTCTAATGAAATTAAAAATTTACTGCACCAAAAAGTCACCTTTTTCAGTGTAGTTTCAATGGGCTATTAACACTCCAATTAAACACACAGACAAAAAGGATTTGAAATTTAATTAGCATTAATTAAACATCTATAGACTGTTTTAATATTCCCAAACATAAATCTAACAGTGATTTTATCTTTTAATTGGTCGTTTCAACAGTAGTCATGGTTTTCTGTCATAGACTCAGTCAGTTCAATTCAATTTATTCATTTCACAGAAAAAAAACAGTCTTGTAACAGCAAAAACCCAATGACCAAAAACATATTCAAAACAACAATAAGATTTGTTCAGTACAGTTATACATTACTTAAGATAAAGAAACTAACAAGATGCCGCTGTGCCGCTTAAGTGCAAATCAACCCTAAATCCCTCAGTTTGTTGCTTCTTGTATGCAACGTGGATCTTGGCTCTAGTGAAGGGACAGCACAGGTCTTCTGAATGCAACTGGGATGATTAGGAATATTGTTGAAGTGGCAACAACTGCAACTGCTGTGGTCACCTGTGGGAAACAACAATAACCAAAACATCAGCATTAACGTCACATCATACTTGTAAGTCTGATTTGTCATCTCATCTGTCAATGGTGGCCAGTGTCAGAAATATATCCCATAAAAGTCATGTATTTAAGTAGATTTATGATATACTTGTATTTTAAAATAAACACTACTGAATAATTCAGCTGTACTACATTTCACAGGGAGATACATCACTGTAGTAGGTTACCTCATTATCTGATAGCCATATCATATCGTATCATATCGTATCATGGCATATGGTGCTGTACCAGAATGTATGGTATCATATCATATCACATTTCATTGTATCATAATGCTAAAAACAATACTTAATGCCTTAAAGGTAAATTTTATCAGAAGCTATTTCTTTTATCTATTTTTTATGTCTTGCACGAACCTTAATAGCGGTGTTGTAGTCTTTCTGAAATGTTTGAAAATAAACATTGTAAAGGGCAAGGCTGCAAGGTAAGAATCCATCTGTATCCTCTGAATCTCTGCACCTGTTGGGACAAAACAGAATTATTTTTAGAGACTAATGTTGCAAACCCTTTGATGCACTTTCAAAACTGTTTCATACACACATTCAACTCTAACATACCTTTCATATAAGGCACTTTGAAGCGTTATGTTGTCTTCCAGGTAGAGCTCTGAAAGGCTGAGTCTGATCAATACTGACAGCGGCAGCTTGTAACCCTCTGAAACAAGGAGGCCAAGGTTGTACCATCCCTGTGGAAGAAGAAGAATGTGACTTACACCTACGAGTAATTATGAATAAACACTGACATGAAAAGAATTCTATATACAGAGCAATACTTGACACTTCTACAAAGGCTGACCTGTGGCTCCTGCCTTAGTGCTGCATGGGTGTACATCTTTGCCGCAGAAAACAGGTCTTTGGACATATGTGCCTGCCCCTCATACAACAGGTCACCCATTCTGATCAAGGCTGGAGGAGTGACAGAATTAGAGCTTGGTCAGGTAAAAATTGAACGTTTGCACAAGAGTCTCCACTTATGGAAGTCTCGAAGAAGAGTTTGTTACCATATGGGTTAGGATTTTCACTTTGGATCGAAAGGTTATAATATCTCCACATGCAGCTTAAAGAAAAGGCAGGATCCAGACTAATGGATGCCTAAGGACATACAGATCAAAAAAGAAAAGTTAAATGTCAAGAGTGAATACAACAGTCTTATGACAACACAGCTACGACAGAAATAACCCACCGTGTATTGTTCACAAAGATATGCCACATTGAATTGTGCAGCTGTGTACCCGCATTCAGCCGCCATCATGTAATATAACAAGGAGTTGAACCTGTTGGCAAGACATATTATCAGTTGCTGAAAGCGCCATCGGGTAGTCTGTTAAGGATCATTGAGAGCGATTGAAGGAAAAGATTACGTGTCTCTCTTCAGATATGAATCCAAGCCTTTCCGTAAGACGTGACCCAGGTATCCATTGTGCCCAGCTGCCCACTTCACCCACCTGTATGCAGGTTAAAGACAATTCAGCATCATAGCAGGAGGGCTACAAAAGTAAAATGAGATTATGTAAAAGCTGAGGTGCTAACAAAACAGCATCTGATGGACGTCTGTCGACTCGGCCTGGTATCCCAGTAGTCCATGTCTCTGCAAGTTTAACCGCCCCTCTGATGTGCCCTCTCTGTGCAGACTTCAGGAAGTACTGATAGGCCATAAACTGTTGAAAACACAAGTTATTAAGTCCCCTGTAAGAACCAAAAACTCATCTGTAACCACAGCATAGGAGTCATAATGCTTGAGCTTACATTGTCAGCAGCTTTTCCAGGGTACAGACCCTGTGAGTACATGATCCCCAAGTTAAAAGCAGCGTCTGGACTCTTGAGTTGATCAGCCTGCTCCCACAGCTTCACTGCCTTCTCATAGTCCTTCTCATGCTGCTCGTAATACCAGGCCAGGGCGTTGATCGCAGGAACAAAATTCTACAGAAAGCACATATCGAAAGACATGGTATAGGTTGTGAAACCTATAAGATGTTTTTTGCAAGCTGACTCTAATGTTACAAAGGAGAGAAAAAAAGGATTTATTAAAATACAAAACCTTCTCCATTGCTTTCTTTAGGAAACCGACAGCTTTTGGGATGTCCTTTTCAACACCTTGACCCTAAAGAAATATAAACATTTAAGAAAAGGACATATAACTTAAGGATAATGAGCTTAGGATATAAATCTTTACTTTGCATTGGATGAGATACTGACCTGCAGCAGGACAATGCCATAATCATACATGGACACAGGGTCCTCCCACCGTACAGCTCCTCTTTCATAGTGTCTCACAGCCTCCTGGATGTTTGGAGACACACCCTGCTGACCCCAGAACAGCATGCGACCAATCGCATTCTGTAAGACAGTTATAATAAAATGATTACTCATTTTTATTGTACTCTAATGGCTGAATGTCTGGGGCTATTATCCTTACAGGCTTACTTTAGGACTTCCAACTAAAGTAAAGTGCATTAATGTGTGGCTGTTTCTATCTGACTGTCTAAGTTTGTGTATAATGCAATTTCAAATTCAGAGATGGCAGCACAGGGTACCTCTGCCTCAGTTGCTCCTTGGCGGGCCTGCAGTTTCAGCCACTGAAAGATGTGATGGTCCTTATCTGTCTGAAGATTCAGCACTTCTTCGTTGTTTAGATAAACTGCCTCAACAAACGTCTAAAAACAAAGAATTTGAAGGAAAGGAGAAGCATGAAAAGTTGTTGGATTTCCACCGACTTTGTGCCTTTGCTATGCTAAACATGCAGTTATTCAAAAGAAATTGTAAGTACAGCTGTAAACTGCAATACTGACATTTGATATTATCTTTCTCTCAGGGTTAAAACCGAATACTATACACTCTTTTCTTACAACAGCAATGTTTTTGTTGTTTAAAACCACTGTGCGGTACTTCTTTGGCAAGAAAGGATTGATGTTGGTTCAGGTGATCAAAAGAGGGTTATCTGCACCCTTTTTTGATTTTGATTTGTTAAAATTAACACTAAAGCGTCCAGAGAAAGATGCATGTTTTACCTGCTCTGGTGTGGGATTTTGACGGTCTACAGTTGTCTGCAAAGCAATGTTTGCATAATACCCATAGGCCAGGGCTAGGTCTACAGGGAAGCCATGCAGGCCCTGGTGGTGCAGGTGCCCAAGATGCAGAAGTGCTAATCGATCATCCTCCTGAGCAGCCAGCAGGGCCAGGAGCCAAGACTGAAACAAGCAGGGGGAAGGGGGTTGTAACAAAAGTGAAAGTCCTCACCTCACATTTTCACTTGAGCTCACCTAGGTCTGAAACACACACACCTTATAGGGCTGTTTCTTGACTCCCAGGCCGCTGCTGTAGAGCACTGATGCCATGTGCAGAGCTCGGTTATCAGCTAAGCAGCCGGCTTGAAGCAGCAGCGGTAATATTGTGCTGACCGCCTCAGTTTTGCCTCCTTTGTGCAGCCTGTGAAGTGATAAAGAGTACAGCGCTCTGCCCACAGCTGCCGGACTCACTCCTCTTCCTCCTGAAAATCATGAAATGGGACTGAATGTGATGGTGTAGATAATCTTATAACATTAATGGTGCTCCAGTAACCAGTGCTTAAGTATATGTAAATATTGTCAACTCACAGTAGAGGTTATTTTTTCTCACCATGTTTGAAAGCTAAAATCTTGACTAGCTTCATGGATAGTTTTCTGTGAGGGTGCGTTTCCTCCCACAGCTCACACTGTGGTTTTGAAGGCTGTGTGTTCTGGACGAACAACTTCCCGAAAGCATCAAAGCAGGTGTCTGAAAAACAAGACTGTTTTGTTAAAGCTGGCAGCGAGCACGATAAAGGTTCATGAGCAGCAACTTTAGCACCATCTGGTGGACATAAAAGTTTACTACCAGGCTCTTGGCTCTGTTTGGCTTGGTGGGAATATTCTATGATCTTCATATTTATCTCCTGATGAAGTGCTTGACATGTGTGCAGCCATCCAGTCAGATTCACAGCCCTGACAACATCTGGAATAACAGCTTCAGACTGCAGAAAAGAAGAATTGAAGACTCAGATGACTTTGGTAAGTTTGCATCAAAATCCTCTGTAAGCAGGTGTTGTACTTTACCAAGGTTGGAGGTATCACTTTGTTGCGGTGGTAAACCAGAGGTCCAAAATAGCCCTCCACACCTTTGGTGTATTTACCTCCACCGATCACAAAGTAGCCCTCTGTGTCATCCAGCGTGATACCATTCTCAAAGCTGCAAAACACAGCACTCAAAAATGAACATCAAAAACAACTCAGAGTGCAAAATGTCTTCCTGACGTCAAAAGTAGACTTACATGTAACTCCCAGAATAATCAGTTTTCTGCTTCTTATCTATACACACCATGGAGATCGTCACCTAAGATGCAACAATAACAACTCTACTCTTTATTACTCCTTAAATTCATTTTTTTCTCTATGTGAAAGTATTTGATCAGCATTAAACTACTCACCCTTTTCATGAGGATCATCACAGTGATTCGGCACCACTCTCTTAAATGCACCTTGAATAGAGAGAGATGTGCAGAAGAGTCCCCTAAGCCTCCAGTCATCTGGATGTGGAGCTGGCCTGCAAAAACATCGTTAAAGACAATTTCAGTTCATAAAACAGCACTGAATAGTTACAGTATGTGGTGACCCTAAAGCTCTTTATCTTTACCTGACTTTGTGAGGAACAGTGCCGGTGAGATATAGTCACTAAGGTCGTCTATATGATGGAACAATCCACACAGCTTTTCTTGACAGTGTCTGGTCACCAAAATCCACATGGAGAACATACACCTGACAAAAAGATGGACAGCTCACTCACCCTTCAGGGCACTTTTGTCAACAACATAGAGGCTGAGATCATTATTTACCATGGAGAAGAGATGGCTCTCACACGTGAATACTCCAGGGGTTTGTTGTTGAAAGGGTCCAGTGTCTTTGTGATGCCAAAGTTTTCTCCAGTCGAGGCAAAAACTGATGAGAACATCTGAACCGTTTCTGGACGACACAAGAGATCTTTGATTGGTACACTTAAGACTTAAATGTTTCTATTACATGACTAAACCTATGATAACAACTAGGGCTGGGCGATAAAATGATAATAATATATATCAAAAATCAATTTCCCTCAATATTGATATGAAACATGGTCAATATGCTTTTCAATAGCTGGCATTCTGTCATGTTTTGGTAGACTGTACGAATAGCCAATGAAAAGGGGAGTTGCTCCGCGTCTGCACCGTTCTGAACCAATCATGTGCTGAATTTGAACCAAGTAGCAAACAACTGCGTGGTAGCAGGCTGCAGCTACACGCAACCAGAGCACTTTAACACACGAAGCCGACAGCACTGTCAGTGAGAAACAAAAGAAGGCTCAACAGATGATGACATCGTCGACAACACTGGCACAAAAATGTCGATGGTGTGGAAGTATTTTGTTTTTTTGAGGTCTGACATGAAGCAGAGTAGTGTGCACTGCAAATTATGTCGAGTACATGTTAAATTTCATTTCAGAGTAACAGGGAACATTTAAGATTGACAAGTGTTTTTTTTAGATCGTGATACAAATCAATATCGACTAATATGAAAAAAATATATTATGATAAACTTTTTCCCATGTCGCCCAGCCCTAATTACAACCATTTTATGCAGACCAGTACAGTACTGGGCTTCATGACCTAACAAAAGCTGCATTATTTATGACTTTAGGTGCCTTTGTCTGCATGTAAAGTTATCATACTATCCATGATTCATACCTTGCTCCAAAGGACATTGTTGTTTTGAGAATCTTGGAGTCAAAAGAAGCATTTGCGTGCTCCAGGACTTGCACAGCTGAAGCCGTTTCACAGGTCGGTCAAAATAAGGGACGGGCTCCATAGTTGCCACATCCTCAGCACTAACCAACTCCTCTCCATCATCAGATACAGGATATGTGACTGCAGCTTCCAGCATAGCACTCAGCACCCACAGGGAGTCAGGGAAAATCTCATCAGTTTGGTACGCCAGCCAATCAGGCAGTTTCAGCCTCACGGGCTTTATTGTAGGATCAAAAGGGTCACATCTCCAGTGGTGTAGCCGGATTATATCTGAGAGGTCGGTGTCAAAAAACACAACTAAATCCAGTTGCACCATCGCAGGTTCTTTACAAGAGTAAAACACGTAAAGGAGATGGTTCGGCACAGCCTCCTGTGGTGGATTCAGGAGCATCACCTCATCTAAACCCATCGTCATCTGTAAAAGGAAGAGGACATTCACATATCTGTTCATGATATCTGTTCAAAACTTTATCAATCAAGGAATTCAGGTCTAATAAATGATACAGGAGCAGAAAAGTGATCACCTCATAAACTGAAATTAGCACACAGCTGTATTTAAGTCACATTCAAGCTATTGTGATGAAATTACTGTCTAACAAAAAATCTATCTTTCTTAAACCCTTGTATCATTTAATTACTTTTTCACACTACAAAAGGTATAGGTTAAAAAAAAGATAAAGTAAAAGATGGAGACTTAATCCCACCAAGTTTCAAAGTTATGTGTTTGTTGCCATATGCAGCACAACTGTATCACCTAATGTGATTAAGGCACCAGAGTATCAGGGTAAAATGCGTGCATGTATCACCTGCTCTGGTGTAGGATAACGACGGACCGAAGCTGTCTGCAAAGCAATGTTTGCATAGTATGCATAGGCCAGGGCTAGGTCTACAGGAAAGCCATGCAGACCCTGGTGGTGCAGGTGCCCAAGATGCATGAGAGCTAATCGATCATCCTCCTGAGCAGCCAGCAGGGCCACGAGCCAGGACTGAAACAAACACAAGGGCATGTGAGGTTGTAATAAAAGTGAAAGTCCTCACCTCACATTTTCACTTGAGCTCACCTAGGTCTGAAACACACACACCTTAAAGGGCTGTTTCTTGACTCCCAGGCCGCTGCTGTAGAGCACTGATGCCATGTGCAGAGCTCGGTTATCAGCTAAGCAGCCGGCTTGAAGCAGCAGCGGTAATATTGTGCTGACCGCCTCAGTTTTGCCTCCTCTGTGCAGCCTGTGAATTGATAAAGAGTACAGCGCTCTGCCCACAGCTGCCAGACTCACTCCTCTTCCTCCTGCAGGTCAGAAATTGAGAGTCATACACCTATGAAACAGCAAGTATCCAGCCATCGCCAGTAAATAGTGAGTAATATCAAATGTTTTCTCTGCTCTTTTATGAGCTGGTGAGTCAATAAGGAGCGATGCTGCTCAACCTCATATGAAATTTTGGTGAAGATCCTGAAGCAGCATTTGAGTCTGGAGAAATATGTCCAACTTGACCCTCCAGACAGATCATAATTTAGACAGATTATTGGTGAATATAATAGCTTCAAACAAGAGCTGAGCAGCATAATGTACTGTGTGTAAAATGCTTCTTTATTTAACAGTCAGTTCATGTGGTGGTTGAAGGTTTCTGTTTTACCAGATTGCATGATTAATGTGTCCTTTTTTATTCATCAAGAGGTCTGAATTAGTCCGTCTGTAAACATTCTTTCTTTATCTTGACAATACGAAAAGGAGAAAATGTTATTACAAATCATATCACACTTTTTTTTTCTCACCATGTTTAAAAGCTAAAATCTTGACCAGTTTCATCGCTTGTCTCCTGCGAGGGTATGTCTCCTCCCACAGCTCACACTGTGGTTGTAATGGCTGCCTGTTGTTTATCATCCACTCATAGTAAAAATCAAAGCAGGTGTCTGGGATAAAACAACTCTAGTTAGTTTCTTTAAAGGAAATAAAAGCTGTAAATTGCACCATGTGGAGAAATTTTTAGCACCATCTGGTGGACATAAAGGTTTACTACCAGGCTCTTGGCTCTGTTTGGCTTGGTGGGAATATTCAACGATCTTCATGTTTATCTCCTGATGAAGTGCTTGACATGTGTGCAGCCATCCAGTCAGATTCACAGCCCTGACAACATCTGGAATAACCACTTCAGACTGCAGAAAATAAAGTGATCAAACCAACATTAGCTGGAAAGCAGACGTGGGCAGTAACTGTGGGCAGGTGTTGTACTTTACCATGGTCAGAGGTAACACTCTGTTGCGGTGGTAAACTAGTGGTCCATAATAGCCCTCCACACTTTTGATGTATTTACTTCCACCGATCACAAATTGTCCTTCTGTGTCATCCAGCGTGATATCATGACGAAACCTAAAACAGCGCTTATGTTAAAACTGAAAATGTGAATATAACTTTTTGATTATGACATGTTAGAAGAAGAAGACTTACATATCGTCCACATAATAATTTGTCCTCTGCTCCATATCTATACACACCATGGAGACTGTCACCTGGGATGCAACAACAACAACAGCCATGTTATTTTCATATACTGCACAGTAGTGAGCCTTAACAGGTAGCATGGTCTGGCCACTGTAGTTAAAGGGATATTCCGGCGTAAAACTAATTTAGAGTCAAACACACCATAACACCAAGTTAGACCCCCCCTGGAGAGATGAATGTTGCAGACTGCTTGCTTCTCTAGTTATACCAACTTTAGTAAAGACCACACAATAGCAATACACAACGGTCTGAGGAGCCATAAACAAACCTCAACCAAAACGCCACTCTATGGACACATATAATGCTCAGAAAAGCACCAAACTTCATCAACAGTACATATAGGGTCCTAGCCATAGTACTAGTCACCAAACATATTTTACCTTTGCCTAATTTCTTTAGCAAAGAGACTAAACACAACTCACCGTGTCTCTTCCAGCAGCCGCTTATTTGTTGCAAGACCCTGACCAGTCCATCCCTGCCGGAATATCCCTTTAACAGCCTTTAAATATTAGCTCTAATTTTTTACACTATGACCTTGAGGTTTCAATATAGCACACTTGCAGTTGTAGATTTGTGTTTTCTCCTTGAGGATTCACATGTTACTCTTTTAGTTTGAAGCCCTTGTGAATAACTTTGAGTTTGTGTCTGTCGTTGCTAAGTTTGACCTTCACATGTGTCAGTAATCCCTGGTAGATCTGGTATGACAGAGACATCTACTCACCCTCGTCACGAGCACCATCACAGTGATTTGGCACCACTCTCTTAAATGCACCTTGAATGGAGAGAGGTATGCAGAAGACTCCCCTGCGCCTCCAGTCATCTGGATGTGAAGCTGGCCTGTGCAGAATGAGGTGACAGAAACTTAAGTGTGTTATAGCAGCGTGATAAAAACATATGAAAGGTGAGAGGGGACTTTTTTAAAGTATACCCGAGTGTGTGAGGAACAGTGCTGGTGAGACGTAGTCATTAAGGTCGTCTATATGATGGAACAATCCACACAGCTTTCCTTGGCAGTGTCTGGTCACCAGTATCCACATAGAGAACATACACCTGACAAAAAATAGGGCACACCTACTCTGAGCAACATCTGAATTAGCAGGACAGACAGTTAAGTTAAACTTTGGTCATCTTACCGCGGAGAAGAGACTCCTTTGACGCGTGAATACTCCAGGGCTTTGTTGTTGAAAGGGTTCAGCGTCTTTGTGATGCCCAAGTTTTTTCCAGTCGAGGCGAATACGGAGGAGAATAACTCAACCGTTTCTGTTTTCAAGTCAAGATTTAAGGGTTTAAAAGCGAAAGCAAACTTTAGAAAGCAGCTAGCATATTAACCATTGACCCGAACAATTTTTAAAGGGATGTTAGACACCCCGTCGAGAGATGAGTGTTGCCGACCGCTTACTTCTCTAGTTATACCAACTTAAGTAACGACCGCAGATACAGAGAGCCACACGCTCAACCAAAACGCCACAGATAATGCTCAGAACAGCACCTAACTTCATCAACAGTACACATAGGGTCCTAGCCGGAGCACTAGCCACCAAACATCTTTTTAGCTTTGCCTGATTTCTCCAGTAAACACTACACACCGTCTCTCTTCCAGCAGCCGCTTGTTTGTACGGAGCCCTCCAGGCGAGTCCATCGACAACAGCGGGGGTTACGCAGCTCAAGGAAGAACATTTATGATCATTTCTTTATGGGAATGCAATCAGACTGAGACGCTAAGTCAGAAGAACTACCACGTCTGCAGTGCAAAATGATAATATAGTGATTATCACTTCAAGGAAATGATAAAGAAATTATCATAAATGTTCTTCCTCGAGCTGCGTCACCCCACAGCAGTCCGTAATGGACCAGCCTGAGGTCTCCGCACAAACAAGCGGCTGCTGGAAGAGAGATGGTGAGTTGTGTTTAGTCTCTTTGCTACAGAAATTAGGCAAAGTTAAAAGATGTTTGGTGGCTAGTGCTGTGGCTGGGACCCTATATGTACTGTTGATGAAGTCAGGTGCTGTTCTGAGCATTATTTGTGGCTATAGAGAAGCTTTTTGCTTGAGAGTGTGGCTCTCTGTATCGCTATGTTTATCTCTTGACAGGGTGTCTAACTCAGCGTTACAGTGTGTTCGACCCTAAATTAATTTTACACCGGAAGATCCCTTTAAGTCAAGATTTGAGAGTTTAAAAGTGAAAGCAAACTTTATGAAGCAGCTGGGGTATTAACCTTTGACCCTAACACTTGTTAAACTAAAGGTAGATATGATTTAGGATGTTTCCTCTTACTTTAACACCTTACCTTGTTCCACTGGACATTGTTTTTGTAAGAAGTGTGGATTCAACTTCAGCATTGACAAACTCCATGGAAGGCACAGCTGATGCCTTTTTACAGGTCGCTCAAAAACAGGAATCGGTTTCAAAAACGCCACATCATTGTCTGCAACCAACTCCTCTTCGTCACTAAATACATGAGGGTATGTGACCGCAGCTTCCAGCATACAGCTCAGCACCCACTGAGATTCAGGAACAACCCCATCAGCTTGATAGACCAGCCAATCAGGCAGGTTCAGCCTCACAGTCTTCACTGAGGGATCATCGGGGTCACATCTCCAGTGGTTCAGCCGGAACGCACGGATGCGACCAGTGTCAAAAAACACGATCAAGTCCAGCTGCACAGTGGCAGGTCTTTCACAAGAGTAATACACATCCAGGAGGTGGTCTGGCAGAGCCTTCTCTGGTGGATTCAGGAGCATCACCTCGTCTAAGTAATCTGAACCGAAGACCATCTATATGAGGAAGAAGACATGCACAACATCTGATCATGGCACCGTTTTAAATTTGAGACTACCACCAGTCATGAGAGTGAAAATGCTCCTACCTGAACACTGAGAAGTAACAAACACACATATATGAGCTGTGTTGAAGTCCATGGTGCATACAGTGTTTTCATTAATCTCTCCATTTAAGTTTACCAAGCTGTAGAGGAACAAGAAGCTTCAAGATCCGTGCCTCATCCTGTTCCACCTCACTCAGAATGAGGCATAGGTAAATATTTAACAACTGAAAGTCCCACCCAATCACTGTACACACAGTGTGAAGTTAGGGTGGAGCAATGTGAATTTTACGACCAATACCACAAGCACAATAAAAGGTCAAAGGATAATCCTCTACGTTATTTAAGAGCAAGGAAATTTTGTCAATGCAAAGAATCCAAAATGTTGTGCATTAAATCTTAAACAAATCAACTCGCCTTTCATTCAAAATAGTTTATTGCTATCATGCAGGAGTGCCAAAAAAGTATAGACCATCACAGAAGATGCAAAATTCTCCTTTTTCTCTGTACAAATATACTGCAGGATTTCATAAATAGAAGCCCAAAAAATAAAGAGAAGAAACAGAAGGGTAAGGAGGAGTAAAGAGTTTAAACTGATCCACTCATTTTAACCCAATATAGGTTTCGTTACAGCAGTTGACATGCATCAACATTACAGTGCATTATACTGGGAGCAGACACGCACACTCGCTCTCACACATTCATACCGCATAAATCATTTACAGCTGTCGTGCAAAAGAGGTACAAATGACACTTTACAAAAGTACCAGTCTAGGAAACAGCTTTTTTTTTTAAACTGGTTCTTAAAATAAAGTATTGAAACATTTCCTTTCTCATCCAAACCACCTGTTACATTATGAAGCTGGGGGGGAGGCCCACTGTGTCTTCTGCAGCACTTTTGGTTGTTCATCGGTCAGGAACGGCCTACATGTCTCGGTGTTCCTTCTACTTTAATAATTACCTACAACTACTGATGCATAGTTCTGTGCTCATATGAAGCGTCTCATATTTAAACTGGCACAATGTAATCTGAGGATAATATTCATCTGTAACAAATGTAAACATACTGTGGACATTCAAACTCAGGGTATACACCACAGACCGAGTGTACATCCTGTTGTTTTGTGTTCTGCGTGAGAGGGGCTCGAAGGGCAAACGCACTACACATACAAAGGCCTCGGACAGAAAAATGGGATTTTGGCACTCTGGCTTCTACTTCGACAACTCATTAAGCTGAATTTTCCATAAGAGGTGGACTACAAAGAGGAAGTGTCTGTCTCATATGGAGAAAAAGTTCTTGCCTTGTAACTATAGCCCTTACCGACGCTTGTCCCATCATGCAACGCTCACTAACTGCTGGGACGCTTCCCTCATCCACCGAAACAATCACTGAAACAGAAACAAAACAATAAGACAGACAATAGCAGGAGCCAAAATCAAGACCAGTCTACCACCATGTTCAATGAAGTTTAGTGGAACATGTCTGCGGCATTTTGTCCAACATCCCATTTATTTTATTTCATGATAACTGTGAATAAAGCACTTCAGATGTTTTTTTATTCAGATTTTCAAGGTACATCATTTTCACTTAATTATAAAATGTATTCATAAACCATGATGGTACTCCGCTCTCTTGTACCTTCTCTATCTTTATCTTTGAATCCTCTTTGGACAAAAGAGTCTGCACTAAATAAAACTGTAAACTGTGAATAAAACTTTAGTTAAAACGGCGTTTCCTGCAGTCTCTGGTACTCTAATGTCAAACTTTTGGAAATTTTATGTTTGGTAACATCGCTGCCTTTTAAAAATAAAGATACTGTTAATCACACCTGGATGATTGAGCCCTGATATTTGTTCACATCCTGGTTTAATCAGGTTAAATGTATCGTTTCTAAAAAGCTGCAGCATTCTCTCTCACTCTCTCATGCTCACATGCATTCAACTCTAAATCCTAAAAATAAAGCATAAGGTCCAAAGCTGCAAATAAATTGAGTATTTTTGTGAGGGGATTTACCTCTTGTCTAACTCTCTTAAAGCTGAAGTCATTCAGGTGCTTCTGGATGATTACAAAGGTTGAAAAATATTATAAAGCCTTTCGATTCCCCGTTTTTTTCCACTTCTGGAGAATTTAAACCCCACTGAGTAGCTACTTTTGCTGAGCCGTGTTAGACAGTTTGGAGAGCCTAAGTAGAATCTGAGTAAACTCGAACAAGCTTTCCACACTTCTGTTAGAGAGGATCTACTTAATGCATCATCAGCTCTGCCAAGAAGAAGAAGACAAAAACATAAGACAGAAAAAGCTGTAACCATCAATAAAAATACTAAGAGGAAAAAAAGGTGTGCGCATTCACTTTGGGTTCTGTAGGCTAGGTGGTTAGGTAGTAATTAACAAAACATCAACTGTCGTCTAAGCAGGTTAACGACGAGAACCAAGCAAACACTAACAGCATTCGAGTATCAGTCAAACAAAAGTGAAGACATGCAAAATGTTATAGATCATAGAACAAGAAAGAAAAAAACCAACCGGGAGACACGTTTCCCTTTGGGACTGGCACAAATTTTCCTGCAGAATAAATAATACTTTACATTCCAATATACAAACCTACCCGTTCCCCACATATTCAACATTGACCAAATAAGCGGATAAAACTGAACAGCTGGTTTTTCCCCACAGTCCAGTTCCTCAGGGTAGGAGTTAAACCTACAAAAAAGATGCAACGGCGACAAAGTGTGCCATCATTTGACCAGAAACTTGTTTCCAAAGACCAATCAGAGGAATTCAGTCAAACAGCTTTTACAGCCTGGAGTTCATGGAGCCCTTATTTCCTCTGTTTCTTGAAGATCTTGAAGGTGTGTTTCTTGCGGCTGGCAGTGGAATCTGTGTCTTCTCCTGTGGAGCCACTGTCCTCCTCCAGGGGGCTCTTCTTGGAGGACAGCTGCGGGATGCGAGAGCTGCCTTTGACCCCCGCGACACCCGGCTGTCCCCCGCCTGTGGGTGACGGCGTTTCGGGTTCAGTGGAGTTGGGGCTGAGGGAGCGGGACGACTCTGACAGGCTGTTGATCTCTCCAAGGCTGGGTGACTTCTGCATGCCGTACAACTTCTTCATGACTATGGGGCTGTCGGGGCTGAGCTCTGTAGGACTGGCCTCGTGAATCCTGTTCCCTCCGTTAGGGGTGTGACTGTGAAGGGACACGGTATCTTCTGCCCGACCAGACAGGCCGTGCATGAAAGATGTTGGCTTGATGAGGTGTCCTTTGGAGCTGTAGGCAGATAGCCGATCACCAACTTGAGACAGGGACAGGGAGGAGTCCGAGTCAGAGCGATTTAGGTCCCTGAGGGAGGAGAGAAATGAAGTCAGAGGAAACAAGAGAGATAAAAACAAACCCAAACAGAATCAGGTTGAAGCTTTGCATGCTGGGGTTTATCTACGCTATGCCTGCACAGCCAAGGACACGCTGGGTACAGCCGGGTAACTGGAACTCCACACTTGTTAGTGGTTCAGGCAAAGAACAACAGGAACACAGAGAGACACGTTAAAGAGCGTAAATGCACAATCCTGTAAAGCCTTGTCAGCTTTAATGTTGTAAAAGCAAAGTGGAATAAAAGAAAAATGAAAAACTCAAATGAAATGCACTAAAAAGAGGACGAAGATGAAACAAAGAAGACGGTTATTGTGGTACATGTGTCGAAAAATGAAACAACAGCGGTTGGCAGAAAAACAAACACCCACGCACATGCGATGTGTGTGAGAAATTGGAAAGAGATGGGTACCCGTAGCCGTCACTGTATGCTTGGGAGACATCTGAGAAGGTGAAATCAGGAATGGGGTCCATGGGCTGGAAAGAAGTATGATATAAATGGGAGGAATGTGGGGCTGCAGCGCCACCCACAGAGCTGGGCAAGCAGGAAGAAGAGCAGGACAAGGAGGACAGCGACTGAGGGTTTAGGCCGGAGACGGAGATGATGGAGGGGTGAGACACGGCCGAGGACAGAGGAGGCAGAGGGAGACAATCGAGCTGGCCGAATGACTGGCTGCGGGATTGAATGGGGGGAGCCCTAGACCTGGACGGGTATGGGGATCCCTCGCCCTGCTGCCCTGCCAACAGGCAACTCTCTACCAACCTCTGGGAGCCCATGGCCAGCTGGGGGTCAATGTGGCGTTGGCGCAGGGACATCATACTGGGAGCTGTGGGCACAAAACAACAGCATTATCGGTAAGAAAACACAGTCTACAGGAAAGGGAGAGACCAGCTGGGATCAGATTGTGGAAAGAAACTCAGGTGCAGGGACGGATTTTCTTAAAGTGACTTGAAACTCGAGTTAAGTGACTCCAGTCTCAACGTTAAATTCAATTATTGTATTAAAATCCCACATGCTCCTGTTTTATCTCTCCTTTTATTAAGGAAAATGTGTGAAACAAAGGGAGTGATGGTGTTATTAACTTAAATCTGATTCAAATAATAAAGGATAAATATTAACTCATGATAAGCCTGGTTATGAGAGGAAAAGCCCTTTCAAAATAAAATAATCTCAGGGAGGTGGGTGGGGGAGAACCAGGTGGCAACAAGGTTTAGAGGTGGGTGAAAAGCAAGCAACTATGGCGAGGTCAGGGCAGATTTTTTGATGAACGCAGCACCGATTAGTTTTGTTCATCTGCAGGAAACGGTCTGATACAAAAATAAAAGAATAGCAGCCTTGTGTGGCTTTGTGTCAAGGGAAGAAACAGGGGAGTCAAACCAAGGACTGAACTGGGGGCATAAATAAGTGGCCAGCCAACCGGGATATTTCCACATGTGCTGACAGTCTGAACCGACGAACCACACGTCGCTGGCTCGCCTCTCCAACTTTCGGATGCCGTCTGTAGTTCAGCCAATGAGACGGCGGTAGAAGCCAAATGCCAGAGAGGTGGTGGAGGGAGAGAGGGAGGTGAGAAGGGAGGTGCAATTAATGTGAATTTAAAGACTTACTCACTATTGCAGTTGGAAAAGGGTTCTGCTGAGACACTTTAGCCTGCAGTAAGTCAAACCCAAATGTAGGTCAAGAGTTGCAGTTAGATTGAACCTATAGCAGCATGGCTGGAAAACATCTATGATAAATCTGCAGGTTTTCCTGCTCAAAAACCTTAAAATCGACAACAGAACAGAACTTTCTCTACATAAAATTTGATATAGTTTGATTTCCTGCACTGTAGATGAAATAAAAAATATTTGTTGATCCATTTTTAAATCTTATATTTGTTTCTTATGTTTAAGACATCAAAATAAGTAAAAAAGGAGTTATCTGAGTAAACCTTTTGAATAAATTTACGTAACTAAGGATAAAAGAGTAAAAATGTAAAGGACCTCAAACAGGTCATACCAGAAAAACCCTCTATCACAAACAAAGAAGAGGACCTAATTACTCTTAACAAAAGGCTGGATCACCAAATCTTTGTATCAAGATCTGCTACTAAACCTGGATCTGAATTTGACTTGGACACTCTATACACTAGGTTGACTGCAGCTGTTTGATCAGAGGGGGATTTAAAAGGTCGGTAGGAAATATTAGGACACAACCACTAAAAATAGGTCAGCACAAAAACAGCTTCTCAATAAGAAATATATTTTCCGTCACAGTTCATTTTTCCACAGGAAAGTCACAGGAGTTTGTCAGCCTCCACAATCTCTGAAGAGTCAAGTGAACACTTTGATCCAAAATGAGAACAATTAACAAAAAGGCAGAATTGTGCTTAAAAGAGCAAGACAATTATGTGTGAATTGACACCATACATAATATACAAATGTAAAACAACACTCATCCAGTGAATCACAGACATGGTCGACTCTCACTACCACAAGGGAGGCCACACCACACTGACAAATTCAGGTAATTATTGCACAAAAGGTCCAAATTCTCATGTGGGCTGATTTTTGGATTTCCCCAGCAGGGTCTTGGAGGGTTTAAGGGTTCGTTTGCTAACCCCCACAGAGGAGGCCACAGATTCAGAGGAACTCTTACATTGCAGAGTTCCAGGCACGATACCCTCGTCCAAGTCGTCCACGTCGTCCGACATGATGAAGTGCTGAGGCGTGGCTCTGCCGCCCATGAAGCTGGCATCCAGGTTGAGGCTCGAGGCCAGGGAGGGAAGGCCGGGGTTGTTGACGATGGTGAACCCTGTGAGAATCTCTATCTGCTGCCAACGATGAAGCCTCTCCCGCAGAGCAGCCGTTACCTCACCCAGGGCTTGTCTGTGAAAGATGACGAGAATGAGGTCAGATTAAAATTAAGTTTGATGGTTTTTTATCTTCTTCTCTGTAATATCAACTCCACCTCAGACTGAAAACCATGAAATTAAAGCTCCTGTGGGGAACTTTTTGACTGGCTGACACCTACCCTCCCAAAACCAGCTTCAGACAATAAAAACTCCAATATAAAATAAATCAATCTTGATGCTGATGGTCTTGTTTGCTTTTTTAATATCATAAAAGACATCAGTAAGCATTTCATTCCATTTCACCAATGTTAAAAAACTCCTCACAGGAGCTTTAATCAAAAATATGCTGCTATTGTTAATTTTGTGAGTTAAATGGAAGTTGAATTTCCCTTCGGGGATCAATAAAGTTATTCTCATTCTTATTCTGAAATGAACGTTATTTTTCCAGTAGAATCTCAGACTTACTTTGCTGCCAGTATTTTGTGGTCCACATCATCCAGAGAGGAGCTGTGAGCCACATGGAAAGTCCCAAAGAGGGTGTTTCTCTTTTTCTTGATCTTTTCTGCCTGTAAAAACATAACCCCCCCGACATATAAGATTAAAATTTAATAAAGCTGGTTGAGCTACTTTCTGCGTTTTCTATTACAATAACATTTACTCTCATTTCATCTTAAACAATCAAAAACAGATGGATGTATCACTCGCTTGTTAACATGTAATAAAGTTGCTTGTGACTACATTCAAGGACTCGAAATAGATCGATCGAGGCAATAACATGAGCTCTCAGATGACGCTTTTCTCGACTCACTCCTTCTTTGGCCACCAGGAGCTGCCGTTCAGCGTTTTGCTTTTTGATGTTGTAGTACTGCACTTCCACCTCGTGGGTGAGCTGCAGCCACTTCTGGAGAGACTCTGGTGGTGACCAGCTGCTCCGTGACTCTAACTCCTTCTCTGCTTTCTTCAATGCCATACGCACCTGCAACCAGTGTTGAGTAGAGGAAACAGGAGCATACATTTAGTCACTTTCTCAAAACTATGGGCAATTACTGTTTTATTTTTAGCATTTTAAGAGTCTGTCAACAATTGACATACAAACGTTTTTAGAATCTGCAACTGACTAAACACCTAATCCTTTTTCGTTTATTTAAACAAACACTTAACTCCTGTCAACTGTTTTCCACAGCCCAGATATTAATACTAACACTCCAACTTCAGGGAATGTAACACTAACACACTCCAAACTCAAACCTTGACTTGAAACCATGTTTATTAAAAGTAAATATTTCTGAAAAAGGAAGAGGTTTCTGGTCTTATCATAGATCTAAACCTGAAACTCACTCCATCTTGTGATTGAACTGCACCTGACAGCCTTCCAGTTTCCAGTTTATCCCTGTGCTGCAGAATGAAAAACAAGCTGTGACAGAGGTGTCTGAATAAGATCACTGTGATAGTCCCTCAAACAAATACTCATGTGTTTTGCTCACTTGTGTGGGCTGTGCTCTGCTGCTCCTGCCAATATTTCTAATCGACAAAGACTTCAGTGGGTGTATTTATACTATAGCAAGTGTGAATCTGATAGACCTAAACATACTGTGCGGTTTACACCTTGGACGTGCATTAAATAATAATCTGCCAAATTCTGAGCATGAAAGATTTCCTCGGTTTGAACGACAGACACGTTTGAGTCTTATCTATCATCATGCAGTACCTGCTCCAGCTCCTCTTCGGCGTACTTCTGGCGACTCAGTTCGTTCTCTGTGCCCTCTCGTAGCTCTCGCAGGCGTTGGGCCTCCTGCTTGGCTGTGTTGATCTCATCCCTCAGCTTCTGCTCGAGGTTGACCTTCTCCACTTCTACCGTACGGTGCTCCTCCTGGGCGATCTGCAGCCTGGGAACAACGAGACAAAACTGTGAACTTTTGGTTTGCACCGAGTGCTTAATAAGAGACAATAAAAGAGACTGAGCACAATAGATGCAAATGTTATGATATGTACTGTTATTATCTGTAGGCAGGCATGATGTGTAAGCAGGTATGTGTGGTATGTGGGGCTTGCATCAGCCATGCATGACCGGAAACAATGGCTAACATGTAGAAAGCTCGGAGAAACGGTCAGCTGCTGGGCAGCTCACAATAAACTGACATCAGAAGGAGCAGAGCCAAGAATGAGAACAGCTGCCAGTGTGTAACTTTAGAACAGCACAGTGTTAGTGTGCCCAGTGCTCCTGTACTGTCCACGACTAATGCTTAGGTTTGGATGTGGGGTATTTTTAAACTAGCCTCTTAAGAAAAGCCTACTTTTAAAGGAGGAGCTTGTCACCCGTGATGTAATTACCTAACACATATATTTTAAGAAACTGTATCATTACAGCAGACTGATTTTAATCTACCCTTCATTTTTCAACAGTTAGAAAGTATGTTTGAAACACTTAAAAACTAATAGACAGGTTCATTTGTTCTGTCGAGTTAATCAGCCTTGAGACTGACCTCTGAGGTGATAATACTTACAGTACCTTTGGCTGAACACTCCTCTCCTTAACTAAGCAGGGAAAGACTGAAACCTGAGATACAAAAAAACTACCCACAGAATAATCCTGACATTGAAAGGCTGGAAAGTAGTTCTTTATTTGCCTCACTAGAGAGAAGCACTCCCCTCCTTTTCAGGCCAAACAAAACAGCAGAGAGGAGCGGAGAAATGAAAGATGAGCCACAGAGCTCGCTATGGAAAATGTGGGTGGTGGGCAGTCCTGCTAATGCTTTCGACCCTGACCTCTGTCGTTCTCCAGCTAAGATTCAAAAGCACTGGCAGAGCTACAATGACCAGCGAGAAGACGCCGACTGCTGTTTCACCTGCCCTGCATTGCAGAGCTCGGAGGACGCAGACACACTGTCTCTGCGGACTTTGCAGGAGGAGGTAAATAATGACCCCCAAGTTTTTATGGATTAACACTCAAACGACTCTACTCATCCATTTTTCACATCGTATCATGATCATTAGTGGAAATAGAATTAGCTTCGAATGATCATCACGACTTTTGTTGTTGTTTTTGCCACCGCCCTCTTCAGGGTTGTCTCTATGAACGCCACTCCCCTATCCAAATGTGGGTGAAGTAGCATTAAAGCTGACATGTTGCGCAGTCATGCTCAACACCATCTCCAACCAGTGAGGCAGAGGCTGGGTCAAACACTCCTGTAAAAGGCACCACGGAAATCCAGGTCCAGTGGAAACCTCCTCCCACTGTCTCCCAACAGGGAAGCCATGACTAGGCCAGGCTACTTGATACCACCACAGGATCTGCTTGAAGGTATGGAAAGAGAGCAGCTGGCAGGAGGGATCAGGAAGAAAGGCACAGCCACAGAAAGAGGACATACCTCCCTCTATCTCTCTCTCTCTGAATCTGCTCGAACATCATGCACCATATGACAACAGACACCACTTGCTTACCACACTGACAAACAATATGACATAATATCCTTTTTCACAGTCACAGTGTCACGTACCAGGAACCTGATACGACACGGTTAGATGGTCTGGACCAACCCTGTTCTGTCTAAGAATCCAAGTCCTAAGTGTTGAGAATAGTCTCAGCTGAACTTTCCTAAATAATGTCATCTAATTATGAACACACAAGATTGAAACACCAGCTCCTTGGTGTAATGCATAGTTGTTACAAATGATCATACCTCATAGGGCATTTTCTACTTCATGACAAACAAGACCATTGTGCTGCTGGCTCTCACGCTGGGCTCATCCTCCACAGTTTGGATTTAAATGTCATTACACAACAGCAGATAAATTACACTGTAGGGCTAAATAAAAGCACCACATTTTGAAGTGTTAGATTTAATCTAATGTCTACAATGGTCAAGCTACTGTGCCTCAAGACATGGCAGTTTGGGTTCCACACTTAATAATGCATGGACTGTCCCTCTGGTTTATTCGACACTTCAGAATTAAGTATGAGCAATTAGCTCGGCAAGACAGATAACCAAGGCGTGCTTCAAAGGAGGGATGGCAGGTGTGTTTTCAAAGCTGATCAAAGTATAACGCCACAAAGGCAGCACCACAGGCTGACCTGGCAGTGTATCAAGAGGCAAGTTTGACCTTAATGGTTTGTCCCCCTCTGACGATTAATCACTCTTTTGGTTGGTATTTTCCACTCCACTTTTGCTCTTCTAATAATAAACCGAAATTCATATACAGAAGACAGTTCAGGAGCCACAGCAGAGATACTGCGGTGTCTTTGGGAAGAAGAGGTGCTGCTTTTAAGGGAATAAAGAATCTGAGGCAAACACCAAACTTATTAAAGCGAGGAAAATCTAACCCTTGTCTTTACAGTCAATTTGCTGCTAATCAGTGCATTTCAGCTCAAGTTTCAAACAACCCGCTGATTCAAAGAGTAACTCATGAGAATAATAAGGGCAGCTCAAAAGACTCGATGCAGCTCATTTCTTCCTGTTCAACGTCCCAAAACATCAGAACAGGAATGCGGTGCAGTCATGTGGCAACGCCCAGCAGTAAGTGCTCCACCTTACTCAGGGATGAGACACTTTCCCATTTTGACCACTCCGGTGTTTATCTGTGTGAGGTGAAATTCAACCCTGTGGGCACCGCAAGTTAGCATAAAAAAAGCTTTAGAGAAGAGTACAAGAAGAAGAACAAATCATGTTTGCAATGACAAAAGACCAAAACAAACTCACTTATTACCTTTTTTTTGTATCTTCTCTCTATTCCAGATGTATTTTATAAAACAGTAACTCAGACAAGGTTATATGCTTTTCATATTTTACAAACAAATATTGGTTGGATGTCAGTGCTTGATGGGAGCAAAGTTTCAAACTGCTAGGTAAATGTACGGGAGTAATACCACAGTGCGGGCTAGAATGAAGCTGATAAAGCATAAAATCAGCTCAGTTTGTGACATCACCCATCTGGCCACTCCTTAAAAGGGCAATCATTGTAAACGTGACATTGCTTGAGAGTTTGTTGCCCTCTTTCTAAACTTACTGAGTGAGACTTGGGGTCCGATACAAATGGCGTATTTCTTAATTTGTCATTTTAAGCAGACAGACAGTTTAACTCAATGAGGGCAACAGTGGAGGAGGCTCCCAGAGAGCTTCTCCATCAGATGAAAGTGTTCTTGTAAGCAAAGAGACATGAGAAGACATTATTATGACTGAGAATGAACATTATACTCCCTCTTTGAGTAAGAGCAGCACACTTTTGGGTCAATTCTGGCCTCGTAATTTGTTTTGATTGGAGACAATTCAGTGCAGATGCTGAACACCAGATGTCATTACTCTGATACAATACCTACTTGAGCATCCTGGTAATACCTAATCTAGCAAAAAAACTGCCCAGTGTATTAGGTGAGGGCCTGGTTGAGTAGCCTTTAAAGGGAACACAGAAGACAGCACAGGCTAAAAAGCACATTCCTGCATTCCACGCAGTATTAACAGGACCAAAATAGCAAGATTTGTGTTATGATCTTCAATTTTGCCTCATGACACCTCAACTGCTGCAAATCACCTCCTCATTAAGGTAGCAATAACCTGTTGGTCCAGCTGTGAGTGTTAACAATGACATGTCAGAGCAGATGCTGAGCAATAATCTTACCTGACAACATTCATGGGTTCTGTTAATAATGGCCTCAGTGCAGAGGTCACAGAGGTAATTTTTCAAACCACCACCAAATATTGGAAAGATCTGCTCTGACTTGCTCTCCAGAGTGGAAGATGGATGTCAAAGGGCAAAGGTACCTGCAGTCAAACCACCTCAGCAGTCGAATGTCACTAAGCTCTACATTGCATCATACAGACTGAGTGATTCATGCAAGAGAGAAAACTGATTACCAAACTACAAACTAAGGTACGCCTAATACAGAGTTAACAATTCTGCAGCAGATGCTACCAGCAATATCCCCAACATATTCAATTAATTAGAAGAGCCAAACTCTGTCTTTATCACATGCAATACAGCCTCACAGCAGAAGATAACTGAGCTGTCAGTGATTTTATGGATGAACTTGGAGTCAGCCAAACACTGATGTCTCCCCGGTCTCTCCTCAACTGAGTTATGATTTGCTGCAGCAGCACTCATTACTTCTACTACTGCCTGTCTGCTCCAGTTGAGTAAAACCTGGACTCAAAAATACAACAGCATTAGTGCCTGATACATATCGATGGTCAAAATAGAGCTTTTAGCATTCATCACAGCTATTTAGAAAAGCAACTCAATATTATTAGTACTTCGAATTGGATTTTTCCCTTTTTAGAGGTCGGGGTGAAAAATAGGATTTTAGTTTCGCTTTGAGTAAAGCTTCTGAACAAACACGCTCTTGGGAGTTAGCTTGAGAATGCAGCGCTTTGTTCCAACCAGTTCTCCAACCAATGTTGACACTCCCAACGACAACGAGACAAACCACGCTAGAGATGACAAGTTCTAAAGGACAAGTTGTACAGACAACCTGCTCTTCTTTCACCAATACACCCCTGAAAACTTTAAAGTGTTATAAGAAACTCAGCCGGGAAATGTTCCACAGTTGCTTCCCAACATTTGTCCCCAACACTTAGGAGTCCTTCCTGCCAGACAAGGGTGGGGAAGTCAGGACACGACATCAAAAGCCACAATATAGCTCAAAAAATCAGACTCAGACCACGCGTTTTCATCGTGACTGCACCTTGACCTATTGATACTTGTGTACATATTTACATGAAACAAGGCGGTGGGCTTAAGCACTTTAAGCTGCAACTAAAGGTCATTTTCCATCTGATACTGATGAGACATGGAGAGCATAGCTGCTGCACGGGTATTACACACTTAAGTATACTTCTTTAAGTTTCCTAAACCAGAACAAAACAACTAAGAAGACCCGTTACAAATATAAACTAGAGGATAACTAACAATAGGCCCACTGTGTATTTATCATTATGACAGAGCTGCATGCATGACAGAGCTGCGCGTGCACACAAACCCTCTGCAGTGAAGCTGTATCAGCAGACAGAAGCGCTCCACACAGTCTGATTTACATCATTAATCCACAGACATTGGTTTTTGAATCATGCAGTCATCATTACAGGATGAAAGAGAAACAAAACATGTGAGTAGACTGTTGATTTTTACTTTGAAATGACAATGATTTCTCTGCTGTTTTGATTGAAAATGTTATAATTTTGATGAAAATTAAAAAATTCAAATTCTGAAAAATATTTTGGGAGCTTGAAATTTCATCACATTTGGTCAAAAATGCTGGAAAACTCGCTTGAAAACTTTTTCACAAGGAAAGAGAAAAGAGTTAAGTGACTACAGAGGATCTTTGTTTTGGCTTGTTGATAGAGCAGAGACTGTATCTAGGATCAGCTGATCTGTAAAGATATACAGAAAGACCACAGAGTTTAATAAGCGAATTCATACTTGTACTTTATCAATCATCACCGCATTAATAGTGAAAATAAATACTGATAGTGAGGATTCCATTGGCTGCAGCTGTAGAATTAAGTTTGCCGTTAACCTCAGTTCATGTGAGGTTATTTGTCTAAAGGTCTGTCCACTAAATCATAGTGGAGCTCTATGAGTCTCTCATTACCCGACACTTTTTCACTTCTATTTTAGAACAATGCGGCTCTGTACACGCAACCCTCAGAAGGTTAGGACTGAATTATGACACTGGGCTTATTTATAGGATTCAAAACCACTATATTTATATTCTCTACAATTATCCTCCTGTCAGCTATTTTACTACGCAGATAAGACACGACCAACAGAAATCCCTCTGGCTACCTTGTCTGAATGAAGGCTTGAGAGTAAAAATCTAATGTGCAACAAAACTATCACTGTCTGGGAAACTGAGCAAGAGCACAATTTCACACCGCAAGCTTTAAAAATAATGACCGAGAGTGGTGTATCAAAAATTACACGCTTATCAGAACTGAGACACACAAAAATAAACAGCTGTTCGTGTGTCAGAATAACCTCAGTGGGGCGGGGGGTGATGAATGAGTTTGAGGATTTTCGGTTCACAGACGGCAGCAGACACAGAGCGCACCCCGTTACTCCCAGTCGGTGCTCACTCAAGGTCTAAACACTAAACAAGTCAAACGCTAAAGGGATGTTTCAAGACGCACGCAAGATATAAAAGTGAGGTCGCCAGTTCAACGCTGATTACTGTCCGTTTAGAGGCTGATGGCTAAAATTACCAAAAAACACCTGTATGACTGAGTCTGTAACACAGTGTTTGTTGGTTATAACACAGTTTGATGTGTGTCTGTGTTTGTGTCGGTGGTGGAAAAACCCCTCACTTCTGTTGTAGGTCATGCAGACTCTGCTCGGCTCTCTGCAGGCCCTCCAAGTCCTTCATCATCTTCTTCATGTGATCCTTAGAGTAGCGGTTTTGGATGTAGGCGAACCAGCAGCCGCCCATGCCGATGACTATTGACACCACCAGCATGAAGTCCTTTAAGTGGTTGTGTCGATTCACTGGAAGAAAAATGAAAACGAGGGAGAAAAAGTTATATTTCGGGTATAAACATCAAAACCACAGGACAAACCGACAGAAGCAGGACCACATTTGAGCTCGGAAATTCTGATCCAAGTCACAAAAAAAGCTGTCTACGTAAGAGCAAACTTCACAAGGATGTGGTTTGTGCTTGCCTACTCATACTGCAAGTGACACAAATAGAAGAGCCAGTAGCATGAGTTCAGGTTGCGGTGAGAGAGGGTCCTGGTGCAAAAAGCTAGCTTAACAGCCTATTTCAGCCTGGTTACCAATGCTAACAAACATGCAGAGAAAACCAAACAAAGGCGGCTATGACATTTAGATAGATACACATGCTGGGCTAGGAATCAAACTCTGGCCGCCATTCATCTCAAGTGTCAGTTACGTTGTCATTGTGAAGGATCCAGAGCTATAAAAGTCACAGCAGCTTGAAAGCGGCTATCCCATTTGTAGATCAGATTCAGGCCAACTCTTCAAGCATGGAGAACTTTAACAGAGGCCATCTTGAACTAGAAGTTTGGGTTTAATTAGGACCATTTGTCATCTGATGAGTCAGGCGAGCGCTGTCATGCTTCAGTTTTTTAACAATGCCTGTATTTGTGCTTTACAAGATGCAAGATTAAAAAAAAACACGTTTTTCTTGCAAAACCTGCAAAAGGATGTGCAGAAAAGGGGTGTGAAAAACATGACTTCTACTTCCTGGAGTGAGACAAAAAAGGAAGTTAAATTAGGAGCGAAAGAAAACAATACAGGTTTGTTTCTCTTTACATGAAATCAGGTCATGCCATTGTTCTTTGGAAAAAAAAAAAAGTTTCTGTAACCCTGGCTGCTGTTGACACCGAGCCAAATCAAATACCTCTGTGTATCTACATTTTACAGCACACATTCCTCTTCAAATAAACTCCCTCTCTGTGAGGTAAAAGGCTCAATGCTAAGTCTACAGCTTCTGCCAAATGATCCTCCATAAAGCCTGCGTATATTCTTGTAAACTTTGCTTATAAAGTCCAGAGCAAACAAGGGTTTATCAGAGGCAAGGAAGCAGGGCCAGCCATGCCCACTATTGTGTCAAAAGAATGTACCAGAAGTCAGACACTAAAAATCAACAGCTGCGAGCCACTGCTCATGTGTTTTTTTTTTCTTCTATTTACTTAATAAGAAGGCCTGAACTACACCTCACATGGGGCGGTGTGTTTTTACAGATTATCGTCATTATACCGCCAAAAACACAACTTCCCAAAATGAGGTTACAACATTTAAACAAAGCTTGCTGAACTCTTCCTGGGTGTGCGCGGTTCCTGAGCACAGCTGCTTTGAGGAAGCACTTTACATTATCTGGAGGATGAAGTAAAAATACTTTCCTCATGCTTACAACACTATCTGTCCCCAACAGGAAGCACAGCTTGCCTTGTGTCATCTGCAGAGTCTCCTCTACCTCTTGTGCTTGTAACACACAGCAGCGCGCACTGACAGCTTCACAGAAACGCCGCCCACAGAGAGCGCAGAGTGACGTTTCATTCAGCACAAAAGTGAAAACACCTCCACCTAATTGTACATGAGTTCTTCATCACACAACTGCCCGCTGCATTAGCGTTCACCCATTGTGAGATGTGTCTTAAACCGCTGCTCGTGGTAACAGCCAGTGTGGCGACCTGCAGGACCCCTGGCTTCAAGAGGCTGTCAAAGCCAGACAACGCGTGCTTATGTCTTCCTCTGGGTGTGACTCGAACGTAACACATCCACAATGACACATGCCAGACACAGACCACTACACACTTCTTCTTTTAAGCGCAAATGCCTGCTTTCTATGAAGGTTCATCGCATTTTCTGTTTTGCTTCATTAACAACATACATAAGCTCTCTTCCTCTTTTAGATATGAACTTTTACACTTTAATCATTTTGGTTTTTCTCCAGCAGGTGAAGGAAGTTTGAATGCTTACAATACTTAAGGAAACTCTGCAGATGGTTAGTAGTATTATCCTGACCTGAGTTTAACCGATGCACTAAAATTAAGTCCATGTGTTTTTCATGAAAATTGAATTGGCAGTCTCTCAGATCATATCTTCCGAATGTTAACTCATATTGTGCTAAAAAAAAAAAAAAGTCTAGCCAAGGGAGGTGCTAGCCACAACTCATTCACTGAGATTTACAAACCCCCGCAGAGAAGACAGCCCAGGAAAACCTAAAGGAATTAAATCTGTAGCTCCAGAGTTGTAGCCGAGTAGTGAAACTAGAGGAGAAGAGGATGAGTGGTGTGTTTATTTGTCTCAGTACGCAGAGGGGTGTGTCTGGAATACAGAGCAGTGTACTCCAGCCATAAACTCATATCATCTACCCCTGAAACTGATATACAAGCAGAGAGAACTTCACTCTATATATCTCAGTTTGCTGGCCAGAGTGAGTGGATGAGTCAGTGGTTAACACGAATGCAAAAACACAACCTGACCACAACATGTGAGGGGTGAAGAGCTGATAAGAATGAGAGCAGGATGTCGGTAACAGTGGTAGTCTGTTCATGAGAGCTGAAAACTTTCCACAGAAGCTTCACAAAGAAAAAAAAAAAAAGACTTCAAGACGATCAATTACCAGTTTTCTGCGAGAAAGCCAAGTAGGTGAATGATTTGGCTGCACCACTGACATTTATGCAGGCTTACATTTTAGAGAATCATTTGTGTGTATGTATATTACATTCAAATATCATAACCTTTGATAAAATGGGCTGAATTAACAAACTGGTTTGCCACTAGCGTCAAAGTCCACAATTTCTCTACCCGTGTACTCTGCAAAATGTACGCTGACTGTGGACCCAAACAGCTGATCTGTGTGTGTTGCAGGTGGAGGAATACGTGTAGCATTCCCAGAACAACGGCAAAGTAAAATGTGGAAGTTTGACATTTGCACCAAGTAGCTGTTCTCTTTTTTTCCTCAAAATTGTAATTCAGTCTTTACCACAAAATGAATTTCGACTACCTTTTAGAAATCTCCACTTTTATCTCTCTACGATCGTTGCTTAATAAATTGATACGAATAAAACTGCCTTTTATTCCATTTACGGTTTTAAAGCCACTTGGGTTGTATGAATGAGAGTAAGAAGTGAACCTGAGCCTCTACAGGAATGGAAAAAAAAGAAAGGAAAACTACATACTCAGCGGTGCTCCAAACAATACAGTGTCCAAAGCTTTGAGCTGCAACTTTTGCACGTGGCTGCGGTCCAGGATCTTCAGAATAGAGAGCGTCAGAGTTGTGTTCTTTATGGCGAGCCTGAGAGAGAACAGACACACGGTCACTTTGGCAGAGAAAAAGGGTGTTAAACAGTCAGAGCCAAGAGTCGTATCACCCTTTGACAACTCTTCAAAGTGAAAACACTGATGAACAGAAATATTGCTGCTTTGATTATTCTTAAGACTTGATCCTTTTACTTTTGCAAAGATGAAGAAGTGGCGAAGCTGTAAAGATTGACACTGACCTATCCAACTGAATAACTTTAAAGCAGAGCAATGCAAGGTTTAATTAATCCCTGGCACTGGAGAAGGTCAGAGTTGTCAATTATTTGAGTAGGCATTATTCTGAAATTCTGCATCACTGCCTCTTGATTCAGTGTTTACTTCCAAGGACAAAACTGTTCAGCAAAGCCCTACAGCTAAAGTTACAGAGATATATTCTGGTTAGAAGTTCAGAAAAATAAGATGTTGAAGAAAGTCTCTGATGCAGCTTACCTTGGCATAACACTGCCGTTAAAAGTCATCTTGCGAAATGCATCGACATACTGTGGAAGTTCCACATATGTGATGAGCCATTCCACCACTTCATCCACGGTCCAGTTATACACTGAGGGGGAGAAGAGAACATGATCACACAGAGTTACAGCTCTTCCCTTTCATTTAATTCAGCAGAACCAGGTTTAAAGGCTTACTGGACATCATTTGTTTCCATGACCAACCTTTGAATCATAAAGCAACAGCATTATTAGGAATATTAAGTTATTCAAAGCTGAGGCTGAGTCACTGATTGTTGAGTCACTGTGGACAGTTTGTTGTTTTCTCATGGAGGAAATTCCTCCTAAAAGACTCACTTTCACTTACCAGGGTCCTTAACCCTTAAAGCTCATGGATTAAATCCATAAAACAGAGGACAGGAGCACCTCTCCTGTTAAATTTGGCTGATCAAAGGTATTATGCAACAACTCAAACTGGAAAATCTCGGCAAACTGGCTACCCCTCATAGATGCAACTGTAGAAAGTATTCTCGTCATTCTTGGCTACAATAACCGGGTTATTACCGAGGTAAAATGACTTTGAGCTAGGGCTGGGCGATAAACCGAAAATTTACCAATACTGAAATTAACGACAATAACCAACGTCATTTTGCCCATATCAATATATTCGGTGTTAAAAAAAAAATAAGTAAAAGTTGGTTTTGGATGTGTTTTAGGTAGGCTATGGTCTCATGTCCCTTTGAGACGCTGTCCTACATCGAAGCCGTGACTCCACCCCATCCAGTCCATAACAGAGGGAAAGAGGTGAGAAGATGGAGGACGGTTCAAAAGTTGTAGTGGTTGGAGCAGTTGCTGAAGTAGACGAAGTTAATGTGGGAGGGGGTGAGCAGCTTGTGGAGTAGTTATCGTCCATTTATCGTTATCGAGGTAAACTGCTCAATATATCATGATGCTGATTTGAAGCGATATCCTCCAGCCCTACTTTGATCTTCATATGAAGCATCTTCGCACATTGATTTTTGATTTTACAGGAATGCATGTCCATACTGTCTGTCAGAGTTCATATAATGTAAACCCTATACTGTTTTTTTTGTATATATTAATGCAGAACAGGCTGCTTACGTTACTTTTTGACCAATAAAAAGACATTAAAAAGAAAAGTCTAAGTATTTTTTTGTTAACCTTTGTCTCTCTTCCCACTAAGAGAAGAACGGAGAGAAGAACGGGAGAAGAACGTATGTGTAGACCTGCAGTTTAACAATAGGGCAGAAAGACAATAATCAGCGAGCAGTCAGCTGACCTTAGTACAACTGATCATGTGTTTGACTTGTTGAGGAGCAGCCTGAAGGCAAAAAGACCATGAAACCACAAGGCGCTGCAGTACAGGCCAATAAAGTGTCCTGGGGGAAGTAAGCAAGTGAATGCAGATGCTTACGGGTCAGCAGAGGCTTTGTCTAAACATTTCCCCCAAGAACTGAATATGATCTTTGAAGCAGAGGTTGTGTTGAATTGTTCGGATGCTTTCTGTCTAGTTTCCTACTATTTCCACTTACAGACTCTGACTAACTTTTATGTAAACTCCTTCAAAATAAAGCTGAGAGTTTGTCCTGATCTCACTGATATTGCTCACTCGAAAAGCACAGAGCTGGAAAAATCAGCAATTTGTCACGATCACCACACTTTTGACTGCGCTACATCAACAGCTTGCCACATGAGAAAAGTGCATCTGCTCTCTGAATGATCTAGAAAAACATATTCCTGCTTGACCGCAGAAGTAACACAGTAATGAAACTCTTCTCCGCAGCTCCTGGCAGACAGTAAACAGTGTAGGCTGTCTGTGTTAATGTGGTGCTCTCTAGGACAGAAAACCCACTTTTTTTGGCTCGAAACCTCATGAGCCCTGACAAGAAACTGCAATGCAGGGTTAGTCAGTACTCGGGGCAAAAAAAAAAAAAGGGGGGAGGGAATAAGGCAGCTGGAGGAAATGGTGTGAGAAGACAGGGAAGCCAGATACAGCACACAAAAACTGTTCACAGCAAGAACCCGATAACACAGCACCATACAGATAGGCAGAAGGAGGTGAGAACAAGCTGGTGAATTTGCGCTGACAGATTCAATGACAGCTTGTCTGCCATTATCTGGAGCTGGTAAGGAGAGTGCACTTTGCTGAACATGCTCTCTGATAAACCGCCTTATTTCTTAGTTGGAGGTCAAGCAGGGGTAAAATATGCAACAGACTCATAAATGCAGAGATATACAACATCTAATGACTGCAGAAGAACAGGCAAGAGTGTATCAGTGTGAAACTGCACACAAAACGATATTCATGGTCCAAAACTCTGATTGAAAAAAACAAAACAGAACTATAAGAAAGGCCTGTTTGTTCGGTCTCTGCGGGCCTTTGGAGGTGGAGCAAAGATGACTGAAAGCAGTACCTTCAGAGCCCTTCCATGCGTTCCACAAGTCCTCCACACTGATGAACTGGTCATCCCCGTGAAAGCTGTTATGCTTGGCCTTGGGGTCATGGTAGTTTAAATCTTCTCTGAGGAACTGCAGGATGACAAGGATGTTTGGAGAGGTTAGAAAGAATCTAAGTGTTGACTTACAAAAGCAGGCATCACATCTAACGGTATTATTTTTTTAAGAAAACTGTATTTCTAAACTAGTTACTAACTCAATCTTATACAGAGCTATCATTACAGTGTTTGATATCACCTAAATCAGTCAAAATATCTATCAGACCTTTTCAAATGCTGAGTCTCTAAACAAAACAGACAGTGTCTCCAAATAGGGTTTGACTAAATTAAAAGCATGAATAGTATCCCATATTTAAAAAACAGGGTGAATTTAGTGCTTTGGATTTTTTCCAGCACTTTGACCTGCTTCCCCACTTCAGTCTTCATGAATCAAGTTAAAAGGAAAACGAAATCCCTCAGGCTACACAGAGTATTTGCTTTGCTAACAGTTCAGGAACACAAAAAAGCTCAACAGTAAATATCTCAACAAAGCGTGCTGTGATTTTCCGGATACTATTTAAAGCTCAAGAAAAAGAGAAATTCGACTAAACGGTTTCCTGATTCACGGGAACGCTCGCATCCTATAAACACAAGCCGAGACGTCAGAATTACAAAAACAAACGACAGAGGGAAAATAATCATGGGAACTGTAATTTTTAAACCCTTGGCTTTGAAATGGGGTGTCATTCAAACTTCTATCAACAGTCAATTTACTACAGACATGATCACATTTAACAGTTTTACAAATATACAATTAGTTCCACTTGAGACAGAGCGCAAAGTTACAAAATATCTTTAAATAAAATAAAAATTAAATGACATTACGTCACTGTGGTATCTCTCTGTTGGAGAGTCATTTCGCACCCCCATTTGAGTAGTAATGGTCAACTATTGGCTAAAGTTACCACTCTCCTGGTTGCCCACTGTAATGTAGGCTACTCAGACACCAGGTTTGAAAAACAAACAAAAAAAAAACGTACAGAAGTTCTTGCACTCCCACAAAAGCCAACTCATGCAACACGGGTGGAAGACAGTAATAAGTCATGAAGCCTTTCTTTCTTGATAGGCCGGTGTGGGAGGATTTCACTACAGGGTAGAAAGATGGTCTGTGGTGCAGGTGAAATATCACGCTCTGAGGAATATATGCACTGAAATATAAAGGAGCTCCTTATATATGGCCAAGGCCTGCTGCCGTGTCTTAAAAAAACAGGCACAGACTTAATTAAAGATTAATTATTGCTCTTATTCATGTGCTATATGATAATGAGAAGCAGGACTACTGTGCTGAAGAACTCTTTATCCTTTTAAGCTTTCCATTTCCAAGCTCAAAGCCTCTCCAGATGTGAGTGCTCACTGTACTGTACTTGATCTTCCACCTCAAGGGTATTTACATGAAAGTACCTTCTCTAAAAGCAGAGGAGCCGCAGCAATGAGGCCGGCTGATTTGGTCAGCACTCGAACACATACAATAATCTGAATCAAACTGACATGAGGCTCCAGAGGAGGCCTCCTCGAGGTAAGGCATATGGCTTAGACTGGAGCACAGGATGTAAGCTAAATGGAGCATATACAGTGTCTGAAAGGCACAGGTAATGGCTGAGAAGCAACAAACTGAATTCTGATGAGCATTACCCAACTGTAAAAGGAGATCAGCTGCTACTGCTTTAACTGTGCTCTGATCCAGCTTCACTGCATAGTAAAAGGAGATATCTACTAGGGGTGGGAATCACTGGTGGCCCAACAATACGATTTTATCACGATACTTGGGCCACAATACGATATTATCACGATACTTGGGCCACAATACGATATTATCATGATACTTGGGCCACATTACGATATAATCACGATACTTGGGCCACAATACGATATTATCATGATACTTGGGCCACAATACGATATTATCATGATACTTGGGCCACAATACGATATTACTATGATACTTGGGCCACAATGTAGCACATCTTGCAAACCTTATATTTGTTGTACTAACTTTCTTCTGCTCTATGATGTCACCTCTGCCAACCTCACTGGACAAACAGTTGATTTTATTTTTCCATTATTAAAGATATGATTTCATAATAGCAATTAATTTGAAAAAAAAAGTCGATACTTGGTAAATGAGACGATATGATACATCACCAGACAAAATATCACGATTCTATGCTGTATAGATTTTTTCTCCCACCCCTACTATCTATATTTCTACTTCTTTAAAAAAGATGACTGTCCTAACAGGTGTAGCTTCTGACCTTTGTGTCAGAACAACGGTTACCACATGCATGTTATTTTAAAGCGGTCTTCATGTGAAGCCGGTTAATTATTCGACAAAAACTTGAGTCAAAAGGGCACTGGAGCATACGGAGAACTAATCTCCTAATTACCCAGACTAAGATAAGGTCATTACAGGGCTATGATTAACTGGCCGTCTAAACAAGAAATCCTATGACAAGTTAGTTGACAGAGGATTTTGATAATGATACCTGTAATCCTCTTCAAACTGAGTGACAATCATTTCAAAAAATCTAAATAAACAAGAGATAGCAGACAGAATTATTAATCATAGAGTGTGCAACTTTGGTTCCGCTGCGGATGTGTCCGTCCCTCTTAGTCCATTTTGATTAGCTTGACATATTGGCCCCAAAAATCCACATCTGTCGACCCTTATTAAAACTGCTGGGATGAATGATGATCATTTTTCGGTTGGTACTTACCCCGTCTGTCTCCACCACATCTACATTGCCATTTGCGTCATCATCCATCTGCTTGTGGATATTGCGAATGGCCTCGAAGCTGAGGATGGCGTTCTCATCTTTGCATAGTGGCTCATCAAAGCGACAAAAATCTGGTGAAGGGACAAAACCTGGCTGTTAAAAAGGCAGCTCTGACAGCTGATGAGGATAAACACAAACTCACACAGTTCCAACTACGACTAGATGAGAATAAACAAAAGAGGGTACGTTGAATCTAAAGAGTCAGGTCATTTTGGTTTTACTTGCATTTCAGGGTTGGGTAGGTCCACTTGGCAATGCTGTCCACATCATAAAATCATCATTTTGTCGACTTCATTCATGGTCATTTTGAGGCTATTTACAGTCTGCCACGATGTTTCATTGCAATGATGCAGCTAAAAAGATAAAAGATGTCCCACCCAAACAATGCTATCATCATCCACTGAGTTTTCACATTACAGGCACTATCAAACACTAATCCAGCAGACTTTTCTCCACCCTACTCTGTTAGCAATAGCAGATGCAGCTGCATAACCAAAGCTTTGATTTATAGTTTTTCAAACTATGCTAGCAGGAGAGTCTCCTCCTGGTCTTTCCTATCGCTTCAGTGAAAGAAAAGCACAGTATGTGGTGGTTAGCTTTTTCTATATAGACCTGTAATTTTAGCAATGCCAGAGTAGTGAACGCCAGAAACAGAGAGAAAATTATAGAGTAGTAACCGAGCATTGATGTGATGAAGTCATTCAAGTCCTTACTCAATCTCAGTGCTTGATCATATTTAACTCTTAAGTTCCTGGTCTTTAAACCTTCATGCTCCTTGACTTTAGGAATTGACTTTTAAAAACTATTTGATGATTAGGAAAGAATAACGTAAGGATTTTCAGTTGTCAAGCTTACTAGGTAAACAGCAGGGAAATTATAGATTCAGATTCCATGATGAATTTAATTCAATTGGGTGTAGGTTATTTCATTAAGCCTGCCTGCCCTCTGCCTTTCCTCTCCTTCCTGTGGGATTAGAGATCCTCCGCCACAGATCAGAGATAACACACGGACACTCCCATAAAGAGGATGTTTGGCATGTACTGCAGACACTTGAGTTGCTATGAGAAAGGGCATAACAAGCCTACCTGTAGCGATAGCAAGTCTGAATAGGAAGTGTAATTCAAAGCAGCGTGTTTGATGTCTTTATATGAAGCAGGCTTTTATTACAGGCATGTCTTTATATCAAATTCTCTCAGTCACAGAGAATTAAAGTGCTACACCCTCACAGAGATGACTTGTGCTGTGGCTCACTACTAATGTGGTTATAGCTTAATTGTAGAGGGTGTATGGATGGTTAACTTGTGGGTGATCACTGTGAACTCACTGGTAAGTTATTTTCCATGTTTCCATATTCCACGACAGAAATATGAATCTATCCCTACAATTAACTAAAAGCTGGCCTTTATTCACCCATTACACTCATGGTCTCAATTATCATTAGGGTCCTGGCTGCAGACTCAATAACTGTCTTTATCTGTGGATTTATGGTATATAACTTCAACGCTTAATGTGCTGCTTTTATCCGAGCTGTGATACTTTTGTAAGATGAAATTTCAAATCTCGGGGACGTTGAATTACGCCATTCAGGAAGTGTATATCTTGTACAACATGCTTCCTTGTGTTCTTAAACTGAATTGTAACCACAGAAGAGGAAGAGGTTGGACAAGGTTAAGGTTTCCTTGCATAGAAATAGATTGCATTTTTTACCACAAGCTGCATAAGAATTTGGACTGAACTTCTTTAGAGGCGAAAATGCAATTTTACTCCAGGTTGAAAATTCTGTTTTCATTTTGGTCCTCTGAGCAAAATGAAACTTCTTTCATGAATGGAAAAGCTTTGGCTCATCTCAATTGAGACTGTTCCATTATCAATTCTTCTCACCCACTCACCAGCGCTTAATCAACAGCAGGCATTTGGTTTGTCTTGCGCTGACATTTGCAGCAAAACTTCCCCTCCCACAAATCAACACATCACACTGGTCCCACATTTTTTAATTCGCAAAGCCACATGTCACGACAGGTTTCCTTAACAATGAGAGGCAAAACAGAAGGTTCACTGTGTCATAAAAAAAGCAGTCATTTACCCCATGATATTTGTCTGTGAGTGGTTTAGTAGTTCATGAATGACTCTCATAATCCTCTGACTGAAACCACTGAACCAGAAGTAGGAAGACTGGATGCACAGCGTGAACTTCCGGGTGGTATAAAGTTAATTTTTGAGCCACAGCGTGCAAGCACCCAGCTGCAGAGAACCTGCAAAGCCACATACCTAACAGACGCTCACTGTCTCATACTCCTACTCATTCACACTCACCGTGTTAAACAAAGACTGACAGTTACCTCAAGTGAAAGCCTACCACCTGGAACAGTCACATACACCCAAAACTGGCCCTCCCTTTCATTTGGCTTGCAAACCTCCGGAGACACTAGATAAGATATTTACATACCAGTCAGCCTGCCTTTTTTTAAGAGCTCGTGTTACGCAAGTCATTCTGTGCGCCTGTATGTGGACGAAGAACACACTCCGTGGCTCTGTCACTTTTTTTACTGCAGCACTTACTCTGGTACCTCTGAAGCTTTTGAAAATGTCTGTCAGTGGTATTTTTTCCCACACCCTGGCCTCTTGGGGCATGTGACACATTTTAGAAAAAATGTGCTTCAGATGCAAAATGTGAGCAACTTGTCTCAGCAGTTCCTGTTAAAGCAAACACTTGAGATGTTTTTACAAAAGGTACCATTATGCACAATGGTAGACGTCTGGGCCTTTGCCTGGATTTTGCTCAAAGTAAATAAGCAAAGCTATGTCATGATATAAACTGAGTCAAGTTCTTACACAAGCAAATGACAACTTGCTAATACCTGTTTAAGTAAAATCGGGTTTCATAATTGATACACTTGGATGGATTCACTATCATTCATGTGAAATCTCTTAACTGATTTAGGCAAGAGATTATCTCCCGGATAGAGGACTTCATCCAGTAAGATTCTCGAATCTAAACACAAGCTTTCAAACATCTTTCAGCGTGTTTTTCCTTGAGATTAAACTTTCAGTTCTCAGGAAAAATATGGTGCTGTGTCATGGAGGGCAGTAAATTCCAACAAGAGTGTGCTATTCTCATCAGATGCGCACAAGTCCACACATAAAGTTGGCTCACAAGGAATTTAAGTGATTCACATGAAATGAGTGCAATTTATACCCCACAGCAATAACATGATATGTGATACTGCACTGATTCCCACCAACACTGAAGCCATTATTAATAAAAAGTTTAAATGCTAACGTTTTTCTGACTGACGGCGACACAAACACTTTTCTCAGGCAATACAGAAGTAGTTTAAAATGTTAGACTTTAAAATATATAAATGTAGTTCCCACTTTTCCAATAACACTAACAGAAGTCAGACAAAGTAGAGCTCATGAAAAGTGCAAATGCACATCAGGAAGTGATCAGTGGTTGACTCCTGCATATATCTTCATGTGTAAAAGTGTCATCCTTCAAAAATGTACACTATTTCACAGAGTAAGCGCTTTGAAGCTGTCTCCTCCCTCTATATCAAGGTTTCAGAGCAGATGTATACCAGATTTTTTTGCAAAGTTAATATAGACTTTTAAACGTTTTTTAAAAATACAAACTGGTGGAATATTAAACATGCAATTAAAGTGTGATTAATCATGATTAACCATTGTAATCAATGATAAAAAAAAACACCTACACACAAAGTGGCTAACCTGCAGAGAAACAATACCCGCCATCAAATTGTTTTATACGCACAGCTCTGATGTTGAATTATGCGATAAAGAAGTCAAAAGTAATTTTCCATGACTTCAATAATTACACCAATTTTTTAACACAGATGATACCCAGCTTACCTTGCAAACACAGTGCTGCCACACTTTTAACAACTTTCCAAGTAGTACTCCTATTTTATGATTTAATCCAAACACTTTCATGTTCCGCTTGTTGACAATACAACCAGAAACTACTTCAACTCCAATCTCATTTGCTCTACCAGCCTGTAAAACAATTACTCCTGTTGAACTGGCTGATGAGTTGGAGGACAGGGCTTAATGGAGAATGTCATCCAGACTATTCTCAGCATGGCTACATATAGTGCCTGCACCATCATCAGTGGCACGAACCAAACTGCCACTGTAGGCAGTATAACGTGTGTCTGCTCAGTTTAACAGATGGATAAAAATCAGTTTACAACAAAGCAACGCTGTGGTTTATTACTCACCTGACACCCCATTTTCAACAGCCTGACTCTCCAGTGTGGGTGAGCTTGGTTTGTCAGTCCAACTTTCCCCAATGAGACACAAGCAAAATATCCACAAGGTCACCAATTTGTTGAACTCCATGACCGATGTTTGCTGGAAAGAAAACAGATATTTTCACGATACTGATTTTACATCTTTTTCTTTTGTAATACATTGATAATAAGTGCCAAACAGGGGCATGTCTAGACTTTCTAGACCAGGGTGGCCCAACTAGGGAACTTACTCATTCAGCAGTGACATGTAATATGAATAGCATTTATTTTCTCTTTCTTTCTACACTAATCAAATGTATTTTACCTTGCAAAGTGACATGTTTTAAATATGAGTTCACCAATGACACATTTACTCTGTGTATTCTAGGAGTTTGCTAGTCCAAAGTACAGCTGCACAACAGACGGTGTGTTTGTTCGTGTGTTAATTCAGAAATTAGTTTGTGGCATGCAACACTCTAAGAATATAGAAAGTGATTCAAGTCTGTTTATTCTCGTCAATGAGGTGTGATCAACTCGGTGCTATTCTATGCTGAATAAGGTCTCACCCCTGAAATTTAAAAAGTTTTTTTCCCCCAATAGTGTTATGGTTTTTCAACCAGAGAATGATGAGAAGCAGGTGCCAAGTATGCAGGATACATAGGAAGGTGACCATGTCCACTAGCACCACATTTTAATACTTTTCACCCTTGTTGGGCTCAAATTTTAGCAGGACATTTTTTGGAGCTACGCATCTGCATTAAAATTGTACATTGCTGAAGTCTTCACACAGACACTAATAATCTGGGAGTCCTTTAAGCACACTTGTGGTGCTACTTGCTTTGCTAACTTTTCTAAAATTCAGTATGCTACATTTACATGCAAAAAAAACTAGGAAGAGCATGTGTCAATACAGTCCACATAGTTAAACTTAAAGTGATATTCTGGAGTAAAATTAATATAGGGTCAAACACACTGTAACACTGAGTTAGACACCCCCTGGAGAGATGGATGTTGCAGACTGCTTGCTTCTCTAGTTATACCAACTTTAGTAAAGACTGCAGGATAGCAATACACAGCGGTCTGAGGAGCCATAAACAAACCTCAACCAAAACGCCACAGTCTCTTTGCTAAAGAACTCAGGCAAAGCTAAAAAGATGTTTGGTGGCTAGTACTATGGCTGGGACCCTATATGTCCTGTTGATGAAGTTAGGTGCTGTTCTGAGCATTATTTGTGGCTGTAGAGTTGCGTTTTGTTTGAGGTTTGTTGATGGCTCCTCACACCGCTGTGTATTGCTATCGTGCGGTCGTTACTGAAGTTGGTAAAACTAGAGAAACAAGCGGTCGGCAACACTCATCTCTCGTAGGGGTGTCTAACTCTGTGTTAAGGTGTGTTTGACCCTATATTAATTTTACACTGGAATATCCCTTTAAGGTACCTACAAGTTTTGGCACAATTTCAGATTTTGGTGTTGCCAATCTTTTTTCAGAGAGGCCCATGCCACCACTGGCCACCTTTCGGACACGCCCCAGGTCTAAAAATCAAACAATTTGGCCCCGGCTTCTAAACAGGGACAGTAGGCTGCATTAATCGGATTAGGGTGAACCGGCCGGTTATATAAAGATCAATAGCAGACACATGGGATCACTTCTAAGGGTGTCACTTCTTCCTGAATGAATGACTGTACAGCCGTTAGCTTATCATTACGACACTTTCACGAAAAAACCCTTAAACGTTATTATGCCAGGTCCAGAGTTTCTTTTCAATGGCGTGTTTTTTTTAATAATCTGGCCGTGGAGAAATAACAGGATTAGGAAAAGTAAAAGCAGCGTGCTCCTTACGTGTCTGCTGGCTGGATGTCTGACAAGCCGCGACTAAGCTAGCTGCACATCTCGGCTAACGAGGAAATGAAGTGAAAAATCCAACAAAGGAGGAGTAATATTACACAGCTGTACACCGAAGGTATCGCGTTTTATCAGCTCAATTCACGGTATTTTCACAGTCGTACCTCAGCACCTCAGTCGGTGACAATTCATGGTATTATTACAGGCGTACCTCGGGAAGCAGCCGTTGACGTTAACGTCTTCTCGAGGTAACGGCTGTAACAATACTGTGAATTAACACCGAAACTAACCAGAAGGCTCAAAGAGGGGTGTTCACAACTAGAGTTAAAGCTAGGCTAAAATATTGACGATGTAACGGTGAATAAAAAAACCCCACAAAGTTACCTGTCATGTATCAGAGCCCGAAGATGTGTTGTTTCAGCTCACAGTTACCATTGCAGCAAACAGACGCGTGTTCACCCGCAGTTGAAGCACAGCAGCGAACTCCACCTCTCGCAGGAAGAGCAGGCTCTCGATCCTCTCTCCCCCGACCAAGACTGAACCGAAAAAGCCGCAGAATGTGGACAGACAGCGGGCTTGTCTTCCTCTATAATTCAGAGACCCCGGTTTTTTTCCAGCAAGTGTCGCCCCGTAATGACTGGAGTGTGAACTACATTTCCCGTCTCTGAGCTATAGCTGAAGCGCCCCACCTAGCGGAAATTGAAGGCTATTACAATAATAATAATTACTTTATTTGTATAGCACACAGGAGTCAAACTCAAGGCCCGGGGGCCAAATCTGGCCCACAAGATCATATCATATTAGTATTGATATTGGCTCACCAGTATGAGGTCTGCAGATTTCCTCCAGTATCATAATGTAAACTTTGGCACTATTATTTAAAATGTCCTTAATAAGCCACAAAACGTTGTAAAATTTGAAGTCATATTTTGACCTTTTAAACCTGATTTCAACAATTTTCTTGTGTATTTCCTCTTTAAATGCATAATTTTTCTATTTTTAATATCATGCTCTGATCTTTTGAACTAATAAATAAAAATAGAATAAAAAATTAAAATTATCTTTTTGAATTTCCAAATGATTTATAATCATTGCTACTTTTGTTACATATTTTTTGAAAAGGAGGTTGACAGTTTTGGTGAAATGTTGACCCTGTTTGGCCCTCAGGTTAGACGTAAATCCAGATTATGGCCCTTGTAGTGGTTTAGTGGTTTGAGTCTAATAAAACAAAAGCCAAACTTACGTAAAGAAGTGTCACTTTACTTTGGCGTACATGCAGTTTCACCACACACTTAATGTATTGTACAAAAGTTAAAATTGCACATTAGCCTACATACTATACTGCACACTAGTGAAGGCGTCCATGAATGCGACACCAAGGCAATAAGTGCACCAATAGTTAACTACATAAACCTCACAGTAGCACATGTGCAAGTATTTTGTTCCAACTTTTCTGACATCTACAACCTCTAACAGAATCACCATCACTGATATATATGGAAAAGACCATCCCAGTCTTCCTCTTGTGCAGGATCAAGGCTGTTTTTGCTTGGCGGTTGACTGGTTGTACTTGTTGCACTTAATCCTGGCGGCTCTAGTCAGAAGTCTTTCTCCTCAGAGGATGATATGACCATCACCTCCCGGCTTTTAAAGTCCCACACCGCGGTGAGATGGAAGGCCATGTTGGAAAAGACGACAAGATATTCAAAGAAGGCAAAAAAAGTGTAACCTGTTGAGAGAAAAAAAACACGATTATGTTGCAGAAATGTTGTTGCTGCAATTTAATATGATTAGTGTGATCTTCATACATCTCAAATTCATTGGTTACTCACTCCCTGATTCGCAGTACATGTTGTGTTTCCAGTAAAAGAATCCAGCAAACGCACAGCATGATACGTTGACAAATAAGAAACGCACTTTCCAGTGGTGAGACTTGGCATCCTACAAGAAAAAAACAGTAACACTGAAGTAGACTGACATATTACTCATGTAATCAGAGGTTTTAATATTCTATTGTATACCCCACCTCAGGATTTAATGAATACTTCTTAATAGCTTTCCATAAACGGCAGGTTATCAGCATATGGATAAGTGAACTCACGATGAAGAGGACAAAACCTTCCTTATGAACAACTAAAAAGCAAAGAGGATGAAATAGCATTAGTCAACATAAAATTCATCGTAAGATGTAGGGTTCTTTATTTTGCTTCAGGTTCCCTACAAAGATTCCTCTTAAAACAACAATCTGGTAAAAACCTTCGCAGTGAAGTAAAAACTCGGGTTACTCACAGTAGGTTTCCGTGGATGAAACATAAGTAAGAAGCAGGAGTCCTAGATTCTCAGAGACAGAAAATGCCAGGTTCAAGCATGTGAGTGAACTCTCGGGGGCTTTGGAGGCAAAACGTGACCTGTAAAATTTAAAGTAGGTGAACGCCACAAGGAACCTCGGCGCTGAGTGCAGACCAATGCAGAACCGCCATATGTGGCACTCGGGACTGAGGCTGATGGAGGCACTGATGGATGGCAGGTAGTTAGGAACCTGAAAAACAAAAGGGGAAGTGTGCTGCATCCTTTTTTCTTTATTCACATTATTCTACACTAATATACATGAATAAGGTATTTAATTTCTATCAAGTCTGTTTGCTAAATGGCCAAAATTAACACATTCTGCATCTTTAATTGGCAGGACATAAAATTATAGTTTGATATAGCATAAAACAAGGGTAGTGGAGACCGGGGCTTGTTGTCACATGGGTAAGTTGTCACATTGCAATTATCTTTGCCACCAGGGGGCGCTACTAAAAAGTGAAACACTGGTTTTCTTCCTTTAGATGGTCAGGACTCGTGTCCTGTCTGAAAGTAGAAGAGCACAATGTGAGCTGAGATGAGCACCAATTAACCATTTTGCACAATCCAAAGTAAAAAAAAAATAACTTGATATATTTTAAAGTCAGCTTCTTCCAGATAAAAATCCAAGCAGTGATACATGTGGACTTGTTAGAGGAGAGATTAAGACATCCTGTCATACCTCACTCACTGTTCTGTTTTAAACTAACTTTAAACTAGAGCTAGAATTAGCACACATGGTAGTTTGGGGCAACATGTCTCAGTCATTTTGGGGTTAGTTGTCACATGTTTGAAATGGATTAAAATAAACACAGAGAGTCTGCATATCAGCAATTGTCATGTTGAAATTTTGACTTTATTTTTACAGAGAAAAGAGTGGTTTAAAGGAGAGGAGAAAGTGAAAAGACATGGTCAGGAATTACAAAAGAAAAACAGAACATGGCAGTGCAGTGCCTGACGTGATGCTGAGGGCAGTCAAGCAGGTGACCCAAGCTAATAAATCAATCTGGAGTACAATAAAGGACTTTAATGTCAACTACAGAAAAACAAATAACATAAATACAGAGTTAGACAGCTCTCCAAACTCCACAACATGTTGCATAATATTTTATGTAAACATTTGTTCAATGGCTATGTTCAACGACCTTTTCAAGCTCAATGACAAACATTTTCTGTGCCTGGCTTTGATGTTCAACTTTCATTTTGTTGGCTTCAAAATCCACTGTGACATCTTACCCTATGTAGTGAGACAACTTACCCAATGGTGGGGCAACATATCAAATGTTCACACTCTCTCTTTGATCGGTTATAACTCTGCTCTGACACAAGATATGAAAATGACATGAATACAAAATATATACCTGAGACTTTGGTCTTTCATCTAGTACATATTTTGTTTATATATGATGTATTGATTGCAAGAAATATATGAGTGTAAAAAGTGTGACAACAAGCCCTGGTCTCCCCTATATGTCTCTTGCATTGGACCTGCATTCTTAGCCACATTCCTTTGCTGGTTAAGTACGCTCAATGCAAAAATTACCTGGCAATGAGTGCCAGTTGAATCCTCATAATGAAAAGTGGAGGATATGAAGACACAGGTGATGAGTCCCAGCAGAGGCAGGCACACAGTCGCCAGGACACAGGTGCTGAATGACACCCTGATGACCAGGGGCCTCTCATAGCCAAAGACAGATGAGACTTGGAGCATCCTGGTCTGAAATACAGGACAGATGTATATTAGCTTTGACATGCAAATATCAACGTCAATGCACCTTGAAGGAGAATATATGCAATTGATTATCAGGACATTTTCATCTGCATGCATCCTCTAAACACCTCACACCTGAATGAATGAAACAAACCTACCTGTGATGGTGTTTCTAGGAACTAGGCTTGGCAGTGACTGGCTCTCATAACATTCATTCTGACGGTCTGCAGGATGCACCTGTATATTCCGCGCATCAACAATAAGGTGAGGTTTGACAAAAACATTCAGGGGAATCATGCAGATATCAGGACTTTATTCGTTTTTCTCCTCAAAGATGAGAGAGAAAAAACACTCGCGGATATAACATCCTCCTAGTGCGACTGAAAAAGACAAACATCAGCAGCACCCGGAAGAAAACAGAAGCGGAGGAGAGGGATGGTTGCTTCGTTTGGGCGGTGCAGCTTTTTAAAGACCCAGTATTAAAATGCACACGCGAAATATTGCATATTAATGTGTTTATTTGCAAGTAAAAGCCACATAGTGCTAATAAACTGCGCATATAAAGGGTTTATCACTGAGCTGGTTTAATGATTTTAGAGCTGTCCATGGTGCTGGATGGAAATGTTCTAATTAATTAACATTTTCAGCGTTTTATTCTAGTTTTTAAAATGTAAACGTACCTTATAAAGCCCATATGCAGTGTCGATGTGTGTTACTATGTGGGCCACATAGTCACACGGTCATCCTCGTCTTCGTGCATGAGGATAACGTGTGGTTGATGCCTCGCCCCTCCCACCTTCATCACTTGATGTGCAGCTCCAAACGCAGAGCAGCTGAATCCCTCTGTAACTCTCCGGCTGCTTTCTTTTCTGTAATTTTTAAAAAAGTTATTTAAGATGAAATTTATTAACAGAGCATGTCTGATGGTCTTATAAACAAATTGGTTTGATTCACCAAGATGCAACGATGGAAAATCCAGATTTTCTCATGCCTGCTTCTGTGTGTATGCATTTTGCCGAGTAAGTCTGAATTTATCTCTTTATTTTGGAGCTATTATGAGTGATGTGGATGTACTTTCATATGATCTGCGGTTAAATTTAGTTTTGAGAGAATTTTAGGGGAAAACACAACCAGTCTTAGGGCTTTTGACTATTACCAGATGACTGTGATTTTTTAAATCAATCCAACTTTTTTGTTTTTAACTTAAAAAAAATATAAATACAATTTTTAATATTTTTCTCTTCAGGTTTTCAGCCTTCTTCCACAAAATCAGTAACCCAGAATCAGAATCTTGCGTCCAGTTGTTAAGGGATTTATCATAATCCCTCAGACAGTCTTTGTTCCCAGCCCAGGGGCTTTACTGGAACAGCATTTCAGAGTTAACATCTGGCGGGACCAAATATGTTGTTGACAAGCGAAACAAGCCTAAGCCATGTAAAAATGATGAGGTTTCTATATTCATGATTAAATATCCAGGACATGTGGAATAAATGAGTGTCCTGGGTGATTTCCTTTTACAATTTGCACAGTGCATGATTGTTAGATCTAAATTTTCATGCTTATTTTTAATTAACAAAAACATATGTGTGATACTTTGTTTGATCAATCAACAAATATTACACAACAGTTGTAGTATATGATGGTGGATTTGCCTGATCTCTTTACAGAGCTTTACAGGAGGGGAATCTGGCCCCCTGTCCCCTCACACCATCTGTCATGCATCATATTTATGTCACCCTTCATTCCTATGTCCGCAACCAAATCACTGCAGTTGCTTTTGCTATCAAGACAGGATCTTACCTCATGGGAAAATATGGGAAAGGAAATTGTAGTTGGTAAGAAGTAAGTTTTGGTGTGTATTATGTCTCTCCAAATTTTAGCCTGTCATTGCGCTCGTGGGAAATACGCTCAGAAGCTCCTGAATGATCTATTCGCCAACTACACCAGCGCACTGAGGCCTGTGGAGGACACCAGCAACATACTGAATGTGACCCTGCAGGTTACTCTGTCACAAATCATCGACATGGTAACTCATAACACTACAGGACTGTATGTTTGAAATATATCTGCTCAGTATATTTACATTTCCTTGAATACGATGCTCAGGATTGGAGTAGAGACTGGATGAAATGTGATCTCTGGTTTTGGGAGGGACTTCACTAACTGGTTATCAAATATATTGTTTTACTCAGATTTCTGTATATGTTGTCTTTGTGGTATAAATATAACTTCTTTATGTCACCTGAGTGTCTGATAACATCAGTTGTATGATGTTTTTTGTATTTCACAGGATGAGCGAAACCAAATTCTGACTGCATATTTATGGATAAGGCAAGTGTGGGTAGATGCACACCTGAAATGGAATAAAGATGATTACGATGGACTTGATACCATCCGTATACCTGGTAGTTATGTATGGAGACCTGACATTGTCCTATATAACAGGTAGGTTGGACTGGTATTTGGTTAATCATGTAGTTATTTTCCCAGTTTGCTTTTTGTTGATCAGTATAGAAGACACAAGATGAACGTTCTTAAGAGACATTCTTCAGAGGAATGTTCAGGCCTTTGTCTGCTTGTTGTAAACCTGTGATACAGCCTTTAATTTGCTATCAATACTTATCAATACTGAAAAGTTACAAAAAGCAGACACAACACTGAGGAATGAGTGCAGCTCTTAAATGCGTAGACTCCTTCTCTGGTTGGTTTTCTTGTGCCTTCGTATCCTGATCAACTTTATTTTAAGTCACTCTCCTTTCACTCCAGCTCATCTAGGTGTCTGTGTTTCTTTTGGGATGTAAATCTATCCAGCTGAGTTCCTCCTCTAGATCACCTCTCTTTTTTATTCCAGTGCCGATGACCATTTCACAGGCCCCATGGATACCAATGTGGTGATCCGACACAATGGCGAGACGACGTGGGATTCTCCAGCTATCACGAAGAGCTCCTGCAAAGTAGACGTGTCTTTCTTCCCCTTTGACGCACAGCAGTGCAGGTTCACGTACGGCTCCTGGACCTACAATGGGAATCAGCTGGACATCTTGAACGCCCAGGACAGCGCCGACCTGGCCGACCTGGTGGAAAACGTAGAGTGGGAGGTGATGGGTATGCCGGCGAAGAAGAACGTGATACAGTACGGCTGCTGCGCTGACCCTTACCCTGATGTGACCTACACTTTAAACCTGAAGAGAAGAGCTTCCTTCTATGTCTTCAACCTGCTCATACCGTGTGTGATGATCTCTTTTCTGGCTCCTCTTGGCTTTTATCTGCCTGCTGACTCTGGAGAAAAGGTGTCTTTGGGTGTCACTGTGATGCTGGCACTCACCGTCTTTCAGCTGCTGGTCGCAGAGATCATGCCGCCATCTGAGAATGTGCCGCTTATTGGTAAGAGAATATGCCAACCTGTGGACATCCTTTAGATCCAAATCTCCTCTGTGTTGATTGGCCTGCAGTCTGTTACCATCCACTTTTTAAGTTTAGGTACATTCAAACACACAGAGGTGTCATCACCAGTTATCTTAGACCTTAATTCCATTTCAATCAGCACACAAACACTGTCTATCTGTCCCAGTGGCGGCTGCTGGTCTTTCAAGGAGGGGAAGCTCATTTTTATAACATCATAATCGTGTTTGTTTTCTTAGTATGTAACAGAACAGAGTCGCCAAACACAACAGCAGTCGTTTTTAACAAAGACAAAAGTCGCTGAGGATCGGTAAAGTCTCCAGGGAAGTTAAGAAAAACGGAATGAATAACTTGGAAAATGCTCTGGTAGATGTTTTATTCTTCAAGATCGCTGATTCGCTTGTTTAGCTGTCAATCAAAAAAGGATTTCGCCTCAGACAGCTCATCCAATCATGGATGCAGAAGCTTGGAGTCCGGGAGCAGTCTGTTACCACCCTCTTGTCATAGAACTCCAGAGACACTGAGCATCCGAGGTGTCATCACCAGTTATCTTAAACCTTAATTCCATTTCAATCAGCACACAAACACTGTTTATCTGTCTATGAAGCTAGCATTAGGGCTATTATATGACCTACAAAAGCAAATGAGACCATCAACAATAGAGCCTCTAAACAATGACGGTTCATGTCTAATAAAGCAGTCAATGGCGTGCACATCAGACTATCCTTTGTTTACATAATCTTCAGTTAATTTTTGCCATGATGAGGAATCGATACAGCTTGGGTTATCGGCCTGAACCAGTCATCATGAACCATTAATAAATAACTTGTAGTTTAAATCCCAACTTTTGTGTTTTAGCTGTCTTTGTCCACATCTTTATCTCTTTTGTCGTAAACAGGGAAGTACTACATTGCGACCATGACCATGATCACAGCCTCTACCGCTCTGACCATCTTCATCATGAACATCCACCACTGTGGCCCGGATGCCAAACCTGTTCCCAAGTGGGCCAAGACGTTCATCCTGCAGCACATGGCCAGAATGTGTTTCGTCTATGAAGTCGGGGAGAACTGCATGTCACCACAGCCAGAAAAACAGGAGCCCCCACCCGTGAGGAACAACAAATGCACCATGAACGGGCAGGTCGGAGCCGGCAGAGAAGACTGTGTCTTCAAAATGGAGAGAGGACAAGAGACGCAAGAGGAGAAGGAAGACAAAGATCAGATGATGAGTCCGCTGGGCTCGATAGGGAGGAACCCGACTAACAACTACAGCAGTTGGAAGAGCGGCGTCTACATGAGCATGGACTGCGGAGAGTCGGAGGCTCAGAGGAGATGCAGGAGAGGTGGAGTGAGTGACAGCGAGAAAAAAGAAAGAGAGGTTTCATGTCATGAAAGGCAGCTGCTGAGAAACATTGAGTACATAGCGAACTGTTACCGAGACCAGAGGGCCACACAGAAACGGACGGGAGAGTGGAAGAAAGTAGCAAAAGTGTTAGATCGATTCTTCATGTGGATATTTTTCATTATGGTGTTTTTCATGAGCCTTCTTATTATGGGAAAAGTCATCTGAAGAAGTAGTTCATGACAGTGTTATTATGTGTATCTAAAACGGATCATTACAGGAGTCTTTTTAAATCAAACCATCCAATTAACACTCAGGTTAAAATTTATTTAAAACCTCTTAGAAATGGTCCTTTATGGCAATAGAGTTGATTATATTATAGTCCTTACTGAAAGTAGAAGTAGGTCTTCTGGTTTATTGTTTTCTTCTATTAAAAAGTTGAAAATTCATGGCCCCAACTGTTGTCAGTGAATGCTCTATCTCATATGAACCTGGTAGTCCATTTTCAGGTAATGCATTTATTTATTTGAAGCAATAAAATGATGAACCCAGTAGTCACGTGTTTTCACTCGGAGCCATATTTGCCTTATCCATGTGAGATGGCTTTAATATTCACAGATACCACAAAACCTGGTAACAAGCAGCATTTTTTATAAGCCAAAGGCAGTTTTAGGAAGCTATCAAATATTGGGGAAAAGGTTTAAACTGTGACTTACTTTACATTCAGCAATGTACAGTTTCATGTGGCCGTGTAGCTCTCTTATTTTGCCAGACTATCTGCTATCTATCTACTGGTGTGATTATTGAGCTCAGCCTACAGTGGTGTTGTGGCCTCTTGTTGAAAATTTGGTACACCCCAAGGTATAATTACTTAAAGCTCCTGTAAGGGACTTTCAATTTGTGTAATATTTAGTGCCTCTGTTAGATGAAACAGTGTTTGCCTATCATGTCCTACATGTCACCTGAAAAAAATGGGGCCATTGAAGTGGCTACTCGGCTGACACCTACCCCCTCGCACCAATCTTAGACATTAAGAATTAAAACATCAAAATGTTCAATTTCCCTGCCAATGATCTTGTTTGCTAATATATATCATTAACAGGCATCAGTATGAATTTAAGTCTATTTTATGAAAATGAAAAACTCCTAACAGGAGCTTAAAGAGTAAACCAGCTATCTTTAAATGCATTGAGACCCAATGAGAGAGAAGAGGTGCTGAAAGTGGTGCAGCAGGCCTGGTTTGCCTCGCTTTGTACCCAGCATGTGTACATCTCTCTGAAGAGAAACTATAGTGTAATCTGGATCCACATTTTACGACTAATAAACTGATGTGACCCACGGAAGACAGACTAAACCGATTTAAAGGTCAGAGTTAACATTTTAGATAAAAAAAGCACATCTTACATAATAAAATTGACTGAGTTCATAAAGATGCATTTATAGAAAAGCACCTGAGATAAACAGTGGACTGAATATGATCAGTCATATGACAAGGAGAGACTCTGCATAAAAACATGACATGAGGAAAAAAAGATCCTCGTGTAAGTCGTGTGGATTATCTTGTAAATCCTCTCTATCACCACCGTCGCTCTGCCTGTAACATGTATTATCCCTGGTCTTCATGTCACAAAATGGACCCTTTAATCTGAACCACAAAGAAAATGAAATGCTTCCCCAACATAACGGCTGGCTTTTGGTTTATAAATGAAACACCGGAATAATCTCTGTCTGGTTTGGAGACCAGGGGCATTGCAGAATAATTGGAGGACAAAACCTCTTAAGACCCAGGATTGACTTTTTAAAAAGAGAGCCGAGGCAAAGAGCGTCTGAGGCCTCCAACAGGAAACCCTCAAAGCTGTAAACACCCAGAAAACATGAACAGTCTGAGAGTATTGAACATGTATTTGATTTAAACTTGCAGAATTTTATCACTCACTATTTTGTAAATGGAGGAGGCAACCAGATCTCTTAGTTTCAGAGGTTTTTTTTAATAAGAGGTTTGCCATATGAATTGGGAATATACATAGGTCAGTCACAATTGAGGTCATATCAGAGGTTAACATCAATTATTGCTTAAATGTAGATTTATGGCCGCAGATCATGAGATTTTTTGATTTTTTATATGACAGAAAATCTAATCAAGGAAGTATAACTTGACACTTTTAAGTGATTTCTGTGCTTTTCAACAATAAAAACTAAAACACAATACAAAACAAGGTTCTTGGTGCTGTTCTGGAAGATGTTGGAAGCAGACCTGATACTGGGATCTATCACAGATGGGCCAGAGAAACTACAGTATGGTGTGATCTACTGAAAAAACACACATATATACATGTTTATGTTCAAGCCGTGAGTTACGCATCTACAGCAGACTTAAAAAGTTAGGTGGGAGTCACTTTTCTTTGCAGCAGTTGAAATATTTTATCCCGTAAAGATCTTGTTTGCATGCCATAAATAACTGGGTTTAAATTAGCCGGGACCACGTGAAATAAAATATACGCAATCTTCCTCAGATCTGGGTAATCTGGAAATCGGTGCAGTATAATCGTCAAAAACCCTGACCAGAGCATTATGAGATACAGAACCAGGTGGCTGGCACATGTCTGCAGAGCTTTGTTATTCAGCTCTTTACTCTTCCTGATCCAGCAGATGAGAGCTATCCTAATGTAGGTGACAGCTATGCCTCCCATTGAGCAGCTGAAGAGGAGCACGGTGAAAAACAGTCCGTAGATATTATTGATCATCACATTATCACAGGAGAGCTTAAACAGGGATGCATTATCGCAGTAGGCGTTTTGTATGAAGGATCTACATCGAGACAGCCTCACTGTGAGACCGATCAGTACAGAAACGAGGGTTATCGACACCCCCCATGCAGTCGCAGACAGCCTGATCACAGTTTTGGTGGTCATGATCGAATTGTACCTCAAAGGGTGACATATTGCAACATATCTGTCTATTGCCATAATGACGAGGATCATATGAGAGGCAGATCCAAACGTGTGGCTGAAAAACGCTTGAACAACACACTGTCTGAAAGTGACGAAGCGCTCTGTGGAGATGATATGAGCCATCAGCTGAGGAAGCAGCACCGTGTTACCGATCAGGTCATTGACAGAGAGGTTACAGAAGAGTATGTACATGGGCTGGTGCAAACTCTTCTCAGTTATGATGAGCACAAGAACTCCGATGTTGGAAAAAAGCAGAGAGAAGTAAACAAAGAGCAGTAAGAAAAAGAGAGGGTAGGTGAACTGTGGAGATATGTCGAAGCCTTGGATCTCCAGGATTTCACCTGACACGGTTATGTTGCTTTTCATTCTGTTTGACCGGATAAAAAACCTAAAAGAGGAAAAAAAGAAGAATTATACCTTATCAGAAGTATAAATTTGATTTAAAAAAATCTGAACTAGATTTGTTTAAGACAACACTTACTTTTTATGTCCACTGGTTTGCCTCCTTCTGTGCCAACACTGCAACAGTGTGAAATGTACATGCACAGCTGCTTCTCATGCAGCGTAAAGTCATATGAAATTTTGCACTAAAATACAGCTGACTCTATTCTGCTCATTTCAGCAACAAACACTCAACAAAATCCATAACCAGATATCATCACAATGATGTGCAATGAAAAGACTCTGACACTTTGATGTCACTGCCCTGACAGTGGAGATCGATGTCCCAACTCAGCAGTTAGACCTTCATCACTTTATATCCAGGGTGTGGAACATCAGAAGTCTCCCTCCCCATAGAGCTCCAGGGTATTGTAAGAGTAAGTGTAGGACATATCTAAACATGATCAAGCATACAGCACAAGTTCAAGAGTGAATCATGTTTGAAAAGATCCAAGGTCTAAGGTTAGATACCAGCATCTTTACCTTTAGGACTCAAATCCCCCTTTGGATTTTGACATTGGGACAAAGAGTGGCGCACCTGCACTTAGGAACTTTACCAGAACCCCAAGAAACATAAACTTCAGATTGGACTGGTATGATATCATATTGACCTATGACCTTTAAACTTCTGAATTAGATCTTTTAGTCCCGGTGAATATTTCTACCAAATGTCTGAATCGTCAGGTAAATCTGGGGTAAGTATACATCCATATGTTACTTATCTTTTTTATTTTAATGGACATTAGTGTAAAACAAGACATTCATTCATTCATTTTTTACCGCTTATTCCCATTCCCAGGGTCGTGGTGGGGCTGGAGCGTATCCCAGCATCTTCAGGCGTAGGCAGGGGACACCCTGGACAAGTCCCCAGTTCATAGCAGGGCTGACATATAGAGACGAACAACCATCCACACCTACGGGCAATTTGAAAGTGGCCAATTAACCTAACCCCACTTCTGCATGTTTTTGGGATGTGGGAGGAAACCGGAGTACCTGGAGTAAACCCAGACAGACACAGGGAGAACATGCAAACTCCACACAGAAACGCCCTGACCCAGATCCGGACCCTGGACCTTCTTGCTGTGAGGCGACAGTGCTAACCACTACACCACTGTGCCGCCGAAACAAGACATTAAAAGAATAATAACAAATGTCAAAATTAAAAACATCTTGTTAAAAGGCAGTTAAAATTCTTTGAGAGGACATGGAGGAGTCATTAAACAGGTTTTTGAAATCAAAGTGAATAAAACTTTAACTCAGCAAAATCAGAGGATTAAATTATAACCAGTTTTAAAAGAGAAGCACAATAGTCATAGTTATTGTTGAGTCCTCAACCCAGTTTTCAAAGGAAGACTATCAGCAGACCTGACATTTTCTGAGAGTTTGTTCTAGATATTTGAAGAATAGATACTGAACTCTGCTCCTCCATGTTTGAGTCTGACTCTGGGGACAGATTCTCTCTTACTGTAATTTCTCTTTCTTGGCTTCAAAAACAACTACATGAGTCATATATTACACCACGCTGGGGCTAATTCACTACATTTATTTATTGCCTTGTACAACTGTGAGTCGACCGTGTTCTTAAAGCAGCTTATTTTGAGATACCTGTGACCTTTGACCTTTACTTGAAGTTGTTCTTGAAAGTTGCTCTTCTTCACAAGGGTGGGACAAACTGAACACAAGCTATCTATCACCAACCCCAGAGCCTGAAAAACATCTAATTTAACTGAGTTTAATGAGCGATACTGTCTTTGCAGTTAAACAGATTTTTCCACAGATGAGCCTTTGATAGCGTGCAGATTTGTAGATCCATAACTCATTAGATTTGAAGAAGTAGACTAAAGGGTCACCAATAAGGAACGGGAAAGAACCTGTACGACTAACCAGAGAACATGGAAATCCACCAGTGAAAGCCTCAGAAGTATCAAGATGGTCAAAATTAATTATTGGAGTGGGTTCAGAGTCCATCGTGTCCATTCCTCCTGGGTGAGCTGATTAGTCTCTCCTCATGTCCTAATGTCCTCACCGCCCTCTGTGTGGCCTTGCTCCCTAAGGCCTGATGTGACCACTTCACAGCCGTGTTTCAATTAGGATCTTTTTCTTTTAAGATGTCCGAACATAAATGAATGGCAGTATTAAATCATATGTTATGCTTTTTGAATTGATCAACATTCATTGTGAAAATATGGAAACTCTTTGTGAAACATTTCAGAGAAAGATGTAAAACATGAGACAAAGTAAATCTGATACTGTGATACTTAAATCATCTCTAAAAGTGATTTTAATATCAAACATTAATAATTTTGGTGAAAGAATCAAATGTTTTCGAGCTGTCACATGTTTTTCTGCCTCACATGTAACAGCAAAGGGTCTCAGGGGTTTTTATTAAATGAGAAATCTCATTACCGGCCTGAGTGTCACTGATTGTCTGGGGATTAATTACAAAATGAAACTGTTAATAACACATTGTTTACTTATTTCTCAGAGGGGCTCATTAATAAACATGTTTTGACAAAGTCATGAGCCTCATAGCTGATGTAACGCTGCCAGTTTGTGGTTTATTTAGTTATCCAACCAAATAAAAGTTGGTCTGATCGAAGTTGGAGAAGATGAAAAACTTAGAAATTCTCCAGTAATTAATACGTTTCTTTTCAATTTCTTTTTCTGTAATAAAGAGTGGAAAAGGGACTTTTTTGACTTTTGATGAAGCAAGATTTCTTTTAGACTTAGAGGCTGACCAGTCTCAATCATATACACCTCTGGTAAACTGATCAAAAGATGTTACAATAGTTGAAAAACAAACTTTCTAGCTTCTTTCTATCTACTTTCTATCATGTTTATCTCTTGCTGGTACATTCAGTCTGGAAGTGTTTCACTGGAATAGAATAGAAAAGTAAAGAATAGAACGTTGTTTATGAAATTTAGTAAAAACAGTCAAAAAAGCTAAAAGTAAGAGAAAAAGAAACATTTATCACTTTCTCATCATTAAACACAGACTTTCCTATCCCAAAATTGACACCAAGAGACGGTAGTTCAAAAGAAAGTTGAATTCAGTGCAGTCTTCAGTAGAGTAGGACCTTAATATTGTTTCAGTTACTGCACTGTTAGCCATAGTTGCACATAGGAGGTGGTTGCAGCATGAGTATTACACAGAAGGTTTAGCCTTAACATGTTAAAATTAGTTTACTATTTCATCCTTTTTCCAGTTTTGTGTTTGGTTAAAGGATTTGTATTAATGAAATACTTATCTGGTCTCTCTGCTTGATCAGTTCGTCAATTAATTGACACCACATCCATTCACCGATGACAGAAGAGGCTATTGTAGGGGCCCATCAATAATGCAGTAACAGGATATATGAACCCACCTCTTATAATACATCACAAGCACATCTATAAAACCTTCAAAATGCATCTTAAAGTCTTCATAATAGCTTATAGCTTTGTGTATTAAGTGTTATAAACATAATGCCTGATAAAGGTATGGCTTATACATATCACTTCAATACTTTTCTAAAGTTGTCTTTGGGCAAATGTGTTACTGCAGAAAAAAAATTGGACTAAAGGAAAATATTAACTTAAACTTTCCTCTCTAGAGAAGTTTGGAAGTTCATTAGAAAAGTTTTCTCTCATTTTGACAAAGCTGGTGAAGTCCCAGAGGCAAAGTCTGACATAAGCAGGTAAAGGTGAAGGTGAAAGTTACGATGCCAATAAATGGAGCAGAGTCTCTGCAGCTCCTCACACTTGATGCAGCACCGCCTTACATCTCCTCTGCTACTAAATACAGGACTCGTGGCTTCTTTAAACATTGATTCACTCTGGTATAATGACTGTTGTTCTTCTATATTTGTGTAAAGATGGAAAATGAATCTTTTGATTTTAGATCGGAGTTGACTCTGGATCCGTTCATCATCCCACCTGGAGGGAAGTTTCCCATTTTTTTCCTCGGCATTGCCATTTATTTGTTTGCCGTTTTCTGCAACTTGACTTTGTTGACTCTGATAATTCTGAAGAAGAACCTTCACAAGCCGATGTACTCCATCCTGTTCAGCCTTCCTCTCAATGATCTGATCGGAATAACCGCCATGCTTCCTAAAGTCCTGTCAGATATTGTTACTGAGACGAATAAGGTTTATTATCCTCTCTGTGTCTTACAGGCTTTTCTGCTGCACATGTACGGTGGAGGAATTCTGTTTATTCTCGCAGCCATGTCGTTTGATCGTTATGTAGCCATCTGTATGCCCTTACGCTACACCTCCATCATGACCCCCAGAGTGGTCATCTTTATCGTGTCTCTAGTTTGGGGTCTGGACTTTGTCCTGATTGTGTCTCTATTCTCTCTGCAGACCAGACTCCCCAGGTGTAGATCTGTGATCATGAATGTGTTCTGTGATAATCCCTCTCTGCTAAAGCTCACGTGTGGAAACACCTCCCTTAATAACATCATAGGGCTGTTTAACACGGCTGTCATGCAGGCTATCAGCGTGTCTGTTCAGGTGTTCTCGTATGTGAAGATCCTGATCACGTGTGTGGTTTCACGGAGGTCTGAAACGAAGGCCAAAGCTGTCAACACATGTGTGGCTCAGCTGGTTATAATCATTATATTTCAGATTGTGGCAACTTTCACTATTTTGTCTCACAGGTTTAAAAACGTCTCAGCTGACCTGCAGAAAATTATGGGCATGTTGATTTTTCTCGTACCTCCTCTTCTGAATCCCCTTGTTTACGGGCTTTACACGAGTGAAATACGAAACACGTTACTGACAGTCCTGAGAAAGACGAGAGTATCTGTGTGAATCTTTGTGTGTCTTTTTTTTACAGTTTTCACCATCATATCAGTGTGTGCTATTGTTACAACAACAAAAACATGAAATGCAGACAGAAACAAACAGCATTTTAAAAGGCCTGACTGATACTCTCATTTGTGCACAAGCATTGACTTACAGCCAGAACCGTCCATCTGTTATTTCAGATTTAATTCTTCATAAATACTGGAGTGATAAAAAATAAATTGTGTGGGTTTAGGGTACTGTATATGTTACTTATTACTTTAATAGGATCTGTTTCTGTTGTTACCTTTTCTTCTGTGTCTTGTGCAGTGAGCAGAGTTCTCTGAAAATAGATGGATGTATTCAGTAATTACAAATAGAGATACAGGCTGCTGTAATTTCAAAGTTTTACGAAATAGATATTTGACTGCTGCTGTAGTGGAGTACATTATTTTAAGCGCAATTTTTTAAAGCATTGTGATTGAAATGTATATTTATTAGTCAGACTACACCATAAATGCTGTTTTTTTCTGATAGGTTTTTCATATAATGTAATGAACTGTGATTAAATGCTTTTTAAATAGTTTTCTTCCTCACTCAGATTGTTTGGTAGTTTGTATCTTTTAAGCTGTCTTGATTATTGGCAATGAGGGTGAGCTTATCTTTATGCATCAGGTTAAAAAAAAGAAAAAAAAAGATGTGCTGATAAGGAAAAATAATTAAGTCCAAATAATCTGAAATATATATTTCATTTATTTTTCATACTTTTTTGAGAACAAGTGTGCAAATAATACGTCATCATACTTTTATGAGACAAACTGACCTGATGAATCCAAGCCCAGAGTTTACTTTAAAGTAAAAAAAAAAAGCTTAAACTAAGGACCAAATCTATTATAATGACTTTTTTTTTGGTGACAGAAATTGTGTGCATAAATTCTGGTATAATTTTGTATGGGTAGAAAAAGCTGAGAAAAATATATGAGAAAGAAAAAGCTGCAGAAAAGGCGGCTCAGTGCTACCCTGCTTCTTATTTGATTTTGTACTGTGCTGTCCTGCCCGCTCATACTGCCTCATATCACAGCTAAAAAGCATAAAAGATTAAATCCCAGTTTAATTTAGTTAAAGCAATATAAACGGACCAGTCATTCTGCTCCTGATAACCACATGATGCTGGAACTTTGAAGGCACAAAGGCACTGATCCAAAAACGGGTCATTAGTTAATAAAATGAACCTGCTGACTGTGCAGAAGAGCAAGAAATCATTCATTCATGAGTTGGTCAACATCAAACTTCATAAACTGTTTACTAAAAAGTGCAAAAGATACATATATATGAAGATTATGGCTTGTTTATAAAGGGTTAATTTTTAAATGTGAGAGTACATAAAAGTAAAAAGGCCCAAAATATGCTGCTTACAGAGGCAGGAACCACTAGTTAGTTTAGTATCACTTTGTGTCTCACCTCTCTTAGATATCATATCATCCTTACCCCCCAAAAAAAAAACAAAAAAAAAAACACTTGCAAATCAATCTCCTGTAAGAAATTTCTATTAGTATTGATTTTTGCACCCCCGTGTGGACAAAGCAGTAACTGTCATATTATGACTGCTTTTGTAAATTGGTGTTAACTTACCAAAATGTACTTCTGCTGCCTTTTAACAGTGACATTTATCACTCATAAAGAATTTTTATTATAGGAAAAGTAATAAGGCTTTTTAAAGTGTTCCTACCCCTTTAAAAATGTATCATTTAAAAACTGTCAATCTTAATACTGATGGTCACTTTTGATTTTGTACGTCAAAGAGATGCAACACAGTTCATCTAAGTGTGTTTCATAAGCAGTTGAAAAAACCCTCACAGGAGCTTTAATCTTCTACTTTGACCCATGTTTTCAACAGCCTGTGGGATGGAGGAGATCCAAATATTTGAATATTTATCTACAGGCGATTGAGATCAATTATTTCTTAGATCATGTTAGTGATAACTTCTCAAAATGGCAGTTTAATTGATACAATAAACAAGGATGCTATTCAAAATACCTCACAGGGTTACCTCACACAAACCTCCCCAGCTTCTTTGTGTCAATCATGCCACGTAGACTGGACTCCACTCCAGTGGGTGATGTGTATGTTCACCCTTGTGATTTAATGCCAATAAAAGGCTGAGTCTCCAACAGCTTATCTCCTGAAACCTTCAACTGCAGGTGAGTGAAGGACATGATCACAGGTGAGATAGTACAGACTGAGCTGAATGTGCCAGATCAGTCCCTGATTGTTTGTTCTAACTGGATCAACTTTATGATGTTATTTTGATTTTCAGGTGAAAGTTGTTTGCAGAAGGAGCTCCAGTAACATCGTCATAAAAGTGTAAAGTATATTACAGTTATGTCCTCAAATGGATCGTCTCCTTCTGTGGTGATGCTCACACTGGAAACACTCGGATTATCAAAGGCAACTATGTACCCTGCTTTCTTGTTGGGGACTTTAACATACCTGTTCATCATGTTCTGTAACTTGTTGGTGTTAGTAGTTATAGTTAGGAGTAAAAAGCTGCAGAAGCCCATGTTTGTGCTGCTCTTTAACCTGCCCATCAGTGACATGGTGGGTGCGACTGCTTTCTTCCCTCACCTCATGATCAGCATCGTGACACAGAACAGAGTCGTCTCTCATACTGGATGTGTCATCCAGGCTTTCCTCGTTCATGTCTATGGTACAGCGAACTTACTCATCCTGACCGCTATGGCTTATGATCGATATGTTGCTATATGTTGTCCTTTGAGGTATAACAGCATTATGAGTCCAAATAATCTGGTAAAAATTGTGATAATAATATGGCTCATTAATTTTTCAATTATGGTCACTTTGTTTTCAATGCTCACACGCTTTACACTCTGCAGGACTGATATCATAGATCTGTACTGTAATAATCCATCTTTGGTGAAACTGTCCTGTGAGGACACCCGAGTAAACAACTACTTTGGACTAGCCTCCATAGCTGTGCTTCAAGGGGGTCCCTTATTAGTGATATTGTACACTTACGGACAGATTCTGCGCACGTGTGTTATCAACAGTAAGCCTGACGCTAGAAGAAAAGCCATTCAGACATGTGGCACACATTTAGTGGTGTATTTAATATTAGAAATCAATACTTTTGTTACTCTCCTCGCTCATCGCATTCAAGGTATGTCTCCTTTCATGAGGAGAGCTCTTGGTATGTCAGTTTTAATTTTCCCACCGTTCTTAGACCCGATTATTTACGGGCTGAAAACAGCAGAACTGAAAGAGAGCATTAAAATGTTCCTGAAGAGAAATTCAGGAGCGACAAAGCTGTGAGGGTTTAGTTTTCACATTTCTGAGGAAACATAGTTAATGATGAACGATTCAATCAGTGCAGAGAAAACATGAAAATGTTGCCTTTAATTGAGATGTTATTTGTTGCTCTATTTAACTTGAAAACAAACTTGATTATTTTAACTTTTTTAATGAGTGGTAAAATATAATAAGAGAAGTTAAATAATTGTTGATTTTATTTTAAAGGTTGCCAAATCATTTTAGGTCATTTCATTAACAAAGTCATTGGTGTGAAAAACAGAAAGCTGGATTATACATATATATATATATATTTTAATATCTGAATTAACAAGAAAAAAAAACATATTCTGGTGTCTGGATTGAATGTTATTGTTAAATATTTATCTGTAATTTGCTCTCATGCTAATGCAAACTATGTAAAAAGAACATGGTTCATTTAATTTTAAATATGTTTAATGATATACTATATGATCTGTATATTTTGAACATAATCACGCATGTATTTTTTTTCAAATAATATCTGAACCATGCTGAACAGATGTTGAAATAAAAATAAAGAATGTTACATTATTATTAATCAATTACATTAATTGTTTTAGTAATAATAGCATCACATCAAATTCTGCGGCGGATTTGACACTACTGAAATATGAAATTATTAAGAATAAGGGATAAAAAGAGTGGGCTGTCATACAAATATATATATATACGTTTAAAAACAAAGCATATCAGAGAAACTTTCACCATCATCATGAAGCACTTCAGGAAATTTCTGCAAGTTATCTGCCAAAAGAGAGACAGATGAGTCAAAGAAACTGACACTGTTTGAATCACTGTGAAGGAGCTGGTAATGTTGATCATATCAGTGTGCTTAAGTTTAGGTCTGGGGACCCTTTAAGACCTTTTACAGCTTTCCTTTTGCATGACATGATCTGATGCAAGTGAGCATACAGCCCTAATTGCAGCGAAGTTTGGATGTCTTGTACAATCTGAATAAAAACAGAATACACACACAGTTTCAAAAGCCTTCAACTCTCCTATAATTTTACGTATGATTATGAACTTCATTTAGAATATAAAATATTCCGAATTTTTCAGCATTATTCTTACCTCTTCGACATTTTTCATTCTATTAATACTTTTAAAACTAATCAGCTTTGTTTCAAACTTCACTATAATGGGGGTCAATGAGAAAAGGCTTCAAAATCCCTCAAGTTTAACCTTTTCTCACTCCTTCATACTTTTACCAAAAAACTTCACTCAAACTTTAAAACATTCACAAGACTTCAGACATTCACAAATTCATTTAACTCCTTCATCACGTATACTTTTCTCACAGTATCAGTTCAAAAGTCGTGACCTTTTCTGACCTCCTCACGTTTTAACATTAGTGTGTATTGCTCAGAAAGTTAGCAGCTAGAGTGGATGACATGATCACTAGAGTGGGAGCGCCTGAAAATGTATCCTCCAAACTTTGTCTTTACAAAAGGATTGTGAAAAATCACTTCACTCTACACAGACAATCTTTGGTACAAATATGGGAAGACTTGTTGTCACTCTTCATCTGAGAAATCCAAGCAGTCAGACACACACAGCGGCGTGGGCAGACACCAACTGCCACAGGAACCGTCAAAACATCTCCAGCTTTCTCCATTAACTCTAATATAAAAGTGAGAGGAGGATTTTCAGAGAAAACACAAACTGGACATGTTTTTAACTTGTACAAGTGAAGACATTTTTGGCTCCACAAACAAAGAAATTACATCAACATGTTCGGTAGAGTCTTGTGGTTCTCACGAGCTCCTCATCATGGAGATAACAGTTACAGAGGAAAACCATGAAGGGGTCATAATTTTTCACATTAATTACATAATGCTCTGTTTCCTACTTTTCTTACTTAAAACACTATTTCTTCTATTTTCTCCTCTCTTGTACATTCAGTTATTCTTTCACCCTTACAGACTGTTCGGGTCAAAACTGACCCATTTTGACTTTTAACAGCAGTAAAAAAATACCCTAAACGTCATTCTTTAAGCCTGAAACTTGATGGCTTTTCCTGAAGTGGCCCAAAATACATGAAATTTTTAAAAAATATTTATGTTTTTTTGTATATGTGCTACAAATTTTCAAATTGTCAAATTTGACCTACATCTATTTAGATGTATTTTAAATCTACCAGTGTGGGACAAGTGACAAGCAGTAAGACCAGTGTTCAATATAAAGTTTGTTGTTCAATAAATTATCAAATTTTATCATTATGACTTTTATAATCTTTTATTTCTTATATAATATGACATGACATTATCCTGTACAATAGATATTCTTCTCCAAAATATATATTTCACAAAAAACGAGTGGTAATAAATCTTTAAAACTACACTTTCCCTGCTCTTTGAAACATTTAGGAAGGACAAATCAACAATTTTTTGAAGTAGCATAGGTCATTTAAACATTATAGAAAGGTTTGGGGTTAGAACTTTGGTGAAAATACTTGCTACATGGGCAATTCTTGGACTGGGTCAATTTTGACATACTGTGAGGATACAGGATTTGAACAGTATGTTAGGGTTAAAACTTGTATCATTTTGCCTTTTCACGCCTTATTCAGCTTCTTCAAACAAATTTCAACACATTTAAACTGATTCAAACCTTTTTGATGCTTCAAAACTTCTCATCTTTCACACATTTTCAACATTCAGCTGCTAGCAATAGCTGTTCAGCATCAGCATTACCAACACGAGCGATTTCTTTCTGTCATGTCTATTTGTTGGGCGGGTTTTATAGCATCACTTTCACACAACAGATGAAAATACAGATGCTCACGATTACATTATTAAGTGCTGTACTTCATTATCCTGTCATAAAAGGTGATTTTCACTTCATCCATGTAGATTAATGACTGACGTCTGATCCCCCCATGAGCCTGTCTTTAAGTTACTGTCGAAACACACTTTGAGATGAAGCTCTTTCCTCCTGAGAGCAGCTTGGTGTTCAGACTGATCACTCCTATAAAGCTGCAGCTCCTTCTGAACATCTTCGCGGTTAGCCTTCGACCGTTTTGTCTCTTGTCATTTGTGCAACAGTGTCATAGCTTAGATGTCAATGTTTTCATGTTTTTCTTATTTGTGCCTTTTACTTCTAGTGTTTTATGATCAGGTTTTAACTCAAACAGCTTAAACCTGCGATTCAAACAGGTACGGTTTGTATTTCAATGTATGGAAGTGAAACTGAATTGTATTTGTGGACAAAAAGTGAAGTTTTGAGGAGGAATCTAGGCTTTGGTTTGGTAAGTTCTGTCTTCAGCAGTTAGATTTTTATGTCAAGTATGAGACTCTGATCTTGTTTCGTGCATTTCTAGAAGAAGCTGTGAATTAAATAGCTTTTGTGCTTGGTTAAGAATAATTAAGAAAAAGCTATAAAATGGACAACGTGTACAACACCTCGTCCATCTTGGTGTTAAAGGGCTTTAATCTCCCCGCTGAATCTGTCCTCCCTGCGTTCCTCTTTGCCACCTTGGGCTACATGATCATCCTCTTCTGTAACCTCATGCTGATCCTCACCATCGTGCTGAACAAATCTCTGCACCACCCCATGAACCTGGTGCTGCTGAATCTGCCCATCCATGACCTTATCGGGGCCTCGGCTTTCTTCCCACAGATCATAAAGGAGATACTGACGGACAGCAGAACTCTGCAGTACTCCACCTGTGTGGTCCAGGCTTTTTTTATCCACATTTATGCAGGAGGGACAATCTTCACTTTGACTTCCATGGCCTATGATCGATATATAGCCATATGCTGTCCTCTGAAATACAACTCCATAATGAATAATGCTCAGATCATGAGGCTCATCACAGGTGTGTGGGTGAGTAATTTAGCAACCATGGGTGTGCTTTTCATCCTGCTTTTACGTCTGCCCCGCTGTCGATCTGAACTCTCACACCCCTACTGTGACAACCCCAGCCTGCTAGCTCTGGTCTGCGCCGACACAACCATCAACAACATCTACGGGCTGCTTTTGGTGGCTGTCTCACAGGTGGTAGCCAACGGCATGATTCTGTACACGTATCTGCAGATCCTTAAAGCATGTTTCACGTCCAAACATAGAGACACAAAAGCCAAAGCTCTACAGACGTGTGCCACACACCTGGCAGTTTTCCTCCTGCTGGAATGTCTGGGCCTTTTCACCATCATCTCATACAGGATAAAAAGCATTTCACCTCATCTGAGGAGGTTTTTGGGGATGTCGACTTTAATTTTCCCCCCAGCTTTGAATCCTATTATATATGGACTGAGAACTAAAGACATTAGAGAAAAAATGGTGCACTTCTTTAAGAAAAAAATCTTCCCATCCTAATGCAACGTTTGTTTCTTTACGCAACAGGCTAAAACTTCTGACCTGACATTAGCAGTGTTTGTTGTAACGGTTAAAAAAAACGTGTTTTTTGCTGCTAAATCCTTTTCTTATCGCTAACAGCTACTTTTCAGACACTCTTTCTTTAGTTTTGTGTTCCTGTTTGCTTTTAAATGCTAAGTTAATGTGCAAACTTTTACCTTCCTAGGAGTTTTTCCATAACTTTTTATTGCTTTTTTTGTGTTTTCCTCCTCCAGCCATTATACTGCAGGTATAGCCCAGTGTTTTCCAGCTATATGCACAAAGTGGTCTGCATCTGTTGCTTAAAAAAATGAGGTGTTTCTCTTTTTGAATAATGTCTGCTTTTAAAGCTCACACTGTTGTCAAGAAAATTGAGAGCTTTTCTCTACTTTTCTTTTTGCTGGACTTTGTAAACAATTTGTTAAATGTATGCATAAATTCATGATATGTAAATAAGGTTTTAAAGAACAGGGTCCAGATCTGTTCTTGCTAATAGTACCTTAATATGCTATTATGAATTACGTGACTAATAATGACTTGTTTTTTTCACTCACTGTCTCTTTTAATTTCTCACCAGTGTAAGAAAAGAGGCACCAACACAGGTGAATGAAATTAGAATAAAAATATGTCCATCTACAACCATTATTTATTTGTTTATTAAACTTCTGGTTAGATATTCATCCTGTTTAAGAAACATTTTCATGATAAGATTAAGTGCTCGACCTTCATGAACTTTCATATGACATTTAAAAAAATCCCTTCTTCAGATGTACCTATGCATTTACAACTTTATGGCAGCAGGGGGCGCCATCAGTACACAAAAATATCATTACATCAGCAATGACAGAGTAGGATCGTGGGATTTGTTGCCCTCTTGTGTCTGAGGTTGTTTTCACGCAGCCTGTCCTGATTAAAGTCACACTTGACAGGAGACAGTTTCTCTCTAAACAACAACAACCCAGCCTGACCTGTGCTGGTTTACATCGCTGACATTAGCTGTACTGAGAACACATATTCAAATCTCATCATTATTTCACATTGTTGACGCCATATTCAGATATTGTCTTTTATTTTTAGGAGTGCTCAGTGTTTTCACACAAGGATAGATCTAGAGAGAGGTGAAAAAGGATAACTTTTAGTTTGTTTCAACGTAATCATAGTCAATAAAGCTTAAACCAATATTGTCCACCACAATAAAACTCGTAGACGCCTGTATCTCTCAAAAACATCCTAGTGTTATTTGACAGTGTTTCTGCCTTTATTGAAGTGTTCAACCCTGCAAAATTTAGCACCATTTTTCCAAAGAAATTAAATGTATCATGCAGAAGTGTTTCATTTAGTTTAGTTTGAATGTAATATCATAATCATTTCATTTCTGATTACTTAGAAAAAGTCTTATATATAAACGTTGTTGTTATTGTGCATAAATGAGTTTGTAGGAATAAAAGTTATTGATCGTAAAAACTTGATAAATGGAGGATCAAAATTGTCATGCATCACTAAATCTGAGTTTATGTCCAACAAAGCTTATCTTTTATGTCTTTTCTCTCATAGTAACACAACAGACTTATTGTTCTTCAATTAACCACAATACTCAGAGTTGGCCAACATGACGCTGACTCCTTTGTGGTCCTCTTTAAGGGGATGCCACTCATCTCAGCTTTAAGACTCCTGATACTTACAACAATGAAGAGCAGAGGTGAAAGAACATTAGGGACATTTTTACCAGACATTTCTAGTATTGGTACAGACAGCTGTCTGCTCAAAACTACCACTTTATCACCACTTAATTCTTGTAACATGAGGACTTATTCTTGCATTATCATAGTAAATTGCTGGTAATTTACATAGCCTGATTTTTTCAAATTTTCTCTTTTTTCTGAAACAAATTCTCAAATGCAACTTATTCATTTAGTTTGAAATGTGTAGCAGAAGTCATTATGTCAGCTGTATTATTTTCTTTTTTCTGTGGTGCACTGGAGATGTTTTTTCAGGATTGGAATACAAGACAAAATTCAGGGAGATATTTCATCCAACAGTTAATCTAATCTGCAGACATACACTGTTGTCTGTTCATACAACGTAACTTTAGAGCACAGACTACAATCTCTCACAAAGCTGGTACCTCACAAGACAAGGGTGTCGGAAAGCTGATGATCGGACTCACTTGTCACTCAGCCATCAGATACTCATTATTGGGAAAAATCCATTTTCACTTTAATAACAATCTAAAGCGACATTAATGTAGTTAAAAGGTTTGACTTTGTGAAGCTGATCTAAACAGCAGAAAATGCTGCAAACTGAAAACACAGAACTGATCCATATTAAATGTTAACCAGCTGAGATTACCTATGAACATGTCGTCATCTACAACAGCCTCTGTGTTTTGGTTACCTACTCTTGGTTACTGTTTCTTTCTTTAACTCAGCTCATTAGGTTAATGACCCTGTTGTTTATGTTGATAGGAAGCTCATGTCACTCTCAGCTCTAAGGAGAACATTTAGCGCGGGTAATGAACCTCAGAGGGTTTAGTGACAGGATGTCGCAAACAGCTACTGTTTCTTTGGAGCATTTCAAACACTGACAGACAAGTGAGTATGACAAACAACAGCAAAAGATGCTGTATGGCTTTCAATTTCAGTCATACCAAACTATGATTGTGTTTTTAATGATGAAGAAAAGTCTCCTTAAGTTTGACATAAACGTACAAAAATTTCCAAATTAAGTTCTAACTACTAGTTAGCTAGTTTTAACTACTGAACTAAACCCAAACTAAATATTTTGGTTAACTTCCTGTCCCACTTGCCTTAAATGGTTGAAACAAACTATGACAGCAGAGACTGGATTCACTTCCTAACTGCACATCTCTTTTTAATGACATTTGGAAGGTTCACAAGACAAAGTGGTTTTGATAAAACTTGTACTAAGTTATCTCTTAAATATTTTGGTCAAGTCTTTACTTGACAGCACAGCTTCTTCCAAGAGTAAACTGGTCACTTTCACTAAACAGCCTCTGAGCTGAAGAGGGTAGTCGGCCAGAAACTACAGGGTCTACAAAAAAGCATCATCATCTCACAGGTGGACAAGTCCTCTTGCTGATATGCTAGCCTGTTGTGTTTTGCTAGCCTCGGGGAGGCCTCTGTTGTCTGTTCCTGAGGTGCCCATCAGCACAGTCAGTAGCTGCGTTTACATGGGCACGAACAATCGGTATTAACGCCCGATCGGAATAAAAATGCGTCATGAAAACATGCTGATCGGAAGATTCTGATCCGATTCAGCTCAATTGGAAAGACATTGTACTCCGTAAGGTTGGTTTATGCCGATCGTTATTCTGAAACGCGACCATGTAAACACTTATTCCGATCGTGACTCTCTTACCTGACTCGATCTTCACTCTTTAGCCTTTGGTTTATTTATCGAGGTCAGTACAGGTGGTTTCATTATTAACACTCTGGTATAAAACAGAACTACAGATACCGTGTCCACTCTTCCGGTAACATAACAAGGCGTACATACAGCGTGATGATGTCACATTTTCACGCACAGTGCAACCTTTGACAAGAACAGTAAAATAAGTAAGCAAGGGTGCCATCTAGTGTCAATATTTACAGGGGGGAAAACTCCTGAATTGAATGAAGTAAGTCACTACCCCTGTTGTTGGTTTGTTGACAGCACAGGCGTTGTTGATGCCAGTTCTTTGTGGTAGCAAAGATCTTTTATAGTATTTGTGTATTGTGTGGTTATATACGGGGATTGGAGTGACGTGGTGGGGGTGGAGGTGGTACGTCAGCACCGGTAGTAGTGAAGTCAGCTGTTCACCTGGCGGGTTTTGTTGATAAGTGGAGAAGGGCCGAATGGGGAAGTCCTACTTTTTGCTGACCGCGTGTTTCGCCTGATATTGAACGACTGCCCTCTTTTTTGTTTCATGTAAGTGCTTCGTCTTTTTTGCATAATAAAACTACAAACGGAGATACAGCCCATTCATTGGAGCTTATACAGCCAACACGTCGGGCAAGGTATCGTTTTCCCCTACTTAGCCTCTCGGCGACTAATAGTTTTGGATAGTCGCCATAAAGGCGTAAATACAACTCTTTATCTTTTGCGGTTGTTTTAGATGAGACAACTCTGCGCATGTCCAAATGCTAATCTGAATAAAGGTTGGCGCATGTATTCGCACATCATGATCGGATTATCTGATTTTGTAACCATATAAAAATTGGATTCATATTATCCGATCTCTCAATTCTGTAATCGGATCAAAAAAATTTGCACATGTAAACATAGTTACTGTTAACATTAATAGTGGACATGTTGAGGCAGAGGGATTACTTTTCTTTCTCTTCATGGAAGCAGGGACTCACACTGTGTTTACGGACTGACAGGTACATTTTCCTGATTATGGACAGCCTTCTTGGACAGCAATAATATTTCATTCCCTCAGTTCAGCAAATGCAGCCTTATCAGAGTCATACTGAAAAATATGACTTAAAATAGCAAATGTCTAGAAGTTTAATTAATGCACTATTGAGAGTAAAAAGTGTCAAAAAAGTACCAAACTTTTTGTGTAGCATGCAGCACTAACCTGTAATCCATCAAAATGAGTGGGACCTGACCTGCTGAACTGAGTTACGTTGTGAGAAAAAAACGATTTGTAAGAATGATTTACCTTTGTTTTTTTTTTTTGTCAAGATAACAGGCTTTTTTTTAAATCCAGTCATACAAAATGTCATCCTATCTTTTACTTTACTTAAAGACAAAAACAGATTCAGTCAAACTGCTTTTAAGCTTGAATATTAAAAAAACCTAATCCCGGCAATACCACTTAACACTTTTGTCCAAGTAATTTGCAATCTATCTATATCAATGTTGTCTCCAGGACAAGAGGTTACCATGAAAATATTTGTTTGAAATGTTTGTCTTAAGAGGAAGATACATAGAGATGAGTTCCAAGAGGAAGCTAATTATCGTCTCGTGTCAGTAACCGTCTCAGGTGTGTGATTAACCTGTGCGTGTGTTAGTGTTAACCTCTCAGTGTGTCCTTTTCCCTCAGTGAATTCACTCTTCAAAAACAGTCTGACGTAATGTTGTTTCCAAGTGGCTGAATTTTCTTCATGTATCCAAAAAACTTTTTCTGTTTCTTGTCTCATGACCTCTGAGTATTTTTGTGCTGCTAGTCAGAGTTAGGCAACGGGGAATTTATGACCTCAGGAAGGTCAAAATAAGGATTCTATTAAACACGAACACAAAACTTTTTCTGTCATGCCTAAAAAATATGTTGTAGTCCAAGGACAGGGCTGTCGTCAAAGTATATGTCAATAGAGTGTGATGTTGGAGAAAATTTATTTGACCAGTTCACAGTTCACCCACAGCAACAGAAAGGGTCCCCATAATCAAGTCCAGTAAAAGACTGGATGCAAACACAGTCTATCTGTAATGATCCATACTTTAATCCTATAGAGGTCATGTAAGAAGGGCCTTAGATCCTTTTCTTTCTCAGGTGAACAAACTGACAATGGGCGAACTTAGGCCCCGTTTAAACGTATCCGGTTATTTTTAAAAACTGAGATATTAAACATTGTTTTTACCCTTCGTTAAGACGCAAACAGAGAATTCACACCTGAAAATGACACCTTTTAATGGCCACCATCACATGAGACCACTGAGTAGTATTAGGGCCAGGGAATTTTTTTTCTGTATGCACTTTGAGAGAAAGCATGAAACGTCAGGATTAAGTTGAAAAAATAGTGGAAGTGGAAGATCACACTGCAGTTTCATGAACCAAGTCAATGTTTTGAGGAATAAGGGGAAATCCAATTTTAAGAATAAACTCAGCATTTTGTCAGTGACTCTGATTCACTTGAAGAGCTGTATCTCTGTTTGTTGGTTTACCATGAAAACAAATGGTAAGCATGGAGAAATTAAACATGCAATCAGCTAATCTTTTACTTTGTCAGCATTAAATGATGCATTGGACTGTGAAGGGTCAGCAAACCGAGATTTTGTGCGATGACACCACTTTTATGTGTGCAGTACATGCTTTCTCCACAGGCGTGTCTAGGTGCAGGGTTAAACAAGGAAAAAAAGGACCCATATGCAGAAGTCATGATTTATTTAAAAAGAACCAAATAAAAAGCAACAAAAACTTTGTCCAACTAAAAAATCCAAAGGCAAAACCCAAGAAAAAATCCACAAGGAGACTAGGGATACAACAACGACTATGAAAGACACTCACTGACCGACAAACGCACACACAATGAACCAACAAAGACAGAGGGAAAGACAGGGACTACATACACACTGGGAAACAAGGAGACGAGACACAGGTGAAACTCATGAGTGATTAACGAAGGACGGAAAACTAGAGAAATAAAACCAGACTAGAGACACAAGGAACCAACTACTACAAAATAAAACAGGAAACACTGAAAACTGATTAAAAAAAAGAACTAGAAAAGCACTCAGAGAGCGCAGACCTCCGCCAAGCAGCTCATGCCCCCCCTTAAACAAGAGATGCCCTTACCGGGATTTGAACCCAGGACCTTCTTGCTATGAGGCGACAGTGCTAACCACTACACCACTATGTCACCCATCTACACTAATGTGCCGCCCATTCGTTTTCTTTCAGCATTGAAGATTCCAACGACACCCTTATTTTTGTGTGTTCTGGATCACAGAATCCAGAATTTTGTCTGGATCACCACCAACATTTAATGGGAACCTCCTGGGGCTGAGACGCACCTCTGGTGAAAATTTCAGGTCAATCCGTCTGTTACTTTCTCTGTAAAGTTGCTAACAGACAAACAAACAGACAAACAAACAAACAACCAAACCAATGCTACCGAAAACATAACCTTCTTGGCGGAGGTAATAAAACACAGAGAACAGGAAGGAGACAGGGTCAAACACAAACTAAAAACTCACAAGACTGGACTACAGGGGAACAGAAACACGAGGGAAAATACACAGAAAATACACTTACACAACAAAACCAGTAAAAAAACTAAATCAACAAAACATATTATGACAATTGAATGGTGAAAAGTCAGCAAACTGAGATATTTGTTAGATGACACCACTTTAATGTGTGTTGTACATGATTTCTCCACAGGGGGCGCCAGAATTGACACGACAGGAAAGTTCCTCACTGAAGCTTTAGTAAGGGTTACTTTTAATTCAGATTTGTTTTATTGTATAAAGTGGAAATAATAACTTATTACTCATTTTCAGTGACTCACCCGACCTACTGAAATACATTAACACCTAAGCAAATTAATCTCCCTTTTGTTAGTGTAGTGCCTCAACAAACTTCGTTTTTAGTTTTTATACCACATTTACTTCAAACCAAACAGCTATTGTGTTTTTTCTCTCTATACTCTGTCTTTTTGTGTGCTGAAAATCTATCTCATCATCCAAACACACACACACCAAGAGACCTATTAGACCCTGAGGAAACCACACTTCTTCCTCAGTATCAATTTAGACACACAGGAGTTTCGCTTAGGTTTCAGCTAACTCCTGTGGGATTTACTATTAGCATCCATTAGCGTTATTAAATTAAAAGGGGTTCTTGTAAGCCACAGGAGAGCAGGATGCTTTATGATGCAGAGCCCATACAGAGCTACTTCTGATTAAATTATAACTATTTATTAATAAGTTGCAGATCATTTTGGATGAAGACAGAAAAACACATTTTCTGAGATGGATGGAAAGTAGAGATAACCAGATAAACAACTGTGTATGTGTATTTTGTCTTATGATGGAGAAATATTGTCATTGCTGTGGTGTAGATGGAGTATTTCATGAATCCGATGGGAATTAGGAAAGGGTTGGACCACAAACATCACAGGACAGGCTGTAAGAAGTCTTTTTAAGAGGTGACTCAGCAGGTGAATCGGCAGAGAAGGACAGACGTAACCATCTTCAAATTTGTAACGGGATTTAATCACATTTTATCTGTTTGTTTGGACAAGTACAGACCTTGATAGGGTGTTGAGTACATGAAAACAATAATCTCTAAGTATTACAGCTGATATTATAGTGATTTATCTGTTGTTTTATAGCTCTTCGGGATATTTCTGCTCCATCATGTCGGAGGGAAATCGTACCTTTGTGACTGAATTTGTCCTGACTGGATTCCCCGGACTTCACCCAAAGTACGAGGGCATTGTCTCAGCTGTTTTGTTCTTTGTTTATTTCTTCACAGTGATGGGCAATGCTGTGATTATTTTTTTGTTTGCGACAGACCGCAGCCTCCATAAGCCGATGTATTACATAATCCTAAATCTGACTGTATCTGATATTCTCTTCAGCACCACTACTTTACCTAAGATCATCAGCAGATACTGGTTTCAGTCGGGGACTATTTCTTTCACGGCTTGTTTTGTTCAGATGTACTTTGTTCACTATCTCGGCACAGTGAATTCTTACATCCTCTTCCTGATGGCTCTGGACAGATATTTGTCTATCTGTCATCCTCTCAGATATCCAGTTATTTTCAAAAACTCCACAATCCTAATTCTCAGTGTTAGTGCGTGGATAACGGCCAAGTTAGGCCCTTTAGTGGTAGTCATCCGTGCGTACCCTCTTCCTTACTGCGCCTCAAATATAATCAAACACTGCTACTGCGATCACATCGGTATAACAGTGCTCGCATGCACTGACAGGGCCCCTTATGGTATCCCTGCTTTTGGGATGGCAATGGTCGTCTTACTGGCACCTCTGGCGTTTATAGTTTTCTCATATTGCTCTATACTTAAAACTGTGCTTAAGATAGCAAATGTGCAAGGCCGCCTTAAGTCTTTGTCCACTTGCAGCACTCAGTTGATTGTGATTTTGCTGTACTACTTACCCAGGTGTTTCATATATTTAGCCAGTAATGTTGGCATCAAATTCAGTCGTGATATTCAGATCGTCATCATCATGTTGTACAGTCTTTGTCCTCCTATGATTAATCCGCTTATTTACTGTTTAAGAGCTAAAGACATAAGAGCGAGCTTTTGGAAGAAACTCCAGAGGAAAACTACTCCACAAAAAAATCACTCATTAACCAGTTAACTCTTCTGTGATTTTTAAAGTGCATTTTTCTTCTTTTCTTTTTGCATCTTACAAAAAAGTATTGACAGCATATTATAAGAAAGTCAGACTCACCACAATGATTGGTGACATTTCTAAGAGGAAGGGAAAACACTGTCTCTGTGTGATTTTAAGAATGTATTGACCATGCAACAGGATGCTTTTGTTATACGGAACAATCAGCCGTTAATGCTGTAATTACAAGAATGCAACATGAAACAGCTTGAAAAGGTCTGCAAACTGGAACCTCATCTAATAGCTCTCATTAACTCCACAGATAGATGTGTAATGAAAAATATCCTTGTGATTATTTCTGACCTAAATGTTGTATTTTTATAACATGATTCAATAAAATATTTACCAATCTATCTGTATCAAATTTTGTCAATCCTGGGGACAAAACTGCCCATGAAGTATCTGGTATTATTGTTAAATCTGACCCATGCTTTATTTAAGATCTGATTCTATCTGACAGAGTTTGTGGAGCTGATACCAGGTAGACAAATGAAGATACCTGAGAGCTGCAGAATAAGACCTGCAACAGGAAATGCAATATAATCTGTCTACTTTTGAAAGAGTTATTAACACTCATGCAATTACATACAGCTGCAAATAATTCTCGCCAAGTGTGCGATCCAAGGTCCTTGTTATATAGTATGGAAGATAAATAATACACGTGTGTCTTCTCTGATCCTGACAGTCTGAGGGTGAAACTGGACAAAGAGGCACGCTCTAAATTTACGAAGTTGTTTTTTTTAATCTGGCTTCTTTTGTAAAAGGTGAATATTATGTGTGAGAAGCATTAATCACCTCTTTTCTGCTGCTTTTCTTCTCGTTTTAATTAACATGAATAAGATACATTTATTAGTTTTTACAAAGATAAATCAAGAAAGTGATCAATAAAGTACAAAAAGACATTATAACGACATGTTAGAATGAAGTAGAGGAGAAGCATCAGTCTCAGGTCTTAAGCAGTGAAGCAAGTGCAGAGCTGCTGAACACTTCAGTCCCTTGAGTGTCCACTTCAGACCGGCTGCAATGACCTGTCTGAAGTGGAGTAGCTGATTTGACTGATCGTAAACACTCTAGGAGGGATTTACCTTGTGAGTTTGAAGCTGTAACAGTTTTAAAAGTTTCCTTTGATGGTTAAAATAAACTACACTAGGCTTGATTCGACAATCCGAAAAGATCGTTAGCACCACTGTGAAGGTAACCCCTAGATAAGACATATAAACCCCCTCTCCAGGGTGTGTTTGTCTTTATTTTGTGTACATTTTAAATTATTCTTTCCCTTATTTTCACGTCTCTTTTCTCATTTCTCTTTGCTTAAAATTCACTCTTTTCCCTCACTGGATCTGAACCCAGAACCTTTAAACTGAGAAGCAGGACTGCTGACCACCATGCCTCAGGGCTGCCTCTCAGTCTGGGTGCTTTTTTGATGGTTTCACTTTGTCCTTCAGTCATGTTTGCACAAAAGCACAAGTTTTACTGCAGTCTCCCCAAACCATCTCATGTCACTTCACCTGAAAAGTCCGCCAGGAAATAAAGCTGGTACTCTTCTGGTCAAAGGTGAAGCAGTGCTAAACACCACACTACAGCATAAACCTTTGAGAGTCACTCTAAGTTTGGATATTTTGCAGTTATTAAGGATCAAATTCACCTTGCTTCACTGTTTGGAAGAAAAACTAACTTCATTTTCTTAAATTAGTTGTGGTTTAGTAAGTTAATTTATAAGGCAAATCATAAAAATCACCTAAGAAGGCAAAAACAGAAACTGAAACTGAAAAAAATTGAATTGACATTAAAACAACTTCAAGAAAACACTGAAACTAAGTGGAAAAAGTTTGGAGAGTAAAAACTACTTAATATCTTTTTTTACTGAAAACTAGAGGAGACAATCAGGTTTAAGCCTCGTACACTTTATGAGGGATTTGCTAAAGTACTGAGTGTCCTGAATAATAAGTGATGACAGAGCATCATTATACAGTTTGTGAACTAAGAGATTCATCTGAGAATATGACCCTTTGAGATTACACACGGTCAGATATCACATACAATAAATATCAACACTGACTCTACACTCAGGTTACGATTGTTGGTCTTCATCGGTGAGGGGTGAGATTGTGAGTGAGAAAAACTCGGCCTTTGTGTATTTTATTATTGCATATGTGTGTTATATGTTTTAAATACAGTTGCTTTCATGACAGTTTAAACCTTAAGAATCTAAATTGTGTATCTGATTATTGTAATGTTGTAGCAGGTGATCACCATGTACTCCAATGTCACCCAGCTGAGGAGCTTCTTCATTCTTGGCTTCCCTGGACTGTCACCGCAGTATTATGGACTCGTATCAGCTCTCTTCTTTTTCATCTATCTGATCATTGCAGCAGGAAATATTTTCATTTTATCATTTGTCATGTACGAGAGGCACCTGCAGAAACCAACATATCTGGTGTTTTGTCACCTGGCGTTGAATGATTTAATGTTTGGTACAGTGACTCTCCCAAAGATCATCTCTAAGTATTGGTTCGATGATGGCGTGGTTTCCTTTTACGGATGCTTCACGCAGATGTTCTTTGTTCACTATTTGGGATCGGTGACTTCTTTCATATTGCTTGTGATGGCCCTCGATCGGTTTGTAGCTATATGTGTTCCTCTGCGTTATCCCGGCCTGATCACAAACAGCATCATCTCAGTGCTCTGCGGGTTTGCTTGGTTCATCCCTGTGTCTCTGATGGTGACCATTGTCTACCAGGCCCTCTCTTTACCCTACTGTAAATCTAATATCATCGCTCAGTGTTACTGTGATCATATTTCCATCACCAGTCAGGCGTGTGGAGAGGATGTGAAAACTGTAGCGGTCACCACTCTCTGTATGGCCATGTTTTGTCTTTTACTTCCTCTTACGTTCATCTTGTTCTCCTACGCCGCTATAATCGTGTCGATTATAAAAATGCACAGCGCAACTGGGCGCAGAAAAACCTTATCAACCTGTAGCCCTCAGCTTTTTATCACATGCCTTTTTTACCTTCCAAGATGTTTCGTGTATGTGGCCAACACTGTCGGCTTCTCCTTCAGTTTAGATGTTCGCATTTTGCTGATTTTGTTGTACAGTTTGCTTCCTCCTGCTGTTAATCCGATTATTTACTGTTTCAAGACACAGGACATTAAGCAGACTTTGATAAGGAGGCTGAAAACATCTCGGATTGGGGTACAAATAAAGGTTTCCCTATAATAATCTCAAAATGATCTGGAATGAGAAATGATACCTTTTTACCATATAGCAGTTTAATTCAATGCCTCATGCTGCTGTATATATGTGAAACTTTAAATAATGAGATTCACTCTAGTAGATAAAATCCACTTAATTATACATGGACAACAAGACTGTGTGGTTGAGTCTTAGAGTGGTGGGTAATCTTGGAATGAAGACAATGTAATGGAAATGATATCTACCTGAACAAATAAATGTACAGCAGCACCTTAGTGTGGCGTCTCTGACCTAAAATCTAAGCAATGGGGGGTTTCTTTGTACGGCTTATGAATAAACACAACATAACAGAAAATAGATCAAATTACACAAGCAAACGCTGCAATGTTAATGATGGATTTTATATTATTAACTTAACTTTGAGTGTTTTAGCATTTGTTTCGGTTTTAATGTCTGGCTCATCTTTTATTGCGCTGTTTTGATGCTCTTATTTTAGTATCTTTACTTTAGTTTTTCTTTCTTTTTATTTATTATTTCTTAAATTTAATTTTATGTCACTTTGTCCTATCCTTCACTGCTCTCTTCAAGTTCATGCATGTTAATACTTGCTTTTGTTGTGCTTAGATTGCGGGGTGGGAATGAGGGGACGGGGATGGGGTTGGGTAGAGTTGGGTATTCTTTATTTCTTTTATTCTTCGTCTGTGTTAAGCACTTGTTTTGTATGAAAAGTGCTTTACAAATAAAAACTGTTTGATTAAGTGATTGAAAATAGCACCAAAGAGCGGAAGGACATGCTTTCCTCGCATGTAGATGAAGCCGCTGCCTGTTAACGAACAGATTCAGGGTCTTCCTGTGAGCATGCTGTCCTCACTCATACACTGAACAAGAATATAAACACAACACTTTGGTTTTTGCTCCCATTTTTCATGAGATAAACTCAGAGATCTAAGACCTTTTTCTATGTACACAAAAGACAAACTATTTCTCTCAAATGTTGTTGAAAAATTTGTCTAAATCTGTGTTGGTGAACACTTCTCCTCTGCTGAGATAATCCATCCACCTCACAGGTGTGGCATATCAAGATGCTGATTAGACAGCATGATTATAGTACAGGTGTGCCTTAGACTGGCCACAATAATAGACCATTCTAAAAGGTGTAGTTTTACTTCTACGTGTGGTTTTGAACTCTATCAGCTGGAAAATCAAAGTGAAAAAGCAGCTTTAAAAAGAAGCACTGCCAGGCTAGACGACACTACACCTGTACTGTAGTGGTGAAGGCTGCTGCCTCTCAGTCAAAAGGAAATTCTGTGTTCAAATCCAGGATAGAGGCTCTTTATGACAACCAGGAACAACTGCTTTCTAGACTTGTAGCTGTGTTTTTTAATTGATGGACATCACCAGCAGAGTTTCAATCGAACAACTCCAAAAGTTTCATTTGCAGAGATGACTCGAACTTAAACTTTCATCATGTGCATGCAGACTTCTGTTGGTTTCAAATATCACACAGAAAAAAACAGCCAAGAGACATAACAGCTATTTTTCCTCATATGGTTAGCTGTCAGTTGAGACCACTCCCCATGTCATTAGACCGGGCTCTAGTGAAAACCTTGAGGGTATAAAGCGCCACACAAACCCAGACTGATAGATAGACTGCTGGGACACAGCTTGTTTGTGTCCCTCAGAGGATCTTCAAGTCTGTGTCCTTTCTTTGACAGAACAACAAAGTGAGATTTCTTTTTCTGTTGCTGTTTTCTGAATTCCAGGATTTCTTGAAGGCTTTTTCTGTGCACACTTGATTATGAAATACACAAACACTACAAATATAGATCACTTTATCATCCTTGGATTCCCTGGACTTCAGCCTGAGTATTATGGACCGGTGTCTGCTCTTCTTCTCCTCACTTTCTTATTAATAGTGATTGGAAACGGTTTTATTTTAGCTGTGATCGTGTATGAGAGGAGTCTTCACAAACCTACATATTTGATCTTTGCTCACCTCGCAATGACAGACCTTATTTTTGGTGTTGTTACGCTTCCAAAAATCATAGCCAGGTACTGGTGGGATGACATTATAGTTTCATTCAGAGCCTGTTTTGCACAGATGTACTTTGTCCACTCTCTGGGAGCGATTCACTCTTTGATTTTACTCATCATGGCTTTAGATCGCTTCATTGCTATCCTGTTTCCTTTCCAGTATCCTGTTGTGATGACAAACAAAGCAGCTTTTGTTTCTTGCGGCCTGTGCTGGAGTCTGACTTTCATACGCATGTCTGGGATCGTACTACACGCTTCAACTTTGCCATACTGCAACCAAAACATCATCACGCAGTGCTACTGTGATCACTTATCAATAACTCGTCTGGGGTGTGATAAAGAAGAAGTTGCGTATGTGAAATCTGTCGCTCTTGCCAATGCTATGGTCAGCCTTTTGTTTCCCTTAAGCTTCATCATTTGTTCGTATTTCTCTGTGATCATATCAGTGCTGAAAATGTCCCACGTTGAAAGGCGTCACAAAGTGCTGTCCACCTGTGCTCCTCAGCTCTTCATCACCTGTCTGTACTACATCCCCAGGTGTTTCAACTATATTGCTCATAATCTGGGTTTCTCTTTCGGTCCTGATCTCCGTATCGCTATCACCATGATGTACAGCCTCATTCCTGCTGCAGTTAATCCCATAATTTACTGTCTGAAGACTAAAGACATTAAAGAGGCTTTGACGCACAGGTTAAAAATGAGGAAAATCAGCAGCACAGTTGACTCTTAATAGAATCAGAGAAATATTTTATGAGCTTTGGAAAAAATGGTACAAGTGTTAGTTCTTCAGATGTGCCATGTTAGAAATCTAAAATTCACTTCGAATCCTGAAACTTTATCTCTGGGTAAATATATTTAGTTGAATCTTTTTGCTTGTAAGCATTGTGGACTGTTTTTACCCTGTCTTAGCAATAAAGAACAATGTCCAATATATATTTTGTGTTTTCTTAAAAGGTGTAACATCATTTGTTTTGGTACAAGAGTTGAAAGCTGCTTAAAGATTTGCAGAAATGTCTTTTAATGTGAATTATTCCTGTAACTTATAGCTGTACGAATAATCAAAGATGTCATTTGATGTGAGTCCTCATATTTTTGCTTTCACTGCATGTTATCATTGTGTAGTTATTCAAACCCGAACTGCTGATGTTTGCACACTTGTATATAAAATAAAAACTCTATGCAAGCACATTGTTTTGGACCTTTTCTTACAACTTTTCCACAATTCTCTGAAAATGTAAGTTCATTTCTGATGCAATCACATTCATGTTAAGACTACGACTCCATCTCTCTGGGTGCAATCTTGAATATGTCCACTAGATGAGGCCAAATCATGAGATAATTCAAAGCCTCTTTATCGTTTTGAGTTTGATCTGAGTATACACAGAAAAAGAGGATCAGAGTCAAGTTGTCTGACTTATAAATGACTTGTATCAGTAAATTAATTGCAAAAATAACTTGCCAACTTTTATTTTTAGAGGACACTGACTTTAAACGGCTCATGTGACCTCCTTTTATTGTAGTTTTTCCCGGGTTATGTGCGATCAATTGCACCAAATAAGAAGCAAGATCTGATTTTTATTCATCAAATGATGCACAGGTTGAAAAAGAAACAGAGGCCAGCTAATGACAGCTAATTATACCCAGAAAAAAAAGCAGATTAAACCAGGATTCAAGGGCCCAGGCAATCATAAAGAATCAGATAATTTCCTCTATGTCACTTTGCATATCAAAGCTGGGACCGGGCTCAGTGGGAAGACGTGCAATATCCTCAAACACTGGAGCGTAGCTGCTCAAAGGAAGGTGCAGATTTAAACTCTTCTCCCATTGCTCAAACAAAGTGCAGAGACCGCTCTCAGTGTCGTGCTGACAGGCGGCAGAATGAGTGTCAAGTTCTGAAAGTGAATTTAAAGTTAAAATGCCTCGTTTCCTGAAGCAGTTTCCATTTAAAGATGATCGCTCGTGTGTAAAATCCCCGTCACAGACAAAAGCAAACTGTCCGCAGTCAAACTCTGCACCAGTGAACGTGCTGTCTGTGTCACTCTCAGATGATTCCTCCATCATCGAGCTTGATCGCAGAGACGCTTGTAGTGAGATTCTCTGCTGTAGGGGATTGTTCAGTTTGCTTATTTCCTCAAAAGTGAGGCATTGCACGGGTTCGAGGTACTCTGACTGCAGGAACTTGGTCTTGTGACATGGCGGTAAATCCTGGGAGTTCTCTGCATTCACCTCGGCCAACACCTGCTTGTTAGAGGACGCCATTGTCCGATGTCTTGTCTCACTTTTGTCCCTTTCTTCACTAGAGTACTCCTTTTTAAATCCTGCTAAAAACATCCTCAAATCTCCCCATTGTCGCGGCTCGGCCTTCGCACACTTTTTACTGTCTACGTGATTGTGAAAGCCGAGTTTCAGTGAGGCGGTTTCTGAATGACTCGCACTGGAAATGCTGCCAATCTCATAATACTCTGGTTCACTTTGTGGTTCTGGCTGAAGACTAGAGAGACTGGCATCACAGTAAAACTCCATACTTAACCTCTGCTGGTCAGCCCTCATTGGGACATGAGTAACTTTGTCTGTGGGAGTTGTTGTTTTTTCATGGAAACAAAAGCCTCTGTTGTCTGCGCCTTGCTCCGTTTTAAATGTTGTGTTTTCATTCTCACGCTTTGCATTTTTCTGCCTCGCTTTGTAAAGAGCTGCTACCATTACTGTTAGAGCCAGGATGGAGATAAGAGGGAGAACCACAGCTATGATCCACAGAGGCCCGCTGTGCTGTGCCTCAGAGCATCCATCACGGCTCTCTGAAGTAGAGGCGCAGATATCACAGGTGTGGTTGGAGACATTATGAAAACAGATGCAGGACCTGTTCTGCACAGCTGGTCTGCACCTCCATCTCTCCTGGCAGTCTGCAGACAGACAATCTTTCTTGGCTGTGTTTTCCTCAGGGCAGGGTGAAGGGAGACAAACGCCCTGAGAGCTGCAGTTCGGCTGGAGGAGAGACAGACTTGGCCAGACGTCCACCATCACACTGTGTCCACTGGCAGGCAGGGGGTGACCGCTCACATTAAAATACCGCACACAGCCGATAAACCCTGTCAGAAAAATAAAGACATTTTAACCACTATCATAGGACTGATCATAAAGCGAGCAATACATTTTCAATTTTCATTTGCTCGTTGAATCTCCTTAAAGATTGTAACAGAACCAGCTGCACTTGTTACTGTTTCCACACACCAAGCGAGTTAAATCATTTGCGCGAATGAATTACATGAAAAGTCAATGTTAAGTCAATGCAAAGACGCAATACGTTGCGCGTATTTCTCTGGCTGCGTGAATGACGCGAACTGGGCGGGAGCTGAAAATGTCTCAATTTGAGCAGATATGCGTGTTGCGATAACTAATCAGCACAAAGGTTTCCAGGTGATGTATGAAAATGGATGGTTGTTTACTGGTATCTAAAATGGAGGACAAACTGATCGTGTCAGTGTGTGGGTACCCCGAATTATATGATACCTTTTCTTTCAATTACTGAAAACGGAATAAAAAGGAGCTCGCCTGGAGGAAAGTGAGTGAGGAGGTCGGATTACCTGGTAAATTGTAAAAAACTTTTGTCGATCAATTTATCCCGCTGATTGAATTGGCAGGGATTACCATTAAAATTACCGTTGCCACTTGAATGAAGCGAGTAAACACTTTTAATTCGCATGTCTTGATTCGCGCGAATTAAGCGAGTAGATGATTTTACTCGCGCTTGGTGTGAGCGCCCCATTTAGGGTGTCTGATGATGCAGCTGAAGAACTGAGAGTTATAGAGCAACACGAAATCTCACGAGATCTGGTTCAAATCTGACCACACAACAGAGACTACTTTGTATCTAAAGGTAATCATGTCTGAGCAGACAAAAAATTACTCATGGGGTTCCCCAAGGCACGATCCTTGGGCCTCTGCTGTTTCATACCTATGCTGCAAATGTAATATAGAAAGGTAATCAGAAAGAACAGTAAAATTACACTCATTAACATCCTGTTGAAAAAAATAACATATAAAAAGACAGGCCAACCTCATGAAATCTCCTGGATTAGAGCAAATAATCCAGCAAAAGTTCTTTTAAAGTAAATCCTATAAAAAGACCCACACTCTGCTCCTTTTTCATTCATAGAAAGTTATAAACCTTCATCATACTCTTTCACAAGCAAATACTTTCTTTCAAGATCATTTTGCTCTTTATCAAAAACATTTTTCATGGTTTACTTTATTTAAACAGATTAATTCTTTATCAAAGTTTACTCTTTATTCACCTGACTGTTGCAGAGTTGAATCTTCTATCAAAGCTCCACCAAGAACAATCTTCTCCACAGTCGCAGGAGTGAGATCCATCCTTCCATCAGTGACGTTCAAAACTAGAGAACCATCCAGAGTCAAGAAAATGTTCCGTCCAACGCTGAACAAGGAGAAGACATGCCAGACCCCATCAGCAACAACCGAGTCCACGGTGAACTCCTTTAGGAGCCCCGACGGTGTATCTTCAAAAATACAGACAGGTTTTCTGTCTTTTATCTAAAATTGTCAGAAAAAAAGACATATTTGTACACCTCAAAATTTAAGAACAGCTTTATACTTGAAAGAGTTTTGTAACTACCTTCAGCTCAGTGTATCCTGTCTGTCCTTTAACAGATATTAACACTCCGTCATCCTGGGTCTTGAACGTGATGTTAATCAGACTTTGTTCCTCCATGTTTCCTCCTTTTTTATCATCCAGTAAATCTTTGAGGAGGTAGTCTCTCTTGAATCGCTCCTTGATCACATACTCAATATACTCATTCCCATTAAAATGCAAAACGAGACCCTCTGACATTTCTATTAAAAAAAACAGAGATGATGGAGAATTAAATCCAATGTTAGGACCAAACTCTGTAAAGATATCTCCTTGGTTTATGATAATGTCTTTTTACCTTTGGCACAGGTGTTTCCAGTAAAAGAGCTTCTGCATTCACAGAGAAAGTTGGACCAAAGATCGTGGCAGGTGCCGCCGTTATTACACGGACTGCTTAGACACGGTGATGGTGTCACCCTAGGACACCTTTATGAGAAAATGCACAGAGAGAAATCTCTGAAGCATGTACACACAAGAGCCATTTTCAAAGAAGGTGTTTGCAAATCCAACGATCTTATGAAACAGGTGTGTAGGGAGCTGTGACTGTTTTCTTTAGAGGAGAAAAAGCCAGCGCACTGCCCTCACACAGCAGCACCATCACGTTTCATGTCCCTCTGGACCTTCGTCAAGTGTGCACTCAAACACATCTGACAAAGGTCCCAAAGGAGCAAAGCTTTGTGTGCTTTCTTTACAAAAGGTGATGCTGGAAAAAGCAGAGTGTGGGGTTTTATCTTTTCAAGGCTATAGGTATATAAAAGTGATTTTTACTCTTATGTAAGTACGGTGATAATTTTTCTCCAATTTAAAACTTTTATTTGATGGAGACAGAAAAACCACGAACAGAACATAAATCGAATTAAAGCTGCAAGGTTAGGAAACCAAAACAGATTGTATATTATTGTAAAATAATCCCAATTACTCACCTGTCAAGGATGTTAAAGCTTGCAAGGGCCACTGACGGTCTTAGCAGGATGCCGTTCACATAAATGTTACGAATACATCCAACGAAGTCATGGGTTTTTATCTGGCCAGGCTGCAGTAATATAGTTTCAACAGTCCTCAGACCACCAAAGGTCATGTTACTGCTGACATCTAGAGTCCTGAAGGGAGTAAATACACAGGCGATTACTTAAGATGGATCAAAAGTCTAAAATCAGACTTTTTAGATTATTGTGCAGTAGTTGACATAACAGTTACCTCGCTGAGTTGCTGCCCATACTCTGAGAAAAACAAAATCCATTGTTTTCTACATCAGTGCAGTTGTCCACATTCAAGGATCCCATCTGTAAAATGTTCATAGAAATGTCTGACTCAGTTGAAGTCGACTCAAAATCAAACACTAAAAACTCTGTACCATGCGTGCCATTAAATTCAGAACTCACATTGCCAATCCTCCTGGCGGTGACACTGTGAAAATATCCGTCTGCCACTTGTTTGTTTGTCTGCAGTCTCATAGGTCCTGAGCCGAGGTCGTAGGACAGATGTATGGATCCATTCAAGATCTCCAGGGCAAAGAACTCCCTGCTGGATGACCCTCCAGGGTTGTACAGGAGCAGCGAGTCCCTCTGCACTGTTGCGAATTCTAGAGAGATTAAATTAATCCTCCGATCCAACGGAGGAAACTCCATGAAAGAGAGCTCTTCAAATCCATAGCTGTGCTTCTCACAGTGGACTCCACTGACTCCTGAAATAGAGACGTTAAAGCCAAAAATTGAAAGAAATATTTTACAAAAGCAAAATTGAGTATGCTAGCTGAAAACAGCCAACGAAACTTGTCTAAATGAAGTTAAACCATTTGTGTTTTTATTATTTTCCTGTTTTGATCCTGACTCTACAAACCGTGGCTGTGTTAAAGTGACTTTTTCTTTCAATACTCAAAAGAGCCCCTTTTTTCCCCGAATGTTGAACTCTGGGATTGATTTTTTTCTTACCAAAGGGACAACGGCAAAAGAATCCATTCTGTAAATTGGTGCAGTTGCCCTGAACACAAGGAGTTGATTTACAGTGGTCCATAAGCTGCTCACATTTTTCCCCTTGAAAAAAAGAACAAAAACACAGATGTTATACCTGCTACAGAAGAACAGTTTTGAATGTATACATTATTCTTTTACTATTCTTAAGTCTACCTTCAAACCCTGGCACACAGAGGCAGTAATATCCATCCTTAGTCGGGACACAAGTTCCTCCGTTTTGGCACTTCACTCTCAGGCACTGATCCACATCAGCAGAGCAGACAGGGCCTGTGAAACCTTTCTGACAGTGACAGTAGAAACTTCCGGCAGTATTCACACACGTGCCTTCGTTCTCACAGGGATTCACCTCACACTCGTCCACGTCGGCCTCGCAGAGCGTCCCAGCGAAGCCAGCCGGGCAGGTACAATTAAAAACCTCCTTCTGTGGCGACACAAAGATGACGGCGTCACTTTCCAGAACAGCGACGTCCTGGCTGATGAAGATGCTCTTCTTACATGTCGCTCCATTTTGACAAGGACTGGTGAGACACGGATCGCTTGTGATATGAGAGATGGTGACATTACTCTGGACTTCCAGTAACCTCTTGTGTCCTGCAGAGATACCGCTGGCTACTTCTTTACTGAGGTATCGACCGTTGTAGTTTTTAACTGCGGCCAGTAAAAGGATTTCACCGCCGATTTGTTTGATTCCAAAAACATGAGTCTTCGAGGCCTGCAGGTTGAAAAGACTGTCCAGAGCTTTCACAAACCGCAAATAGTTATTGGACACAAACTCTTCCATTGAGAATGAAGACATGTAGAATAATATGCAGCTGTCTATGGAGGCGTTCGTGAATCCTTTGTAGTTCACAAAGATGCTGTTGTTGACCGGGAAGTGAAGCTGATCTGTAGCTTCAACGGTGATGTTAAAAGTCGCCTCGCCTTGAAAAGGAGCCGACCACAGCTCACATGTGCCATTCGATATCGTGAACATATTGTGTGATCCACTCCTGATGGCGCAGATGAACGAATCAGACTCATCCGGGTCCTCTGGATGGACGTTTCCAATCATGCCTCCTTGGAAAGAACCGCCAAAATACTTCACCTCGATAAAGATATTTCTTGGTAACGGCGGATTATCGTTTTCATCGATGATCTTGATGTTGAACATCGCTGTTGATGACTGCCGAGGGTTCCCTGCATCACTAACAGCCACCAGGACTCGATACAAGGGTACTTGTTCCCGATCAGTGGTCTCAGCGGTGACTAGAACTCCATTGGGATTGAGATAAAGAGCGCCATCTGTTGGAGGATTTACCAACCAGTATGTGAATGGTCCTTGGTTTGGCGGCGAATCAGGATCAGATGCATTTAATCTGGCTACTATGGTGCCTTGAGGCTGATTTTCCTCAACATAAGCCTCGGTGAACATGAGCGTGGGAGCGTTGTCATTAACATCTCCCACAGTCACCATGATGTTAGCAGTCCCAGTAGCAGGAGGAGAGCCATTATCGGCGGCAGTGAGGGTCAGATTGTAAAGCGGCCACTCCTCTCTGTCGAGTAAGGAGTTGACTGAAATGACACCAGAGGACGGATCAACTGCAAAAGACAAATTTGTGTTTCCGCTTTCAATACTGAAGACAACTCGATTCAACCCCAGGATGGAATCTGGATCCAGAGCGCTCACAGTTATCACAGACGTCCCAACCTGACTGTCCTCGGACACGTTTGCTGAATAAAGCACAGAGGAGAACATGGGTGCTTCGTTTAAGTCGACCACAGCGATGTGGACCAGAGTCTCGTCTTCGTTGGCGCCGGTGATAACGCCGGAGTTCTTTGCCAGAACTTTTAAATCGACATTGCTATTTCTTTGTTTCCTCAAACTGCGAGTTGTGAAAATTTCTCCTGAGCGTTCGTTGATTTCAAACCCCATGTTTTTGTTTTGGCCGAACATCAGGTAGAACACCTCGCCTTCTGGGCCTTGGTCATCATCTGTAGCTGTTACTCTACCAATAACAGTTCCAACAGGCACATTTTTCAGCACAGAAATGTTAAAGTCTGTCTCAGTGAATGTCGGTCTGAACTCATTGATATCCAAGATCTGAATTACGACATGTGCCAGACTAAATAAAGAGCGAGCACCAACGTTTGAAGCTTTGATTGTTACCTCAAAGTTCTGCTCTTGCTCATAGTCGAACCTTGTCAAAGTGGTGATTGCGCCATTTCCTGAATCAACTGAAAACTTATCCACATGCCCAGCAATGAGAGAGTAAACCACTTGTGCATTTACACCTGAATCATCATCAGCAGCCTTCACTTCAAGGATTGTGGTTCCAGTTTCTGTGTTTTCAGGCACTGATAATGAGTACTCTGAGGATGAGAAGACCGGGGGATTGTCATTCACATCCATAACTACCACTGTAACATTTACCGTGCCGGTCTGAGAGACCCAGCCACCATCCACAGCTTCAATCTGGAAATGATAAAAACCTTCTTCCTCAAAATCAAGCCCTCTGATTAGAGATAGCAGACCAGAGGTTTCCCCAACTGAGAATGGTAAAAGTGGATTTTCTAGGTTGATGCTGTACATAATTGCACCATTGGAACCATAGTCCCTGTCCCCTGCATGAATTCTCCCAATTACTGAGCCTACAGACAAGTCTTCAGGGACAGAAAAAACTGCTTCTGGTTTTGTAAAGCTTGGAGGAAACAGATTCCTCCCTGTAATTTCAAAAGTGATTTCAGTCTGTGATGATAAAGAGGGGTGACCCTGATCTACCGCCGTGACTATCAAACTGAGAAACACATTTTCGCTCTGACTCAGACTTTGATTTAGCATGACTTTTCCATTTCCAGCTTGGATCCAGAAGAAATCTGACGCATTGCCTCCATTTGAAACATATCTGATACCTTCACTGCTGTTGTTAAGATCCTGATCTACAGCTGTAAACTGGACCACCTCAGTGCCAACAGCCATGTGATATGGGACAGCAATAAGAGGTCTGATTGGCAGGAACGTTGGCGGGTGGTAGTTGTGTGGTTCCAGCCGCACTGTGACAGTGGTGTCACTGTACAAAGGAACATCGCCACAATCAAACGCAATGACTGTAAAGTGGTAGATATCGAAAGACAAACTCTTAATCCTCAGCGGCTGCTTTGTAAAGATTTCCCCAGAAGAAGCATTCACCCAAAACTCGTCACTTGGAGGTTCAATAACATACAAAATCTCACTGTTTTTAAATAAGTCTGCATCTGCAGCAACAACCTGCATTACAAACACTTCTATATCTGTTGTTTCAGGAAGGATAACAGCGTATGACTGATCAGTAAATTCTGGTTTGTTATCGTTGACATCTGCAATGATTACAGTGATGTCAGTGCTAACGCTCCATGCTGAATCATTTGCGTTTACTCTTAAGACAAATCGATCCTGCATCTCCCTGTCCAGAGGCCTTTTCACGGTGATGAAGCCGTCGGTGAAGTCGATATCAAAAGGAATATCTTCACTTTGGTTGATTATGGAGTAATTAATCCCCGCATTGGTGTCAGTGTCGTCATCCATGGAGGTGACTTGTATAACTGTGTGTCCAACAGGAGAGTCCTCTGGCACCACTGTGAGAAATATCTGTGAAAAACGAGGAGCGTTGTCGTTCCTGTCCAAGACGACGACAATGACAGATGCTCTATCTTTGTGTCGAGGGTTGTTCAATTCTGAGGCTTCAACCGTCAAATTAAACTCAGGGATAGTTTCTCTGTCTAAACTCACAGTAGTGCTCAATATACCAGTTTCAGAATCAACTGTGAAAAAGTTGTCAGTGTTTCCATCGGTGATGTTGTACTGCACGGTGCCATAACCGCCTGAATCAGCATCAATAGCGAGAACATCACAAACCCAAGATGGCGGGGAGTTCTCAAAAACCTCACATCTGTACTCCTCTTGAGTGAACTGAGGGAAGTTGTCGTTAACGTCGCTGATGTTTATGTGAATTTCCTCAAATGATGAGAAAGGAGCTGAGCCAGAGTCTCGGGCTTCTATCAGTAAAGTAAACTCTTTCTTACTCTCATAATCCAACGGGTTCTCCACTGTCAGGGCGCCGCTTAATTGGTCCACATGAAACATGTCTTCAAAGTTCCCTGAAGCTAAATAAAAGGAGACCGGTTCAGCTCTGGTGCTCGCTGCAGAGACAACCGCCACTAGTGTTCCCACGGGCTCATCCTCCGAGAGATGATAACTCAAAACATCCACTTTCATTTCTGGAAACTGTGAGACATTTTGAAACCTGATACTGATCGTAGTGATGTCAAATTTGGGGTTTTCTCCAGCATCTTCCACATGAACACTGACAATTATGTCTTCTGTTCTCCGGAGTGAAAAAACTGACGTAAAAACTGTGCCACTGTATGGATGGATGGAAAACAAGTCTGAACTTTGTCCGTATAATGAATAATGCAGCTCAGCGTTCATCTCAGAGTCTCCATCTGTTGCTTTCACGGCACAAACAACCGAGCCTGTTGAACCAAAATGTCAAGAAATAAGTAACATGATTTCTCAAATTAACCAACTTTAATTTGAGACTGTTGTAAAGGCTGTTACCTGGAGCCATCTGAGTGGGCACATAAGCCACATAAGGACTGTTCATGAACTGTGGCCAGTGGTCATTAACATCTCCAATGAGCACAGAAACCAGAACTGAGCTTGACAGAGGTTCAGACGGATGTTTATCCCTGCCAATCACCACTAGACTGTAAATGGCTACGGTCTCCCTGTCAAGGACACTCGTCGTGAACAGCTCTCCGGATGTTTCGTCGATGGAAAATGGCACGTCGAAGTTCTGAAGGGAATATCTAAACCAAAAAGATGAGACGGTTAGTAGACAGCTTTTCATTTTTGAGTGATTTTTGAGACAAGGAATTTTACCTTATTTCCCCATTGACCCCCTCATCAATGTCTGATGCTGTAATCATTGCAAACACTGTGCCTGTAGGACTGTCCTCAGACACTATCGTGTTGTAGATGTCCTCGGTAAACTCTGGTCGATTATCGTTGATATCATCCACAATGATATGCACTGTTAGGGTCCCAGTCAAAGATGGTAATCCTTTAAATAAAAAAGCAAAAACAAATTCTCAAACTCTTTTCAATCACAGCACTCTTCTCAATCATTCAACTTTGACCTGAACTACCTGAATCAACAGCAATGATGGTAACAAAGTAAGACGATTCCTCCTCTCGGTCAAGACTTCGCAAGATTTGAAATGTGCCGTTCGGAGTTATGGAGAACAAACCATCAGTGTTTCCTTGTGCTATTGAGTATGTAAGCTGACTGTTGATGCCTAAATCTTCATCCACAGCTGAGACCTGAGCCAAAAAGACATTAACATCATATAAATTTATGCTAGAAAATCACAAAATTAGATGTCAGGTCTATTTGATAAACATGGAGCAGTCGTACTTGGTGTGTTAGGTGAGAGTGATCCTCCTCGTCCTCTGTTATATGTATGGTTAGTGTTTCTGGAGTAAATTTGGGCACAAAGTCGTTGACGTCCATGACTGTGACGCTGACAGCAGCAGTAGAAGATCTTGGTTTATCCCCCTGATCTTCAGCTGTTATTATTAGGTTGTAGTTTGGATGCATCTCTCTGTCCAGGTCATCCATGACAGTGATAACACCTCGAACCGAGTCCACCACAAATGGACTTTCATGGGTCAGTCTGTAACGGACTTGTCCATTTTTCCCCGTGTCTTGGTCAAAAGCCTGAACCTGGAGCAGACTGGTTCCTCTGCGGATGTCCTCTCTGACAGTCAGACTGTAGTTGCTCTGTATAAACTCCGGGTCATTATCATTTACATCCACAATGTGCACTGTAAGACTGATTGTCGTCGCCATCCTGGGTGAGCCATTATCTGCAGCTGTAACTGTGATAGTCAGAGTATCCACCTGTTCTCTGTCTAATTCCTCCTCCAGGTAGATTTTCCCACTTCTGTTATCGATGCTAAACAATCCTAAAGTGTTGTTTAAGTAATACAAAACCTCTCCATTGGATCCCGAGTCAGCATCCTCGGCGTGTACAGCCATAACAACAGAATGAAGAGCAGCATCCTCTGGTATATTCAATATTTCTGCTGACTTAAACAGCGGAGCGTTGTCATTAATATCATGAACCTCCACTGTAACCCGTGCTGTGCTGGTAAACTGTGCAGACTCAGGCTGGGCGCAGTCATTGGCCGTCACAGTCAGATTGTAGAGTGACTGTGTCTCCCGGTCTAACTCTGTGTTCAGGCATAAACTACCAGCTGAATTTAAGAAGAACGCTGTCCTATCATCTCCAGACACAACTCTCAGTTTGAAGTCTCCATTGTCACCTGGCAGAGAGGAAATATAACATTATCACAACATTTTGCACAAAGTACATAATGCAGCTGATATTGAAACACCTGCATATGCACTTAAACTGCTTTTAATGTCTTATAATTACGTACGTTTGTAAAGGAATTCAAATGCAAATGTAATTCTGTGCCGCGCAGATTCAGCATTTAACAAGGGGATTTCCAGGGATGCATTCCAGCTTGTAGAATAATATAAACCCACATTAGAGTAGATAAATTAATGCATGTGCAGCTAACAAATGTGTGAATATTAATCATGCCTTTTCACACTTATTACTTGGAAGGCTTTGCTCTCACTGTAATCTATGTTTCCTCACACAGGACATGCAAAATGAGCTCACCAAGTTCAGGTCAGTCTAATTAACAGGGCGACATTTTTCTTGGAATCATTTGTATTACAATAATAAACTCAAAGATAGGGATAAAGTGAATGCAAATTGGAGAAAAGTGTATATCTCTGAGAAAAAAATCCTATCATACATGGCTACAGAAACTCATTAGCTTCGGCTGAACTGTGCGCCGCAATGAGCATTGTCATTTTGACCCCCATTAATTGCACGGACCGATAAATCCCCATGTGAAATGGGGAAAAGAAGATACAGACAGAGAGAAAAAATGTCTCTGCAGTATATGAGCGGTAACTACATAATACAATCAGACTCTAAACTATTCATTTTACCTTTTAGTGAACTATTTTTGGTCCACGGTGTAGGGGGTCAGTTTTAGGTTAACTGTAAATAAGTGAAAACTTTAAGCGGACACCTTCCATAAATCACTGTTGTTTTTGTAAAGACACCCACTGTGAGATACTGGTTCTTGTTTGCGCATAGGACTGACGTTGACGGTGAAATGTGTCACAAACTAAAGGTTGGAGGCCTGTCTAATGTCAGCTTCATTGTGCTCACCATCGTCTTTATCCGACACGTTCAAGGACAGGAAACAAGTGCCAACCTTTGCGCCCTCAGTCAATGACACAGAAAAGGTTCCCCGACTGAAAACAGGGGGGTTGTCATTCACATCCATTACATTGAAGTAGACTCTCACACTGGACACCTGAGAGTCCCTCTGCTGCGCCGCCACAGTGAGAATGTAGAATCTTTGTGCTTCGAAATCCAGCCTGCGGGATAAGAGAAACTCCCCAGAGAGGGGGACGAGGAGGAACAGGTTATCTCCGTCATCCTCCTGGACTGAGTATGTGATAGGCGTGAGACTCTTGAACACCGCTTCCACTTTTCCCACAACCGTTCCTGTCAAAACAATACAGGAAAATGTCTAACACCATCACAACAAACAAGGATCTCAGCGAGGACATTGTAGATCTTAAATAATGCTTTATAAACCTACATGTTGAACATAATTACTTATTGAATTAACCGTCAGCAGTCATTATGTATTTGTGTCTTATTTATGTGTGCATAAGCTGAGCCGCACAGATGACTGACCTGGTGCTGTGTCTTCTTTCACTTCAAATGAATACACAGTTTTGGAGAAAGCCATCTGTGTTCGCCATCTGTCATGAGGGTGTGAGCTGCTGGTGCCATGCTCGGGCACAGCATCAGTGGATGTAGAAACCCGGGAAGAAAGCGTATGCTGGCCTGAGACCAGATCTGCAAACTGCTTCATGTTCGCTGAATTTCCAGATGAAGCGTTAAGACAAGAGGCAGTGAACATCTGAAGAACAACAACAAAGAAAAAGACTGTATTTAGTATTAGGAAAACACTTTTTGTACCTTTCTTTGTACCATGTGTTCAAAGCTGATCCATATTTTTGACATTTGCATGCCAAAAAGTTAGACTCAGTTTCCAACATCTTTGAAAACAAGTTGCAATCAGTTTCATTTCCAAGATAAGCTTGTACGTCTGCATAAAAAAAAGGTAACTTACCAGAAAGTTAAATAAAATTGCGTATTCTCTCCATTGTCCAGCAGACTCCATTATAAAGGTTACATCCCAGGAGACTTCACTCAGTCATACTTGCAAAATCATGTAAAAGAATAAGGACCAGAGCAAAAGAAACAGCAGACTAAAGTCCTGGAAACTCCACAGCGTTACTTTCATGCTGGACCAACTACAGGAAAACTTTAAAAGCTGTATCCATAGTGACAACTCAATCTTCTCAGCTTGTAATCCTGACTGACACGCCCCCTTTGACATCACTCTATTCAAATTCTGCTGCAGGAAAATAACTCTTTCTGGGGCTCAGATTAGAAAGTTAGCCGTGGCTGTTAAACACTGAAAAAGAAACACGCCTCATTTTCTGCAAAAGTGAAAAAGTGCCGTGTCATTGCTATTCTTGACTAAATGAATCCAAATCCTGGGTGGTGAGGGAGTGATCAGCAAAAACATACACCATGATGTGTTGCCGGCTCTCTGTCTGTTTTATATTCTCTGCATGGATTTTGCTTTTGAGTTTTTCTCAGTGCAGAGATGAAATGGACTCTTTGAACCTCCAGTAAGGTGGCCCGGAGGGAGCCTCTCTCTCGCTGCGTGTCAGATGGCTGATTCATTCAGAGGCTGCGAGGCCTTCATTCAACGGGTGAAAGGAAAGGAGAGGAACAAAACTGCAGCTCTGAGTCACAGGTTTTAAAAAGAGAGAGCTGACATGACTCTGCAGCACAGAATGGAGATCGTCTGATTGTTCGTGTTCCAGCTGAGTACATGACAAGCACGGCCATAATATTATGATCAGGTCAAACTAAAAAAACGCTTTGCTTCCTCATTTAGTCGCTGTGACCATAGCATGAACCACAGATACTGCAGTTCTTCTAATCTAACATGCAGAAACACAAGGAAACACACTCTTCTAAAAAGGGGTGGGGATTTTTTTGGTAAAAGGGGCTACTGCTGCTGGGAAAAGTCTGATAAATGGACATGTGAGCCCCCTTTAAGGGACTCTGAGGCCAACCTTACCATGAGACTGTCTCCAATTACACACAGAGGGGAACCCGACCCCAACAACGCTCCACAAAAGGCCCCAAACTGGACTCACTGGGGATGTGGGCACCAAACACAAAAAGCACTTTGTGACTTAAACAGAGATGCAACACTTCTTTTCGATGAAGCTATTACAAAGTGCAATTTTCATCCAACTGCTCTCAAAGCTAAGTTACAGATTCAAGGAAAAAGCAGGAGACGTGCATTTGATTCACAGGTAGGATTTGTTTATTCAAAGCTGCTAAGACCCAAGTAAAAAAATACCTAAAAGAAAGAGGGAACATCGTTAGTTACATCATTTTATTCCCGCAGGTTAGAGTCATAAATAACTAAAACAATTAGCTTCTAATTTTAAAATGTATTAGGACAATTTTAATTAAAATGCTAACTAAACACCGCCAAGTGAGCACACCGTGGACACAACACTGCAAATCCTCACTGCAATAGTCACTACAAACAGATGCAAGTCTGCAAAACATTCAAGTGACCACCACCAGACCTACCACAGCATGCAAACCAGGTGGACCCCAAGCATACTCCCCACAGTTTCTACCTCTGTAGGGGAACAAGATAAAACACTGAGAATCAGTTGATTCAGTTCACATCAAAAAAGGGTAACAGATAAATTGTCTTGGCTTGTACGAAGACAATTATTCCAAACTAATGCAGGTCCTGGATGTACAATTTCACAGCAAGGTATTCTCTGTCTTACACAAGCTGCAAAACACAATATCAATTGACCAAGACACAAATATTCACATTTCTGTAGCTTTGTGAGCAACAGTCCATAACTGTAAGCCAGGCCAGGCCAGTCCGAGCAAAGCTTGGCAGAACGAAGGGTAGCGCTTCAGAGCAGGGAAGGAGAACACAAAACAGCAGTATGGCAATTAAATCTAAAATGAAGGAAACGTAAGTGAAAATCATGGACAAACCTAAAATAACTCGAGAGTAATAAGGTAAGGTAAGGTAGACTTTATTGATCCCGCATGGGGGAAACTGTTTTACCACCAGGACAAGAAGAAAATACAGACAGCAAACAGCATGGAGACATCAGAAAAACATAAACTCAACACCAGATACACAAAAAACAGTAAAAGCCAATGAAACATGATTTAAAAGAGGTACAATAAAAGATAAAGACGCAATTAAATACAATAAAAGCCTGATAAAAATGAAAACACTAAAATAAATGCCTCTACGAACTATGCAGCAGTGCCAAATCAGACCCTAGCATATACTATTAAAAAAATTTCACTGCTGCGGAGACAAAAGACTTTCTCAGTCGTTCAGTGGAGCACTGAGGCGTCTCAAGTCGCTCACTAAATGAGCTTTCAAGACCTTAAAAGACATAGTGCAATGGATGATATTTGTAGCCCAGGATTCATTTTAATTTAAACCCGGTCCTCCTCTCAACAGCGGCCTCAAGAGACTCTGGGACGAAGCCAATAACTGATCCGGCCCCCTTGATCATCTTGTTGAGTAGCCATCTTGTTAAATAACCCTCCTTCATTACCACGCCTGTCTGTTACCTTGCTCAATCTGGACCCTGACTAGGGAGAGTCAACAGGCTGGCTGCTCTGGATCACACAGGGAAGGGAGACAAGAGCAGACTTCTTAGAAAATGAAAACTGTTAGTGATAAGCCTACAATCTCATGAAGAAAATCATGATTTGTAGCCCACCTTTTCAGCAGTCTACAAGTCACACAACAGTCAGTGCAAACCAGCAAACACCATTCCACCTCTAAGTCATTAGATTTATCACTAAACTTGAATAATCAGGTGTTTCTATCCAGCTTTCCCTTACCTGTACACACTGCTGCTAGCAGTCCTGCTACACTGCTAATTGCCATCACCTAGCTTTATAAAGACAGGAAGCATTACCTGGCCCTACCTACAGAGGGGAGTGTTTTTCACTTTTGTTTCAGCCCTCACATGAGTTAAGCAGCATCCACTGAATTATTCCCATTTTATAATTCAACACAATAACAAGGTAGGTGGTCTCTCTCTCCAAGACACTACTCCCAGTCAATCTCATGTGTGATTTGTCGTGCAGTAGTTGGCGGCTTCAAGTCTTTTTTTAATCTGCCAAAAGCAAAATTTACATGATCCACATCAAAGTAAAACTCTGCTTTAATCTTATAACCTGTTACACGTATAATCTTAAATATGGAAAGATATGAGTTTATGAAGCACTAAGTACGCTATTAGCTCTCAGTTTAAACTTTGACTTCTGACGTAAGAGTGGTGCCACCCTCTGGATCTGAGCTGCTGAAGTTTAAGATTTATCATCTCAGGATTGTGACTATTTAGAGATTGATAATGGTTTGTTAAAGCTGAGCCGAGACTTGCACTGATTCATCAACCACTGCTAAACATAAGCCACTAAACAGATTATCTCCTCCAATATAAACTACTTTGTGTCTGATGTTCAGTGTACACACAGGCATAGGTTTACACAGACTTAAAATAGCCACTAACTACAATTTCAGGCTATAATATCATAAATTTAAAAGCTTTTTTAATGAACCCCGAATTCCCTGAATGTTGGCCCATTCATCACTGAGGAAAAAAAAAGAAGAGATGGACACAACTTAAAAAAAAAAAACGACCTTTATTGAAGACATTCTTGAATGTCGACAGCTGCATTTGATATTAGAGTGGTATTCAAAGAACAATAAAAAGACATTGGGACAGCACATAAAAAAACATTTCTCAAAGTAAATAAAAAATACACTACCAACCCAGAAATCTCATTTTTGAGTCGTAACACCTAAAGACTAGTTACTTTCATACTGATCTGTAGTACTCCTAAATTGATACAGAGTATGACGGGGATAAAGAACTACCACTAGAAAATCCAAAACTTAAGATATGTAGTGTTTACTTTACAAAAAAAGGAGAATAACACTGTACATCTTAAAAACATTATACACATGTTCTTGCTCAATTTGATTTCTGGTTCAAGATGGTGAAGAGTATATTAGGGTTATATGGCATAAACAAAATTTCAGGTCTTAACCCTGTGCAGTCTACTCATCATCCTCATCCTCGTCGTCTTCTTCCTCCTCGCCCTCCTCTTCATCCTCTTCGTCATCGTCATCATCGGCTGCAGCAGCAGGCGCGGTATCCACTTTACCCTTCGTGCGGTAGGCAATGATATCCTGAAAAAGAAGTTTAATAAAACATTAATTCTGCAAAAGTTCAACCAAAACAAAAAATTGAAAATAATCTCTTCGGATTTTTAACTTCAACTTTGATTTCTTTGGTACCTTATCATATTTCTCCTTCAATTTGGCCGCTTTCTTTTCATAAGGCTGCCGTTCCTCTGAAGATGAGTCGTTCCACATTTGCCCCAACTTCTTCGCTGTGTCCCCGATAGACAGACCAGGACTCTCACCCTTGACCTTAGAGCGGAAGTCTGCACAAAACAGGAAGAACGCAGACCTGCAGGAGAGTTAATGTTAAAATTATAACGATATGCTACACATTTAATATAAGACAAAAAAAAGAAGAAGATTATCAGTTCTATGGAAGATTCTCAGTCTGAGGTAAAGGGTGAGAATCAGACCAGGATTCTCACCCTTTACCTTAGAGCGGAAGAGTTTATGTTAAAATTATTATAATACAATATGTTATGCATGTAAATTCTGTACAGATGTAAATATGACGCATGCACACATCTTGTTTTATCTCAAAGTTTCTTTATCTTTTAATTTTTTCTCTTTTTTGTATCTTTATTATGCTGCTGTAATTTTAAAATTTCCCCCTGTGGGACTATTAAAGGAACATCTTATCTTATTTAATATAAGACAAAAAAAAGAAGATTATCAGTGTACGTACGGTGGTCTTTTGGGGGCATTGGGGTCCTTAAAGCGCTTCTTCTTCTGGCCCTTGGGGGGAATGTAATTCTTCATTTCCCTCTCGTACCGTACCTTGTCGAGTTTGGCCATGTCTTCGAACTTTCCTTTTTCTTTTGGTGACATTGTCTTAAAGAAAACGGAAATCGATGTAAAACATGGGAAAACGTGATATTGAATAAATAAATTGAATTTAATTGTATGGATTATTTACCCTCCACCGTTCAGAGCATTTCTTGGAGAACTCTGAAAAGTTGACAGAGGCTTCAGGGTGTTTCTTCTTATGCTCCTCTCTGCACGTTTGCACAAAGTAGGCATATGAGGACATTTTGCCCCTCGGCTTGTTCGGATCCTTTCCCATCTTGAATTTCTAAAACAGGGAGAGACAGAAAAAATGCAAAACAAAACAGTAAATTTCCAAGTCTGCCACTCGCTTTGTCTTGCAGCTATTGTTTAAATCGGGTGGGAGGGGGAGGAGGAGGAGGGTGTCTAGGATGACTGATAATCCATTGTATGTACAGACAAACATGATGCCACTTTTAATGTTTTAGTGCTCAACACTTTACTCATGCATCCTCTCTGTGATAAGATGTGCACCTCGCCGGGCTGCATGTGAATATATTCGCGTTAGCTTCCGAGCTAGCTGTGAGCCATAATGACTGTGCTTTTGCTTTGTGTACTCTCGCTTTCATTAGCCCGAGGCTAGGCTAGCAAGTGGCGTATCCTGGTGCTCATTTCATCAGCCGAATATTAAAATGGCTGATTTTACTGCTAACAATGGTTAGCAAGCTGCTTTCATACATTACAAGCTTTTTCCTGCCAGTGTAAGAAGCTAGTATGTAAAATAAAGTGCGTGCTCGGAGGAGATTTTCTTTAACAACAAACGTGGGACTCAATATTAATGCCCTGAATACATCAGCGTTATACTAGAGAGCACCGTTAGCTTGTCTGATAGCATTGACGGCTACACGAGTTAGCCAGTGACGGGGAGCGGATCTTTCTCTCAAACACACGCAGAAGTAAAGCAGGGAAACCCGGACCTTGGTTGAGTTATTCCTGCCCCTGTCTCACTCTTACTTTTAGCTTCCTGTTAGCTCTCACCAGTTCAAAGTAATTACGCAGCTAAGGTAGCCAGCCAGCATAACGGGCGTGTAACGGTGCTAACATCCTGTCCAGCAACTAAACGCATCCAACAACTGCGCGCGCTGTGCAAACAATAAGTCTGCACACACTTTCATTCATAACAGGTAGGTAGTAGGTACTTTACTGAAACGTCATAATGCTTACCCCTACAGAGCTACAAGAGGCCAGCGGTGCGTCAGTACGTCTCAGACAATGGGACGAGCAGCTCCGGTAATGCGCGGTCTTTTGGCTCCGAGACTCCCAGTGTGTGTTTACCCTGTGTGCGTGCTGGGCTCCGGCTGTCGGACATTGGCTGCTGTCAACTCCTTGAGGTATCTTATTGGACACTCACTGTATCTGTTCTGCTGTTTTTATACAGTTGGCTGTTCAAAACATGACGGGGGGATGGCGCTAAACTTGAATAAGAAGAAGAGGGGCAGGGGGACAGACTAAATGCCCTAGTTTTGGGGTTTTTTGTTTTATTCTATACGGTGGCCGAGAACCGCCACTGCTACAAATTAAAAAAATGCAAAAAAAGAACACTGCTGCTGCTGCTGCTGCAAAAAAAGAAGGCCACCAATGCATATAAAAAAGAATAGGGGAAAAAAAGAATGCTACTTCTGCAAATTAAAAAAGAACGCCACAACTGCAAATAATAAAGAATACAAAAAAAAAAAAAAAGCGCCACTGCTGCTGCAAAAAAAAAAAGAATGCAAAAAATTGAAGTTCCTGATGGAAAAAAAAAAAAAACGCAAACCCACTGTAAATAAAAAAAGAAATGGTGCAGATATAAAAAAAAAAGAAAAACACACAACGGAGGTTAATGATGCAAAAAAAAGTGGTGATGCAAAAAAAAACAAAAAAACATTCTTATTGTGAAAATAAAAGGATGCAAATAAAAAAGAATGCCACTGCTGAAAATAAAAAAGAATGTAAGAGAAAGAATGGGAAAAAAAACCCGCAACAGATGTTAATGATGCAATAAAAAGGGTTGATGCAAAACAAAAAAAAAAGTTACCCCCTGCGAAAATAAAAGGATGCAAATAAAAAAAAAAAACGGTGCAGATAACAAATAAAAAAAAAAACACAACAGAAGTTAATTACGATGGAGTATTAGAGCCACATTAAGGAAAAAAATAAAAATTTGAGATCAAAGTCATTACTAACAAAAATAAAGTCGTAATACAATCATTACTTGCGAGAATAAAGTTGTAGTAAAATTATAACTCACAAAAATAAAGTTGTAATAAAATAATTATTTACCAGAATAAAGTCGCAAATAAAAGAAGCCACAGTGGAAGTGAGCTGCCAGGGACCAATAATGATAATGCACCGGTGTAAAGACGAGCAAAGAAGTTAGTGGAAAGGTTATTGTTTAATTTCGCTTCGTAAACTTTTCAATGTGTCATTTGGTTAGGACATGTAGCACCTGATTCGATAGTTGAACTGAAGCTAACACTACCCGGGCATCCACCAGTTCAACTTCTGATTTATTAGGTTTGGTCTCAATTAGTGTCATCACTTCATTTTAAAGAGAGGGTGCGAGTCTTACAGGGTTAGCAGAGGAGGAATAGTAAGTAAACGTAAGGAAAACAAACACAAGAGTCATTGTCCCGCCGTTTAACAAGTAAAACTCCAATGTGTACTGATGAATAATTGTTTTGTTTCGATGAAATACAAAGTTTATGCATCCTCACCTTGGCAGAATTAAAAAAACAAAGACTCATTTAAGCCCTGGTGAGGAGAATTTACCTCTCAATGAGCTGAAATGCAAACATGGCCATGAGCAAAAAACCTACAATTTCTGTTTAGTCATTTTAAAGGACTGTAATGACTGCGAGGAAAGATGTCAGCAGAGACACACAGCACAAACATAATGGCAGTGAATCATCATTAATGCCTTTGACTGTTAAAAGAAAGCAGAGCGAGATCAGTAGCTACAAGCTAAGAGGTAGGACAAAGAACCAAAAACAGATAGTCCCTCCCAGAGGCTTCAAAGAGGAAACTAGACTTGCGTCACTGGTTTAAAAGACAATTATACTACAGGCTATAGAGAGATGACTCATTTCTCCAAGACGTGAAAGCACAAAACAAACATCAAACAAGGACATTGTTAGTTATCTCCAGAAAGCAAGAGAAATGAGTGAAAAATTGAAGCTAAAATATCAGGAAAACTGTGAAAATCTAAATCCGCATTGGGTTTTCATTGAAATACGAATTGAAAAATAGTTTGTCCCTAGCTTCACCAAACTGAAAACATACTAAACAGTGCATCTCTATCTGTGCTGAATTTTTAATGCGACAGGTCCCCTGCAGAGCAGCACACAGTGGACATTCAAATGTTGTATGTCTCCATAACCACAGCATCGAGAAACCTCCTCCTGCTCAGCCCTCTGCTTTACTCTAGATGGAGTCAACAAATACCTGGAAGTAAACCGTTATGATTTTTAAAGGTTTAAATGTAGCTGTCGGTTATTCTGCTGGAGAAGGAAATGACAGGGAAGCGTAACTAAACAGCGGTCACCAATGGCAACCAAAGGTAATCTTATCTAGGTATATAGATGATAATAGATAATTGTTTAAACCTACAAATATCTGCTGTAAAATTCAGCAAACATCTTCTCATTTCTTATATTTACTCAGCATCTTGTTTACAGGGATTTCTAAGGCTTTGTTCATCGTGCTGAGTAATCAGGCTCTCGGATATGCTTTGAGGCATATTTTTAGATTGAAAAAATCTGCATTATTGGACTGTTGCAGAGTCATATTCAATATAATTAGTCAGCCCGAAACTTGAGAGGAAAAACAAAAAAGATCTGAATATGCGTAACACATTTCCAGCTCTTTTGTGAACTATTCTAAGAACCACATTAGTGCTTCCTTTTGTTGCCACAGGCTGTTTGGAGCCAATTTCTGCAGGTTGCTTATTACTCATGAAAGCACAAATACCAGGCAAAAAGAAATCAGTCTGAAAACACAAGAGAAAAGTCTATGTCCTCTTTTTGTAGCCTATGTTGGTACTCATAACTGTGCCCACAGGGTACCTGCAGACTTATGGTGCAAACTACAAATTAATAATTCAAACATTAGCACTAATTCAGTGAAGCGATATTTCTTTTGCAGGGACCAAACAGTGGTGGGATCCATATGAAACGTCTAATAAAAGACAATTTGTTTACTGGCCAAATTCAGCTGCAGAAATTCGTCTGTAAGTTCAGTTTATGCAGTTTTTGTTAGTTTTGTTAGTTTCGTACGCATGTTAGTGTGTGATTATGTATCTTTATTAATGCATAGATGCAGAAGCCCAACATCTACCTCATTTATAGACTCCTATTCACAATCTGGACCTCTTGGTTCAACTGTGTATGACAAAGATTTTTGCTGGAAGCCAGCCTGCAAACCTGAAAGCATCCGCAGTGGGACAGCCTCAGGGCAGAGACGAAACAACCCGCATCCCAGTCAGGTTGGTGTTTAAGCTGTATCAGCCTCAAATTTAGGATTTATAGCTGTATACTTTTCCTGACCTCTCGCTATGTATCATAACCTTTTTGTTTTTCTTTCAGTCATTCATGATTTGGAGGCTGCCCAGGGAGGCTGCAGGAAGCTCAGACTATGTCAGCTTCCCTCAGAAATGCTCCCCATCTGAAGGAGTGATCCGTAAGGCCTTGACAGCACAGTACTGCTCTACTTACAGATGGGACTTCATGGGGATGCCTCAAGGTAGGAAAAGTCGGTCAGCTTAGGCTTGTGTACAGAAAACATGTCTGGACAGCTGAACTTGTGGTACTCAAGAATGCAGGCAGCAGAAATCAAACCATCGCTGTTATCCAAATATTGTCTCTGCAGCTTATTCTCCTGTTATTGTGGAACTTGTTCGACAGGTTGTGATAATACAAAAACTGTGGGAGGAAGACTCGCACCTCTGTACGGCAGACGTGAAGTGCGTTTCTCTCCTAACACAGAGATGAGGGATAATTACTGCAAGCCCAAACAAAAACCAGAACTGCTTCACAACACAAACTCATATGTGGCTTGTCGTGGAATAGGTAACGTACCCTGAAGAAACATATCAGCTAGCGGCACATTCACATTCACAGTCACATAGGAGGGACTTTCCCAGTATGCTCAAATACTATGATTATATCCAACTAATGGTTATATGTTGTCCTCTGTTTTGCAGTTCCTACTGTTGTGCAGAGGCACGTCCAAACGCAGCGAAAAAGACACGATTTAACAAACTACGGCAGGTTTTTCGGAAACAAAGTAGCTGATGTCTCAGGTGTGCTAAAGTCTCTGCTGCCTCATGAGCTGCAGCAGTTAAACAAAGTCCTACCTGAGGAAGGTGCGTACCATATTATGACTCTAAGTGTTTGAGCATTTCATTAGTTACAGACTTGTAATTTGTGCTTCATGTCTTTTGCTTTTGCAGAAAAGGGAGCAGTGAGAATAGCTTTGAGGGAAAATAATCACCCAATCAGTGGAGAGAGAGGAAGCGAACTTCCTGCTGTTGTGTGTAATCCCTACAGACCACACTAAACCTCAGTGCTCATATTAGCAGGTCTTTAATTTATGTTTGTACTCTGTGTTTTTTTTTTTAAATGTTATTAAGGGGTAAAAACACACATTAATCCAGTATATACAGTATATCCCATCAGTATCTTGAATGGATTTGTCTTCAGTTTTCTTAGGGGAAATTAAACATTTCTGATGATGATATTTGCTTTGCTTCAATTTTTTGCACTATTATTCTCCAATCGGAAATCTTTCAGGCTTTCTGAAGTTGATAAAATGGAATAAATATCATTATTGTATTGATAAAGGGGTTTTATCCTGCGTAAATATGATCTTTATAGTTTTAAATATTGTGTTTAAGTCTTAAAGAAGGACATTTAAACTTTATGATTCATCCGTTATTCAATAAGTTTCAATTAAAATGTCAATTGCAAACATTATTGGGCGAGATAAATCTACTATTACCTCCAAATCTTGAAATATAAATCAGTTGAATCGAGTTTACACATGATATTAAACAATAGGTGACACAACAAGCGCATATCAAACCAGCCATTGTCAGAGCTCTGACTGTGTAAGTGCAGGATCTTGTCATCTCAGTTTTCACTCTTGGTTTCTTAGTTACAGAGGGGCCCCCTCGCTGCTCAGGTGTAACATTAGAGTAAGTGTCAGGTAGACTTGTGGGAGATCTGTCTGATAAACTTCTGCTTGGAGGTCTAAGTGAGGAAATGCACCTCGATTTAGTCTGATTTTACGTCACTTTAACCTTCTGAGAAACGACCTCTGCCCAGGATGCCAATGGGGAAAAATATTCGCTCCACTTCAGCGTCAGGGAGATTACAAACTGTGACCAGGTACTCTGTTTTTTTCTCGTTTTATGTCACCATGATTGTGATTTGCATGTTTTTTCCCTCAATTTTAATTCTGGTTTAAAGCAAATTTAAGTCTGAATGTACAGACGGAGGATAAGGGGGTCAATGTTGAGGCCATGCCTTGTTTCTGTGTCATGTTCAGGTAATGTTTACTGTCGTCATGGTGTTGTAGTTACCATCTGTAAAAGCAATGACATGTTGTTATCTACAGAGAGAGATTATACTCACTTGGAAGAGGTTTTAAGGCCATTTTTGCTCCTCATTGAGTCACGTTTTGGACCGAAAATGTTCCTCACATCTATTTTCATGAGAGCCAAAACAAAAAACTATTCATGCTGACATTTAGGCGTAAGATCAGGTCAGAATTTTAACTATGATACACCCTTGAATCTTCTAGCATCCTCGCTGAACTGGGGAGGAAAGAGAAGGGGACACCAAACTCATCTGGGTCAGGTGTTTTGGGCAAAATGGTCACGAGGCGAGCCGATGACAGTGAGGATGGACGTGGACATCCTGAATGGTTGACTCGAGAGCAGCTGAAACAGAATAAGAGACGACACTCCTTCACACTTGGAGAAAAGGCTGAAATCATGAGAAAACATCACCGCAGTATTGATCCAGCTCGAGGAGTATGCAGCCTTGAGGTACAAATAATCGCCTCAGTCTGAAGGTGAAATCAAAGATGTTAATGCAGCCTGCTTGAATTTGTTTGAAGTCTACATTATTTATTTTTAATCTTTCCCAATAGAGTTGCATATTTTAGCCTCAAGGTGTCACTAGAGTGTCACATCACACAGTTCACAGCCTATTTCCTAAGAGCTTCCATCAAACTCAAGCTGAAGTATATCTCAGCAGCAGCAGCAGCGGCAGAATGAATGTGAGGTAATGCCAAAAATGCCATTTTAAATCAAGTTGATGCTCAATTTACTCACAGCCTGACAGCGCACCGTGCGTAACAATCTGTCCCAGAGCCTGGGACGGCCATGTTTCAGGCCAAAGTAACACAAACACAGCAGCAGCGCCAACTTTACTCTAAAGAGCCCACATAGAGTCGGATCCAAGCTTTCAGCCCTGACAGGGGTGATGGAAAGATGTGGGAGGTTTTTTTTTCCTGAAGTTTGCGGGTTGTCGTTGCAGATGTCAGTCACACTTTCATGCCTAATGTAATGAGCAATGTGCCATTACAGATTAGGCAAAGACAGGCTTAGGAGTTCAAAGTTATGCAGCTCTAATAAAAAAGGATTTGGAGAGCAGTCGAGGCTGCATGTGAACACTTTTAGTCCTTCCATCACTTTGACTGATTAAACAATTATCTTTGCAGTTCAGGAGATACCATGGGGAGACCTCGACCCCGGTTACACCCTGTGAGGAGTTAGGCCTGTTTATCCCTGTTATTTATTAATGACAGATCAGAGGGTGTCATGGATCAAGGACCTGCTGCTAGGAAACCAAATTGAAGAGAGGCCATTAACCCGGGGAGCATGGCCCGTTGTTTGGCCTTGTAAAGCATCACAGAGGCTTGACATAGCAGGTGGTGGCTTGCAGTAGCCATTAAAGAAATTCACTCACCCTGGTGTGGGGCCTTAATTGTGTTTATTGATAATTAAACTGTGAGAAAAAACACCCTCCCTATCCTTGATTTGTATTTTTTAGCACTCAGACTTAATGAACTGCCTGGTGAGTGGATTTGAGTGACTAGACTGAGCTTTTTTAATTCCTGCCTGTTATTTATTTTTTCTCTTGTATGTCTTAATTAAACTGCATAATAACAATAAAGGCTTTTCTTAATAAAAATGCTGCTGTTTTCTCTTTCAACAAGATTGATGAGACAATTTCGCTTGACAACCTCCTGAAACTGGAACAAGCATTTCAGGTACGAACTGCATCGTTTTAAGAAGAAGACGACTCTGCTTTTTCATTTCTGCAAAAGTTGACTTTTTTTATGTCTCTCTGTAGGAATTTGAAGCGGGTGGCTTGAGACCCATTGATGCGAAGAATTTTGGACGTATCGTGACAACTTGTTTGGGTTTGCCAAAGACGGTAAGACAGTGTGACGTTTCTTTTTATATCTCGCTCTCTTTTATTCTTTCATGCTTGTCCTCCTCGCTGCTTTTCCCTTTTTGCAGCCCACCACGCTTTTTCAATCACCTGATTGGCTTACAATAAGTCTCATTGCACTTTGTTTCTTTGTTCTTTTAATTTCACAGAGCAATGCACAGATTCAAGGGCTATTCAAGAAGATTGATTATTCAGGCCGGGGAAGGATTTCATGGGTGAGATGGAATTGATATTTGTTTCTTATGGAGCATGCAGTCTTTCTCTTTATTGAGTGTTTGGCCTCAGTTATAAAACATTTCCATGCATGCTGACACCAGAAATCTGCAATAAAAAAGTTAAGCCAATTTTAAATGTGACAGGGTTATTTCTGCAGCTGTAATTCAGACAGGAGTGGCAGAGCAAGTGTAGCCGCACACAATGAATCGGGCTAAATCAGCTTTTCCAGTGCCAGGTTGAATGTAAACGAACATATTTATCCTGCGCTGCTTCCAAAAAGTGGTTTTCAGAGTGGAAGCAAATATTTGCATTGAGGCACTTGCTCCATGTTTAGTATCTTTTCAGTGTTTTCTTTTGCCGCAGCTGGATAGTTTGTTCATTTCTATACACTTTGCCTGGAGATAAGGAAGAGTCTTTTATCTTTTTTTTTCTCATTGAATAATCTCTTAACCAAATGTTGAACATTAGTCATGACATTTAAAAGACCTTGCTCTCTCTGGTCTGTTTGCAAATTTCATTAATAATGAGCCCTCTCTCCACCTGATGTGAAAGGATAATAATGATGACTACAGACACCAAAAGTTCTCATCATGGCTTTGTGTTGCAGGGTGATTTCTGCACACACGTGCTCCAGAGTTACAAAGAGAGACAGGAAACCATCAGATGCAGCAAGCGAGTGTCATTCACTCTACCGGCGACCGTGAGGACGTCATGTCACGGCATTCCCATCGTCAACATCGGCTCCACCCGTGACGACACCATCGTCACAGTGAGAGAGGATGGATTGGTTTGCTGCTGGAGCCCTGAACTCAAACCAATGCAGACCAGACATTTGTTTGTATGTTTTAACTTCTGGACACTAGAAAGACGATTTGGTGTGCTATCCTCTTTTCAACAAAACTTTATGAAAAGAGCCACGATTGATCCCTATCGATTAATGACTATTATTGATTCTACATTAATGTGGATATCTCCTCCTTTTGTAAGAAGTGAAGCCAAAACACCATCATGTTCGCCCCTTTCACCTATCAAACATCCAACATTAAAGTTCCCTCAGGTTGATGCATGCGCTGTCTGTTAACATAACAGAGAAGGTGGGCTTAAAGACCTATACTGAAGCCAGCCACCAGGGGGAGCTTTAAAGTTTTGGTTTCACCTTTGGGGGGCTCTGTGGCACCATGGCTTGTCTGCTCTTACAGTCAGTGGTTCCTGTCATGGACATCTATGTCTTAAACAAGGGCAAAGAAAAAGCAAAAGATGATCTCTTGATACTCGAGTCAACATTAAGTGTGTGTCCCTGCATGTGTAGCTATGTGTGGGAGTGTGTGTGTGTGTATCAGAGAGAGACAGTGACTTGAATAAATTACTGGACCCATGTTGATTTTAATGAGGGACCACATCACCCCAGAAGGATGTTGGAGTGTAATGATGGGTTCTTCATGAACAACCACGGAGGCGTAAAGTGGATGACTCCAAAAAATCATCTGTTGGCGACACTGTTAATACCTGTGAAGGGGTTATTTTGTGCAGTAGGAGTCAAGACCGTCACTGTGTTAAGCCCAAAATATTAACATCGCTCTTTTTTTCTTACAGACTGAAGTCCCTGCGAACACGAAGTCAAAGTGGGCGAGTGATTTCACTGTGATGACTGAGTACAACAAGCTGGTGGTTGCTACTGGGTAAAGAGAGACAAAAATTTAATGCCATTTTGGTAACACTTTATTGGACGCATATCTCTATGACGCATTATAAATATATTTATAATGTGTTATAATCATGTAATAGCACTGTGCAACTATAGTTATAAACACTCATAAATGATCATTATGCTTTACATATGACTTACAAAGTCAGGTATTATAATGTGTTATAACTGTTAACAACTCACTGACAATGCCCACATTGATAATACAATGCAACTGTTGTTACCAGTTATAACACATTGTAAAACCTGACCTTGTAAGTCATGATAAAATGCTTTATAATGTGTTATGATTGTTGCTATAAAGCATTATGATAATTAATGAGTGTTTATAACTATAGTAATACAGTGCTATAACATGATTATAACGCATTTTGAATGTATTTGTAATGCGGTATAGAGATAGGCGTCAAAAAAAGTGTGACTGAAATTAGATTTTAGCTGGACATTAAACAGTGAGGCTTGACAATCAGAATCAGAAGGGGTTTTATTGCCATTGTCGATCAACAGGATTCACAGACTAGGAATTTATTTTGGCATGATGGTGCAACAATAAACAGAGAGAAATATAAAATACTAGAATAAAAACTAATAAGAGCATGCAAGAAGTATATAAAGTATAAAAATATAAAAGTATAAAAGGTTATGCACAATGCTATGGGCAATAAGTATAAAATAAAAGGCTAAATAATGACCTACATGACCTAAATAAGCAACCTATTAAAAAAAAAGGCTGGCTAAAAAAGTAAGGTAAAGTAATTACATTCTTGCCCAGAGGGGGCGCCAAAATCAACTTAAACTAAGCGCATGAATGCCTTTGTTAACTGCAGGACCTGGACTCCTCAGGTTTTGTCCATCAAACCTGTGTTTGCTGTCTTTCAGAGACAGAGAGATCCAGCTTTATGAGCTCTCCACTCTGGAGCCGTACTGTCAGATCAGCGCCCTGGACACCGTGCCTTTAACTGTAGACTACAGGTGAGCAGCTGGACCTCCACCATGTTTACGGATTCATAAAATGTCCCAATAACACCCACACTGTTATTTGTGCTTTTTCATCACCAGCCACATGGGAGCTGATAAATGCTGTATTCTCTACGGAGACACTGAGGTACTCTTTTAATTAAAACACTCATCTAAACAGCAATCAGTAACTGTGTTGAGCTTGATTAACACTTTGAAGAGCTGATTCAAGTGTTTATATTTCAGGGTTGTGTGACGATCATTATAATATCCTCTGTTGCAGATACTCTCAGGTAAGTGTGCTTTTTAAAAGTCCCTATACGCACACCTGTAATCATGATGTTTACCTTTAAAAGAGGTTACCATAGCAAGATGTCCTCGTATATACGCTTATCTAGTCTATTTTTACGCTGTAATTGGAGGAGAAAATGCCAAGGTTATTTCTCTGCTGGCCTCAACAAGTTGGTGATTAGGATTTGATTTTCTGCACAACGAAAGAAAACTCAAATGTGTTTACCATCTTATTTGGCCCCTCTATTGTTTTCCTGGCTGATAAATAAGATAATTTTGACACAAATTGTTTCAGATAAGTGAAAGATACATTTGTAAAGTATTTGCATAGGGACATAAATCAGGGTAAATTCATAAAATGTGGATTTCTAGTTTATCTTTATGCATATTTAGGTTCAAAATGTATGTTTCACAACCAAGCAGCAGCTACCTTGAATTCATTGAAACGCATCAGGTTTTATAAACCCTGGAGGATCTAAAATACTCCGGGAATGTGATCGTTTGTTTGTCAGTACTTAGTCATTCATCGAGTGGAGAGTTGTTGCACTCACATTGTTGCAAATGCAATCTGTTGAAAAGCTCATTTCTTTCCTGTTACATGTTGTACCTTTCAATCTATTCAGGATGAAAACACTCTTGCACAAAAGTGATCCTGCTGGTTTTTGTTTTGGTTGCAACAAGTAAGAGAATACGCTGCAGTGTTTGGACTCCTGCATAAAAACCCTTTTTTCTCCGCTCCTATTTGCAGAGCTATTTCAAATATGTGGTGGAAAATTATACCTTTACTCACCATAGGTTTCCTGCCAATCAAAGAAATTACAGGCTCTCTCTGTGTGTGTCTGACAGTTTTCAGGCGTGATTGTACATCCTAACTTTTCATTTTCTAGAGTATGGAATAAATTACCAAAGGTTGAAGATGTGCCCAACATAGTGATGGACAATGCAGTGCTTTCTCCGGATGTGACCTTTGTCAGATGGAAGGTTCATCAGGACTGGGTAACACAGGTGACCTATGAGTACAAAATGCAACAATATCAGATATATTGTGTTTTGCTTGAACAGATTTAACGTAAAACTTATTTTGCTCTTCTTCAGGTTAGATATTTTCAAAGTTTTCAAGCGGTTGTCTCCTCGTCAAACGAAGAGTCCTCATCTCTTGTCATAGGTAATTTATGTTTGACTTGTTTCTTGAGCTTTTAATTAGTTTAAATGTCCCCCTTTTTTACTACTTAAAGTTTTTTAAGGGCTTTTCTTCTGCAGAGCTCCAGTAACTCACTATCAATTCGCCTCCGAGTCGTGGGCGTAGACAGCGCTGGTCTGTAGGTCACGCTAGCTTGCTGCCTAACATTGCAGGTGTAGCAGATGTGGCAGGTAACATAGGAGCTATTCAGCTCTCTGACACTAATGTCTTTGGGGACATGATAAAAGTTAATATCACAATTAGCTTTCTCACGAGCATTGCAATCCGCTAACACATATGCTTTTTCCGCGATCCTCCTCTCTATTTTTCTGAGTGTGGAGCTTGGATTTGCTACATAGAAAATCTCACTGTATCTGATCCTGCCATTTGGCTCTGCCAGAGAATTAAAGCGATTCGAATGCAGAAGTACTCAAGGAATGCAATTTCACACTTATATTTTCATGTAGACAACAAGAAAAACATGATTTTGATCGGGGTAGGTCTTTAAAGGCATGGTTTCAGAAACGTTGGTAAATATAGACACATTTTTTCTCATATTGACTTGACATGAAAACACCCATACTTTTCTTATTAGCAGTGGTGCAGAGTTAAATACACAGAGATGTGCATTCTGCTATGTTGGAAGCATTATTTGCACTTTTTGGACCAAAGTAACAGGAAACAAAATGCTAACTAAAAAAAGCACTCAGAGAGTGCAGACCTTCGCCAAGCAGCTCATGTCCCCCCTTATATTGTGATTCACACCAAAACTTTTACTGTTACGTGTCTTTTATTAACTTTTATGTATGTTTAAACTGGTATGTTCACTGTTCATAATGTTCCTAAAACAAGAAATGCCCTGACCCGGATTTGAACCCAGGACCTTCTTACTGTGAGACGACAGTGCTAACCACTACACCACTGTGCCGCCCATTGGTTATCTTTCAGCATTGAAAATTCCAACAACACCCTTATTTTTGTGTGTTCTGGATCACAGTATCCAGAATTTTGTCTGGATTAGGATCAACCTTTGACACCTCATAAAACTCATTGAGATCCTTTTGTGTCATTTTTTACTAAAGACTCTGGACATTTTTATAGAGTTAAATGCAAAAATTCCAAAATTTGCCCTATCTCACAATGATAAAGAATCCTTCAAAAAATTCCTGGATCCAGAAGGCGATCCGGATCACCACCAAAATGTAATGGGATCCTCCTGGGGCTGAGACGCACCTCTGGTGAAAATTTCAGGTCAATCCGTCTGTAACTTTCTCTGTAAAGTTGCTAACAGACAAACAAACAAACAAACAAACAAACGCTACCGAAAACATAACCTCCTTGGCGGAGGTAATAACAACATAAAGTCTATCAGATACAATCAGATTCAAGGTAATAATAAAAAGTAGAAGAACAGATCAAAATTATATGTGCTTCTTATTTTTCTGACACCTCAGTGAAAAAGCGTCCACTGCTTAAGGTGATGGTAGAAAGTCTCTTAATCCTCTATAATGCGCTGTGATTACCGTTCACGGTGAACATTAGGCAGCCTGGAAGGAGCGCTCTGAGGGATGACTGTTGATGACTCATCCATCACAAATTCACCAATCAATGCCAAAATGTGTGTGTGTGTCTGGTTGATCGCCCATGTCCACTCGCCAGCTCGGTCATTTATTCTGATAATGACTCACCCGCGCTCCTAAAGCATGTTTTGATCGATGCTCGTGGCCTTGTAATAAAATCTTTTTTTCTTCTCCTTCTTCTGGAGGCTGCGCGTTGCCTCTGACAGACGCCGAGCAGCAGCTGATCGAGATCAGAGAGGCCTGCTACGAAGGGAAGATTAAAAAGGTCCAACTGAGCTGGACTCCACAGCAGAGAGCATCATGCGACCAGAGGGTGTTTAGCATCTATAAAGGTGTGAAGGCGTTTGACCTTTGTCAGAAGCACAGCCTGCTGGTAACAGGAGGCATGGACAGACTCATCCGCATGTGGAACCCTCATTTTTCAGGGTGAGAGAGCAGAGCTCAGTGGGAATCGGAGAGGAAATTAGCATTGATTTAGAAAGACACCTCCCGTTGATACTGTTTGCCTTTTTTAGGAAAGCTACAGGAGTGTTGAAAGGCCACTCTGCCCCCATCGTCTACCTCAAAGTCTCCTCAGAGGACGGTCAGATCTTCTCTGTCTCTACAGATAACACTGTGAAGGTGATCCATGCCTCATTTTATATTCAAATGACCCAAAGATGCTGCATCTCTAATTCTGTAGATACACTGATCACTGCAGACATTTCTCTTCTCTCTCTCTCTCTCTGCCTGGAAGGTCACCAGGTATTCAGCGGCGAGGCTCTTTCCTTACAGTTCCAAATCCACACACCATGAATACTACTTTACAAACATAGACCACTGCAGACACGGCCTCTCCCTCCTCTACCTCACATCACTCCGCTAAGCACCAAACATGCATGCCAATCGTTGTCGTGATTCATCAGACTCGGGGAACAGAAACACTGACAGCTGATCAATACACAGTACACCCTGAAAAAAGTTCAGAAGTAGCAGCTGGTGACAGAGAGAGAAAGAGAGAGAGACAGAGAGTGAGCGAGAGAGAGAGTACGGAGTCACTGTGACTGGCAAGTTACATGCAAGTTGTTTGATTCTTAGACTTTGCAGAACATGATTCTGAAGCCAGCAATAGTGGTCGTCATATTAAAAGAGCAGATTTAACAGAGCTTTCTGGCGGGCCTGTATCCTGTTTGCCTCTCAGTCAAATCAGTCACACCTCATTATGCAAACTAATGCAGGAGTCTTAACCTTAAAATCTCCAGAACACAAATACACATATCCATAAAACTAGAGAGAAAAATAATAATGAAATACAGTTACCTACTGCAGCTTTGAGTAAAAATGTATGTGCCTTTATCCATTTCAGATTACTCTTTATTGAACTTGACATAAATCACAGATACAAAAGAGGATTAGGGCCACATGAGGAGGAAAAAATATGACAGAAAGGAGATTAAAGTTGAAATTTAGAGGTTGAAGTCAAATTTTGAGATTAAAAATTGAAACTTCAGGTTAAAGTTGAAATTTCGAGATTACAAAATGTGGAAAAGTCATGACTAGTATTGAAATTTCTAGATTAAAAAAATCCAAATTTGAGATTAAAGTCAAAATTTTAAGATTAAAGTCGACATGAATAAATTCGAACTTTTGACTTTTTAAAATTTCAATTTTAATCACGAAATGTCGACTTAAATATTGAAATGGAAATTTAAAAACTGTTCCTACTGAAGTTATATTTTTTCTCTTCTTGCGGCCCTAACCCTTTGTCATACTGATAAATATCACTTTATTCTCCTCCACATGTGTTGTAACTGTACTTTAGATTTAGTTTTTTTGCACAATTTACAAATATCTAATCAGTGTTCCCTGATTACAGTGGACCAGAAAGCAAACAGGATTCATGGTGACATATCTGCATGCTTGTACTCCCCTGCTCATGAGGTATTACTTTAACCCGACTCAGTATGATTCCTCATTATTCCCCTTTTGTCCTTCTTCCAGGTTTGGGATATTCAGGATCAGTGTTGCCTGATCATAGTGGACCAGAAAGCAAACAGGATTCATGGTGACATATCTGCATGCTTGTACTCCCCTGCTCTGAGGTCCCTCTACATCGCTGCAGACTGCATTGCTGTCCTCTCACAGAAAATTAGGTTTGCTGTCTGGCCTTTTTTTGCTTTATTTATATTCCTCCTCTGAACTGACTCAACACTGATGGTTTTGGGAGGCTCTAAAACTGAAAAGTACAGCTGATGAGTTTGAAGATTTTCTTTGAAGGGTTTAAAAATCCCTCTTTCACCCAAAAGATACATAATTTAAGATTTCTCTCCAGTGCCTCAATTTATAATAATCTTCCAGTTATTCATTTTGTTATCTTTCTCTTCTGTTAAGGCCGCAGCTTCACAGCCGCCTGACTGTTTCTCACAATGAGCCTGTAACGTGCTGCGGCTACAGCCGGGAGTTTCGTCAAGTGGTGAGCTGCTCTGAAGGATCTGTGAGTAAATTTGTGTTTAATATTAACACCGACACAGGCGAGCAACTTTAAATTTACACAGAAGTATAATCCAGTCATGTGCACACAAGGACAGGACTGCTTTTCTCTTTATCTAAACTGTATGTCAACAGATACAGTAAATTTCATGAATAAATGTTTTTATAATCTAGTATCTTCCTCTAATCTTGTCTTCACGTTTTGTAGCTCTTTGTATGTTTTGTTTGATGAGTAGCAGTCATAACACTAACATGAACTTTGATATAATATTACTCATTTTAGGTGGTGAAAGTCTGGGATTTTGACACAGCGCGACAGGTGTTTGAGTTTGGCGGGACAAATGGCCTGTCTGCCTTCACATGTATGACCTTTGACCCCAAAGGGAGAAGGTACAGTAAATAAAAGAGCTTGCATTACAAAAAAAACCCTTTCAGTGCTGTGTTCCACTACCATATTTTTCGCACCATAAGGCGCACCGGATTATAAAGCGCATTAAGCTGAACAAAACAGTCAGATAAGTCAAACTTTATTTAACTTGTTCAATAACTCCGCGAGGCTACGGTAGCTGCAGTGCTCCGACAAGCCAAAAGGATTTTAAGTTCGCCTTATAGTGCAAAAAATACGGTACGTAGGAAGTCGGGTGTTGGAGCTTGGAATGATGTTACATCCAAGTTGATGGCGTTCCAGTAAACAAGTCAGAAAACCAAGATAGATGCCTACTGTTCATGTCCCCCTGTTGTTAATTGTTGTTAGCTATACCAGTAGTAAACAACGCATAACACAGTATTTTACTCTTACAAACACCATAGCACCGTGTTCACAGTTAGACGTTGGGAAGTACAACATATACCACTTATTGAATTTCACAAAAACAAAACAGAAGTGCTAATAAATGATACATTACGAGAGCTTTCACTGTTACCCTTTACTGTTGATGCACTGCGCTGCCATCTTGGATTATGACCTTGTCGTCAAGTTGGGGTTGGTGAGGATTGTGCGACTTTCCGAGTCAGAAGTCGCAGCATAAGTACTACTTTATCACCTTACCAGATGTTTTGTGTTTGCAGACTCATCACTGGAGGAAGAAATGGTTGCTTAAAGATCTGGAACTTCAATAACGGCCAATGCCTGAAGACACTAAAAAAAGGTCTGAATTCAGTCCATAAAACAAAACACTTAAAACACCCTAAATTTAACAGATAACAGAGAAACATCCACTCTTATCTGTCCTCCAGATGCTGCTGTCTGTAATGAAGTGTGTGACTGCGTCTTTCTGCAGGTTCACAGTAACCAGTGAGTAAAAGTTTGATATTCGCCCGTCTTCTTTCCTCTGTGTGAATTATAATCCCTGCTGATTTAATGCTATTTGAATTCGCAGCTATGTGATGTCTGTGGGTCGAGACCGCAGGATTGACATTTACCCAGTGAGTAGAAAAAGAAAAGGTATTATTGTCAGCTGTGTTTCAGAAACCTCATTCCAATTATTCCTCCACCTCTCCATCATACTGCACCTCATTTACATTTGTTTACGTTCTTATAATAACCTGGAAACCAATATGAATCTGCAATAAAAGACCTTTGAATTTCATTAAAAATACAATTGGAAAAGAGGAGTAATATCTTCTGCTTTGTGGGCAATGACACTTCTGGTGGTCTTGTTAATGAGATAATGATAATGTACTTTAGTAGGTATTTTTATAACCGAATCAGATGTATAAGGTTTCTATAGAAAGACTATAGATCTGTGTTTTATCAGGACCTGCCTGAAGACCACCATCATGTCCAGAAGCCGCAGCCCTCCTGGCAGGATGATCTGGTGAGTAATGATCAAGAACTATCGACATTAACTTTGAGAAATCATGTTTGCTTTGACCAAATATAGTGAACCTTTCAGGTGAGACTAAGTATCCCTCTGTGACATTTAAATCAGGCAAAACTGGATGAATTCAGTCTTTATTTTTCCTGCTGTGAAATCTAGACATCCATTTGTTGAAGTGACAAAAACAATAAATTACTTTTACTGTTGAAAACATTCAACAACGCTTCATACAAAGCAGCTCTACAGTTTTATAACGGATCATAAACTTATATGAGGCGAATCCAGACAAAAACAGACGTAGGTTTGTGTTGCATCATATAAACAGTGTAAAAATAGACGCTCCCGCATTTCTGAGACAAAAGCGCTTTGTGCTGAAAAACCTTGAAAATTTATCCTAACAATCCATCCTAACAATCCATTGTTCTGTTGTTACACTCGCTTCACATTTTAGTACATAAGGTTTCTCGGACAGTCGTGTCCTTGCTCCACCGCAGACACCTTTGGGGCTCGGAAGATAAATCTTCCCTGCTGGTACTCTTTTCACTTTTTCTCAGGCACACGCAGGAAGCTGTGCTCTTTGGTCCCCAAAACCTTTTTTTCGCTGACTGGCTGGAAACCTCAAAGAGAGATGGGTAACAAAGCCTGCCTGATCTCTGCCCTACTGTGCAGCATCGCCTGCAGATAATTCTTCACTTCACCTCCTCAGTTTCTCTTAGTTTTGAAAATTTCTTTAACATATTTTAATTTATTCTTCCTATCTGTTCATGAACGTGCCGTCCTCCTGCACCCATAACTCATTTACATGGCTGCTAATGTCATCAAGTTTTCTCCCACATCGTCGTTCATGTCCTCACACCACACAGCTTCTCTTTGTGCAGCCAAGCTTTGACCCGTCACTACCTGTAGTCTATGACAGGCTCGGCTTCAGGGCTGTCACTCAGCTGAAAGGATGATTTTATCACTGACTCAGTTCAGTCAAAAGGTGTGCACCAAATGCCCCATGCACTCCCATCACAGTGTCTCATAGAGTTACATCAGTTTTTCCCCTTAAGCCTTTTTTCTTTTTGGTTTTGCACATAAAGTGATGTCAAGATCACATATTTTGAAGACAAATCTAGACGCATATTTATTTATTTTTGACAGTTACAGAGATATTTCATGAATAACCACAATCACAAAGGCAGATGATTCAATCCACTAAATATCACAGCATCGCTATGCCAGGCACGTCAGAGAGCTGCCAACACTGTTGATGCTCATTAGGGATTTCCATTCCTGATCATTGATTATTGAGTCAGAGCAGCTTTTAGATTTGGTGGATATCTCAGCGCGAGGGGAAATACTCATTTGATTCGATCATGCAGCCTTTGGAGTACATGATGGCCAAAAGTGAAAATCATGCAAACGTAATACTTTTCCAAATGAAAAAACTGGGAATTTGAAGAGTTTTCTTTCCCTCTATGATGCAAATCAGCAGGCGCACCCACCATTTATGTCAGGAAATATTGGCTGGTCTGATATCAGTAAGAACAGAAATCACAGTCATTGCCGTTACTTGTTCTGTGAGTCATATTGCCTCTAGTTGTGAGTTTGTGAGTCAAATCAGGAGCCTGTCTCTTAGTCAATGCTTCTCTCTCCAACAGAGATTCATGAGGATTTTTGGCTGTAATGAGCCTGTTTTTCAGTAATCCTGGAGACCAACAGAGAGCAAAACAACATGAAGGCAAAACAGTGCCTTTAGCCAAAAAGCTCAAGTCAGTATGTTAACCTGCTTTCAGTGACAAAGCTAACACGCCGATTCTTGGCATGTTGAAGTAAACTCAATCTCTGGTTTGCACTCCTGCATACAGAAAGTCCACAGTCTCTCAAAAGGGCGGCCCTACAGCTCCATCTTGACCCACAGCTCTGTGCTGCATGTAATTCCCTATTCTCTCGTCCCAGTTTGCAGGTGCATCCACTGTCCTATCTCTCAGTGAAAGGAATAAAACAAGAGGGGCATGTGTGGACTCTTGACAGAGGTGGCCCAGTTAGGGCTCTGACAGAGGCAAAAGGGGCCAAGGCATCACAAGAGTGTCCTACCAAGGAAACTTACAGAACTCCATGCATTTAGGGATATAATTAAACAAAACAATTCTTGGTCGACTAAAACCCTGAAATTCCCGACTCTCGGTGGGGTAAAAATATACTGATATCAGCACAAAAGGCTAAAATATAAATATTGAGCAAACCTTCTTCTTCTTCTTGTTTTACGGCTATGGCAACCATTGTTAACCACCGGACGTTGATTGACATGGACGCTCTTCAATCTTCCTGTCTCCAGTCGGTCGGTGTCCAGTGGGTTGGGCGAATTAGCCCTTGGTATGTTCCTCCTGATGAAATTAACCTTACCCCCAATTTCCACTGCATCCGAAACGGCTACGAAAAGACCCGATCGCGGCTGCTCGTAACCATTTATGTCGATGTGTCAGTTTCCATCGGCTTCTTTTTGTTCCACTGCTCGGATCGCCGAACTCTGCAGCTGATCGCAAGAGTTCTATTTTTTCCGGACACTGGAGCAAACACTCAGATCGTATTTCACACCATGCAAACGGGCGGGGATGAACAAGTGAAAGGTTTTTAGACAGCATTTCATCCTGATGACACCATGGATGAGGAGATGCTGATTTTAGAAGTCTAGAAGTAGATTTCCTCCTCTGGAATGACATAATCTACTGCTTAAATGGTTAGCCTGTGTGGCTAGAGACAACTTGTTTTTGCGCAATTGCATGTGAATCTGCGGTTTCTTGTCAGTTCTCGTGATTCCCATAGACTGTATATACTATGGACAACTTGGTTCCACCGCCTGTATACGGATTTGAAAAGCTCTTGATGTTTCCGGGATTTTTCTTCATTTCCTGAAACCAGTGCTGCGCAGTAGCGATGTGCGCTTTCGGCTGCGCAGTCGCCGAGAGTCACTGACACAATGAGGACTCTTTCCATGCTGATAACAGCATATTGATGCCTCTGTAAAACCTGTTAAAGCAAATTAAACTATCAGCACTGAGAATCTGTATTTCTAGTTCGTTGCTATTAAAGCCTGAAGTTGCTACCACATGGTAAGTGTCAGGCTTCACTTCCCAAAAACAGCTTTTAATTGCATTTTTCACAGTATGCCTTTTACTAAGTGATACATTCGACTGTTAAAAGACAGCAGGACAAATTTGGTGTTAAAAAAATCAACTTTCTCATGTTTAGAATTAAATTGGCAAATAGAAAAAGAAGTACAGCTTTGTTCACAGGGGGTTCCAAATCAGCCAAAACTGAAAGCGTTTCTCAGGCGCTTTAATAACATCAGCCTTCAACTCAGATCTCAAACTAATTAAAGCAGCCTTGTGCACTCAAAGCTGCTCAACGGTCCCCAGTGATATCACTCGATATATGTCAGTTATTCTATCTGATTTGAGGTGTAAAACATGGTCAGTATATCTCAGACAGCAGGGCACAGCTTTCTCAGTTAGAGGGAAATTGATTCTCTCTACATGATCTATCGAAGGGGGCGAAGCTGCCTCCTATTCCAGCTCTTTCATTATGGCAGCTGGTTACACTCACCCTCAAAGAGGTCCATTAACAGAGCAGAAAGATTACATTTACAGTGCCTGGTAAGAAAAGTGACCTCTTTGATTATCTACAGAGCCCTCTACTGAAATTGTTTTTCATTAATGGCCTGAGGAGGGACGATTGATAGCTTCCTATATATAGGTAGCTCTCTGTGAATTCTCCTTTTCCTCCAGATGGTCACTGCTGTGGTGCATCTCATCAAAACTTTAAAGCACAGCCCAGTTCAGCTAAATATTTTACTTTGGTTTGGATGGAAATTGACGGCGAGCTCACTTGTCAGCACCTACGTCAAACCTGCCATCTGCCTGTCCTGAAATGTACGGCGTCTTGTTGGCGTCGCCACTCGGAGCAAAACAATCCTCTTGAGTTCAACGAGTCCGTGCACTCAGGGTTTCGATGTATTATACACTCGGCCAGAGTACGATTCGCAAAATCCAAACCTCAGAGACGAGTCTTTGACATTTTTATGTGGCTTCAAGAGAAATTTCCAGTGTCTGACTATTTTTGTGGTATTAGACTGAATGTGTCATTTGACAATACACTGAAGCACAGCATGACGGCTGAAGTGAAGGGAACTGAAACACTGAACATCTCCAACACGCAAACACGGACAGGATTCCTTCTGAGACGCTTGTCTTGACTGAAACAGAAATGAAATCTTCAGGGGGATGTGTCCTTGAACCGTGAATTCTTATCTGACGTGGCATGACTTCACTTTTATTCTTCGGCTCTTCAGGATAACTCACTCTTTGTCTTTCTTTAGAAAAATGGCCATAAGGGGGACATCCTCTGCGCGGTGCAGTGCCCTCCATCTCTTCTCGCCACTAGCAGCTACGACGGCGAGGTTATAGTCTGGAACATGGTTTCTGGGCGTATCAAGTGTCGGTTTGTCAGCCCAGTTTTGACTGGACAGAAAAATGCTGAAGGTGATTTGCGTGCATTAAGGTGAATTTTGAACAAAATCAATAAACTCTGGCAACTTTGTATCTAAATGATCCATTTTTGTTATTTCACAGGATGGGATATAAGCGTCCCGAGCATAATTTTCCTTAAAAACTCCAAGTTGCACCAGTTTTCCTCGGCTACAGCTCTGCTGTCATCTGGAGCCTCAGGTCAGTGTGATTCAGTGAGTGCTTGGACATCATTTCCTCCTTTAATATCAGTCAACACTCTCTTAATTTGGCTGTGAATCTCCTCTTTTACAGGTTGTATAAATCTCTGGAGTGTGCTCGGTGGACAAAAATTCGTCGGCTCCTTTAAAGCTGTAAGATACTCCTCTTTTCGCTCTTAGCGTGTTAAGAACTCCACTTATAATCTCTATTGTCGTACCTTGAAAACTGCTGATTGCACAGAAAGATGAATCCTGGTGCGAGTTTTCTTTGCACCTTTTAAACACCTTGCAGGTACTTCCCTTGCAGCTCTGAAATGCAAAACAGAAACCCTTGTATCTGACACAGGGTGAACTTGGGGGGTTTTACGCTCAAATTAAACATGTGCCAAGAAATCCGAACATGGAAAACAGAGAGTGTCTTTGTAGACTTGAAATCGTAAAGATCCTCTACTGTGAGAGGCACAAAATCTTTTAAGTAACACTTTTGATTTGGTGCTGCATGTGTGATAACAACTTAACAGTTTTTTAAAGCTCTTACTTAATAAAATTTTAAACGTGCATCAAACAGGCAGCTGTTTAGAGAGGAGTTTAATAAAGGATTTAAGTCCTGCAAAGAAATGTCATTTTTAATGTTTTTACAGTCTAGATTCCAACAGAAGATTATAAAAATGGCAAAAACAGATGGAGAAACACTGCTGTACGCTGCAGACAGGATTGGTTACGTCTATCTTTACAACATGGAGAAGTTTGTTGCCACTCAGGAAGACTTTGGAGGTTAGCTACACTTCTTTTCTACCACTGCATCAAGTAGTCATATGGTCAAAGTATCATACCTCTGTCTGATTATTTTCATTTTTCTGCAGCTGAAATCTTCTGGCGTGCTCACACCGGCAGAATAACAGGGTATGTGAAATATCAGCCCAGCTTCTCAGCAGTTTTAGGAAACAGGAAAGGAGGAGTGGAGCTACGGCTTTGAACACACAGGACTCAGTGTTGGCAAAGCAGTGATATTTTCATCGTGTGTGTTTAGTTTGACGGCATGTCTCTGTGGTGGCTGACAAGGGCAGGTGATTTACAGCTGCTGGAGTGATTTTCACCTAGAGAAACATGATGCAAACACAGACAGGATGCAAGTTCAAGAACACATGCAAACACAAAACAAAAGCAGAAAACAACCGAGATAATTGCTGCAAATCAAGACTTTTGTTCATGCTGCAGCTAGACAGCAGTGGGAGCTCTCATAGTGATGGCTTCACTTTTGGGGATCTGTCATGTCAGCCATCTATTCATGAAGTATATAGTCTTCTCTAGCTTGTAATGGGATCATTCTTAGCGTAAATTTGATTATGACCATGAGGGGATCCAGTCACATCCTGCACAAATGAATCTGCATATGAGGAATTCAGGTGGTTTTGGTGAAACTGTACGCTTGTTTGAGTCGGCAAGGAAGAAAGGAAAATGAGTAGCACAACCTTTCGGTTCGTGGTTGAGTCTCAGCTAATTTTAGTCACTTCTTATTCACCTCAGCTTTACTGCAGTGCTTTCATACACGAACACCTGACCTTTAAGTGCATTTGCATTATAAAAAGCAATATATAGATCCCAATAAAAAAGAATAATATTCATGCAGCTCATTCTCAGCACAACTGCAGCACAATCTTTATCAGACTTTGGATTTTTCTTTAACTTTTAGCAAGTTCTAAACTGAAAACCCCTCGCTAAAGCATCCTAAGTGGAACAAATCATTCTCAGTCTTGGCAGACATGACAGCTGAAACAGTAAGCTTCCCCAGCTGCAGCAAAGTGAAGAAGCGATCGTGTGTGTACGTGTGTGTGTGTGTGTGTGTGTGTGTGTGTGTGTGTGTGTGTGTGTGTGTGTGTGTGTGTGTGTATGTGTGTGGGGGAAGTTTTAAACAATCAGTGAAGGTGAGATGCTGCCTGGAGTGCTGATCAGACGTACCAACAGAGCATTTGATTTAGGATGTCCTGCCAGAAACGCCGTCTCTCATTTCATCTCTTGTCTCTTTATTCTGGTCAGACTGCAGATTGTTGACAGTGATCAAGTGGTGCTTACCTCATCCACAGACCACACTGTGCGACTGTGGAGTGCGCTCGGAGAATTCATAGGTGGGTGTTGTTTAGCATACGTCAATCCCGTCTTTCTAGCCGTTATTAATGTTCATGCAAACATCATTAATCTTGAGCGCGGTGGCATGGTTAAGGCAGAAATGCTGTTATTTATGTGCATGTTTATTGCAGTGTGACAGCACACACGTCTGCAATAACACAATAGGAGGATTTTGAATGAAATAGGGTATAAGGCCCCAGTGGTCCCTCTGTCCTCCCACTCTCTATGTATTTACCCTGTAACCTTTAAAAACTGAATCCACATGGCAGATTCGATATATTTTGCCTTGAGATCTGGTAAACATCCTCTGCTCCAACACTGCAAAACAACTTGGCCTCAGGTGCACACTGTGTCAAATACTTTCTGTTTATAATAAAAACCAGGTCAATGTGCTACACAACATCATTCCTGAGCAAATAAGGATTTTACAACCAGATTTTTTATCAGTCTCTGTGGTTGAGGAGTGATTTAGCACCTGCTCAAGGTCTAATATTTTATTTAAAAAATGTTTGTGCCTATTTACAAACAAGGACGGAACAAGTTCAGCAAATAACGGCTAATCTTCAACTATCAACTGTCATCTGTTGTCTATGTATCTGCCAATCTGTATGCTTTGTTTGACATGATTGTTGATTTATCGCCCACTGAGTTCTGCCAGTTTCTGCCTACGTTTGTTTTATCTGTTAAAGAACACTGTAAACGTCTGTTTTTAAAGGTGCAATACAAATGAATTATTATTATTATTATTATTATTATTATTATTATTATTATTATTATTATTATTATTATTTATTATTATTATTATTATTATTATTATTATTATTATTATTGTTATTATTATTATTTTAGTATTATTATTATTATATTATATTATATTATATGATGATTATTATTATTATTATATCACTACTTTTATTATCATTACTTTGTTGTTATTATAATTACTTTATTGTTATACTTTTTTTATTATTATAATTATTGTTATTAGTGTTATTATTAATACCATTTTTATTATTATTATTATTATTATTATTATTATTACTACAATTGTTATCCAATTATTATTATTATTATATATTTTTTGTGTATTATTATTATCATCATCATCATCGTCATTATCATCATTACTAATGTTTTTTTTTATTTTTTTTTTATAGTAAGTAAGGAACAACATGTACTGAGTGGGTTGTTGTAATGGATTATTGCACGGCTGTGTTAAGTACTTAAGGCCGGATACTCAGTACCCCGTAGGAAAGGAAAGGAATGTAAAAGACATAAAAATAGGTTATAACAGAGAGGTCTTAAAAGGTGCTTTTGGATCAAAAGCACCCAGAGCTTTTAGTTCTCTTCAAGGGCAAAATGGTCCCTGTGGCCCACTGTTTCTTCTTACACATAAGGCCAGATAAATGTTCCCCGGGGGATTTCGAGCACCTCAAAGACAGAGCTAGGCGAGCAGTCCCCCTCTTTTTCCACCCCTCTTTGTTAAGATTAGCTCAGATGCTGCTTGTAGCACAGATGTGAGAGTGGTAGGACTTTTCTATGCCACTCTGTTTTCTAAAAATGTTGAATTGCCCCTTTAAAAAGCTTTGAAGTATGCTTCTATTTGGCATTTAAACACATGTCCAAGTATTTCTCCTGCAGTGCGTTCTCACAAAATGAAATGCCAGCTCCTTCAAGACATTCATGCTTTAGTCTAATTATTACTTTGCATTGTGTAAAGTTCAGCATGTTCATTTTGAGGTCGGATTCACATCCACCCTAACATTTGAGCCCAGTATGTAACATATCATAGTCATAATTGTGTCTATATTTATCAAACTGGTCAGTGGGAGTGGTGTCGCACAGTTGGGCTCAGCTGTTATGAAATGATCGTAAATGAATTCAGACATTGTGACATTTTGAGAAGCTGCAGTTTTGACAGTGTCACATTCCTTCAGCGCCATGCCGTGCAATATGTCACAACATTAAAATGGAGACCTTTGCTTTCCGTCCACAGGGACCTTTGGGCAGTCTGAGAGCTGGAGCATCCACATCCCCTCATCCTGGGAGCACCCTGCTGTTCCCTACCAGGTTCTGGTGGATCCTCTCAGTATGCCAGATCATGATATTCTAAATACAAGAACAGATCTTTCTGATGCCATCAATCCTGACAATGGCGACGCTCATATAACTAAAGGTGAGCTACTTTCCTTCACAAATGATTATCTGAGCTGTTACTTTTCCTCTCCGTCTCTTTCCCTCCAATTGTCAAACTGCGCTGAACTTTGCCTGCTCTTTTTGTGGTATAATTGCAGCCAGAGACTCACAGTGAGCCGAGACTTCCTCCAACATCCATCAGTGACACTACTGAGGAAGATTAAAAGCCTGCTGCACCCAGAGGAACACAAGAGTGGGTGGGTTAGAGCCATTACAGCAGCAAAGACGATACTGTACATGTGCAATGCAAGTCTTACACCAGACCGGGCTTTAAAAAGTAAAGGGGGTTTATATTTAGACTTGGTGTTGCTTCTTTTGCATTTTAGGCAGTGTTGTGAAAGTGTCAGGCATACTAACAAGCTATCGAACCGCAGCGCACTGAACGGCTTTGATACTGTGGAGCCACCAAGCCTCAGAGTAAGACCTGACCTCTCTCCTGCTGCTATCGATCCTTTCATAAGCAGTGCTGAGGAACAGGAGTCAACTGAATAAAGGGAAACTGTATCGATCACAATTTGGAAAGTGGGGCATTGCAGCAGTATTATACCTCTAAAAAGGCTTCTTCAACTTTGCAAGATCTGCTGCTGCAAAAAAAGAGCTGACAGTAACCTGCTTTAATTAAATTTAGGATGTTTTCAGGGACGCACGACTGTCCAGAACTTTTTTGCTGCTTTGATAAAGAGAAACTGATAATACAGCGATGATAATAACTATGAAGAGGAACACTCTTCTATTACTAACACTTCAGAGAGCGCTGTCCCTGAAAAATACACTGAAGTGAAGTGCAACAGCAAGTGGGTGCTCATGTTCATGCCTGAACAGCTGGACTGCAGATTAAAGCATGTCATATTTAAAGAAACTATACTCCACTCCTCTATTCCTTTATCGCTCATACACGACAAGCTGCACATAAAAGACGGTTTCACTCGCTGCTTGCCCTGAGACTTCGCCGCTGTAGTGTACTCTCACTGCACTCATTGCATCGTTTTCAGATGCAGTTGGCAGCTGTTTTTAGTGGAAAATAATGAATCAGGGTTAGCGGCTAGTCTCTGAACAAAGTGAAGCATCAAGCAGCTTTATTGCCGGATATTACCCTCAGGAGTGTGTTGAGATCTGAAAAGAGCTACAAAGAGAGTGATTATGGAATATCCACCCCATACAAACGAGCATATCTTTGAGACCGTCGAACCGTAGACATCTGTGTTGTTGAAATTGTGCTGTTGTGGCGAAAAGTAAAGTTTTTGTTGGTTAAAATGATTTGTACATTTCTCTTCTTTTGAACCGACGCTCATCCAGGGGTCCGTACTTGGAACTAACAGATTGTACTTTCAGATGAAATATAAAACAAACCTCTCTGACAGCGACAACGACTTTGCATTATTTATTTCTTTATCTTTCAGAAATGGAATATTATCCATGCTGTAAATGCTTCAAATCCGCCTCAGTGGAGTCTCACTGGCTTTTTATTATTGATTAAAGCATGCATACCTTTTAAATTTATCAACTTTGTTTTTTATATGAACTCACTGAAACATTTCCTCTGATGAAATTCACTTTTCCCTTTAATATTTGATCACATTTGAGAGTCTTGAACTTTAATTTCTGAGTAGCTGCGTTTACATGGGCACAAATAATCGGAATAAAAACGCGTCATGTAAACAGGTCAATGGGAAGATTCGGACCCAATTTAGCTCAATGGGAAAGAAATTGTATTCCAATCAAGAGAGCTGGTTTATGCCAATCGTTTTTTCCGAAACTTGTCCATGTTAACACTTATTCCGATCCCCGCTCTGACTCGATCTTCACTCTGTAGCCTTTGGTTTATTTATTGAGGTCAGTACAGGAGGTTTCTGGCACAAAACACAACCGCAGGTGTCATGTCTGCTCCTCCGGTAACATAACAAGGCGTACAAACAGCGTAATGCTGTCAGATCTGCACGCACAGTGCGACCTTTGACAGAACAGTAAAATAAGTAAGCAGGGGCGCCATCTAGTGACAACATTTAATGGGGGAAAACTCCTGAATTGGATGAAGTGAACCAGTTTGTTGACAGCACAGGGGTGAATATAACTCTTCTTCTGCGGTTGTTTTAGCGAAATTAGACAACGCTGCACATGTCCAAATGTTTCTAATCTAAACAGAGCTTGGTGCATGTATTTTCTTGAAGACGCCAAAATCAGGCAACTGGACTATGTAGAGTTGAGAAGACGTTTCGCCTCTTATCCAAGAAGCTTCTTCAGTTCTAATTATTGCTAGTGTGAGGAGCAGATATTTATCTTACTGGAGAAGGGGACAGACAATGCCACCTGAGTCATGTGGTCCCAGGTGTGAATGTTTGTGGAGTTTCCTCGGGAGAGAGCTGAGAACTGCATTGTAAGTGCCAGAGAGATTGTGCCTGAGTCCACCGCCTCTGTTCAGAGAAGGTTTCTCCAGCCTGGTAAAGATGGCTTCTTTAACTCCTCTCATCTGTCTTCTCTAGCCAACACCTGTACATTGCTGTCCTCGAAAGAGTGACCCGTGTCCTTTATGTGAAGGTGGACAGCTGAGTCCTGACCTTAAGAAATGGCTCTCCTGTGTTGACCCATGCGCTTGTGAAGCGGTTGTTTAGTTTCCCCAATGTACAGGTCCGAGCATTCCTCGCTACGATGATTAGAACTGAAGAAGCTTCTTGGATAAGAGGCGAAACGTCTTCTCAACTCTACAGTCCAGTTGCCTGATTTTGGAGTCTTCAAGAAACCCATGACCTGGACGAATGAGAATCTACATGGACTTGGTGCATGTATACACACATCATGATCGTAAAAATTTGATTCAATGGATTCAGATTATCCAATCCCTCAAATATTTAATTGGATCAAGAAATTTTGCACATGTAAACGTGGCTAGTTTTAGGTTTGAGAAAGAGGACAATTATGTGCAAGCAAAACAAAGCATGACATTTATGAGCAAAATTAGGGAGTACGGTGTTTGTACAACAGCAATTTGCAAATTCCACATTGTCCACATTGAGTCATTTGTTTGTGTAAGGCCATGGCTCATTGAAATTAGACCCACAGAGCTTTAAAACACATGCGCTGTATCATCTCTTTCATACACACACATACAAACCTGCACAGTCCTCACTACATCTGTTTACTGAGAAGGTTCAAGTGCAATTTATTGTTAACACACAATAACTACAAGAGCAAGCTGGGGCAGGTAATACACACTACATTTATTTTGATTACTCTGTGTATTAGCGCTCAGCCCTGCTTTGTAGCCTAATTACCCACACAGATTCAAAGCAGTGGGAGCTCGGAATTATTCAGAATCGCTCAGTGAATATTAGCACCTTTACAGAGGGAGCAGGAGTCATTTTTTAAAATCTTGAAAGCCTAAAATATTCTGGGTGGGAAGTGGGTAATTACAGGCCGCAACTTTCCACTGAGCCACACTCGAGCTGCAGACAAAACAACGCAGTGATGTCGACCTGAAAGTCTGTCTAATGACACAGATAACTGATCTAAGTTATAATGTGACCCTTAAATATTTCACGCCAGAGGAGTCACCAAACACATCATGTAGCTGCTCCTCTGACATGAGCTGCACGCACTTTGTCTCTTTTCGCCAGCAGTCATAAAACCAGAAAACTCTGACACGTCTTTGCAAAGTCAAGAAACCCCCAGTGTCCACAAATGTGCGCTTTCATTTCCCGTCATCGAAGAGAAGATTCAGACAGACGCTGTCTTGTTTTTTTTTTTGTCTCAAGCTGTGAGAGACTTGTTCGTGGTACTGCCGCTGACTGATCTGTCAAAGCTTATCTGTGTGAATGATGCTTTCACAGGATGTCAGGCGTACTGCTTCTACATCTACACATTAAGGATAAAACAGCTTTAAAAGTGGAATGTGCATGATGCAAATGAGGCATTTATTAGAGTCTGAAATAAGTGTTCAAATTCACGGATATATTTTAAAGTTTTTGCAAACTGAAATCATTTTTTAACAATTTTAATTGCTTTTTTTTCTGCAGAATATTTAATTATCATTTTGTTGCAACATTGAACACCAAATAGTGTGTGTATAGAGTGCTCGCTATGTAACAGAGATTGTGCATGATTTTAATCTTTTCTATATCCTTTAAAAAAGAGAAAATCAAAACCTTTGAGTACGCGGAGTTGAAGGTTTTGCACAAGCTTTCAGTTTACAGTTTAATTTCAGCTCTTAGAAAATCTGTTCCCTTCAACAAGATTTCAAAACTGAATAAATCTGACAGAAACACAAACAACAAACTCTTATCCCGGATCCTCACGCCAAACTACAACTTCTGTAGCAAGAAACTCATGCTTTGACCAAAAGCAGGAAGGATATACGAGAAACAACAATTACTCGAAGTTTTACACGTTTTATGCAAAAATGTCTGTTTTCTTAAACTTTCGTGATTGATGTTCTGATTTTGGCTCACAACAACACCTAAACTGTGTCGAGCTGTCATTGATTGATGCGGTTACTTACAGCTGTTGTTTCCTCGCTATCACAAGGAAAAACAAAATTTCATCTGAGTGATGTTTCTCAGAGTTTTGTGTTTTTATTCAGCCAGAGACAGACTTTTAATGGAGCACCGAGCACCTGTTTTTAAAACTGAAACCACTGACCTTTTTACAAAGACTGTTTTTTAGATACATAAACAAAATATGAAACGATAAGATGCAAAGCAAGAGGGAAGATCAGTTTTCTAACATTAAATCCAAATGTTTATGTTCACAGATCTTTTTGTCCTGTTGTAGTGGAAATATAATTGACGATGAATCAATCAACATCTCTGCACTTTTTATTTAAAAGTTATGAGCCAAATCAAAACAGGAAATAATCAATTCAAATGCAATGTTGTTGTATTTTTGGGTCTCCACACTTTTTAAAGGGATATTCCGGCGTAAAATTAAGTTAGGGTCACTCACACCATAACACCGAGTTAGACACCCCGTTGATCATTTCTTTATCATTTCCTTGAAGTAATAATCATCATATTAATAATTTGCAGACGCAGTAGTTTTTCTGCCTTCACGTCTCGGTCTGATTGCATTTCCATGAAGAAATGATCATAAATGTTCTTTCTTGAGCTGCGTCACCCCGCTGTAGTCGATGGACTCGCCTAGAGGTCTCCGTACAAACAAGCGGCTGCTGGAAGAGAGTGGGTAAGCGGTGTTTAGTCTCTTTGCTAAAGAACTCAGGAAAGCTAAAAAGATGTTTGATGGCTAGTACTATGACTGGGACCCTATATGTCCTGTTGCTTTAGTTAGGTGCTGTTCTGAGCATTATTTGTGGCTTTAGAGTGGCGTTTTGGTTCAGCATGGCTCTCTGTATTGCTATCTTGCGGTCGTTAATAAAGTTGGTAAAACTAAAAAAAAGCAAGCGTTCGTCAACATTCCTCTCTCGACTGGGTGTCTAACTCGGTGTTATGGTGTTTGACCCTAAATTAATTTTACACCGGAATATCCCTTTAAAGACTGTCCCTTTTAGTTGTGCCTCTGTGATTTGCATTTCTTTAGATAAATAAAGAAGCTTAAAAAAAGCTTTCTGCCAAGTCGATGTTAGCGCCCCCTGTGGACAAAACAGCACCTTTTCCACTTCACTGATCTCTACATGTATGAGTCATGTTCTCTAGCATAAAACCCACCCCTGTGATTTTTCATTTTGACACATAAACATGGGAAATACTAAACAAGGCTGTTCTGCTGGCATGGAGTAAATCAACTTAACTGACTCTGACTCCCTGCCAGAGCTTCCAGACTTCATAAATCACGTATATTAATCGATTATCCTGTTTGTTTTGGTGCGTAAAAATAGATCTGTTGAGATCGGTTTCGGTTTGTTTACTTACTCCCAGGTAAAAACTCCCTACAAGAGCTTTAACGATTCTGAAAACAAGGCTTCCACAACATACCTTTGGCGTTAAATCCTCCTAAAAGGTCGTAGGTCGCCGTGTTATGCTCACACAGTGAAGTTTTCCAGGAACACTTGAACGCAGCAGCGGTAAAGCCTTCATTTGCACGCGTTGCCAGCCTGTCAGCTGCGCTCAGTGTCCTCGTCTCACCAGCAGAGCGCGTCCCTGCGCCTCTCGCTGAAAACGGGGGATGCCTCCTACCACCAGAGCACAGACCCACTCCCCGTTTTCGTGAAACTGTGACAAGAAAAAAGCCCTGTTGTGTTTCTTTTGTAACACTGTCTCAAAGCTCATGCCCTGCGAGCTCTCTCCACCTCCTCCACCGCGCACAGGACTCCTCCAGGATGCTGAAGAACAAGCCCGACATCGGGCAGAAAGTGGCAGGCTGCTGGATTTTCCTCTCGCTCTGTAAGTCTTCACTTTACTTTCTAATCTACATGTCATGGCAGCTGCGTGTCAGGGACAGTCCAAAACAGCAAACAGTTTGTGTCGCTTGTCAAATGTGAAGCTTGTGTTGTTGTGAAAGAAGCGAGAGAGTAGCGCTCGGATTGTGTTTAAAGGGGGCGAGAAGAGACGAAGTGCGAGGAGTGTATTTCCCCAAGTGTTGGAGAAGTGCGGAGCCATGATTCCTCTCAACTTCCTGAGGAGTTACAAGGCGAATTGTAATTACTGCCTGCCATGTGGGTTCATGCAGACCAGTGACTGTAAGTTTGCACGAGTGTGAGTCACAGGAAAAGGTTAGAAAGCTTCTCCTTCGAGTTGAAATGTGTCTTCGCAACAGTGAGTCGCTCCTACATGACACATCGACATCAAACTCGATAATGTGGGCTGCGTGCACCTCAAGCCAGAGCTACTGTAATATTTACCCCTTCAGGTTCCGCTGTCATTCTCGATTGTGCATTGTGAGTTTAGCCAACCCAAGCAGAGAATTACACAACACCTCATGATTTGTGATTTATTCTAACTCGTTTTGCTGCCTCAGGGGGTTAAAACCGCTTACACAGCCTTGTCAGTCAGTTGAAAGAGTACTTCTAATAACAGTCTGCTGCAGGGAGATTACATTTGTTCTCCCATTCATGAAGTTTTCAGCAGGATTTGACACATAACTAATAGGCCAACTTAAATCCAGAGGAATAAAATAACATTTTAACCACCACTACACTTTTATTGTCCTGCACATACCCATTAAATCCAGTGATGTGCCACTTGTCTATGTTAGTGTGCAGCCGACCATGTGTGGATGCAGCTGTGGACAGAATTACAGTGAGTGACCAATAATGCAGCGGTTCATTGTAGCATGTGGAAGACCTCCTGAGCAGAAAGAGATGAAATGCCAAGCTCAGGATTGAAAATTTGTTTTCATAAAGGATCTGCAGATAAGTGTGTTTGCTGTGCAACAAAGAGCATCGATGAGTGAATAAATAACTGTTTTTAAGAGCACAAGCAGGTGTGTAAGAGGCAAACAGGGTTTCAATGAATTTTAATGCTGCGAGGAATTATTTCTGGTCACACTTATTTAAGACGATGAATTGAATTCAATTAAGGAAAACCAGTTTATATCCCATGCTTAGTCACTCTTGCTTTCTATTTTATGATGCTGTATTTTGAGGGTATTTTCACACACTGTCATTTTTGAGGTCTCCTGGAATGACCCCAGAAACATCACCTTGTCTCAGTTGCTTGTTGCAGCATTAAAATAAAGGAACCCTGCTGTTCATCCAGTGGATAATTTGGCTGCAAAGCTGCGATTTAAACAAATACTCTAGAAGCGCTTTATAAGCAGTCTGTGCGGTTTGAGCCAGGGTCACTGATAATCCACTGTTCGACCCCGTCTTCAGGCGACAGCTTTGTCCGCATGTCTGGCTCGGACTCAAGCACGTTTAGTCGAGCATCACACTCTGACAAGGCTGCCTGTCTGCTCCCCCTCCCTGTATGTAATATTCATGGAGCTAACATCAAGGCCCAGCCGAGGTCTGGAGAGCGTCCAGTCTGGTGACATTAGGGGGGCCACCTCTGCTGTTTTTCAATGATGTCGTCCAGCAGACTGTCAGTGGAGCTGTTCGCAGCTCAGTCAGGTCGAGGAGCATCACCCTGAAGTCCGAGTCCACACGGGCAGCATTTCAATCGTGGCAGATGTTGCAGCTCTGCACAGTGTGAATTTTACGGTGGGGGAAGAGATTCTGTGATGATGAGCGGTTGTTTGGGTAGAGAGGGTGCCTTAAATCTGCTTTTATTAGGTGGGTTTGGGTTGGCATTGTAAAAACACTCTGCTACTAAGAAATGTTAATTTAATGGTGTTTCTATTCCATTTTTGTTTCATAGCAAAATAAATCAGCGCTAAGGTTATTCTTCTGTGAAATCTGGATTTGAAGTTGAACAGAAGTTGCAAACAAAACAAAACAAACCTTTCTTTATCCCCGCTCTTTGATGTGTGAATTCAGGTGGCTGGGTTTTTACTCAGTGACTGTAAATGAGACAGTGAGATTGATGTGGCCAACGATAAGGACAGCGCTCAGCCAGATATGTCTGTCTATGATGACTCTCAGCCGCGGTCACAATTGGATGGCCACTGAAGGAATGAGATGTCCAGTTGGAGGGTGTTTTTTTTTCTCTGCGGGATGGACAGCCTCTCGGCAGGTGAGCGAGAGAAGTGCTCTGTGATTTGAGAGGATTTCAGGGTCCAGTTGCAGCTGCTGAGGCTCCCACACGCTGAGAGGCTGACGCGGATGAGGCACCTGGTTAAGATGCCATCATAAGAGACCGAACTCCGTCAGATCCCGGATCTGCTGCAGAGATTAGGGTACATCTCTGGCTGCATGGGGAGTTCTTATAGAAAAGCTGCAGGGGAAAAGGCTCCTTGTATTGGATGAGCAGCTGGCAGCCAAGTGATGAAAAGATAAATGGATTTCTTAATTATTAAAACCAAATAGTTACTCCTACTAACTACCTTTTAAAGAAAACACAAATTTGGAGTTTCTGCTTCAAGGAAAAAGCTGCTAATATATATTCTGTGCTTCAAAACGTCGCGTTCTCCATCTGGTTTCTCCAGAAGTGCCTATCCCAGCTCTAACATTAAGCATGATACTAAATATTTGATTTAAAAAGCATCTTTTAAAGCATTTGGATATGTTTTAAGTAAAGCATCTTAAATAAAAGATAAGAACTTAAGCATATTCATTTTAAAAACGGTATTGAGGGAGCGCAACTGGCTCTCTCGAGGTTCAGCGGCTCTGTACTCCCCATTCTTAAAAAAAAAGGGCTTCACGTAGAGGGTTGCTGGCCAAGCACGAGCGAGAATCAAAGTTTAAAAATTAAGTGACACCACACCAGATGAAGCCCGCAATCATTTCATGCTGAACCGTTTTCAGAGCAGCTTTCAGAAACAGAAATCAGATGCAGCACTACAGCTGAACGCCGAGTACAAACGGTGTGCCATCTGTGCCAGTACTTTGAAACACGACTTTTATTGTGGTAGCGCCTGCTGCCTCTGTATATTTGCTCCATGCAACAGTCACACTGACAGTCTGTAGTTAACTTTTCAACATTTTTAAGCAACAATGATCAGTGGGCAGTGGGTTTGAACTACTGTGTGAGTCATCTTTGGGGGTGAGCTACAAAGCTCTCATGAATGATTCTTAATTTGCCAGTTTATCACCTTTTGTATGTTCAGAGAAGACTTTAAGAGGGAAGAAGCAAACAGCACGGCAACACAGACTGAAATCAGGGCCTGTCTGTACGAGTCCAAATATTTCTCATTGAGATGTCTCACTTGAACACTTCAAAGCTCTGTAGCAGTCTCAAACCATCCGAGCAAAATAGAGTTCTTGAGTTTTAAGTTTCTGAGCTTTCACCCCTCACAGAAAATACCTTTACAAAAGTGTCAATGAAACCATTTTATAAAACTGATGATAAGCTCAATGTTTTTTCATATCATGCTAAAATTTAAACCATTGTTAGCTGTTTTAATATGTAGGAAATGGGAATGCACACTCGATCAGTCTAACTAGGGCAGGGCGATATGGCCCCAAATCAATATCACAGAATATTGAGCAGTTCATCTCGATAACCATAAATGGACGATAACTACTCCACAAGCTGCTCACCCCCTCCCACATTAATTACGTCTTCTTCAGCCACTACAACTTTTGAACCGTCCTCCATCTCTTCTCCTGTCTTTCCCTCTTTGTTACGAACTGGATGGGGGTGGAGTCACATCTCTGATGTAGGACAGCGTCTTATGAGACATGAGACCTACCTACACACATCCAAAACCAACTTTTACTCTTTATTTTTTTGACACTGAATGTATTGACATGGGCAAAATGATCGTAAATTTTGTTATCTATAATATTTGGTTTATCGCCCAGCTCTTCGTCTAACCACAGACGTAGATGTGAAGTTGAATTAAAGCTTAAACCTCCTGGCAGACGGCTACAGCAGGCCCACCAATGCCTCAAAGCCAACCATGCTGCTAATTATGCAGATTTATGCACAACTCTGTACCTTTTTAAATGATCTAAATGGTTCAGTTAAAGAAAATCGTCCCTTGGATAGTATGCTTAAATAAAAAAAGAAAAAAAGAGAAGTTCTGACATGGAAACTGTTTACAAACCTAGACTTTGAGCATGTTTATTTAGGGTGACCATATTCTTAATCCCCAAAAAGAGGACATGACTACGCGGGGGCGGAGTCACAGAGTCGCACATAGTTAATTTTGAGAGTTTTTCGAGTCAGAGCGAGTTTTTTCACGTGCTTTTAACTCAGCAAGTCCACATGACACAAACTCAAAACTTCCATACAAAATTCATACAAATTTGGAGGGTTTTGCAAACTCCCCCAGACAAAGCCGGACAGCCTCCAGAAAAGAGGACGTATAGTCACCCTAGTTTATTTCTCCTGCGTTGGTTTTGTTGGCACTTTCAGGGATTTTAAGCCAGCCTCATGTGGACACTCGAGGAACTGCAGTTTTTTACACTTGCGTATTAGCTCTGCTTTTTAATACCAGCGGTTGCTGCTCAGATATGACGTGCACAATAGGAACAAATCGTCAAATGTGAATGCAAGCTTCAACTGTTATATAACTGTTCAGTGTGTTGTACAGTGCACGTTTGTTTTGAACATACTGCACCCCCTGATTCCTGTATAACTCTGAATAGCAGAGGGAATGCTCAGTCCTCATTATTTTAGGGTAATTGTACTTCCAAACCTGGACAAATTAATTGTCTTTGTTTAATCTGACATAAAGCTGATGTTGTCTCTGATAGGGCAGATGGTTTCCAGGAGCCCATGTATCCAGTGCTCCAAAAGATCATTACAGTAATTATTATTTTCTAATCAAAGCCTCTGGAGCAGCCTTTTGCGTATGTTTTTTAACTCGTGTCCTTGATGATGAACAAATGAATCAATGTGAAACTGTGTTTTTCCCTTTTTCCACACTTATTCACTGAGGATTTTCATTGGATTTGATTCATCATCATACACACAATATGGTAGTTATTCTTGGTTACATGCGGCTGCAGGCACAATCTGTGCATGCACAGTCAGACAGCAAACGGCAAAAAAACAGGTTGTGCTTTTGGTGCTTCAATTTGTAGAAATAAAGGACGGAAATTTGCTGCAGATTCGAGTAGCTCCAACAGCAAAAACAAAGCAAACATGAGAGATCTGTGAGTACCTGTTAAATCAAACCCTATTGTCAGCCGTCCTCTTGTCTCATTTGAATTTGACAACCTTCGAGGGACAATTTGAGTCTCTTTGGCCCGCTGTGTGCTTTACACGTCCTTACAAGCCACTCTGCACCAGTTTGTGGCATGCAGCTCCCATTGTTGTTTGAACTGGAGTGCGGGGAGCTTCAGTCTGGGGCTCCAGAAGAGGTTGGTAAGAGGTGAATTCAGGTTTAATGGTGTGGGATGTTTGTGTAGAGGTCTCAGAAGAGTTTCCTGGATGGCAGCCGGGCTATAAATACCTACACGGTGCAGCTAACATGATTTCAGATTTTTTATTGTCTTTGCCTGATCAAATAACTTTGTTTTTGGGGACCAGCTGCAGTTGAGACTCTTTAACATTCAGCCTCTGTGGAGCTTTTTGCAGACTCATTTTACTTTGAACATTCTTGTGTGCGAATATAAGAGCTCTTTTAAAACTCACACAGACGGCTAATTAGCATTCAAGTTAATAATACACCTGCACAGATGGCTTTGTTAATTTGATTGACTAACTTCAATACACCTTCGTGTGGTTCTCGCATTAAAAGTATGAAACGGAAAGTTTGAGTCGGGTACAGACAAGCTGTCGAACAAGAGTATCACTGTTTAATTGCTGCAAATCTCCTAAGCTTGTTTTCTTTGTACACATCCTGTAAGACAAAAGCTCTCAGCAGAAACTTTTGTAAAGATTTCCACTCGCTAAACTTTGTAACTAAACGTTGATTCTTTGTAGTCAAACTCTTTAAATTCTGCCGAGACACTCTGATTCCCTCCCTTTATGCACAGTGTTTCTGAGCTAATTGCATCGGACGTCTGCTTTGATTACTATGACAATGTACATTTAGATGCTTGTTGAAAAGCTTCCAGCATGTAGAGTGATTTCCTGAGTCTCTTAAAATCAAAGAAAGCAAGCTACCCCCGGTGCGGCTCAATTGAAAACACGCTGGAAACAACAGACTTGATTATGCAGGCTGAAGATGCGATGAGATGAAGGTGCTCTCATCAGCACTCCTGACATAATGGAGGGAGTCTCTCTCTCTCCCTATACACCCCCACTGTACGCCGCCGCCGCCTCACCCTCTCCAGGGTGAGTTATGAAAGGATGGTGGAAGTTTGAGCAGATGTAGCAGGAAGTATCTTGAACATGAGTGTTGTCCTTGAGGAGGCTTGTTTTCAGCCTAACGTTGCATTTTTAATCGAGACAGAAGCAGGATGCAGATGACAGTGTGACAGAGCTCAGGATTTGGTGTTATTCACATGGCGTTTACGGTTCAAGAACACTGGATGACTTAATTGGAAAAAGGGCATCGTGATGGAAATGATGCGAACATTAAAGTTACTCCCTTTTGCAGCATCACCTGCTTCATCGGCTCTGCAAAATAAGCAGAGGCCCATTTCCTTTCAGTCTACTGTCTTTCGCTGAAGGTTATTCGGGGCTGTCCTCATCACATGAGAACTCCATTAGCTGTAGACTGCACTGAAAATTGGCTTCTTGCAGTGAGAAACAATGGCAGCGAGAAAAAACTTTATTTCAACAGGAAGAAAACTTTAGCAGAGGAAGAATCATCGGTGTACAGTCATCTGCTGCGACTGAATAGACCATGACACTCTCAAATACTGAACAAAGTCGATCTATGTTAAAATTGTCATGTTTGTGTCTTTATAGCAGTGGGATAGATAGTCAGCTGCTCTGTAATATGAATTACTAGGAATATAGGAATAGGAAGCCACTATTGAATGATTTGATTGTCCTCCCACATCCCAAAAACATGCAGAAGTGGGGTTAGGTCAGTGGTTCTCAAATCCAGTCCTCGAGCCCCCCTGTCCTGCATGTTTTGGATGTTTCCCTGCTCCAACACACCTAATTCAAATGATCAGCTCGTTAACAAGCTCTGAAATGGCTTAATAACGAGCTGATCATTTGAATCAGGTGTGTTGGAGCAGGGAAACATCCAAAACACGCAGGACAGTGGGCCTCGAGGACTGGACTTGAGAACCACTGGGTTAGGTTAATTGGCCACTTTCAAATTGCCCGTAGGTGTGGATGGTTGTTCGTCTCTATATGTCAGTCCTGCGATGAACTGGCGACTTGTCCAGGATGTCCCCTGCCTTCGTCCGAAGATGCTGGGATAGGCTCCAGCCCCCCTGCGACCCCTAACAGGAATAAGCCGTAGAAAATGGATGGATGTTTTCAGTGGTTTCGTTTTGAAAGATGATCGAATTTTTGGTGAAGTTGTCACTGAATAAAAAATTGAAACCGAGTTTTCAGAGAAAAAAATCAGGATTTTATTTTTGGCCAAAATCGGGCAGCCCTGCATTACAGCAGTAGTTTGCTGGAAGTGTGTATCAGGAGGCTTGTATGTGAATAAATAAAAGTCAGTGTGAGGAACTAAAAATAGGGAACATAAGAGGAACACTCCCCACTGAAAAACTAATATTCCATCCAAATCTGAGTCCAGTACCGCTCTCAGTTCTGGTCTTTAAACGACAACCTTTGCTTCTTTTGAAACATGGAAATGAAATGTGATTGTTCCGCTTGGCAAGCGTGCCCGCTTTGAAAACTGGCCTCCCTCCTTTCTTGTGTTTTGGCGCTTTTACGACAGAATAATGAGGTTCATTATATTGTCCTTCTTTTCTCTGCTGGTGGTTTCACTCCAGGCTTTACACGCTGAAGAGTTTTGAAGTTTACTCAGAACTTTGAATAATTGAAGACGAGGGTTCCTCTTAATATCTGACCATATTTCTGCACATTAAGCCATGAAATCAAACGCTTAGAGATGGGATCTGTTTTATGAAATATGTACCGGTTATATTTGACTTCTTTTTGGGTGATTGAATCTCACTGCAGCCGGCTTGTTCTGCCCTCCGCCCATCGAGGTTGAATTAACACCTTCACAGGTGTCTTTGAGTGGCTGCTGCAGGCGAGGAAATGTAACTCTTTCAGTCGTCTCATTAAAGACTGTTTTTAAAGCTGACTGATGCTGAAGAGCAGGTGGCCCGGTTTAATGTAAGCAGCTTTATGAATTCATCCTCAATGACGCCGCTCTTTTTGATGTATTGATTTGAAATCCTGGGATCTCTCTGTGAAGATTTTCTTGTCTCCGAATCGATGGCAGTGTAATTGGATAGAAGCTCTTCTGGCTCTAATTACGAGCTCAGACAGATGAATGGTGCTTTCAAAAAGATAAAATATAGAAGAAGGTTCTGTGGAGTCATCTTTACTTTTTATTTTAACTTTTTCAAAGTTAACAAATTGGAGATGGTTAAAATTGGCACAGATGACAGCTGTAAGATGAAAATCTGATCGGTCTAAAGGAGAGAAAGGCTACATTCACACTGCAGGTTATGATGCACAATTCAGATTTTTACCTCCGCCAAGGAGGTTATATTTTCGGTTGCGTGGTTGGTTGGTTTGTGAGTTTGTTTGTCTGTTAGCAACTTTACGGAGACAGTAACAGACGGATTGAACTGAAATTTTCACCAGAGGTGCATCTCAGCCCCAGGAAGATACCATTAAATTTTGGAGAGGAATTTTCAATGCTGAAAGATAACCAATGGGCGGCAGAGTGGTGTAGATGGGCAGCACAGTGGTGTAGTGGTTAGCACTGTCACCTCACAGCCAGAAGGTCCTGGGTTCGAATCTGGGTCAGGGTATTTCTTGTTTTAGGAACATTATGAACAGTGAACATACCAGTTTAAACACAAATAAAAGTTAATAAAAGACACGTAACAGTAAAAGTTTTGGTGTGAATCACAATATAAGGGGGACATGAGCTGCTTGGCGGAGGTCTGCGCTCTCTGAGTGCTTTTCTAGTTTGTTAAATCCGATCTTTTTGTTCCCATTACAACAACGAATGCGGCATCTAATGTGAACGGAATGCGTCCGTGAAGTGACCCGCATGCGCACAAAGCACAAATTGCTTTCCGCGCGTGTTCGTCTTGTCGAACAATGATGACGTTTGTCTCATATTGATGACATACAGGTTGGATGAACGCGACCTGAGCGTCCACACTGCAGTCACATCGGATACATATCTGATTTATACCCACAGACAAAAGATGCCTGGGTCGGTGTCACATATGGTTAAAAAATCGGAATTGACCGGTTTATGTCTCAGTTTAAGAAAATTCAGATTTTTGATTGGTCTCTAAAGTTTCACCCTGTTTCTCTCTTTTTTCCTCACAGTTCATATAAACATCTCCGCTGGCAGCTCAGGAAAAGGCTGGCAGGTAAGAAAACAGTCGACACTTTTTTTCTTGTTTTATTTTGTGTACATGAGTCTCAACCCTTTCTCTGCTGCCAAATTCTCTAATAATTTGTGTGAATGATTATTTCCCAGTCTCCTCACCTCTATTAAAGATTTAATTAGCTGCTCAGATGGGGAAAAACAAGCATGTTTCTGTTTTTTTTTCTCCCCCCAGTGGATTGATTATTGGCCCACAGGTTTAGAGGTTTAATTCACTCGTTCGCTCTCTACTCGAGTGCAAGAAAAACTTTCCTGCCGCTGCATTTTCCGAGAGTGCAGTTGCTGTTTGATAAATAATTAACATGTTCGGTTGCTCTACTTCGTACTGGTTTGAGGAGATGTTGACAGTAAGCCTCCTGGCAGAGGTGCTTAGCATCACAGAAACTGGAAATTACTGTCGCAGTCAAAACTGGTGTCAACAGCTTTTTAGCCTCCGGGGAGGTTTCTCCCTTTTGCTTTTTTGGTGTTTTTATTTTTCTCCCACTTTTAGACAGATAATGTAAACACATAAACCTTCTGTTTATCTGATTGAGAGGCATCTTAAAACCAGATAAAAGTCAGAAGCAAACAAACATATTAGCCTCTAATATTTCGGGTAGAAAAGTTTGCCTGAGTCACTTTTGTTCCTGGAATAAGTCTTTCACATTTGTAGCTACCTTTTCAAAAACAGAAACTAAAAGCTGTTTTTTTTTCTCTCACAGTGGAGAAACGATTAGGGACAGCTGCCTGTCAGAGTGATAGAGGATTTATTTAAATGAACTCCAGTCAGGGGAAGAACATTTTCCCCACAACAATGGAAACATAATCAAGAATAAAAGTCATGTCTAATGTGCTGGAAAAAAAGACATTATACAAGCTAAGATTTATGGATTAATGGAGTTCCTTTTAGCACAAACTATAACAACACATCTATTCTTGCACTTTAACGTCATAGACAAGCGTCAGAAAAACTTATTTGTCTGTCATCATCTTGTTCCTGGCTCCAGCATGTGGCTGCTTTTCAGAGCATTATACTTTATTAAAGCTGCAGTACAGAGTTTCAGTTTAAACACACTGATTAATAAACATTTGCACCAAAAAAAGAGGGAAAATATATGGTGTTACATCAATTTAACTCATTCAGTGCCAGGTTCATTTATGCAATTTTCACCCGGTGCCACCATTGACCGCAATAGAAATATCTGCATTTTTCAGGACCCACAGGATATCTTGTGCTTGGACTAAAACTAAGTGTAATATCTCCAAAAGAAAGGGGTGACTCTCTTCTTTCACCAGAAAAAAAACTAGTTTCTAACCCACTCCTGTGTTTAGTTATTGCCTGCTCAATAGTCATATAATCTTTGCCGACTTTTCTATAAAATCTTTCAAAGTGAAACAGGTGGTAAAACGTATGACCTTATTGAATGTATGTATGAGAGAAACCAGTGTGCAGTAGAGATGATCAGTCAGAGAAAAAGGTCAGGTGTGAAGCAGGGCTGCTGTTTTAAGCTCCATCTTAATAAACTCTGTCAGACTCTGAGGTCAGATTCCTGCTTTAAGCAGATGATCTCATTCTCTTCTCACCAAGCAGAGATGGTCTCCAACAGTTCGGCCAGAACTGCTCTATGTAACGTCAATGTAATATTGTTTATTCTTTGGCAATATTGTTCTGACTTCAGTGCCAATGAAGCTTGTTTGTATTGAATTGAGCAGTGACACTAAGATGAACTGTGATGCTTTTTTATGATATATAAAAGAAAACAAGACCACCAATAAAAAGAGGGACTTTTTTTACCACATTATCTTTAATATTTGCTCTTATATTCAATATCTGCTTTGTGGAAACCAGGTTTCTCTCTCCTGTGCGGAAGAATAACATGAACAAATTAGAGATGAATACAAATTTGTAGGTCAGGGGAGCGCTCCAGTTTAGTTTTAGAAAGTCACCGAAGTTAATTTAGGCCTGTGGCTGTAGGGTTTGCACTTCTGTATTATTTTAAGATGAAACCAAATTGATTCATTATTCCTTTTTCTGCAGAGGGATTTTGATGTACTGAATACGAGGCATTTCATGTTACACAAAAAAAATCAAACCTGTCTGTTCTGTGAATAAAAAAGGATTTCTTTCTGCCAGATATTCCCCAAATCTGTTCCTTTAAAAGAATGAATTAAAAAAGAGAAACTCGCCAGGTGAAAGTGGATTTAAGGGAGAAACTGAGCCTTAGTTTTGGCTTCAAACCGTCACTGTAGACCTCTGTTTGATAAGCGCTTATTCACAGGATGCTGTTGGACAGTGGTCAGAGGGGGAAAACTGGGTCTGGATAAAAAAGGATTCACTGTCTGACTTCAAACAGCTGAGCTAAACCCATAATAATCTGGTTTAATCTGCAGGGAATCTCCTGTCGTGTTTGTGATACGTGCAAAACAAACCAATCTCAAAATGCAAAGTAGCAACTGACTAATAGTTTTCGAGCTGCAGGAGTAAAGTGAAACTATGACGACATATCCATTTTGATTGTCAACCTGTGACTCTCATACGAGGAAAGAAAAGGTATTCATCTGCTTTAATTCACAGGCTTGATTTAGAAACTGGTGTCTCCGCTTTGATCAATATTGCAGCGCGTAACATCGCTGCAAAGTCTTGTGATATGTAAAGTAGGAAACATTGTAGCTGTAAACATTTACAAGGTTATTTTGAGTGGTGGGGTTTGCATGTGAAACGACTCTCAGCATCTCCCTCCTCGTTTGAAGACAGCCTGAAGCCTCATTGACTGGCATCAGTTTGAACTTGGGTCGACTTGGAGACGTTGGCGAAGGTGAGCTCAGGAGCAGTGATTATGTGTTGCTTCAGGGCTTCATAAACAGTAGTACAAGGTTGTTAATGTGAGTAGAAGTGCTTAGATGTTGTACATTTTAATGGATTCAGTGGAGGGAGGATGCATTAGGACTACAGAGTGTGAGAAATAATTTACCAATTCTTGCTTAGGGTCATAATAAACAGACACTTTGCTTCAAAACCACATCAGACATTTTTAGGCTCTCCTTTTAAAAAAAACAAGAGTCTTTACAAAGAAACTGCAGGGCTCAACCTTAACCTCCAGGTGATCTCCAGGAAGCAACAACCACCAGAACGCAACCAGTAGAGCGAGGGTAACTAAAAGGGATGATCTGTGCGAGTCTTCGAGTTTTTAAAATGTGTTTTCAAGGCTAAACGTCACGGTGTTACATAACACAAACATGACTTGATCTTCAGTCTGTGCAGAACAAGACGAGGTGTGTTCTGCAGACAAGAGCGACACATTTACTTCAAGCCGAAATTAGACTAACTCGTCAAATGCCATCAAATTTAACCCAAAATTAACTCTGCAGGGTTTCTTTGTCTCTCCGAGACTAATGATCTTCATTTCAGGGTAAAGTGCGGCAGCTCTTAGTCACACTAGAGCACAAAAATCTGCTTGTCTGAAGTAACAATGACTGATTGGACAATAACATCTCCTCAGCCATTCACAGGTTTTTGTGCTCACTGCCAGACATGACTTTTGTTATACCTTCACCATGGAAACAGCATGAAGCCAAATGTCCCGTGTTTGAGGTTTTATGTTCTCTCTGAAATGTTCGGGGAGAGTTTTCTCCAATTTTGGACACTACTTGAGCAGAGTTGTTTCTGTAACAGAACATTGAACTTCAATACAAAAATATATCAATACCTGTTATGACACTAGCTGCGTTTACATGGGCACAAAAAATCTGAATAAATGCACGATCGGAATAAAAATGCGTCATATAAACATGTCGTTTGGAAGATTCTGATCCAATTCGGCTCAATCAAAAAGAAATTGTATTCCGATCGAGAGGGGTGGTTTATGCTGATCGTATTCTGAAATGTGTCCATGTAAACACCTACTCCGATCATGACTCTCTAACCTGACTCGGTCTTCACTCTTTATTTATTGAGGCCAGTACAGGAGGTTTCATTATTAACACTCCGCAGTTCCGTGTCTGCTCCTCTGATAACAAAGCAAGGCGTAATGATGTCACATCTGCACGCAGAGCGCAATCTTTGACCAAACAGTAAAATAAGTACACAAGGGCGCCATCTAGTGACAACATTTAACAGGGGGAAAACTCCTGAATTGGATGAAATGAGCTACTGCCGCGTTTTTTGGTTTGTTGACAGCACAGACGTAAATACAACTCTTCTTCTTCTGAGGTTGTTTTAGCGAAATTAGACAACTCTGTGCATGTCCAAATGCTTCTAATCTGGATAAAGCTTGGTGCATGTACACGCACGTCATGATCAAACTATTTGATTTTGCACCCATATAAAGAGTGGATTCAGATTATCCGATCCCTCAAACTTTTAATCAGATTAAGAAATTTTGCACATATAAACATGACTACTGCAGCAACCAGAATGATCCTCCAAGAACCCTAAATGGTTAATCTGACTGGTTGGTGTCAGTGTTTGATTGACAGCAGCTGCTTGGCTGATTTTTATGAAGGTTAACAAACTGACTGACAGGTAGGATGATGTCAGCAGCTGAGGCACAAGCAACCTACTTTGTAAAACAGCTTTAAAACAAGCAGACAAGAACAGGAGTTAGACAGAACCCCATCATGAAATATAGCGTATTTGCCTTAAACTCACATGACTGCGCGAGGTTTTGTGAGATTTCCAGTGGTGAGATCTCGGACTGTTCTCGTTTTGATGTGTATCTGTGAGTGTAGTGTGCTTATCGGCCTTCTTTTTGCTCTTCACACTCTCGGCAGAGCCTCATGAAATCTGTTAGGATTTGTTACAGATGGGGCAGCGCTTGGCCCCCACTGGTTTGAGGGTGCGCCTCAGGCTCTGAGTCCTCATTGCAAGGTTAGTGATTGGACTCCCAAGCACGATCTTGTGCTGCATGTCTTCCCTCACTCTCTACTCCCTAAGAGCCAAAATGGGGTAGAGACACCAGACGTAGTTTTTATCAGTTTATTCAGCTCAGGTGTGGTGAAGAATCCAACTGTTTTTAGGTAGTTTTCAACATTTGTCGAGATGTTCAAACTTCTGTCTTGTGAGTCAGACTTCTTCTTTGTCCAACGTTGGCTGAAATCTTGTCAAAAACATTTATCAGCCATCTCATGTTAAGGCCAGAGAGCGTGCTGAGACCTTGAATAGCTTTCACAGCAGGGCTTGACAGTAACGGTTCCCCGTGTTGCCAGGGGCGACCAGATTTGGTCCGCTGTCAACAATTTTGTTCGGTCTAGTCGCCTCTGTTGGCAGCTTTTTTTCCCCCCTGTGCTTGGAAAAACAAGACTAAGTCCATCTGTCTTCTGACTGAGTGAGCGTGCCCCCGCTGAACCGTTTTAAGGCGTGAAAAACTTTAAAATTATGAATGAAAAATGGGAAACTTGAAAATTAATGTGGCACACAAGGGAAAGGTGAAATAAATGGACCTGGAGAAAATGAGAAGAAACTTAATTAAAGTTTTTGTCGATGTGAAATCACTGTTTTCTCCGGGCGTAATATAAAACGTGTTAAGACCAACAGGCTGATAAACAAGAGAGAGCTGTGAGGCTGGAGATACTTTGGTGGTAACTCTGCATAAGCAAACACATGATGGCCGCCACGTGTGCGCAGCATTGGATTGGTGCGCAGGCTGTGCAAAACCTCCAAAATTAATAGGACATGGACATAAGGTGCAGTGTGTACAACGTGTGTGTAGAGACAGAAGGGAAGTGACAGTCAACAAGACAGCAGGGACAACAATGGCAGAATTTTAAGTCAGCAAATATCCACATCTGTATGGTGTTCAAGAAACAGCTGGACTCAGAGGTTTAATTAACCGAGCAGGGAGGAAAACTGCGAAGGGTGTGATCGACTTTATTCAGACAGTGCTGTTTTGTTCAGAAACGACTCTGATGAAACAGAAGTATGAAACCAGGCCTGTGTTTGTTCAGTATGCAGCCGATGGTGAATTACCCTGCTAATTATCTGACTTTGTAAATGTGAGATGTAAATGCAGAGACATTAGTTGCTGATTGTGGATTATTAACGACGTTGAGCCTCTTGTCCTTGTTTAAACCCTTTTAAATGTGTGTTTTTGTGTCTGTTACACTTAAGGAGAAGAGACAGAAGGTCAGCTGGAGTGAAAATGATTCATATGAAGTTGTTTAACGTTAAGAAAATAACTGTCACTGAAACTTCCGGTTTAAAAAAGAGCAGAATAATACCTGTTACTTACAGTGAATCAATCACAAGAGTAACCTTTGGGTGCGTGTTTTTATTACCTGTGTAGCTCAAATCAATTTCAATTTCCAGTTTTGAAATATCTGAAGATTTTCACAGTGACTGTGGACGACCTGGTTACTCATATCCCTGCAGCCATGATAATTACAGTGTCCAGGTTTTCAAGTGGCAGTTGAGTCTTTTTTTTTTCTCTTTGCTCTGCATGAACATCAAAAATCTACAGAAACTGTGACATTTTATGCCGCTTTTTCTTTTAGATTACTCCAGAGTACAATCCAGGACTTGATATTGATTGCATGACCTAGAATACTCAAAAAACAGGATACTGATGCTGGAGTAGGGCTGGGCGATAAAGCTTCAAATCAATATCAAGATATATTGAGTAGTTCACCTCGATAACGATAAATGGACGATAACTACTCCACAAGCTGCTCACCCCCTCCCACATTAACTTCGTCTACTTCAACCGCTACAACTTCTGAACCGTCCTCCATCTCCTCACCTGTCTTTCCCTCTGTGTTACCGACTGGATGGGGTGAAGTCATGTCTCTGATGTAGGACAGCGTCTTAAAGGGACATGAGACCATAGCCTACCTACAAACATCCAAAAACCATGATAATTCCATTCTCTCATTTTCTATTTTTAATTTCAAACCAAAATCAAAACAGCAAAAAATAGGCCGTTATTGTTGTAAATTTTAGTATCGCTAAATTTTCAGTTTATCGCCCAGCCCTATACTGTATGCTTTACTTGAAGCAATTATTTTTACCAAATCGATTCAGTAGGCCGTCCCTTTAACCTGTCTTCAACAAAGATGGGCCATATGAACTAAAACTGTCTTTTTGCCACTATGTGAGCGTTGCTCTGCAGTAAAAATGGAAATTAATGAGTTAAAATCCGGAATCCAGTTTCTGAATCCCCTCTACATTATTTTCGAAAAAAAGGTCGATTTCGATATAATTTGGGACGCAGCTCTGTTGTGCGCCTTCATCTCAATTTGACAGGCTTTAATTCTTAAATAACAGTGAGTAAACTTGCTAATTTAACAGACGTTAAGCATATGTTGTACATGTGCAGAAGTTACACACACACGAGGGGGTCTTGACTAACTGCCAGTAACTGACATCCATCATCACTCCGAGTGTTAACTCAAACTGACGGGAATGGTCTATTGCTAGGTTTGCAATCTCGCTCCTGAAAGAAACTGTCAGCGGCATCAGCACCTCTGTTGGTATCATTAAGAGCGAGTTAACAGTTTAACTTGTCTGTTTTCAGTCTTTTATACCCCACAGACTGTTAACAACAGTTTTTTACTCCTCGCTTCTTATTGAAGTCGACAAAACCTGACAAGAGTAGCCTGCTGATGTTCTTAGCCAGCAGACGTTTTAAGTCATTAAGTCATTTCACTTCAAGAGCTCTTGTTTGTGGGAGGAAAATTACTACTGAATGAAATTTTAATCTGTCACTTTTCTTGGCACCCTGACGTGGAGGAGGATTACAAAGAGCTTTTTGATTTTAAAACCAGTCAATAAATGTAGAAGCATCATCAAAGTGAAGCGTACAATTTCCACCGCGCCAGAAATCATTTTCTTTTTTTAAGTTTAATGTGATTCAAGAGTAAAGACGTGCAAAAAGCGAGTGATTTCTCAGGAGTTAAAGGTGCTCAACGCTCTTGTAGAGCGGCGGCTACTGCGACATCAAATGTATGTGAAAATTCAGAAAACCTGCAACCTTGAATCACTCTTTCCATCAGTGAGCAGACGGCTAATGTGAGCAGACGGGTCACACACATCAGTGGAGCGTCTGTGCCCCCAGGGATGCAGAGCTGTTGCAGCGGGCAGGAGCTCTGCGGTAGATACATGTGAAGCTCTTCCAAATGGAGAAGGGCAGGGATCACTGTGTTGTTTTTGCTGGTGTCCTCAGTTACATAACGGTGGCATTAAGAAGGTTGAGCATTGTTTCAAAGAGTTTTAACCTCAGCCAGCTGTGGTTTCTGCTGTTGCTCCACGGTTAAGCTGCCCCAGACCCAATCTTTCCGTCTGTCTGCATCAGTGCCGTGGTGCCGCACATCAAAAGCACTCATGGGTTTCTGAAGGTAACCTCTTCAGATGGACGCTGAACTCTCAGCTTTCTTTTGTAGCACCTTTGGCTGCATGTTTTCAGCTGCAAATGACTGTCAGCCTGCTGTCAGGTGGGATTAAGGAGAGGGTTACCTGCTTGCAAAAGCCTCGAAGGCCAAAAAGCAGCCGAGTTCTGTGAGGTGAAAATAATTCAGCTCTCAGTAATAACCAAGATGATGTTAGACCAGATCTGAGCTCACTCAGCTGCAGAATATGGGATCATTACCGGAGAAAGATTTGCAGCTCTGGTGCCAATCAACCGCGGGGAGTTTTTGGAGTGGAGAAGGTTCAGGTTTCAAAAAGAGGAGAGATAAGAAACCTTTTTACCATGTTAATTCAGCCTTCACTTTGTTGTTGCTGCCGCTGTGTGTATTTAGGTAAAACGTGACACATTTCAGAGAGAGAAAAATACCTTTTCAAAATGTGAACCAACAATAGAACAACTGCTTGGCATGTTTATACTGCATATACAATATATTGTGTTTGAAATCCTTCATGGAGATTCACTGGATGATTACAGTTTTAGTCAAACCTGGGATTTCCACTGCATCCGGAACGACAGCAATTTTCTTACTGGATCCGTTTGTGAGGCAAATTTCGTGGCGGGTTACAGACAGCAGGAATCCCGAGAACTCACAAGAACGATTCACGTGCAATCGTGAAATAACAAGTTGTCTTTAGCCACACAGGCTAACCATATAAGCAGTAGATTGTGTCCTTCCAGAGGAGTAAATCTACTTCTAGACTCATAAAATCTGCATCCTCTCATCCATGGTGTCATTGGGGTGAAATGCTGTCTATAAAACTTTCACTTGTTCGTCTCCGCCTGTTTGCATGGTGTGAAATACGACTGGCCTGAAAAATGTAGTGTTTTATTTTGAAAAGAAGCCGGATGTTTTATTTTGTGTCTGTGCCCGACTTCCTTTCCAGCACTTGTTAATCTGTACTAAATTTATCCGGCATGCTCAGGCATCCAGAAAAACAGAACTCTCTTGCGATCAGCCGGTGATCTGCAGCGGAATGGAAAGAAGCAACTGGAAATTGACACATTAACTTGAATGGTTACGATCAGCTACGATCGGCGGATACGGCCTTTCCGGATGTGGTGGAAATTGCCATATTACTCTCTTGGTGGTAGATCATACAGATCCTTGGGTTGTGAAAAACACTGAAAATTTACTGATACCAAAATTTATGACAATAATCAACATCATTTTGCCCATATCGGTATATTCGGGGTCAAAAACATAAATAAATTAAAGTTGGTTTTGGATGTGTGTAGGTAGGCTATGGTCTCATGTCCCTTTAAGACTATGTCCTAAGTCAGCGACGTGACTCCACCCCATCCAGTCAGTAACAAAGAGGGAAAGACAGGTGAGGAGATGGAGGAGGGTTCAAGTTGTAGTGGCTGGAGTAGACAAAGTTAATGTGGGAGGGGGTGAGCAGCTTGTGGAGTAGTTATCGTCCATTTATCGTTATCAAGGTGAACTGATCAATATACCGTGATATTGATTTGAGGTCATATCGCCCAGCCCTATAATATACTGTGTTTGAAATCCTTAATGCAGATTCACAAGATAATTGCAGTTTCAGTCTCACTCTGCTGGTGGTAGATCACACAGATTAGGGTGACCATACGTCCCCTTTTACCTGGATATGTCCTCTTTTTTGGGGGGCTGTCCGACCTTGTCCGGCTTTGTCTGGGGTGTTAATAAAATCCTTCAAATGTCCGAGGTTTTTTAATGGAAGTTTTGGGTTTGTGTCACGTGGACTTACTGAGTTAGAGGTGCATAAAAAACACTCTGCATGGTCATGTCCTCTTTTTGGGGATCCAGAATATGGTCACCCTAATGCAGATCCTTGTTAAAAGAGGTAGCCTGTACACTCTACCTCCCCTGGGATTGGCTGTTTAGCTGTAATGTGACAAAGCTTGAACCTGATTGGACTATTTTTGCTGATGTTTCCTGAGTTTCTCTGCAGCTGTGTCGTTCGTTATCCCCCGCTGTGCAAAAATAGCCATCTGATTAAAATGAATGAAGGGAGCCCGTGTAACAACAACTCCTGAAATACACGGAGCAAATCCATGTTTTACAGCCCTGCAGAATTTACAGTGAAAGTACACTCCGAGATTTCTCATTACAGTCTATCGAGGGTCACAGACAATCATGTAGCAGACATGCATGCACACGATTCTAACAGTTGCTCACACACAATCGATATAATGAGCAGCATTTCACCGCCCATTTAGCTTATTACACTGGAGGTTTTGATTTATTTAGTTTGACAGCGTCAGTGCAGTGATTTTCTGTTTCCCGTCTGCTGAGGGTTGAGTTTTTCTGGAGGAGATGGAGCGAAAAACTCTGCACCTGCCAATCCTCTGATGCAGCGACTGTTTCCATCTGCGGGAGCTTCTTCAATCAGTTTACAATTATCAGTGTCCCTCTTTTTTTTGAAAGTCCCCCTCTCTATACGGACCCCTCTTTTCAATATAATGCACTTTTTCAAAGATTCCATATGTGTCATTATCTGATACCCAGGGAGACCCTCCTGTGTTGAGAGATGCATTATTAAAGGTGCGTTCTCTCCTCGGCTGCAGGAATAATTTCAGAGGAGTCGTGTGTGATAAGATGAGACAGAAACCTTTTGGGCATGACTAAGGCTACTGAGTCCAATTAAGCTGATGTCTTGTACCCACGAATTAAATCACCCTGATATGATCTTGTCTGCCTGTGCATATATTTGCCTCCAGTTCTGATCACCTGAAACACTGGAGAAGACAGAGCACCTCACATATATATGAGCGAACGCTGTGCATTTCCTTGTAATTGGGGAACTTTCTGCAGTTATTTTCTACATCTGAAGACGTGCGTTTGTCAGAAAGCTGGATTCAGGATTTATTGGATACAATAAGTTTTAAAATCACAGGAAACGTGCCCCACAAAGAAATTAATTGATGTTTGGTTGCTGTTCGGATGCAAGTACTGCACCAAAAAACTACTTCCCTCTCTGATATGGAAATTGGAAATTTGTGCAAAGGTAGGAGGTTACATGAAGTCTGATTCAAACAAACTACCACCAAGCTACAGTGAGTCCCTGCTACCACTGTACCACACCCGCTGAGACTGGATTTATGACTTAGTTAAGCTCTCTGAAGGCTGCAACAGCTTGCCAGTAAAATGATTGTTAGTCTAGCGGAAGTCATAAATCAAAACAGTCCTGGGTTTGTCATTATCTATTAATACTCTGCTGCTTTGGAGCTCCAGAAACAGCCACAACTCACACGTCCTCGCCTTCTCCCGAGACTGAAAGATCCCCCTATGAAAGACGGAGGTAAAAGACAGCTCTTCAAAGTTTGCTCAGCTTGCAGTTGATTTACTCATCCCTCCGTGGTCTGCTGCGCACTGACAGCTCTAGAGGTGGAACAGTGTTGAACGCCTTAATTGAGCCGAATGTGCAGGGCCTTAGATGCTGAAGGCACAAAACCCACACAATTAGAAAGGACTAACGACATGGGGTATCACCCATTATTTCTCCAAATAACCCGCAGGGCTTTCCATATTTGGTCTCACTAAGTCTTAATTAGTGATTAGGGATGAAGGAATGAAGTATTTAACAGAAAGCGAGCATGTTCAGAAGAGTCTTTCACAGTTTGTAAATGTGTTAAAACAAAAGCAGCGATGTACAATATTCAGGTCAGAGTTTCAAGACTTATTCCAGAAATTTTCACTTTTCCGTGTTGATTAAAAACTTTTTTCTGTCTTTCCAGAGCCAAGATGATAAACATGTCATCCACAACAATCAGCTGGGTAAGTCTGTATTACAGTTTTCTTGTCAGTTACAGTTGCTGTCGAAGTTAGAAAGAAGAAAAGAAAGAAATACTAAAAATACAGAAAAATAAAAACCTGACAGAGCTGTACAGTGAATTTTATTTTTACACTGAGATATGAGCTGTATAAAACATCCTCACTCAGAATGATGACATACTGACAGCTGAATGGAGGTCTGTGTTTAATGGTCGTGCTTTTATGCTGTTTTGGTTTCGATGAAGCTCTCTGTCAGAGATCCTCTGACTAACTGGTAGCAAAATACTTTAAAGGTCGTATGTTTTGATGGATTAGAATAAAATCTGTATGTTATGGCTGATGTTAGAAGGTCTGAAGACTGGTGGTTCTAGCTCTGCTGTTGTTAGACACTCTGCAGATCAGTTTGACCCTCAAATTGAGTATAGAATTTTTCTTTGGGGATCAATAAGGTTCTTGTTTTTGTTCTTCTTTTGCATTATCTTCTTTTTCTTCTTCTTCTTCCCCTGCTGCTTCTTTTTACTTTAACTTCTTTTACTTCTTACTTCTAATACTTCTTCTGCGTTTTCTTTTTCTTGTTTTACTTCTTCAATTTTTACTTTTACTTCTACTTCTTCTACTTCTACTTCTACTTTTACTTCTACTTCTACTTTGCTTCTACTTCCTCTGCCTCTTCTTCTTTGTCTTCTACTTCTTCCATTTCTTCTTCTGCTTCTTCTACTTATGCTTCTTCTTTTACTTTCACTTCTACTTTACTTTACTTTAACTTCTTCTACTTCTACCTTTACTTCTTCTACTTTCTTCCACTTCTTCTATTTTATCTTCTTCTTCTTCTACGATGACTTCTTTTTCTACCTCTTCTGCTTCTTCCTCTGCTTCTACTTTTACTTCTTTTACTTTTCTTCAATTTCTTCTATTTCATCATCTTCTTCCTCTTCTACTTCTGCGTCTTCTTTTTCTACTTCTGCTTCTTCTTCCACTTTTCCTTTTCTTCTACTTCTTCTATTTCATCTACTTCTACTACTTCTTCTACTTCTACCTCTTCTTTTTCTACCTCTTCTGCTATTACTGCTACTGTACCTCTTCTTTTTCTACTTCTTCTTCTAATCCTTCCTCTTCTTCTTCTACATCTTCTTCTACTTCTCCTCCTTCTCCTCCTTCTTCTCTAAACTATTTTCACATTTGCAGGCTGGTTGAAATTTTCCTTTCCTTTCCACTTTTTAATTTCAGGTTCACCTTTCCTAACTCTTTCACATGCACTTATTAGTTTCTTAAGTTTCTCTGTATTTACCCATTAAGTTATTGACTAATATAACATTTATTCTTATGTCAAGTCCAATCAAAACTCTTTTATATACATATTTTGTGTCATTCTCTGAGTCCTGTAGCCTCAGTGTTTGTATTACCCTCGTTCAAAGCTGCTGTTTACAGTGCGGGTCGGGTTTTGTTCTCTGTTGTGTTTGATTTTCGGATCATTTCGCTTCAGTGGAACTAATTAGTAAAGTTGGCGCGCATTCAAAGGGCTGAACTATTACTGAGCATTTTCCACTTTAAAATAACTATACGCTTGAGATTTGGGAACCCGTTATCATTTGATACAATCATCAATAATAAATGTTGGAATGAAAAATGTGAAACTATCAAGTTAAGTGAAAATAATAAAAGAGCCTTTGTCTGAGGTCCGCCTTGAAAATTGAATCTTTGGAGCCGCTCGGACGTTTTCATAAATACAGCCTCATCTTGTCATCGATTTGACAGCAACCAGGAATTTCATAAGCAGAACAAATAAAAAGGTCTCATGTGTGCTTTTCATGCTTCAGAGCGCTCACACAATCACCGTCTGAGGGTGATTTTTTCGGGAGCCTGTAGAGGAGTTTGAAGCTGGTTTTCTGGACCTCTGCCTGTTGTTCATTCAACTGGGTCACCACGGACACAAAGGCGCACAAAAGCAACTTCATAATGCTCTCATTTGGCACCTCAGCACAGAGAGGAAATACAAACAGACAGCTATCTGAAAAATAGAGCCTCGCTATCTGGCACCGGCACAGTGTTTCCCTTTGTGACACCAGAGAAGCTGCACACCCCTGCAGAGAGTGTTGTTTGTGGGAACACAAATTCAAAAGATGAGCAAAGGAAAGTCAGACTTTTATTGTTGAAACCATACAGCAGACATGAAAAGGTGTTGTTGGCTTGTTTATTTTGAAAGAGCAGCTGACCTTTTTAGAAGCTGTTGAAGGAAACCTCTAAATAGTCCAGCCTTTAGGGGGACAAAAGAGGCCATATGTAAGTGGAATAGTGTGTCATTGAAGTCCGGATGAAATGAGACACACTGCTGATCTACGTTTGTTCGGACATTCAGAGAAAACGGATATCAGCGTGATCTCTTTGGCTGGGTTTTGCTGCATGTATGTTAATTAAAATTGCAATATCAGAGCAACGCAGTGAACTGAGGCACTGAGGCAGGTGTTTGTGAAAGTGGTACTGTAATAAGAAAAAACATTTACAGTTCATGGTGCACTAATGTGCAGACAGAGACAAGTGTAAAAGTCCACTGATGGTGGACTCACTGGTGATCAGCAGCTGTGATCCTCTTCACTTAAAGCCCCCAAGTAAAGTCACCTTATGTGTTTTTCTTTTTCCCTCTTCGCTGGCTTCTTTCCTTTGCATCTCTCCATGCCTCTCCGGTGGTAGGGACTATGACACAAAGCTAGGGCTGGGCAATAATTCGAAAATTTACTGATACAGAAATTTACGACAATAACCAACGTCATTTTGCCCATGTCAATATATCCGGTGTCAAAAAAATAAACAAATAAAAGTTGGTTTTGGATGTGTGTAGGTAGGCTATGGTCTCATGTCCCTTTAAGACGCTGTCCTACGTCAGAGACGTGACTCCACCCCATCCAGTCCGTAACAAAGAGGGAAAGGCACGTGAGGAGATTGAGGACGGTTCAAAAGTTGTAGTGGCTGAAGTAGACGAAGTTAATGTGGGAGGGGATGAGCAGCTTGTGGAGTAGTTATCGTCTATTTATCTTTATCGAGGTGAACTGATCAATATATTGTGATATTCATTTGAGGTCATATCGCCCAGCCCTACACAAAGCTGATATTCCTCTCCCTCCCTCTTCTTTCTTGTCTATTCCTCCCTCTTTTTTCCCTGCTTCCTCTTCCTCTCCTTTTTCTTCTTCTTCCTTTTATCATCACTTCCTTTTCCATTTTCTCCTCCTATATATTCTCCTTCTTTTCTTCTTCTCTTCTTCGTCTCCTGTCTTTTTCCTCTTCCCCAATCATTTACCTTGGCCTTATATTTCCCTCTTCTTTTTTCCATCCCCCTTTTTTGCCCTCTCTTCCCTGTCTTCTTTCTTATACCTTTTTCTCCCTGTTTTCCATCTTCAACTTTTATTATTCTCCTCCTCTTCGTATCAGTTTATATTAAAGCGATCAAACCAACTTAATATCCTGCGGTATGACCGAAATCAATAAACATCATAATAAATCTTTCAGGTCTCGAGGCTTTCACATTCAATCACTTCAGTGAGATCACTTTATTTTCTGACTCTGAGCCTGAAGTATGAAAAGAATAGGAAAGAAAGAGAGAGATGTTTAATATGCACAGTGTAACAGCGGAGGAGCTCCAGTAATGAATGATAATGCAAATGAAGAACTTTTTAAATTAATCGAAGTTTACAGGAACAGAAAGTTTTTTCAGATCATGACTCTGTCTCTGCCTGCCTCGGTTCCCCCGTACATTTGTAATATATAGAAATCTCTGCATGGCTCCTAATAAATTCTATCAAGCTCTGACCTCAGTGAGACTAAATGATGTCTAGCTTCAGCGTTTTTCACGAGTAGCTTTAGAAGAGAGGCATAAAGGTACTTAATGTTCTTATCTCTTATGTAATGTTGAAATGAGGCTGATTTGAATAAAACCACGTTTGCTGTTAACCCTGTTTCATTTCAGTTCAACTGTTAGTGCAGGTATAGATGTTTTTTTTACCGGGGTCTTAGAGTCTGCTGCTTCTTCAGAATAAAATTAAAACTTATTTTATGCCATAAAATCACCTCATCCTGTATCTCACCCATCCATCCTGTACTTAAATCAAAACCAGCTACTCAACGGTGAATCTCATCAGATGGTCAGAAGCTTGAAGAAAAACTTGGCTTCTCTTCATACATCGGACCAGAACCACCTGGAGTCTCGACTTCTCGCCCAGGGTTTAGTGGAGGAATCTGATTCATGTACAAAACTGGGAATTTAGGCTTTAAAGCTCCTGTAAGCAGTTTTTTAGGCTCATGAAATAGACTTAAATTCAAAAACATGACTTTGTATGATATATATAAAGATATATATATATATAAGCAAACAAGGTGATCAGAAACAAGATTGATGATTTTTAAATCATTATTTTAAATGCTTAAACTTAGGCAGGAGGGTAGGTGTCAGCCAAGCAGCTGGAGAAATAGTACTGTTTTTATATTTTTCACATAAAATGTTCATAAAAAATAATAAATTTGACAGTCAGAAGTCAAAATGATGAGATTTTTTATGTCAGGAGATAGCGTAGAGGACAAGATAGGCAAAGACTGCTTTGTCCAGAGGGGGCGCCAAAACTGACACAAACGAGAGGTTCTTCACGGGAGCTTTAAACAAATCCATTAATCTATTACCTTTACTACTGATTATAATCGGGGTCTGGGGAAACCAGTACCAGCTGACTTTTGGGGGAGAGGCTGAGTCCACACGGGATCAGTATGATCAGTTTCTCTGTTTGGTCAGAGGTCTTGAAGGAGGATTTTTTTCCCTGACCTCCAAAACTATGACAGGAAGAAACATCTGCAGCATTGCATGGTCTTAATGCGCTGCAGCTGCGGGGACATCACATTACCTGCAGTTCTCGGTGGTTCTCCTGGACCTGACTGCAAAGATATGCATGCAGAGTGAACCTTTAGTCTCTGACTTATGAGGGGAAGCCCTGAGATCAGGTGTTTATCCCAGATTTTGCAGAAAAATACTGATGTTCATTATCTGTGGAAGCGCATAAATATTCATGCAAACAGCAGTTGTTGCCAAAACCAGTTTTTTATTTTCTTCAAGTTTTGGTGTTTGAAAGTTGAGGGTCATGGCCAACTTTGTAACACAAACGCTGAATTGTAATGCCTGAGAGTAAGAGTAAGGGGAGGTGTGCCAGAATTTAAATCAGACCATCAGTATAACAATAATTAAACTCAGGACAGCAGCTGCACTGTCCCCTCTGTAGATGTATTATATTCCTGCCGTGGCTCTGGGCCAGCTCCTTCAGGCCAGAGGGGACCAGCTTTGTATCTTTAAGGAAGCACAATGTGCTATCTGAACTCTTCCAGAGCTCCCTATGTGTTTCCTTTCCTTTCTTTCCTTTCTTTTCTCTTCTCACATGCTTGGCTACATGCCGGATCTATTGTCTGAGATTTTCTTTTTCTCCTGTTTATTATCCTGCACGGGGCTGATGACTTTACGGCGCACATCAATCCTCCAAAATGTCATAAATGCAGCTGCTGTTTACGACCGCATGGAGGTATGAAAGCGTGCGAATCGTTAAAAAGATAGCCTTTAAAGAATTATAGTAAAAAAAAGTTACTATCAAGTGACATTTGGTTCATTTTTTCAAGCACTATTATGGATAATGAACGGCTTTCATAAGCAAAACCAGGACTACTTCCTGTGTTAATTGCCTCGGCTCCTTGAATAATTGATGCAAAGTGAGGTTTAAGGGTTGAGTTCAGCACTCATTAGTCCTCAGCTGAGTGTCCACGGAGTCATGAACTCCAGAGAACCTTTAATGAGCGAGATTACGGCAGGTTGGAGACTCCTTTTACTGACCTTTAGGCTGTTGAGTTGTTTTCCGTGCGCACGTCTGCGTCACTTCTTGGAGAGAATTCTAATCAGCTAAATTTTACAGCAGAGTTACTTCTCTCTCTGATGGCTTTTCCTCTTTGTTCCTTACGCTCTCTTCGTAGGAGGTTGTCCTTTTCTTTTCCCCCTCAATTATATTCATGACCCTGACCTTTTCATCCATAAGCCGAAGCTTAAATACACCATGCTCCTGATTGATCTTGTACAAAGCAATTAAAAGTTTGTATTAATATGGAAGAAAAAAAGGCTGACAGAAAATCGTTTCACTCTCTGCATGATGCATCGGCTGCAATGATTGCCTGCAAGGAAGGTAGAATATTTTTATAGGGCTAAATCGAACTCTCGACAGCCCAAAAAGCTGGCTATATATTGAATTCGGGCTTCCAGATTGAATATCGCCGGTTATCTATGGATTGGCCATTAAATCCTGGTGCTGTGCGGTGTGACGGTCATGGTTAGTTTGGTCAGGGAAGTGCAACCCAATTCTCTCTGGAGCTGTGTGTCTCCCCGATGCTTCGATTTGGAAGCAAGGCAGCCAGAGATGGAGGAGAGTTTTGTAGAGACGGATGATTCTGTGCCATCTCGTCTCGGGGAGCCCAATGATGTGAGTCATTGGAGTGTGGATGGTTTTACACGAGCACAATCAGCTGCTGGATGAGGAGTCGGGCAGAGCGAGGATGGAAATGAGCTATTGACATCCTCTGTCATCTCTGAATATGTGCTGGCAATGAAGAGCTCGGTATCTGTGGTGACAGTTTCATTGTTCCCACAACTGCCCCTAATAGTTGCTCTTGCAGAATCTTTTCCCCCTAGACTTTTGCAGACATTTGTCAATGAAACCGAACCATTGATCCAATATGCTTCTCCTTTTTCACTCAGAATTTTGAGATAGATTCAACACCCTGCCCTCCTGCACGGATAGGGTTGGGTATTGAGTCTCAAGGATCAATGGGGACCAGGACTAACACTCCGATTTTCACGGAATTGTGCAAATTTTAAAATTTCGATTCCAAATTTCGATGCCGGAGTCCGCCGACCGGAAGAAATAGCCGCTGAACACCAACAAGGAAGAAGCTGCCAAACACCAACGAGAACAAAGTCTATGAGACAAACAGTACATTGCAACCCACAGGGGCCGCGGTCAAAAGTTTGGCGAGCTCTAGCAGGAAGAATGAACTCTTATCTCAGTGCAACATTAGCAACACAGTTATATCATGCAAAGGAGGGTGAACAACCAACATTCAGGACTCATGGAGGAGAAATACCCGAGTGCTCGTCTTTGACGCACTACGCCGGTGTTGTGTCGTAGAATGCACCCTTGACGGGAGCGCGGTTGAAAGTACTTCACAAGGCGAAATAATCAAAGTTTTTCTTACCGTTGGATGGAATCTAAAGCGTGTGCCTTTAATGATTTCATTCAGGCTGTTCAGATAAGCCAAAAACAATAGCCCTCTGATTCGGAATATTTACTGTACCCGAAAATATAATGTGCTCAACCTTGCATGTGCATTTTTGAGACACATAAAAACAAAACGAACGTTTGCTGCTCCATTTGACATGTTTTCATGATCTAATACCCGTGTTTTTTTAAATATGAGATCATTTTCTTCCACTTTAAGAAGCTAAATGAGTGGAGGGGAGGCATTCCACGGCAGGGGGTGCATTCTACAGCACAACACCTGTCTTTTGTAACCAGCCAGAATCAGATCAGTGAAACAATAAATTACTTCTGTCCTCTGCTAACTTTGAAGCGGCAAACAAATTGTACTGTGTACGGTGGGTCAACTTATATATCCAACAAACATTAACCCTTGTACTTTTTCATAGACAAATAACCTGATAACAAAAATTATATATATATACTGGTTGAAAATAGCCCTGTGAGAAATTCATAGTAAAGTTCTTAAAAAGTTAATATAATTTAAAAAGTTTATGTAGAAGTTTAGAAATTTCGCACCATGCATTTTCTTTAATATCCTGCCTTTTAAAAGAATCATAATCAAGAATCGTAATAGAGAATCGATAGGAATCGGAAACCCAACCCAATGTACGGATCCATCTCCTCAGCTGTAAACTGCCCCTTTGCTTTGCCTTGGATGTTTGTTTATTCATAAGTGTGAGGCTGTAGGTTCTCTGGGCTGAAATGAAGCGTTTCAGTGACAGTTCGGGTGACGACACACACCTGCTCGCTGACACTGATGGAGATGACAGAGCTGCAGAAGGGCCTACAGGTCAGTGTGCTCTCAGAGCCTCTGCCACTTGGCAACGTCTGCTTTCCTGCTCTAAGGAAGTGTCACTATTGATTTGTGTCAATGAGCTGACAAGACTGCAGGGCCCGGCCACAACAAGAGGACGCACAATCTATATTCAAGAGCAGATATTTACTTCACCTGCATTTCTGCACACACCTAGAAATGAAGACGCTTTAGTATATACTACCTTTTTTCATCCTCAATAGTTATGCTGATACTGAGACTTGGGTTTCACAGGTTACTATATGTTCAATGAATACAGCATTGTAAACATGTACTGTAATAACCTCTGCCTTCTTACATTTGGCTACAACTTTGGGTCATGTTGCAAACTGCAAGCAAGGCACTAAAGTGTAACTTTAGCTCCTGAAAATCCTCCAAAAGTCTGACCTTTCTTGCCCCTGTAAAATCGTATTTGCTCAGGGTTGAGAAATAATGGATTCTAGTGGTGGTAGAACTGCTAAAATCACTGGCATATTTTGCATGGTGAGAGTATATCAATTTACCGCTGCCAAAAATTGAGTAAACAGTGGCGGTTCATCATCAACACAGAGATAAAACGGAAAGAGAGCGCCTGTAGAGTCAACAACACAGTAAAAAAAAAAAGGCAAAGTTATTTTCTGGTTGTTTCACAGCTGTTAAAAACTTACAAACGTGTCTACGCCTCCACACAAACATGCAGGATGGTCGCGGGGTATCTTCAGATAAAGAAAAAAGTGATGCAGTCTGTTTTGAAATCAACAAATGGTGGATTTTTACCCGCTTCCATGTGGAGTTAGCACTAGCCGCTAATGCTAAATCATCCATCCAGCTATTCTTTATCTTAACTGCTTTTCCTGTTAGGGGGCGCGGGGAGGCTGGAGTCTATCCCATCTGTCATTGGGTGAGAGGCAGAGTACGCCCCGGACAGGTCGCCAGTCTATCACAGGACTGACATATAGAGACATACAAACATTCATGCACACACACACACCTATGCTCCGTTTAGAGTGACCAGTCAACTCGACAAACATGTTTTTGGACTGTGGGAGGAAGCCGGAGTACTCAGAGAAAACACAGACATTGCACATAGTTTAAAATTGTTGTCATATTCAGGGGTGTTCCAACAAGAGTACCTCATGATTCAATTTGATTTCGATTATAGGAGCTTTGATTCTTCGATTCTTTGATTATAATGATTGTTGATTCGATCCAATTACTGGTGTCACGATTCTTCGCCATTTTCAATCCTTCAGACGTCGCAACAACACGCAATCTGATTGGTCAGAAGTGGACACACAGTATGCGAAACCTCAGAAGAATCGACTGTGATACGAAAAAATAAATGCCGCAATATCACAGGACGGGAAAACGTCACTGATGTGAACGCTTGTATTGACAGGATATGGATTCGAAAAAAAACATTGACGTCTGAAATAATCGCATGAAAAAAACAGTCAAAGGACCTTTATGGTCCAACTCACTAAACAGTCCGGGTGGCGAGCACATTTTGGTTACGTGTTTTTTTGTTCCGGCCTTGCAGCAAAGCATCAACGTTATTCTTTCTTTCTGTCTTCCTTTCTTATTTTAACCATTTATATTAATTAATCAAAGCCAGATCGTCAAGTGAAGTATGGCGATGCGTCGACACATCAGTGAATTGCACCCACCTCTTGTCATACTGCACTGACACCTATGGTGCTGTGATGATATTGTATCATGTGGCCACAGGGGGATTTCCACCTCTAGTTGTAGCCTCATAATATTTGTATATTGTTGCCTAATTGGCATCTTTGAAAGGGAAAAAGAAACAAATCTCATTATGTTTACCAATTACCCGAACAGATTGGTGCATTAGCAAGTGTTTTGCCAAGAACCCTTACTGTAATTTTGGCCGTATGAGAAGCATCTCCAGTACCGATGCAGCTCTCCAAGAATTACTAACATTTAAGCTCCAATTAGACCGATCCTCTGAACTTTGCATGCAGAGGAGTCAAGAAAGTAAGTTAACACAAGTCTCAAAGCCTTCATAAAGAGTTTGCTCCAGAGCAGATGGGATAAGCCTTTAAAGAGTTCCTCCATGCATTGAGAAAAGCATCAGATCAGAGAGAAAAGGAGGCTCTATTCTCCTGTGTCTCATTTCATCCAATATCTTTCAAGGCCGCTGGTCCTTTTTTTGTCTTCTTCTTCTTTGTGGTAGCCTCAGTGGAATACTGAATGAGTGTGGAGAGATAAACCAACACCGGTCTCATGCTTTCTAGTCGTTCCATCAGCTCAGCAGAGTAAAATCATCTGCTCTGAGGTGACCCGGTCCTTGCCTTCATCTCCCCTGGAACTCTCAGTCTCTTTCATACCAGATGTATTATTATGAGCCAAGAGGCATCCTTAGATAATTTCACTTAACCGCTGAAAAAAGCTCTTCCTGGCATGTTTGGCACTAGGGTGCTGCCTCACATCTTTGCCCAGCTATTAAAAAGATAAATTGATTGCACACTTTCACCTCTGGGAGGACGGCTATTAATACAAGTCGAGTAACTCCTGCTGGCTCTTAAAGCTTCAGTGACCAAAAACAGCACTTTTAATCAAGCATTACTGCAGTATTAAGGGTTTTTAACAGGTTTTAAACTGTCTTTTAGTACCTGCAGGAGCAAACAAGACCTGCAGCCAGATGGTGCTGCGTACAGCATCTTCTTAACAAAAGAATTCAAGTTAAAGTTGTTGGCTTTTTTAATCGAATGCATGGTCTGACTTTTAATCTTCGTTCCAAGAAAAAGTGTCTGATTTAAATAACATCCTCTTGAGTATTTATGAACAACCTGACAACTGTTGCAATTACCACAAACTCCCCAGCAAGCAACTGGCAACAGTATTCGCCGCCTACGCACACACGCAACTTCCAACTAATAAGCAAACGAGCGTGTTCGCTGAAAATAGCACTTTACAGAGGAAGGGATATACTATATATATATATACTATAGAGCTGTATGATACTTGGTGTTATTACCTTTGAACTAATTATCTTAACATGAGAACTACACTGACATGTTAAAATCTTATATCTGGCATGTTTACCATTACAGTTACGTGTTAACACAGCAGCATTTGCTCATTAGCAGCAAACACAGCTGAAGCTTATAGGAATGTCATTTAGGTACCAGGTTTTACTCGTTGGGGTGGTTACCATGGATACAGTTCATTATGAGAGGGGCATTATCCCACATCCCTTAGCAAGTCATGCAGTCGATGTAGTGGCGTCCTTCGTCCATCTGATCCGTCCATCCATCCATCTGTGGAGGTATAAAAATACCAGTCTCATCCTGTCACATCATTGTCATTGTTCACCCTGGTACCCGAGAATTCACACTACCTTTTGCATACTAAATACATAGACTCGTATGTTGAGCCTCCCAGAGACGCCACCCTGGGTCTGATGTTGAATGCAGGGGTTGCTGACTTCCTGTAATCAGTATTTAAGTCTGAGCAGAGAGTCACTCTGGTTAGTCAGAGTTTTACAACCCTCATGTGAACCTCTGTCTCCACTAATCAGAGGATAAAATTCATCTGAGCCACATAATTGGACCTGAAGGAGTATTTCCTTTCCCTCCACATACCCATCCGTCTATCCATTACTGTAGTGAGCAAAATAGCTGCCATAGACCGGCGTTAATCACTATCTCCTTTCAGTTCAGCATAGTGCTGTGTCATTCATGAACAGTTCGTTCAAAAGAACAGACCTGCTGAGTGAACGACGTGAATGGAATCACTTCAAGACCTGATTCGTTCCTTTCTCAGTTCAGTTAAGCTCAGATGCAAGCGTGGTGGGCCAGTCGGGATTGGATCTACGGCCTTTGACTCTTTGGTGAATGAAACCACCAGCCAGCGAACAAGCAGGTGGGCAGAGTCTCATGATTTCAACAACATAAACGACGACACTTACAAACGAGGGGAGGGACTCGTTCAATAAACTAACTCCCAATCAGCGCGGCTGTGTCACTCACTCGTGTTCTGCACCTGTCAGGACGGGGCTCTGAAGCACTGACTGATTCAGTGAACAAATCTTTTGAACGAGTCATTTTAATGAACAGATTCTAAAGATTCAGTACAGTCAAAAGAACTGTCCTTCCCATCACTAGTTCCACATCAGCAGAAGAGTTGGTCTTCTTGGGGAAGCACCATCACAGGACTTGGTAGCAGGTCCAACAGCCGGTGAAGTTCAGGGGGTTTTTGTTCGACTCATAAAAGTAGGGGTGTTTGTCCTTCCTATCACTCCAACCTCCACATTTGCCAAGCTTGCCTTGTATTTATCATGCAGTCAGAGTTTCTTCTCTTTAAGTTGGCAGAGCAGTGAAAGCCCTTCTCATTCATGCCCTGACTCACAAGTTTGTAAACTTCTGTATTTTTGTGAGTGGTGTCCAACGTTTTACAAATATACTTATCTGCCAAAATGTAAATGAGGCATTTAACCTCCTCGCTGCTCCAAGTCGGCCCTCCACTCATTTTACTGGTTGATTAACTCGCCAACATTACTTCATATCTTGCACTCGGCTTTTCTCAATGTAAAGTGTGATCAGTACATGGCATTTGTTCTCCTTATGTAGTAGGAAAAGCAGCCCTGCAGTAGCTAGTGCTTTCCAACAATGTCGTGTGGACTGAAAAAGACTCGAGGGAAAAAATGTGACACTGAATCCTTTTATCGTCTAAATCAGAGCAAATCAAATAAGGTGCTGAAGTGAAAGCCCCGTCAGAGAGCAGAGCAAATATGAAGCAATCACAGAAACCACTTAGAACATCCGAGCACATATGATTATCCTGCAAATGCAGCGATTCTGTGAATGCAAAAGTTTGGATATTATCACATTTGCATTATGTATGGCTATGAATTTGCACCGTGGAAGTTACCTCTAATCTTGCACCCTTTAGATGCGTTGTTGCCTCGGGAGCGTACAAAGGTGATTTTAACCCGTAATAAAGGACACAAGCATGATGGAGGTGAAGGAGGGCCCTATAACGGGACTTTTTCTTTTCCCCTTTTCTCCCTGTTGTTTGATGATTAATCGAAACCCATTAGCTCGGAGCCGAGGCCAGAGAATTCAGTCTTAATTAGTTTCTTTTTTTACCCCCTCATTCTCCTCTGCTTTGACATAGGGTACACATTATCTACACAGTGAAGGATTGGCAAACTGCTTATCTGATTGTGCTGTTCGTCTCATGCAGCTGCTATTATTGCTGTACTGTGCAGTATCATGAGGCTGCTTCCTCACCTGGGGCTTTAAAACACACTGCTTTATGTGAAACCAGATGCACACCCACGTACACACACACACTTGTCCATGTGGCAAGCTCAGCAGAAGGACATTTAGAGGTGGTGTAGTGGCGTTCGTGCTCTAAGCTCAGTGCTCAGCGGAGGTTAGATCTGTTGGGAGATGGACATGCTGAGACTTAGCGAGTAAATCCCCCTCTCACCGGAGTCCACGATCAATGGGGTCCTTGTTATGAGCCAAAAGAATCGACACACCCACCTGCTCTTAATTAAAAAGACTTGACACAGATACTGTACTTGGATGTCTTGTCTAACACCTGAACCCTCCTCTAATATCTGAACCCTGCAGGGAAACGTTCAAGTCGTGTAATCGAGGAGGAGGCAATCCATCTAATCCTGCTATTGTCAGCACCCGCCCGGCCTCTTTTATGCTGTATTGCTTTAACACAAGTACTCCAATGGGAAGATTATAGACCTGTCAGCTGAGGCTCGTTCTTATTTATGTTTTGAAACACAAAAATACTCCGCGTCAGCAAGGCTTCATGGAAAAACTCCTCCTGGTAATCATAATTTATGTTACGGTAGACCCTTTATGACTATATTCCCCTGCATGTACTTGAGTAGCTAATTAAAGTGTCTACAGCAAGTGCGAATTATTTGGCACTAGGCCTGTTAGGTTTGTTTCAGCTCATTTTAGAGGAACATATTCACATGATAACCTGGATGGTTTATTACGGTAAAGTTCCCGAGCTGTGTGTCATGATCTGGAAGCTCTGACGTGTCTTTTGCTGTTCTTCAAACATCACACCTGCATTTTCGTTTCTGTCTCTCGGCTCTAAATCTTCAGAAAGCCCTTTTTTTGTCGTTGCAGCCAGGTGCTGCCGACTTCATTTTGATGTGAGGTGCAGCTTACAGGATCTTGGGGATGTCAGATGTAATTGTACAGAGGCAAAGACAAAATGACAAGTTTTTTTTTTCTTTTTTATACTCCCTTCCCCTCTGGTCCTTTGGTCTACTTTTGATTGTGCCGGTTGTGAGAGCCGCGGGGTTTATGTGGACTTGTTTGTGCAGCCAATGTCATTCTTCACTGAGCTGTGTCACTATTGCTGCCCTGTAAATGGATTTCACATGAAGAATAACTGCAGTAAGCTGACTGGATGACAAACATGGTATCTGGACCAACTGTATAGAGGTTAGCCATCAAGACATCATTCTTTTTGATTTCTCGACTGAGTGCCCGTGACCTCGAACCCAGCATTTATCATATTTTCTGGAGCCAGAAGTTTGGGAGAATGAAGAGATGACCGTTGAAACACACGTCTAATTTGATGGCTTGTTTAGCCTATTTTAGCAATATTACCCTTTAATTAAATTTCTCTTTAATTGTACGAACCAGGGATGTTTATTTATCAGACAAGAAAATGCTATATAGTTCCTAAAGCACGGCACACTGGTTAATTCCAACTCATTTAGAGTCGTAATCATAGACTGTACGAATTTGGAGCCGAATTGCTCCAGGATTTTCTCCACTTCCTGGAACCACTACTTGCGCAGTAGCGTCATACGCATTCGGCCGGAGAGTCGCTGTGATGATGCTCAGCTCAAAACAGTGTATCCCCTGGGTGAGCTATGCAATCTTCGTACGAAGGCAGAGAGCATCCATTCTATATACAGTCTTTGGTCGTAATAAAGTACCACTGCCATTGCTCTGTGCACTTAAATGTTGGGCGCCACACTGACGTAATATCAGTGTCCCAGTGTAGGACTTCATATTGCATTGCCACATCAGGGGAGTGCATTATGACATTTGTGATGCACAGACCAAACCCTCTCGTGCATCACATCCAGGAAGTAAATCCTGCATGATTAGTTGTGCACACTGACCACGACAATATTAACTTTTTTTAAAAAAGTCTTCCTTGTGTGCTGCTAAGATGGTAAACACAAAGACAGAACCTCACCTCTGTTGAAAAAGTAAACACACCAATTCTTCTTTGTTCATCATATGAAATAAATTCAAGTTAAGGTGATCCCTCATTTGGTTAGGGTTTGTTTAAAATGCCGACTTCTGTCAGACATGCATGATTGAGAATAAAACTGTGATCTTAGGAGGGAGAGATGAAATGAGGATTTCTTTTATCTCTGTTCAATCAGAGTTCACCTACCTCTACCCTTTGTGAGATTATCATTAGATTACAAGTGATTAATGTGAGTCAGACTCATGCAGGAAGTAGCAGACACCTCTTATTAAAATAAACACTTACATACAAAGTTAAGTAGATAGACGAATACAACAGCTTGGTTAACCACCTGTAGTGTTATGAGAGCGCACTTCAACCTGGTGTTGTTGGTGTTCACCTTCTCAAACCAATGATTATAGATAATCTGTGAAGAATAAATCAACTGTAAGAATGATTGTACAGTGTCAGTGGAGTCAGCCTCAAGTGGACAGAAGAAGAACTGCAGTTTCAGGCACTCTTTTGTTGCCTTAATCTCTCGGCCCCGGAGGTTGCTGCTTGGTGTAGACATGTCAGCATTAAAGCGATGGCATTATCAGTTTCTAAACTGACATTTCTGGAGCTACTGGCTCCATTTAACCTTGGCCTTATTATGCGTTAAAATTACCGAGTTTTACTGACACTGCAGCTCAGGCAGACACGGACAGCTGGACTGTGTCAGCCTTTCGGGTGCTACGTTACCTCAGAGAGCAACTCCTCTGACTGCTAATCTTTTATTAAGTAACACAGTCTGGGCTTTGACATTTACATACTCTCTCCCTGAGCATATTAAGCTCTTTATGTGCTGATTGTTATCACCAGGCCAATAATGGAGATTAGCAAAGAAAAAGAAAAAAATCACCTCAGTTATTCTGACTGTGTCTCTAATCTCGTCCTGCTCTCAGAAGGTCATTGATTGTTATTATCCATTCCCTCACACACATTCACACTCACATCTCTGTCCTCTGTGTCTTCTTGCAGACCTGCGGGAGATAGTGTTTGTCCTCCAGAGTCAAAGTAACTCCTTCCATGAGAGGCAGGCGGAGAGAAAAAGAGCTGATTTACTGAAACAGGCTCACAGTCTTGCAGAGGTAAGAAAAACATTTCACACATGAACATATGCTCGCTCCGAAGTGCACGCAGCGCACATATGATGTAAGTTTATTCTGGATTTTCATTTCCTCGTGTCAAACCAGGACTTGAGTATCTAAGTTTGTCTGTTTTGTGAACAAAATGCTCTGAAAAGAACTAAAGATACAAGATTATTCACATGTATTTGAAAAGATTTCTGCACTGAGGTTTTTGTCGTGTAGTTTCAGCACCAACAGAATCGACAGTTTTCCTAATTTCATTTTGTACACTTGCGTTTTCAGCATCTCAGAGTGTTTCTCCATTTGTTCCACTATTATTTGATTCTCTTCATTTTAAATATTAAATGAGGCTGTTCAGAATAATTCATGGTACCCTTCAGATCCAACTTCTCCAGAAAACATTAAAATCCAAAGTATGAAAGTGTAGTTTGAAAAATGCAGCATTCACGGCCCCCTGTGACAGCAAATCTTGTGCTTACTTAAAAACTTGTACAGCTCACTCTCTCCTTCAACCAGCCTGTTGTTGTTTAATGTTTAATGTGACGTGATGATCGTGTACATGTTGATGAAAACAGCTGGCCTATCAGTGTAATAAAGCAGGGGTACAAACATCAATATGAAAAGTTGTGTAAAACTTAAACTACATTGTGTTCGGTTGAGTAGTGAATCCAGCAGCGCTAACGGCAAGTTCAACTTAATATTCATGAGGTCTTGGATTTCAGAGTCGGTCTGTTTCCATTTGGTGCCGTTATCATGGGTGTAAAGAAGCAGAGCACACCATCTACATTTGAAAGGAACAGGAAATCCTATGAATTCCGTTTTTTTTGGTATTGCATTTTCACATAACAGCTCTGAAATCCTGCATCCCATCATAAGCAGAGTCAAAAACAGGAATAATGCAACAGCTCGCTGCTGCTTTTTATTATTTTTGTCATGCATTAAAGTCAGTATGTCTCCAATTTGGACCGTGTCATGTTTCCTGTGATTAATAGTGGCGTTAATTAGCGTCAGTGGGTGAGGTTTGTCATGGTTTTTAGATGCACATCAAAGTTCATCACATCAGACAGACATGAACGCAGCATGCTGTCGCGTTTCCGTTTACGATCCCTGAGAAGTTTCATGTTTGATGCGATCGTATGAGGATTAAAATCAGCAACTTTTTGAGAATGAGCAAAAGTTTGAAGCTTTTCAAAGAGCTGACGGACTCCAGAGACCCCCAAACCCAATAACTCTTGATGAGAATGAGTCATCGCATTATAATCAGAGGGAAAATAATCTTCGATCCCAAGTGTTCTCAGAAAGCTCCGACTGTTAATCCACCAAGGCTAAAAGAGTCGCAAATTCATTTTCTTTTGAATTCAATATGAATTAAATACGGATAGAAGATCATTTCACGAAAAATAGAAGATAAAAATGAGACTTCCATGCAGATCGAAATCCATTTAAGTATCAAATGAGAAAGACAAAATACCAAAGGAAGGGATAGAAATGGAAACATGAACAAATAAAATTAATATTGAATTTCTTTTACAACATAAAACTGGAGGTTAATAGTTTAACCTCTTTTTTCTTTGCTGTTTGATCCTTGGATTAATTTGATGCACTGTCCTTGTCTATCTCTACAAAATTATCCGTCACTTTACTGTACCCTTTCTTCTTTTCAACGTAATCATATATCAAAATATTTAAAGATATCTCACAGTCGGCTTTAGATTGAAACACTCCTCTGCTCACCCTGTGAAGCAGTGGTGGCTTTATAGGACATGAATTAGGGCTGGGCGATTAAAGCGAAAATTTACCGATACCTAAATTTATGACAATATCCAACATCATTTTGCTCATATCGGTATATTCGGTGTCAAAAAAATAAATAAATAAAAGTTGGTTTTGGATGTGTGTAGGTAGGATATGGTCTCATGTCCCTTTAAGACTCTGTCCTACATCAGAGACGTGACTCCACCCCATCCAGTCTATAACAAAGAGGGAAAGACAGGTGAGGAGATGGAGGACGGTTCAAAAGTTGCAGCGGCTGAAGAAGTTAATATGGGAGGAGGTGAGCAGCTTGTGGAGTAGTTATCATCCATTTATCGTTAAAGAGGTGAACTGATCAATATATCGTGATATTGATTTGAGGCCATATCGCCCAGCCCTAACATGAATGTTACTCATTGGTCTGTTTTGAGATGGTGGCCTCTGGAAAACCACCAACTGTACCTTTAATTTTATCAAAATCAAAGTTTCAAAACTAATCCACAGTCTTTGTAAAACTTTCTGATTTCATGCAGAAGTTCATTAATAATTTAAAAACACAAAAACTCGTATTACTTGAGAAAAATCGAAGAGGAAAGTTGAATTTGAAACCCTCTGATGTTATTTACAGCCGCCTCCGCTTTCTTTAACTGAACATGAGTTACAACCAGCCGTCCACCGCTTTACTCCCCCTCAGAGGCTCAACACACACACACAGCCTGAGACTCAGCTGTTTCACAGTCTCAGAGGGTGATCCTCAAATCAAAAAGAAAGGATCAAAGCCAAAAGTTGCTGTAGATCTTCTTCGTATGGAGCTTTAGAACACGTTTGATGTACAGTTTGTTGTGCTACGTTGCTGCGAAAAAGGCTTTGCAGGAGAGTCCCACAATGTCTTGAAATATCTTGAATCAGTTTTAAAGAGAAAAAAGGAGATACAGTGAGAACATGAAAGAACTTTTACAGACTTTGATCGCCGCCTTTAAAACGGGTTCAGGTTTTGTTTAACTGTCGCCCTCCAGTCTTACCTTTCTCTGCGAGTCAGGAAAAAAGAGTAAAATGACCTGTACTCTGTTTAGACGCATTGTGAAAAACAAAATATCTTATTTATAGCTTCATGAATGATGCAGGACTCAGTTCTTGTCCCATTTGTAACGTTTTAGGAAAACAACAACAATAACTTTCTGTTTTATTGGCTGCTCCAAGACAGGACAGCTACTGAATAATTCTTCTTCACTCCAAGCTGATCTTTGGGATTTGTCCTTATTTGCCTTTCAAAGGTTTGTTTATGTCCACTAGATATAAAAAAAATGTTTTTCATTTTGCATCTCAGAGTCAGAAGTACAACAAAGATCAGAAACTTGACCATAAATCGACAGATTTCATGGGTTTCTGCGGTAAAGGAGCTGGTGTGACATTTGTGTCACCAGGAATTATCTCTTTTTGTCAGGGATTCTTACAACAAACCAAGCTGGTCAGTTTTAAAGACACCTTTTTGAAATTAATGGGTTTATTTAAAATGCTAATATTTTAGTGAACTCTAATTTAGAAAGCTTTGAAAAACTAAAAAGTTCTTTCTGAAAATACGTCACTTTTTTGTTTGTTTGGTGTTTCTTTACTCTAAGCCCCTTTATTTCAAGGATGAGAAAACCATATAATCCATACATCCATACAAATATTCAGCCAACAAATTACGTGTACATCTAAGCTTTCAAAGCTGCATATTTTTCTTAAGTTTCATTGGTAAAACATACTTAAATGTGATTTTCTTGGCTTTTAAACTTAATATCTGTGGATGTTTTTGTCGTAGAATCGTTTGTTTAGGAAGTGTAAACATTTAGAAGTTAAGAATTGAGGTATATGAGGCTCCACTGACTAGAATTTAGGTGCATCTTAAAGGGATATTCCGGCGTAAAATTAAGTTAGGGCCAAACACACCGTAAGAACGAGGTGTTACCGAGTAGACACTCTTGAGAGATAAATGTTGCTGACTGCTTGTTCTCTAGTTATACCACCTTCAGCAACGACCGCACGATAGCAATACCTCAACCAAAAAACCAAAACGCCACTCTATAGCCACAAATAATGCTCAGAACAGCACCTAACTTCATCAACAGGACATTTAGGGTCCCAGCCACAGCACTACCCACCAAACATCTTTTTAGCTTTGCCTAATTTCTTTAGCAAAGAGACTAAACACAACTCGCCTACTCTCCTCCAGTAGCTGCTTGTTTGACAAGTTGATCACCGATTGCAGCGGAGTTTCGCATCTCAAGGAAGAACATTTATGATCATAACTTCATGGAAATACAATCAGAGCTCTTGTGTATCTTGCATTTGCGCTGTAGACGCCGTAGTTCTTCTGCCTTAGTGTCTCTGTCTGATTGCATTTCCATGAAGTAATAATCATAAATTACCCGCTGCACTCAGTGATCAACTCTTTGGGTTTTGCAGTGTGCTTGACCATAACTTAAATTTACGCTGGAATATCCCTTTAATTGTACTTTGTGCACGCTTGGCTATAGCATGAACCTAGACAAAGCTGGCGGTCACCTATACATGACTTTCACTTGATTTCCTCTACAGATCTGTGATGAGAACTCTTTTCAGCCACAGTCCACCACTTTGCTCCTTTTAATATCAGATTTTTTTCTCACTCTCTTCCCCATAAGTGCAGATTCTTGCAGTCAAGGAGCCCAGCGTGATGAAAGTATTTTATCGGCTGTAAAAAAAAGAAAAAAGGTCATTTTTTTTCTACCGCTCATCACTGGAGGTAGGGCAGCCGCCTGTCAAAACCACTTCAGTCCCTCCTACAGTTACAAGCACGGCTCCTTGTTCCCTCATTGCAGCCAGGTCTCAGTGACCCCATCTTCCTCCAAGTCACCAAGCAATCAGCGTTCTGTTTGCTGCAAGAAAGTTTATACCGGGACCGGCTCTTGTCTGTTTAATGGAAGTCTTCAGCTTGCACACAGCTGCCATTAAAGATTCAGCGTCTGGTTCTTGAACGCCTCCTTTATCGCGGGAATGTCAATAACTCTTTGGAGCTAATACCTCACCTCTTAAGGCCGGGGGAAATGCTCTTCTATTTTGCAAGTTACAGTTTTTTTTTTATCTGAGGAGGAGTGTGAGAGTCAGAGGTTGATATCATGCTCAGATACCAGAAGAGCTAACAAACCTCAGTGACTAATAGGTTTAAATAAGTGTAAACAGTGTCAGACTTGTCACCTAAAGCTAACAGGCTGCTGGTAGACAGAAAGGCTGGGAGCAGACTGTTCCCCCTGACTTCCTGCATGATGAGTGGACCGTGCAGTAATGAACCACAGGCTCACACGCACGGCTGCTTTGTTTTTCTCTCAGTGTGACGCTCGGGCTCTCTCACACGGCCCTCACACACCTCTGACTTTCTGCCCTCACCACAGAGGATTCAGATGAAACAGATTTCTCTTATTTAGAAAGTGATTGTGTGCAGCATGCATGTCCTAAAATATCCTGTGCTGGTTTCGACTGATTTATCTGCCAGTTTATTTCCTGGGGTGAGGACAAGCAAGAGCAAAACCCTGAAGGCAATATCGGCTTTGAAGGATGGAACGGGTGTTTTAAACAAGTCGATTTGAAAGAAAAGGCTTGTCTTTTACTGAGCTTTTCTTTAGCATTGCATCCAAATCCACAGAAATGAGGCAGATTTCTGAAAATAATTGATCAACTGACATTTTTTCCTGGTAAATAACATCAGCCACGTTCTGTGACACCATCCTAAGGGCAAAAAAGGGTTTGATTAGCCAGACTTCTGCTTTCATTCAGAAAAGTCTATTTTTTGTCCACTAAACGTTAATTACTGCTGCCCTCAGGTTGAGGTTGAGTATTTCTCAATTCCACATATTTTTCGGACGTGAAGTCGCCCGTGTCTCTGAGAAAAATAAGTGGAATACCACTTTTGCTGAGTGTAGAAAGACCCTGATCCTCCGACAGGGGATCTTTTATCCCCTTGGCACCAGAGTGGTGAGTCACAGCTGGCCTCAGTCTTCTTTACAGATAAGTGGTGCTTTCTGTTGTCACAGTTTTGACACTTATTAACCCCTGAATGTAAGATGATCCCACCTCTTTTTTTCAGATGTATTTAAGGAAATACCTTGTGTTACTGAAATTTTGAATTTCAACCCTTCTCCATTATCTCGCTCTTGTGCTGCATGTGTTTTGCAGGTTGAAGTATCCTTGACCCACAGCAAAACTCTGAGTTTATTTAGCAGACTTCTCTTCTGTCCTAAAACGTCTCTCTTCTCCAACCAGGATGTTTTGCCTCTAAAGTCCCACTCCGATCCCTTTTTTTAAGCCAAAATCATGTTACCTGTGTCATTTTCAGGAGCTTTTCTTCTGCAGAGCTCCAGTCGCTTATTAGCAATTCACCTCTGAATCGAGGGTGGAGACAGCGCTGCTCTGCACACTCCTTTTCACGCTAGCTGGTAGCCTAACATTGCCGGTGTGGTAGAAGTGGCAGGTAACTATTTAGCTATCGGACACTAATGTCTTTCGGGACATGATGAAAGTTGATATCATAATTAGCTTTTTTATGAGCATTGCAGTCCGCTAATGGAGTCTGGTCTGCATAGCGGGGCTCTGGGGGCGGAGCTTGGATTTGTTATGTAGGAAATCTCACCGTATTTGAGCCTCCTGTTTGGGTCTGTCAGAGATTCACAGCGATTTGAACGCAGAAATACTCAGAAATGCGATTTTGCACTTATATTTCTCATGATATGTCCTGTAGCATCAGAAAAATGTTATATGAACATGGAGGCAACAAGAAAAACATGATTTTTATCGGAGTGGGTCTTTAAATGCTTCATAAAAGTTCCCTTTTCCACGAGTCTGTGGGTGCTCTTTGCAAACAATAAAAGGCAGAATTTGTCATTTCACTCCCTCTGTATGACCCGACAATGAATAAGCGATTAGATAACTCTCAGGACTTTTATCCCGGTCCGTGTGGTCCGAGATCTAACACACTGACCATGTTACACCCTGAAGTTTGTACCTTTTAATCTCACATTTGTCAGCGGATGCTTTCAGGCTTACAGGCAACAAAACAGAGTTTAGTGAATCCAAACAAACTGCAGAGCTGGTCTACAGTATAATGAAAGAGCATGTCTGCAACAGTGAGCTGGTTATGAACAATAGAGGTCTGTGCATATCAAACCTTGACAGCAGTGCCTTAAGAATACATTTATTTGCAGGATTTGTTGACTCTTGAAGAAATATAAACTCTCGCCAGAGTTGTAAGACTCTTGTAACTTCGCTGTCTGGATTTTTTGACTCTTTGCAGCTTTGAGGTCAAGCAGCGCATTGTGAGAGAGTGCGTATTACCATACAATACTAATGTGAAGAGAAGAAAAGTCAGGCGGATATATCAACTCCAGCAAGTTTTAACCATCAGGAGTCTGATAATAGATTCTCGAAGTGAAAGCTGCATGATTAAAAGATAAATAATAAAATAAACCAGGAGAAGAAGAAGTGCTCTCCGTCTGAAATCAGAGTTAATTTGATTTACACTGGAAGGACATGAAGATGCAAATCCACGTGTCCTTTAAGTAAAACTCTGGGATGCTCTTAATCCAAACCTCACTCATTAGTATCGATCAAACCATTGACCTTCCAGTTAGAGGACAGTCTGTGTGATCAGTCAGGCCACCCTCCGCTTCCTTTTGTTGCAGAAAAAGCTTCTTCGATCGTCTTCAGGTTTGTTTAGCTCTTGGACAATAATTAAACTTCACTGTTTCGTGTTTGTTGTCGTGTTTCTTTTCAGAAACCACCGCTGGTTTTGCTTCTTCACACTTTATCCGATAATGAGGGGGACTGGAGTATTCTGCCTCTGCTGCCTTAGTAAGTATCCTTTCATTTGTGGGGTCAAACAATACGTGAGAAACTGAATATTTATGTCCGAGTTTGTTATGTTAAGGTTATATTTATATTTCTTTAGCCTCATTCAACGGTCTCAGGTCGCTCTTGAGCTTCATCCAAAACAATAACTGTGATTGATTGCTTCACATTATAATAAATGCCTTCCTAATGTGTTCATAACTGTGACAATAAGCCAATTACTGCAGTTATCCAGCCGTCTGAACGGCATCGTAATGACATTAGCTGCAGCCATCGACATGATGAGCCTTCTTGAAACTCCACTACGTGTTCGATAAATTGTTATTCCAAGAGGAGACTTGGAATAACATTCGAAACGGTTTTCTTCCTCCATCATAAAGATTTAGGACATGAATGTGAAAGAGCAGCCCGAGTCATTACAGAGAGAAAGCCTGTGTGCTTGTGATGTTTTTTTTTTCTCGTCTTTGTCGTGCCCTCAAGGGGAAACTCAGTGTCTGTATGATCTGAGTGGGTCAGGAGGCGCAGTTAGCTAGTTCCTTAGACGACTGAAATGAGAAAAAAAAACCTCTTTGTAGAATTTTTCTGTGTCTGGCTATGTTCCATTTATTCTTATTTTATTATTTAACTGCACTTTTGATGTGTGTCCTCAGTTTATCACACTCCTTTGGGAAAAACTCATCCTGGATTGTGTTTCTTGAAGAGGAAACAAACGTGAAGATGACTCAAATCATTCAAGTCCTTGCAAAATATGACAAGACTAAAGTAAGTCTTTAAAAATAATCCCTCGTCTCTTTTTTTTAACCCTCTGTCTCAATTTCTGTCTTTGTCAAATCCATAAACGAGAGCGGAGTTTAGTGTTTGGAGCTCCAGTTTAGTCTATCATCGGTTCAATTAGGAGAAAACAGGATATCAGGTCAGCTCCTCTGTAGCCGCTGAGCTCTGCCAGCTCTCAGAGAAACCTGCCAGACATGCCACTTCACTCTCTGCTGGAGACCTGATTTAAGGCCTGTTTTCCACTCATGAAATTATATTCTGGTTTAAGGGTTGGTGGGGTTGGTTGAATAATAATATTTCATAAACTCTGCAGTTTGAAGAATCATATGTGAGAGGCTGAAATACAGTTTTTTTCCTAATTAAGCTTAGCAAACTAGTTTCCTCCATCAATACTTTATGAGTTATTAAAATAATCTGAATAAAAGGCTTGTTTTGATGTTTTATGGGGGTGTTTTTTGCCCTCTGTACTTGTTGACAAGCCTCCAAAACACAAGCTTGAGCCAGCTTTTAAATGCCAAAGGGTGATTTGCCAAATGTTGTTAGATACGCTTTGAGGTAAGCCTACAGGGTTAGCTGTAGAAAAATGCTGTTTTTTTCTGCGGATTGCTGAAGTTTGCTTTGGTCTGTGTCTGAAAAAAATGCTCCAGAACAGTTAATGGAAAGCCTTTTCACTTTCATTTTGGACTATTTAGACCCTGCAGTGCGATATTTCATTACCAAGTTAGAGATGGAATTCATTTTTCCGCAAATGACTTTATGCAACCTGATCCAGAGGAGGAGGAGGAGGAGGAGGGGGCGACAATGGCTACATCACCTCGTGATTTGATTTATTACAACATGCCCTAAAGCAAAGACTTCTCACTCAGGTGTTATCGCACAATGTGGCCGGCCTTTTTCTGCTATTAGAGAAAGAAAATTGGTTTTTATTCCAGAATATTGGAAGGGTTGATATCTCTATGCAGGAAAACAAGCTGTCTTTTTCAAAATAACTTTTATTAATCAGGCACGGAGGACACTGGCAGCAATTATACATGTTTTTGTACCGTCAGAGACAACAAATAAAAGCCAGGGCTTGTCATCCATTAGCAGTGGGTTAAACAGCGGTAAACACAGTATGACTTGTTCTTTAGTAAAGGGTTCGCACAGAGGTTATAAGAGGAAGATTGGCCTCTGGATGCAACGCTAGTTACCTCCTCCAAGGAGGTTATGTTTTCGGTAGCGTTGGTTGGTTTGTTTGTCTGTTAGGAACTTTACGGACAAAGTTATAGATGAATTGACCTAAAGTTTTTACCAGAGGTGGGTCTCAGCCCCAAGAGGATCCCATTACATTTTGGTGGTGATCCGGACAAAATTCTGGATACTGTGATCCAGAACACACAAAAATAAGGGTGTCGTTGGAATTTTCAATGCTGAAAGATAATCAATGGGCGGCACAGTGGTGTAGTGGTTAGCACTGTCGCCTCACAACCAGAAGGTCCTGGGTTTGAATCCCGGTCATTTCTTGTTTTAGGAACATTATGAACAGTGAACATACCAGTTTAAACATAAATAAAAGTTAATAAAAGACATGTAACAGTAAAAGTTTTGCTGTGAATCACAATATAAGGGGGGACAGGAGCTGCTTGGCGGAGGTCTGCGCTCTCTGAGTGCTTTTCTAGCTCTTGCTGTTACAGTCTGTTCAGTGTCAAGGTCTGATTTACAAATAATGAAAGCTCTGTCATTAATTGCAATTTGCTCTTTTTATGTGTCTGATTGCAGGTAAATTATAAATTGTGGCTTTATGCTGACAGCACAGTATGCAGAACAATCGCAGTTTAATCAAGAGGTCACATTTATCTTTGAAATATTCACTCAGGAGCTCCAGGCCTGAAACGACAATTAATTTTCACCACTGACATGATTTTTGGCTTTCACCTTTAAAGGGATTGTCCGGTGTAAATTTAAGTTATGACGAGTGCAGCGAATCATTTCTGTGAAGTAATAATCACCATATTGATCATTTTGCACTGCAGACATGGTAGTTCTTCTGCCTTAACGTCTCAGTCTGATTACATTTCCATGAAGTAATCAACGTAAATGTTCTTCCTTGAGCTGTGAAACAAGCGGCTGCTGGAGGAGAGTAGGTGAGTTGTGTTTAGTCTCTTTGCTAAAGAAATTAGGCAAAGCTTAAAAGATGTTTGGTGTCTAGTACTATGTCTAGGACCCTATATGTACTGTTGATGAAGTTAGGTGCTGTTCTGAGCATTATTTGTGGCTATAGAGCGGCGTTTTGGATGAGGTAGACCGCTGTGTATTGCTCTCATATGGTTGTTACTAAAGTTGGTTTAACAAGAGAAGCAAGCAGTCGTCAACATTCATCTCTCGAGGAGGTGTCTAACTCGGTGTTACTTAAATTTATGCCGGAATATCCCTTTAAGAATGATCTTCTTTAAAATCTAAGTAATAACAGCACACCTTACCAATGCAACACCTCTGTAAAAAAGTTTAATGTAACTTCATTTAAAAGCAAAAATAGTTCATCTTTTTCCCGTGAAACAGGCGGCTGGTCGTAGCTTTCTATTCACCGCTCAGACATGAGAGTGCTGCCAGTTTTCTCATCAAACTCTTTCCACCCAGAAAAACTCATTATTTACTCAGTGGGTGGAAAACTCAGTCTCAAGAAAGATTGTTTTTTTTCTGCCAAGTGCTGTGAAAAAATGAAAAAAAAGCTGCCGTATTGGACCAGATGCCCGAGTGTGTCCTTTCATAAAACCCCCTCAGTAAAATATTAATGGTAAAAATTTTTAACGTCTCAGAAGTAAAAAAAAAACAGGCAGCCTGCACTCATTGCACTCACGCTGACGTCCTGTCACGTTCCTCTCATTTGTCAGGAGTGGTTTCTTGGTAAGCCCCTCCATGACACAGAGTCGACCATCATCCATCACTACGCCTTTGCAGAGAAACCCTCTGTCTTTAAATACCCAGACTTTGCTGCAGCTTGGGCCTTGAGCATCCCGCTTGTTGTGCGGTGAGTGACTGTGTTTGTGTCTGCAAAATTGACTTGTTTGCTTCGCATCACGACTGTATTCCCTATATTTCAAAGGCAGCGTCTTGTTTTTATTGCATATTTCTGACAATGAAATCTTTCATTTTCTATTTCAGGCTTGCAAATAAAGTGAGAGATGAGCCACTTAAATCTGACTTCACCATTGACCTGAAACATGAGGTAAGATAACATGTAAGTTACCTTCACAGTCCCTCTATTCGGAAAGCGATGATAAGGCTTCAGATTTTTCATCCATTTTCCAACAATTTTCATTTGTCACACTCAGGCCAACAAGGACAAACCATAATTTATTTTCACAGAAAAGCAGGAGGCATGGAATCCATCTAACCTGAAGCTAAATCTTATTACTTTGGAGAATTGTCATGGCACTGCATTCGGGATCTTATTTTTATCACTGAAATTCAGTCAAGGAGGCATCAGGGGGTTTTGTCGGGCAAACACAGCAGCAGCAGCAGCAGCAGACTTATCAGGATCGGCTTTGGAAAGGTGCTTCAGTCAGAGATGGCAGGACTGAAACTCTGGATATTCAATTATTAGACTTCATATAGTATGTTTATGTATGAGGAAGAGGCTGCTGAAGTTTACAGCTGCATTCTAGCAGATTAATAGACACCAAAATGCACTGCGTAAACATTCATAATAAACCTCATTCATGTGACACAAACACCACGTATACTACCTGTAGATGTACAGAGAGATACTGCATAAATCTTCACTGTCAGTTAAAGCTCGGTAAAACATCCCGTCTCAGAGTTTCTGTGCTTGCATATTCTCTGAAACGGTTTCCAGCACAGTACTCTACTTTTCTCATTACCCAGTCTTTTACTGTTACGTCTAAATCTCACTTAAAACAACACAGCTTACCAGTGTCACAACACTTAAACTGAATCTGAGGTTTTATTTTGCTTCTCTGTAGAAAGAGAAACACACCAGCTCCAAATTACTCCCTCCTCACCCTCCCTGTTTATCTCCTCTGATACGCTTCTTAAATAATAAATACGTTCACTTCAGTTGTGTATTGAGAGCATAACAGCCGTATTGTCAACATTTTACATCCCCTCTACTTTAATGTTTGTAATAGAGCAGAGATGTCTGATGTCTGAACGCTGTAGGAGATCAGTCTTGAATCTGTGTTATTCTAGGTTGCCTTGTATATCTGGGACAACGGGAACGGCCCACATCTCACTGCTGTCCCTGAGCTGTGCACCGAGCCAGAGGGCTCCCCTCAGACCAGCCACTGTGCCACCACTCTGAGCCGCCAGCCTCCACTGTGTGTGAGTATCTATGTCTGCAGATCAGGTACTGGAACAAAATTTACACATTAACATGCAACAAAAGCGCTCCACTATGAGAAGCGATGATCTCGGCCTTGCAGTAGACTCCACAAAACAACCCAAAGTCTTATTGAAATGCTCCTCTGTTGCATGGTAACATTTGATTAAAGTTTTATCTCTCCAAATATGTTCGAGTTCATCCGCTGTGGAAGAAGTCTGTCAATTTTAAAGAGTCTAGTTCTGTTGCTTTTCACATGTCACCTAACCTGGAACGAGGAAATTGAAATCCTCATGCAAATTCATGTTGTCCACAGCTGATGACTAACCAGCTCTCGTCTCTTATCCTCTTTGTCTCCTTTGTCTCGTAACACACATGCTCATCAGAATTTTGTAACAGGAGCAAAACACATAATTCATCCCACATAATTCTGTAGGAGTTTCAAGTAAAGCGGAAAAAGGCTTCCGGATGTGTGTTGCATATGAATACGCTGGCCTTGTTATTTCTTTGAGGGAGAGTCACCTCCATCTTTACAACACATAACATACGACAGGCATGCGCTCAGTGCGCCTCAGGCACAATATCCTACATGACAAACAAAGATGGAGAAGAAAAGGAGATATTACCTTCACTTTGATATGGCCTTATTTTCTGTTTGAAGTCCTATAAGATCTGATGGAGTTACAGCTATAAAAACCTGTGTGGCGAGATAAATGTACATGAAAAATGACGAGTGATTACTTCTGTTAAGATGGAGAATGTAAGGAGATGTCACAAATCTTAAAATGTGACAAGAATAAGTAAGAATGGAGGTATTTAGTCTGAGTAAATATAGATATATTCCGACCAAAGAAAGCAGGTTTAACTCGCAGTATAAAGGCTCATTTATGCTCACCGGTATGAAAATGTACACGTCCATGTCAAACGATGGTTCCTTCACTGCCCACATACTTTCATGTGCCCTTTACATTGGCATAGATGATCCGTATGTAATGCTGAGCATAAATGAGCCTTAAGACCACAATAATGGAAACCTCACATCAATATATTTGATTTACTCGTTTTCTCTCATTTATGTCATTATCTTGAGGTAACAAACCTTGACTTATTTGATAACTTAGGATAATTTAGGCACAAGGTTAATTTTCTGTGGATGCATAAAACGAAAGAACAGGCTGGTCTCTGTGGTAGTCCAGACTATGACATGCCATACCGCCCTCACCCTCACTAACAAGCTAAGTTAAGCCTATTATAGGTTTGTTTTGTGCTTTTGCAGCTCCACAAGAAACCCTTAGTGACTTATTAAGGCAGGGAAATAAAGTCAATAGAATGAATGTGTTTATTTCCATTGATTGCTTCTTTAATAATGAAAAAAGAATGAACATTTAAGTCTGATAATGTAAAAAGGTACGATTCATTTACCAATTTTAAAAAAAAGATATTTTTGGGGGGCTACTAACGTTTACCAAACTAAAAGCTTGAAAAAGTCTAAGTTTCTTGGTCTGCCTATGTCTCTGTGTATTAAGGAGCTACAAACAGTCAGATATCAATAATCATAAGCGCCCGAGGCTCATTTAAAACTTGTGCAAGAAAAAGATCTTTACTTGATAACTTATAAATCAACTCTAAAATCAGACGAGAGGAGCCAATCAAATCATCAAGCACCGATGCTCTGCTGCTGCAAGTATAACAATTCATCTCTTTCTCTCTCAAACTGGAGCGAAGGTTTTATTGAAAAATGAGTATTGATCGTGGGTAAATGTTCTCATAAGTCATTTTATATCCACCATCCAACACGGAGAAGGAAAATCACAGTAGGGAGAAATGTCTTGCAGGCAGGCGGTTTCTTAGAATAGTCATGCTCGAAATAATTGGCAGTTTCTATGGGTCACGCTGGAGATGTGTTTATCTGAGTGGGAGACGGCGAGTGGGCGTGGCTGAAGAGAAAACAACATGGAACAGTCATACAGAAAGTAAAGTCAGCGTGGAGTTGGTGTTAATTACGACATTTTTACAGCTACTGTGGTTTATTTTCTGACTGAAATGGGAACATACCACATGATTCAGCCCAGGTTCTAGTGTGTGTTTTCTCCGTAGGGGTGTGAATCGGTTAAAAGGTCAAATAATCTTCGGACAACATTTTTGACCCCACATGAAAATCATGAATAAAACTTTCAGTAATGTTCGGAGACTTTATTTCGTCGAGAGCAGAGGGAGTTGAATTTGGATGCCAGAGTTGTCGCTGTAAGTGTCCCAATTCTGAATATTTTCCCCATGTTCCCTTCTTAGTTGTGACACAAAAAATCCAATTTGATGTTGTCATTTGTGATTCAAATCACAAGCTGCATGTTCGATGGCTTGCTGCATGTTTTTTTTTTTCCTGCTAGATTTTTCTTCCTCTTGTTTCTCTGGATGGAAATTTCTGTCCTCATGAAACTGCTTCCATTTGACCAGAAAACAGGACAGATGCTGGAGCACTCAGCGGAGAAGCATGAAGGTCACTGTTTAATACGTATTCTGGGAGAAGTTCCCGTTCACACACAACAAGAGGGGACGTATCCTAATCAGCCAGAGTTAGAAACAGTTGCAGGACAAATTGGCCGTCGGGTCACTGAAGCCCTCAGCTGCAGAGTCAACAAAGAATGGAGAGCCTCGAGGGGCAGATTGAAGGAGGTGAAGGATGGCAGTGTACGAAGTGATCAGAGCAGCAAAACACGTCTGAAAAATGATTTTATTGTGCCGTCGCTGCTCTGCATGACACGAAGATAAAGGCTGCAGTTTGTATCAGACGTGAGTTGGTCTTAAAAACGAGTAAAACTAAAAAAGGTCAGACTGATTTTCTACATTTCCCCCATTTGAGGGATTTGGTTTACCAAAACAGCTGGTGGAGAATTCATGAATTCATTTGAACAGATCATTATCGATCCTGTCGTTAGTCAGATAGCAAGATATAATCCTCATGTTGGATTATCAGATTTGTAATTCATGATTTTTGCTTCTCTTCGGACTGTTGGTTGGATGGTTTCACTTTGACACCTGGGAGTTTGAACACGTTTGTCCTGATTTCTTGATTTCTTAGTATTTTATGTGCAAAATTACACTCATATTTCTGAAACCAACGAAAAGAATCATCATTTAAATCTGCACTTTGCACTGTGTCACATCTGTAACCCTTAAAGGTACTTTTTTCTGACGTTTTAGCTTGAACTCAACAGTTCGCACCAAACACCAGACAGACTCAGGAGTAATTCCAGCAGCTGAAGAGTCAGTAATGACTTCATGATTTACAAAAACAACAAAAAATGATCATAAACAACAACAGAAAACGAGAAAATGTCGGACCAAGTTTCATCAGGTGTTCAGAGATTGTGTCTGATGTGCAAGGAAACGAACAAGGAAATGAAAATATTTATAAGCTACAGTTTGTATATGATTTGACGTCGCAAGGGGTGGGATGTGACACTGTGATTGACAGCTCTTTTGACAAATGGGGTTCCTGCAGCAGGATAAGGAGAGTATAGTAGGAACAGAGGAGAAAGAGACACGACAAACACTGACACAAGATTAACTAACTTTCCATCGCTGTGAGTGTCTGCTGAAAATCAACATCTGCCGTGGACTGTACCAACCTGAGGGGACTGCGCCCATCACAGGGGCGTTTCGGGGTCACTTTTTGCAGTGAGGGGAGATGGAGGCATGTCGCCCATTCGCCACTAACAAATGATCTATTTTAAGGAAATGTCAAAGCCATTCCCTGAAAACCCGTGAACATGTTCTGCCTCACTTTAGGAGCACAAGTTCACAGAAGAGCTGAATAAGAGTCCGCTGTGTCGAGATAAACTATTTAATTTAGCTGCTATTCTTTTTTAATTAGTCTATCAGCATGAGTCTGTGGTGGGATTCTCTGAGACAAAATGAGTTTGTGTGCAGACAGGCATGTTCATATGAAGACAGCATGTAAGCCGTCCAATCAGTCCTTCTGAAATAAGTCTCTTATCGTTTAATTCAGTCTGGATGAACTGATTGAACGGACTTAGAGACTCTTTTTTTCCTTTTTTTTCCAACTATTCTGCCGATAAGAGTCCTGATGTGACAGGAATTTTTTCATGTATATCGAAAAGTGCATCAAAAATGAATTACCTCTCCTACCTCGAACCATTATCTCCCGTCCGCAGACTCGATTGTGTTCGTTTTTTTGTGTTTTATTATAAGTCCTGAATTTTTAAACACGCTGCAGCGTTATCAGCTGCCTTTAATTTTGAAAGAAGATCTAGAGACAACCAGAGGGCAAAATGACCTCAGCCCATTAGGAGAAATATTCAATTCTCATTTCCCTTTGCAGATAACAACTCTCACTGATCACTGTGACACTTCATATCGCCTGAAAAAGCCCATTTCAACCTGCATGTATTATAGATTCTGCTGTAATTAAATATGATTTATGCTGTTTATTTCAGCAAACATTTCACTGATTTATGTCTCTTATTTTATTCATCGAAGGGGGAGCCCGTGGATAAAGAAGATGTATTTGTTGCCGTGAAGACGTGTAAGAAGTTTCACAGTGAAAGAGGTGAGTCACACGTTCACCTCTACAGACTCGCACAGAGATTCACACTTTCTCTTTAAACAGCTCGTTTTCGCACCTTTGTCTTCTCTTAATGGGCTTATTTTACTCTCAGCACCTGTGTGGCTGAGGTGGATCTAATTAACACCATTAAGTCTCTCACTAGATCATTTCCCCGACACGTCTGATTTTATTGTATGAAGCTGCTGTAACACCTCAGCCTGCCCCTCTCCTCCTCTGGAGTACCATCACCCCACAATCCTGCAGCTGTTACAGAACCATTTACTCATGTTCAGCCTTTTATTTGCAAGCCCTCCTTGGCATTAAGCTGCTTCTCTTTTAACCCGATAAAACAAAAGTAACAGATACTTTTGAGAGGGATCAGACAAATTGTTCACTGCTCTCCAAGGATATTGCACAAAGTGATTGCACTAATTACCTTAATTACACTTTCTTCTGCCAAGCTGCCATTGTCACTTTTAGCGGCAGACAAGATGAGAATGAATGTTAGATTTATGTTTTAAAGGTTAGCAGAGTTCAATACACATTAGACGTGAAAGAGCGTCACCTTTAATTTACAGTGGCATTAAGTGTTAAGCTATTTCAATCTCCCTATGTGCTGATGTTGAGGAACAAAATGCTCGTTCGTCTATTTCGAATCATATCGGCTGATTTAGAAAAAGGATGAACCATCTCATGTTGCTGGACTCTTTATTTTTTAAAGAGTATTATTACTGGATTAAAGCAGCATAGAGTTTGTAGTCAAGTCTGCTCTCCTGTTGGTGGTCAAATATCATCAAGTAAAATAAAACAGAGATATACGTCAGTGTTTGTGTTCTGGATCCTTTACACAATTTAAACAAAGAAACTGTCCCCGATGCATGTTCAGGACTTGGTCTGCCTGGTTTAATTTTGCAGATCAATATTAATAAAATTCTCAAAACAAAAGCAAATCAAACCAAGATACTGGAGCGAAACATACTGTCTTAAAAAAACAATTATACAGTCAATACACAAGAAGAAAGCATGTGTGTCTGCTGCAGTTATAGTATCACAGTTACACATCAGCTGTTACTCAGATAAATTGTGTTTTTACTGAAATACTCAATTATAATTAACAGTTTTCTTCCCTTTGAGCCCTGGTTCAAATCTATTCATAAATAAACAATAGATAAAATTGATTATAATGGAAACTAGGCATGCACTGATTTATGGGTTAACACTAGCCTTCTTATCAGACATGCAGCAGCATTAGTATTTAACATTTAACTGTATGTATCTTAGAGTATGTCACTGTTTTCTGTAACATATTAATCCAATGCTCACAAGCCAGAACACCTGACACCTGCAGAGTGGGAGTGATGCAGTTTGTAACACATGATCCAAAGGGAAGATATAAAGAGAAAGGGTTAGTTATTATTTAAATACAGCCAATCTCTAATCTCACAGCTCATCTGAAAACACCTGCAAAAAAATTAGAAAGAAGTAATGCCAAAAAAAAATTTGTAAATTGTTTTTAGGACCAGTTTTCTGCTAAACTGCCTCATGATCAGGGATGGGTCTGATCTGATCCAGTATCTGTATTGGTTTCCAATACCAACCTTATTCATGGATCGGATATTTCCAATCCAATGTGCGAAAATTTCCAATCTGTAAGTCATGTTTTTGCTTAACTTCGTCAGCTGAAATGACTTTACAAATGATTCTTGGCAGTCAGTCTGCTAGCTGGCTGCAAGCTGCGCAATTAATTTCCTGAACGGAGGCGAGTCTCAATGAGACAATGAGACACACCTCCATTCAGGAAATCATACGTACATATACTTGCCTGTAGATAAGAGTTTATTACAGCCTCATATAAGATAAACAACAATGATAATAATGATGGTAAAGCTAACAGGGCTCTGGTATCGGAAGAGTATCGGTATCGGCTGATACCCAAATTCAGGACTCGAGATCGGATCGGATGTGAAAAAATGTGGATAGGTGCATCTCTACTCATGATGTCCAGTGGTCTAATGTAGCAAGTGTGATGTAAATTTGCACAAACAGCATGTTCTGTATATTTGCATGTATTTTGTCAGTGAAATGACATCTTATCTGAACGAAACTGAACACGAACTTTCACATACAGGCTGTCATTTTTCCAGCATGTTTAACCAGCATGTCTGCTTTCCTCCTGCTCCCTTAAATCTATTTTACTATCCACTACAGTAACTCTAAAACTAAACCTCTGATCTGCATGATTCATTTATTTCCTATATCAATTATTTCCTAACAGTCAGAGGTCGGTAGTCATGCTGTTCATCAAAAGTAAAGCTGCTGTTTGGTCCTTTAGAGACACTGAAGGCCACCTATTCCCAGCTTTTTCTTATGCGGTTCAATCTTTCAGCTTTAAATTTTGCCACTCTGACTCTGTTTTGTTGATTTATGAGAGCTGAAAACAGCCTCGAGCTCTTGCTGCAGATTTCTGGATTTTTGTGTTTCTCAGAGCTCATACTCTCCTCTCCAGTCTGAACAAAACTCCTCACAAAACTCAAAATACTGTCTCCCAGATTTCAATCATGTCTGAAGGAGAACGTTAAACTCTAATGGTGGGGAGCAGATCGGTGATGGATGATTATGTATAGGTAACTTTGCTGAAAGACGCAGTGTATTTATAGAAGGAGAAACAGCACAGATGGGTTCAGTGATCAGCTGTTTTCTTCGTCTTTAAGAGGAGTGAAGGTCAAGAGGCTGCAGGCACCTCAATGTTACGCTTCATTAGGAAGAAGTAGACAGAAAGTTGAAGTTACACATCCACTTATTTCCAGAACATCCTAGAAACCACAGCTCTTAAATCCACAGAGTAAAGAGAGCATCCACTTAAACTGTACTCAAATTTAGTCGCATTTATGTGCAATTTAATACTTTTCTTAAAGTATAAAAACTTGTGTTGTGACCTTGAGTCAGCTCAGGTTTATAAAAGCCACTCATCATTTCTCTAATTTTTTGGGCCACTTATTTCTCTATTTCTACTTCTGTTTCTTTATCTGTTTAAAAACCTTATTAACAGCCGTAATTAAAAAATTTTGGCATGAAAGAAAGGAGCTTTGCAAATAAGAGGTCTGCTCTTTTTTTCTCAGTTCCAGTTATAAAGAAGACCTGGGAGAAAGATGCCTTATATTTGGAGTACTACAGCGACCATGCAGATCCTTCAATACCCACCATTGATTTAGGAGTACCAAATACCGAGAGAGGTAAGTGCTTCTTTTCCCGTCTCCGCTCCTTCAGCTGCAGTAGCAGCAGCAGCGGCAGACACAGACTCTGGCCTTGGGTAATGGTGCGGGGTCGGCTGCATATATGGAGCTGCATGAAAAATGAAATGACAAACTAAAGGTGAAATGTCCCCGGCCTAACACCTTGTGGAGGGGATGGCTGCAGTAATTCAAAACAATGCTGTGGGTGACTTGAAGCTAAAATGAGTAGGAGAGGCTGAGTCAGCATTTTATTCCGACTTTTTTGTCTCTGAAAGTGTATTTACATCACAAAATGACACAGTGGAGAGACTCTCTGTGTTTTCTCCTATCCTCTGTGTAAAAAGCAGGTTTCTTTTGAGTTATACCGGGATAGTATGTTCAGACTTTTCAGGTAACTGTGCTGATTATTTCATCAGTGAGTACCTCCAAGCTGCTAAATGGGTCTGCGATTTTTTTTAGGAGCTTTTTTCTGACAGATTCAAGCTGCACTTTTCCTCTGCTGGAGCTCGGCCAGCCTCACCTGCTGAGCTGCGAATACTGTAGACCTGTCTGAATCCAACAACTGAAATCTTCTCTCCAGGGCTGCGTGGTCTGGCATCAATTCGAGCATCACATGTAGAAGTTTGTTTATAACCACCAGACACCTTAACTTTTTTTTTCAACTCTGTCAGACTGTCTATTTCATCACTGCAAACATTTGAAATTCATCCAAATGTTGTTTCAAAAAGGACAGCTTAACACCCTGAAACGTCACCTACTGACTTTCTCGTCAGGACTTCTTCATATTTAATCCCATTTTTGTTCCAGAGAGGAGGTAACAGTTTGATGAAAGTTTGCTTAGCTTGACCTGAAGACTGAAAACAGGGAAAACAGTTAACCCTACCTTTCCAAAAGTTAGTAGATCTTGTCCAGGACTAATAGGGCTGGGCGATAAAACGATAATGATATTTATCAAAAATCAACTTCCTCTGATATCGATATGAAACATGGTCAATATGCTTTTTGATAGCCGGCATAGACCATACGAATAGCCAATGAAAAGGGGAGTTGCTCTGGGTCCACGCCATGTTGAAATAATCATAATTAGCAAACAACTGCGTAGTAGCAGGCTGCAGCTACATGCAACCATAGCACTATAACACGTGAAGCAAATGACGACATTGTGGATAAAACTGGCACTAAATCGTTGGTGGTGTGGAGGTACTTTGTTTTTTTGAGGTCAGACATGAAGCAGAGTACATGTTCTCGGAGGATGCCTCAAATCTTTTTCACCACCTGAGGCAGTGCCACGCAGCAGAGCACGAATAATGCAAAAGGTTACAAACCCCGAGCGAAGCAAGGAGCCCATGGCGCCTGTGCAGCCGAAACAGCCGACCATTCAGTCTGCTTTCTCCAGCGCAACGCCTTACGAGAAAACGTTGAAAAGACACAAAGACCTCACAGATGCAGTAGCTTGTGTTGCAAAAGACATGTGACCAATTAACACTGTCAAATTTCATTTAAGAGTAACAAGTGATTTTTTTATATCATGATATATATCGATATCAACTATGAAAAAAAATATTGTGATAAACTTTTTCCCATATCGCCCAGCCCTAAGTCCAGGCTTTTAAATCAGGAGGTTTATGTGAAGGAAACACTTCATGAGTGAGCTCCTGAGGTCTATTTATTGCCCACTGTTACTACCCAAAGATTTATAATCCATTTACACAGAGTCATGTTGGTCATTCCTCCTTAATTTCCTTCTGCGTGGACCTCCCTCTGAAAAGAAAAATCCCACTCTTTAAGCAGACTAGCGCTCCCCTGCAAGCCTGATGATCCCTCATGGGAAGCTTCAATCGCTGAAAACTCCACTATATGATGTGCTATGATCAAAAACAACCATATATGCATACACGTCTATGGTGAGAGTGTTCAAAGGCATCCTTGTTCTTCTGAGCTGTACATGCAGCTCTTTGCTTCACTACCTCCTGGTTGACTGAGCCAGAGGCCATATGGGCTTGAATTATTTTACAGTCTGATGGCTGTCGGCACAAAACTGCACCTTAGACCTTCATGTAGCAGCTTAATAGGATGATTCATCGCTGTAGCTACTGTCAGGCCTCCGTAAGAGTGCTCAGGGTTGTTGTTGGAAAGGTTTTCGGAGAAGGTTCAGTCTCAAGCCTCCTTTCGTTCTCTGTCTTCGGGCGGTTTGTGGTTTAACAAGGACGTCTTCTGCGACCTCTTTGCATTGAGGCGGTGAAGGATGCAAATTGCCAGCGGCTACTCTCTCAAACATGCGCGATCCTCTTCTCTTCTCGTCTAGAACAAAAGTCAACCTTGCCTCGTGGAGTTTTGCGCTTTATGCAACCACTGTGCATAAGGGCGGCGGAAAATGGCACTTCTTCTCGCTCTCTGACAAATACACGATCAGCTCATTCGCCCTCGTAACACAAAGTAACAGATATTTCTTCTTGCACGCAGATGTCAGACTAACTCTTCTCATTTTAAAGAGAAATATCTGGAAATGTCATATTTGATCAAGTTCAGGAAAAATGGCTCTGATTTGTGAGTATTTCTCCTGCTGCTCAACTCCAGTTTTAAAGGGATATTCCGGCTGTTTTTCTTCAGCAAAGAGACCAAACACAACTCACCCACTCTCCTCCAGCAGCTGCTTGTTTGTGGGGGAGCCCCGACGAGTCGATCACCAAGTGCAGCAGATCATTTCCATGAAGTAATAATCATCATAACAATAATTTTGCACTGCAGACGCAGTAGTTTTTCTGCCTTAGCATCTTGGTCTGATTGCATTTCCATAAAGTAATAATCATAAATGTTCTTCCTTGAGCTGTGAAACTCTGCTGCACTCTGTGATCGACTCATCAGGGCTCCCCCACAAACAAGCGGCTGCTGGAGGAGAGTGGGTGAGTTGTGTTTAGTCTCTTTGCTAAAGAAATTAGGCAAAGCTAAAAAGATGTTTGGTGGCTAGTACCATGGCTGGGACCCTATATGTACTGTTGATGAAGTTAGGTGCTGTTCCGAGCATTATTTGTGGCTATAGAGTGGCATTTTGGTTGAGGTTTGCGCGTGGAGACGTAGACCGCTGTGTTTTGCTATCATGCGGTCGTTGCTGAAGTTGGTATGACTAGAGAAGCAAGCAGCCAGCAAAATTCATATCTAGAGGGGGTGTCTAACTCAGTGTTGCAGTGTGTGTTTGACAATAACTCTATTTTACGCAGGAATATCCCTTTAAATAAGGACCTTAACAGAAAGTGCGTCACATATAGAGTGATGCTTTCCTAGTCAGCAGCAGCAGGAATCAGAGGTGAGGGAGTTGACATACAGTACATATTATTCTATAGGTGAAATGGCCCCTGTGACTGCAAGCATGCATGAACGTGTGTGCACCACCCAAACAACCACTTTATCCTCACATCATTGATGCATTTAATAAAAATACTGTCATGTCTGCAGAGCCGTTGAGATGTCACAGCCGATGTAAAGCCGGAAGTCTTTTTTATGAAGTCCAAAAGGTGACGGTACAATCCTCAAGGCCACCACAGTGCCAGTCTTCAGCTCATAATGCATCTCTGATCTGTGTTTGTTTTGGAGTCGAGTCACGTTTGACTGAAACATCTTGCTTTTTGAAACAACATCTTATAAAGCCTCTTAGTTTAAATAAATGAAAGTCTCAACTCTTAACTATTTCTCTCAATACAGTTTTCTGACTCACTGACATGTATGTACACAACACAATGCTGGAGTATTTCAGCGCTATTTAAATAATGAATGCAGCCATGACAAAGAAGAAGGCAGAAGATAACCTTCACGATTGTAATTTCAGGGTTGTATGAATAGACCGCTGAAGATCACAGCTCAGTACATAAATGAACTGAGCTTGAAGTCATGTACTATTTCATTATACGCCTCCTGTGCAAGGTGAACTGATAATAGTTAAGTCTATGAAATGTCAGTAAATGGCAAAAAGTACCTGCTAAATTCTCTCAGTGTTGCTTTGAAAAGCTTCAAATCTCCTCAAGCTAGAAAGTACTTCAACGATTAATTTACTAATTGCTGTAGCTTTCATCAGCAAGTAAAATTAGATAAATACATCAATTATTAAAGCACTAAATGCTGCAAAGTGCGGTGAACATTTTACAACTTGTGGGTGTGTTTATCCTCCTCTCGCACATAAAGCAGAGGAACATTAATAATCCATATTTTCAGCTGAAATTTGTCTGGAGGTTTTTCCCTCCACGCAGACTCCGAGGTCAGGGCAGGAGATGATGTGCGCTTCTGTTCACACTTTGCACATTGCCAAGCTGACAGGCTGGCAGCTGGTTATGCCATGACAGAAAAAACATTCAAGTGGAAGTTTTCTGGCTCTTCAAACCTCCTCATTTGAATAACCAGACACGCTCCTGAAACCTGGGCACCCAGAGCTGGTTAGGCTGCAAGTTTGATGTCTCACTCCGGCAAAACCGCAGCTCTGCCTCTCTCAGATAATAAATGATGTGTGTGTTTTTGAAGCCAGGGTTAGATGAGTCTTACTCATAGATCATAAAATGTCGTCTTCCCTTTAATTTTACCTTCCACTGCATGTCAGAATCTTTTACTGTCGGGAGACACAATCAAGGATTGGAGCTTTGGCAGAAATCCACGATCCATCATTGAGACAGCAGGATTTCCTCTAGTTTGGGGAGCGGCCAGACACTAAATCTCCTTTCAGTTTGGTTACTGTGCAAACTGTCAATAGAACTAATCACTTATAATGCCTTTAACATCCTCCAGAAGATTGGATTTGCATAAAAATGCAAGATTAAAAATTGCACTATTAACATGATTAATAATACAGCAACAACAGACAACAAAGTAAAGTGTGATCGTTCGTCTTTCAGCAAAAACATGCAGCTCAGCTCTGAAAATATCAAGGTGAGAAGTGAAAATATGGATTTTGTCTGTCCCCCGGTGCCAAAAACACTCTAAGTAAAAGTCAGAGCAAACATAACTTTTTCCACCTCTTTGTTTATTTTCTTCATTTTGATTAATCTGTGTCTGCTCTGTGTGCAGGATTTTAGTTGAATGAGTCTAGCCCTGAAGGTCAAAAGGCATCAATATGTCAGGAAACTGTTTCTTCTTTCTCCCATTGACTTGCCAAAGCTTTGGAGGCTGTCTACTAAATTATCAGCAATTTTTGATTAACTGCAAATTCAAGGGATGATTTAAAAGCTGATTTTAAATTTGGAGGGGTCCACTCGTTCGGGTTTTTATTTTCTGTGAATGCAGGTTGAAAGAGTAAAGTCGCTGCCACCAAGTGAAAACAGTCCAGCTGTGATCACCTCGTTCGAGTGAAAACTGGCGGACAGGATTAAAACACATATTTGGTAGTTTACTTTAGTTCGTTGCTTTTGAAACATCCAGAAAACTTAAATGAGGACTATAATAAAATAAAGTTGCTTTGTTGAACCTCACAAACTTCTCCAATTTCTTGAATACATGCAGTCATCTTCATAATTTTATGAAAACACGCCAGCCTTGCTGTAAAAATAAACTCCGAGTTACGTGAAGGTTGATGCAAGACCCTGAAACGAGAAAAATGCTAAGAAATGTTGTGTTTTCACTTAAGTGCTCAAACTATCTATGGTCAAGTGCTGTACTTGTGTTTTGGAGAACAAAAACATGATGATAAAGACGCTTACGAGGCTTTTCAAGATGAAGTACTTGAGGAAGGTCTCTGTAACTACATCTTTTCAACCTCTTCCCTCGTCCCAGCAGGAAAAAAAAACGGGTTGCCAGACTCATCCAAAAAAAGTGTTTTTGGATCTTATTCCTGTCAGCAGTTCAAGGTGTCCTTACTTATTCTATATTCAGATCCTGAGGTAAAAAAAAAACAAAAAAAAAAAAACACCTTGGCTTGCTTATAAATAAAACAGTAGGGCCTCAGTATTCCTGTGATGCTTGCCACCAGGGATTTTCACGTCTCAACTCATCTCTCAGCCGTGATGCCGCGTGGATATTTGGATTCTGACGGGTATATATCTTTGGGTTCCTTCTATTTGTTCTGTACGAACGCATCACTGTTTTTGTTTTCCCGGAGTTGGCAGAACATTTTGTATCGTCAGGCAGTCGTGTCAAACATGCCGCACTAAAAGTTTGATCTCCCCGACCCATCATGCCAAACATACCTTATTATTTGTTTGAGATGTCAGAGTCGTAGACGACACCTGTCCGCCTGCCCACAAAGCTCCAGAGGACACATCCTTGCGTTGAAAGACTTTATTTAATGCTCTGCCATACGGATCATATAGAGAATTTAAAAAGACGTGTTCAATGAGGGGTGATTGTTTTGATCACTCAGGTGTCCACCAACAGCTCCAGACCCGCTTTTCATTCATATTTTCTCACTTGGAGTTGCTCCTAATACTGAAATATTCATAAAAACAGCAAATGTGCTTTCACTTTCTCTGGTTTGAGCTCTTTATTTTTGTAGTCTGACATAAAGGATCCTTCACAAAGACAATGTCGTAAATGAAAAGTGTGTTGTTTATATTTTATAGGGCTCAATTCAAACTAAATTTACTTTGTCTAATGTTTTATTTTTCTCATCATTTACAACTGAGGATGATAATAGTGTTTCCAAAGGAGCCAATCATGCTGAAAAGAGTCATCCATTGTTCTGAGCTTCAGCTGTTTCCGTGCAGAAGAAGACGTGCACAGTAACCTTTTTCCTCCCGAAAATGTCACTAGTTTTCTATTTATCACCCATGACTGCTGGTTAGCCTAACAGCCTTCAAATCCCTTAAGGTGCATTATTTATGACTGGGAAGTTGTCTTTTTTTTTTGCCACACAGCTGTTTTCCTGTTTATGCATGTGTGCATGCTGGTGTGCGTGCGCGTGCGTGTGTGTGTGTGAAAAACCTGCTTATGCCAGGGGGTTTCCCGCCTGTAACAGACTCATTTATCTTTGTAAAGTAGAATAAACAGCATAAGGTCAATATGTGATTAAGTCCGGCGGGCCCGTCTATTGATAGCATGACTCTACTTGCAGGACACTGCGGGAAAACATTTGCCATCCTTCAGAGATTTCTGAGCAGCTCTGTCCCGAACACCAAGTGGCTTCTTGTCGTGGATGATGACACACTGATCAGGTAAACTATTTCAACCAGGGACGATTCTTAAGCTTCTGTTTTACAAAGGTCATTCCATATATGTCGGGCTTTTGTAGTTTGTGGACTTGTGTGTAAATGGATCATCAGGTTAACTAACAAACACATACGGCTCTTTCTGAAGCTCTTGAATGAAGTTCCTTTTGTCCCATTGAGTTGGCTTTGGCTTAATGAGTGCAGACGTCTTTTTACTCCAAGAAAGTTTCACTAACAAAAATAATGACTTGTCTGATATCAGTATAACTCTCTCTTCATGATTAGCCAAACTTGGTCGATACATAATAGAGTTCAGAACTCCACCGAGCCAAACTTAAAACTAGGGATGCACCGATCTGGTATTTGGATTGGATATCGGCTCCAATATTGACAAATTAACTGGATCGCATATCTGATGAATGACGCCGATCCAGCGTTCCAATCCAGTCTTCTTTTTTCTTTTATTCAATATCATATACAGCAACACAGCGATCCTGTTAGCTCTATATTCTATGTTTGTCTATCTCTTATATTGAAGTCTTACTTCTTTTTGCTGTGTGTCAATGTGCAGTCTGTTATTTGGTAATGAATAATATTAAGTAAATTTACATCTGTGTTAATTTGTTACCTTTTTCTCACCAAGGCTAATGTCAAGCCTGTTTCCTTCACTCACAGGGCAAGGTATACAGTTCATTCATTTAACAGTAGTATTAGATCGGTATCGGATATCGGCCGTTAGCTAAGCCCAGGTATCGGTATCGGATCGGAAAAAAATGGAGCGGTGCATCTCTACTTAAACTAGTACCTGTCAGATTTGTTCACAAAAAAACAGGAGGGGATGAAAAGGCCACATATTTTACTATTCGACTGAGATTTTCCATCACCTTACTCACATTAGGTCATCACTTTTACTTAGAGATTCAGTCTAACAGCTGTTAAAAAACCTCAGGGGCAATGATTCCCAGAGATATTAACCTCCTATTGAACACCTCAAAAGCTCGCTACATAAATTGAAGTCCATCTGGCCTTGCTTTAAATCTGTCAGGTTCAACTTCGTTTAGATTCCTCCTGACATGCCAGAGTGCCGCAGGGAGAGCATTATTCCAGCCTGCAAATGGACAGTTTTGTGTGATGATGATGGTAATGATGAGTGTGTGATGGGTTTGATCTTTTTTCTCTGCAGCCTTTCCAGACTGCAGCTCCTGCTGAGCTGTTACGACCCCTCTGAACCGGTGTGTTTAGGAGAGAGGTATGGATACGGCCTGAGCCAAGGAGGCTACAGCTACATCACAGGAGGCGGAGGGTGAGTTCGAGCGCTCAGGAGCTCAGGGACTGACGATAAAAGATACAGGGCAACAGAGAAAGTATGAAACCTGTAATCTGTAATTTACAGATAAACCATTTTTGTTCATCTTAAAAGTGTTTCCCCCCTCGAGGGACATTTTGGTTTGCAGGATGCGTGACAGTGAAGATAGTCTGCAAAATATGGAATAAATCAACAGAAAAGACAGCAAACAGACGGTTATCAGTTGATAGGAAAAGATAGGGAGTCTTTTTTCACTCACACCACATCATGTGAATGTTTATCATACTGCAAGAATCAAAAGTAATTGCAGCTCAGTTGGATCCTTTTTTTTGGAAACCTTCTTATTGCATGCAAGTAAAAGTGGGCAGTAAGCAAAATGTCAGCTGTCAGTGCAGGAGGAAAGCAGCACTAAAGATAACTCTGTGACTGAGCTGCGTTTGAGAAACTCTATTTAGGGACCTTTCAGTTGCTGTGACACTTCACAGCGCTGCAACTGCCAGATTTCTCAAAAGGGATATCTTCCAAAAACGGTTTTGAGTGGCAATAAGCAATATTTTTTGGCAGCCTAAGTGTTTTTTTGTGTAATTGCGTCTCTTTTCAAAGAGTTGTCACATCATTGTTGTTTGGAGCTGATCATTGAAAACATTTCCCTCTCTGCCCGATTTGAAGTCACACTCCAGTCTGAGTGAATTAAATGAGTATGAACTTAAAGACGACGTTTGATTCCTGGTTACCTCTGACATTTTCTTCTCCTTCTCTGTGTTTCTGATGTCTGTCTGTGTTTGTACAGGATGGTGTTCAGCAGGGAGGCTGTGGTCCGTCTTCTTGACAGCGGGTGTAAGTGCTACAGCAATGATGCTCCGGATGACATGGTGCTGGGAATGTGCCTCAACGCTCTGGGACTCCCTGTCACACACAGTCCCCTCTTTCACCAGGTTGTGCTCACACTCATACAGAGATTTTTTGTGTTTTTCCGCTGGTCTGTCACACATTTATGTTTGAAGTTAAGAAGGGGTGTGTTTAGGCCCAACTTATAACAAGGGTGGCATTAATTATTTTTCTTTTTGTCTGTTTTTATGCTTGTGAATCACTAAGTATCATGTGCTTTATCCACTGGAGCTTTAAGTACAAACAAAAGAGCATGTGCTGCATTTCAAGCCACCAGAGTTTGATTGAGTCCCTTCTCTTACCCTGAAATCTCCTACGGACCCACCCCTGATTTTAAGAGGCTCTGCACATTCATCGGAGTGAAGACAAACACACAAAAGAGGATTAGGGCCACATGAAGAGAAAAAATTATTACAGGAAGGAGATTAAAGTCGAGATTTAAATCGAGATTTTGACATTATAAAAAGAAGAAATTATGTCAATTAAATCAAAAATTTCAACATTAGAAATAAAAAATTTGAGATTAAATGCAAAATTTCGAGATTACAGAATGTTGTGAATAATGTCAAAATTTCAAGATTAGAAAATGTCAAAATGTGAAAAATGTTGAAATTTTGATATTAAAAAATAAATAAATTTTGAGATATTAGTCTTGAGTCAATTTTTTAAAAAATCTAAATTTCGAGATTACAAAATATCGTGAAGAATGTCAAAATTAGATTAAAAACATTAAAATTTTGAGATTTCAAATTTGAGTCTAATTTTTAAAAAATTGAAATTTTGAGATTACAAAATGTGAATGTCTAGAATGTCTAAAAAAAATTTAGATAATAAAAAATGAAGAAAAAAAATCAAGGTTTTAATTGCTCTCTCCAGCTAAATTCAACATGAATAAAGTTGAAATTTCAACTTTTAAAAAATTTTACTTAAATCTCGACATTTCGGCTTTAATCTCAAAATTTTGACTTCAATCATAAAATGAAAGTTGAAAAAAAATTCCCTCTTGTAATTAATTTTTTCTCTTCTTGTGGCCCTAATCCTTCTATACTAACAATATCAGGCACCTTAACAGCAGCTAAACATGTAAACATGTCCCGCACTTCAAAACTGGTGGAAAAATATCTAAAAAGTAAGTTCTGATACCTGCATTTAAAAAGCAGCAGATCTATTTGGTTTTTTTTCTCCAGCAGCTAGATAGATACCAATGAGACTCTGGAATAGAAAGAGGCTCCACTCATCCAGACATATATGTGTAGCTTTCAAATCACATGTTAGTATTAATAATAATAATAATAATAAGAAGAAGCTGCTGAGTTGGAAAAGCCAATTATATCAGAGCATGTATTCAGTCAGAGGTAATTGGAATTTCTGACAGTCAAATAATCTCCCTCACAGCAAAAAAGGAGAAGTCATTGCAGAACTGCCTGAAACATGAATTTCTCCCATTCTGCTGACACGATGTAATGCATCTTCATATCACATTTACGTCATGTCGCATGGATCATCGAGAAGTTAGGGTTGGAGATGGCGATGAACATTTCCGGGGGTATGATGTACTAACCTTCACATCGTTGAAAAATCAAAGACGATGGTGGAGTTTGTGAAGGTCAAAAATGCTCTTAAATGATCTGTTTAGCACCGCATTAATCAAACACAGCTTTAATTACCCTGAACAGTGGACGGCATGGGGGGATATGTCTGAGCTTTCAGGGTCATCATTGTAACATGGATTTAAGAGAGATTACATATTCCTTTCATAGTCCCATAGGAGGAAAATTCCAAAATTACAGCAGCATGAATACAGATACAAAAAGAGAAATTACAGGATAAAGAAACTTAGAGTTAAAAAAAATATATGTACATGAGTCTTATTTACTATATACATGTGTACAGAATATACATAAATGATTTATTGCACACTGAGGTTTCTGTTAGAAGTGATCAGTATTGAAGATGTTGGTAATAGCAGTCATTTACTGCAACGTCAGAGAGTATTACATGTTGCCTGACAGACAAAGCAATTTTAAAGGTTTCCAAACTGCAGATTAAGGTTTGACATTGCTGTCAGTACCAGAAGCCTAAAACTGAAGCAGCTTTTATTAGCAGCTAAGCCTCTCTCTCATACTTTGACGTGCCAGATTTTCTCTGTAACAATGTTTTAATCCATCCCATCTTTACAGAATCATCAGTCAAACAAAGGCTAATTGGCAAAGATGAGTGAAAACCCCTCTGTGAGTGAGCGCAACATGACCTCTAATCAGGAAAAAAACATGATAAACAGTGAGATGTTTGACCTAAATTCTCTCTGCCTCTGCTGAAGAGTGAACTAATGAAATAAAACAGTGTTAGGACATAATGATTCAGTTCCTCAGGTGTTGTTGAAGAAGGTGTAATTGATTCAGTGGCTCAGTCTGGAGTGTGCAGCCGCTGATGCAACATAAACTTTCACTTCCACACTTTGTCTTTTGCTCTCTGCAGCCTGCCCCCAGTGACTGCTTCTAAATATAAATTACTGTACTTCATCTTACCTTTCAGGCCCGCCCAGAGGACTATGCCAGAGACTTCTTAGCTCACCAGGTGCCCATTTCTTTCCACAAACACTGGAACATTGATGCGGTCGCAGTTTTCAACAAATGGCTGAAGGACGACCTGACGGGACAAACTTCAGATGGACTCCATAAGAGCGCAAAGACGGAGTTATAGGAGTTTTAAGCACACAATAGCCTGTATGAATATGTATGTATGTAAAGAGGAAGTGTGAGAGAGAGAGAGAGTGTGTGTGTGTCTGTGTATTATGAAGTCATGGAAGTGAAAATTTGTCCTTCAGAGTTGTAAATGTTTTTGTATCGTCGATGTTGAGGACTGTGTGTGTGTGCGTGTGTGTGCAGATGACTTAATGTGCAAGTTTTTTGTCAGACTGAGTTGCACGTTAAGGTTGCTGTTTTTTTGTGGAACATGGATGTGATATGTGTATATTTATAATGTATAAATAATCTGAACCTGACAGCGGGGAGTCTCTCTCTCTCTCTCTCTCTCTCTCTCCTTCTCTCTCGCTCTCTCTCTCTGAGAGGTATTGTATCTTTCAAAAAGCATCACTAATGCTGTACAATGCGCTCTATTTTGACATAAAAGTATGAATATTTGAGAACATCCCTCCTCTGTTCTTCATTGGGGGCCTATTAATGGGATTTAACTCGAATCAGTCATGCATAAATGATGCATTATTTAAAGGTTAATTGAGGCAGAAACTACAGTATGAACACAGACAGTTTGAAGGGGCTGAGAGGCAGCATTAAAGCTCTCTTAAGACTTCTAAAGGTTTGTACTTAAATGCACCCAACATGTAGTCTTTGAGAGGCTGTGCTGCTGCTCATGCAGAAAAACGCCCCACATTCATTTAAAGTCCTCTCATCACACTCTCGACCATCTGTTTCTCAGGCTCCCTTCGACCTCAGCCACAAACCATGTGCCTTATTTCACAGACTTAGAGCATCAGCTTATACCTGCAGCGACAAAGTGAAAAAGTGTTTTATCAAATCTAATTTTCACTTTCACTCCAAGAATTAATTGTCAGACTGATTTGCAGACCATTATTATTAAAAGACCTTGAGCCGGCGCTGAAGAAAAAGAAGAATTAAACCTCTTTCCTGGCTGTTTGCCACCTTCAAAATTAGTTTGCTGAAGTGCTTCATTCTTGGAGTAACTGGGAGTGACTGTCTTGAGCTTGAGAATACCTTAAGATTGTGAAAGGCTTGAGATTATTAATAATCAGAACAATGAAGTGTTAAAATGGGAAAGTTCATCACTGTAAGTTTAAAATGCACCCCGTACAGTGGATGTTCCCCCACTCACAGATACAGTATTGAAAGGCTAAATTTACACGGTTTTAATGGCTCTCTCTCCAGCTCAAGTTCATGAAAAGTGCATCAGCCTGCGGCATCTGAAGCAGTGCAATAAGTCAAGTAGACGTCTCTATCACACCTATGAATTGTAACCTATTTGCAGGAAACAAGTTAAATTCCTGCTGGGACTCACCCACACACACTGAGAGAGTGATGAGAGGAGGTAAGACGCTGCACTCAGGGAAATCCTCAGTGTAACTCAAAGGAGGTTCACACAACATGCTTGCTCGGCCAATATTTTCCAGCCTGTCAGCAACAACACTCCAGTCGGGTCGCGTCTGGTGTTGAAATTTATTCTTTAATCTTTGTCCAAAACAGTAGAGGGAAGGAGGATGAGTGGATCTTTGTTTTTAATCCAGAAAATATTTCTGCTCAGTGAACAGTCTGACTCCATCAGAAAAATAAACCAGAATATAAAGGTTGAAACTGAATTCTATGATTTTGTGTATCTGCAGAAAAGGATTTATGCTCTGCAAGAAAAGAGGAGAAACTTTGGCCTGTAAATCTTCCTGCTGCAGTTTTTAGCCCTTTAAATCACCCTGGGTCAAGTCCGAAGCAGCAGCAGGCAGGTGATACTTTGCAGACAGTCTCTGTGCACCTGATACTTTCACACGCCTCCCCTGAAGCATTAATTACAGATGACCTGTCCAGAAAGTTCAGCTTTTCATCATGATGTGTGAATGTGCGCCTTCATCCTTCATATCTGAAGAGTCACGGTCAGTTAAGTATTCATAAAGCTTCACATAAAAAAAAAAAAAAAACATGTCAGAGTTGTGGGAGAGTCCTGGCTGGGGAGCGTTTGAGTCTACAGCCTGAGCTTTTTGAACATGAGAGGGGTTTCTCTCCGAGGATTCGCTGTGATCAGCGGGGCCTCCAGGATGAAGCGAATGATAAGAGCGCAGCAGTCAGTCAGAGCCATCTCAAATCTCCCTCACAGTTTACTCTGCTGAAGATTTTTATCATCACTCAGATGTTCTCACTTGTTGCCAGTATGCTTTTCCCTCCCTTCAGGGAGACAACAGACACCACAAAGATCTCTGTAGCAAAACAATTAAGATAGTTGTGGAGAACTTTAATCCCCTCAGTAAAAGGACTGCCGTCTCTCCTCTGCTGATACTCCCTCAAAGGCTGAAAAACTACACCCGGCAAAAATGAAGGTTTTGATGATCAAAACGACACATTTATTGGATGTAATGAGCTGGACTAAATTCACTAAACTAAACTAGTTGCCGAACTGGTACATGTTAAGTCCGGTGTCGTTGCCAAGCCTGGCACCAGATCTTCTGCCAGTAATGAATTGGACAGAGATCCTGTCTCTGTTTTTACAATACCAAGCATGCCATGAGCTATCCGTGTCAGTTTCTGAGCAAACTACTGTTTCCACGTCCAAATGACTCTGATCCAAGGAGGGGTGAAAAACCCTGTTTCTGTGCCTCTCAAACTGGTCCAGGTGTGAATGCATCCTTAGACTTTCTCATCCTGCAAACATGTAAATTCTATATTCTGATGAAAAATCCAACTTATGCATCACTCACTGGGACTCTCAGCTTTGAGATTATGTTTTTTTTTAAAAGCATATAGCTCACTTTGTCTGACATCCACCCAATGGTAGCAGTTACAAGCATTAAAATTTATGATAAAGGAATTACAATTCTTTTCACTAAAGGACCTGTTTGTTTTGAAGGTCGTGGAATAATATTGTATTAAAAGCATAAAGGTATAAATATTAATATCAGTCTGTTTCATAATAATGAAAAACATCCTTACACAGGAGCTTTGAGTATAAATAAATTCTGACTTATGTTATGAGCATCATTATTCCTGTCTTCCTAGCATTGTAGCTGCTAGCACACGGCCCCGGGGGATCAGATTTTGTGAGGTAAGTCCACCTTTTTGGCTCAGTCTGAAATATCTCAAAGAAAAACTTTGGAGTAGCAGCAGGTGTTTGCATATTTTTCAGCCCGCACAGCAGCACAGCTAGGACACAAGCTGAGCCGAGTTACAGATAAAAATCCCTCTGTTTGCACTGTCATCGATCGTGAGCCTACTAGCATATTGATGTTAGCCGTTAGCTACAACCACTTAGCCGTTAGCCGCCAGTTTGGTTTTGAACCATATTTTTACCTAAACTCCCGTCTTGACCGACTACTGTTTGGGTTTGTTCATTTTGAAATGCAAATGTATGCTTGTAATGAACAGAAAAAGCAGCAGTACATCGACAGGTATAGCTCAGGTTTCCCTTCCTCCCCACATTTCTCTGGTCCGGAGTTTTAGGAGGAAGTGATTAAGGGTGCAGGTAAGCCTGAGGCTGGGCTGGCACACACTGAGCACTATGTTTCCCCAACCTCTTCCTACTTCCCCAGCATATTTACATTGTGTGGTTTTGTTATATGTGTTACATCAGTTTAGACAGGAGATTTGTGATGGTTTAGTTTGTCTTCTGGGTTACTTTTTTGCATCAGGTGGAGGTCTTGGCAGCAACAGTCGAAATTGTGGCTGGCCCTGCACCTTCCCACAAAAATCAGAATCTAAATTTTCATCTTGGGTGACATCCAATTTCATACAGGACAAACTGAACTCTCAGGCTCTGTTTTAAAGGAATAATGAAGATTTTCTTATTGCAGGTTCATGGAAACTTTGCTTGACTTCAGGATATGAACCCTCAGAAAGGTGGCGTACTGCGCTTTAATTCTGAGAAGACTGCATGTGAGTTTTCTTCTTTTTTGATTAAAGCTTGCACATCACTCATGAGTCGTGTTGTAAAAATAACTGTTTGGCAGCAATCTGTGCCAGTCTGAATATTTTAGCGATGAACAAAAAAAGAAATGAAGGTTTTTTTTTCCCCCACCAACAGAAAGGTTGAGAGTGCAAACACTTTCATGCATGACTCATCATATTTTAATGCTTGAACTCTGAAAATCACACTCACATTGATCTATCACAGCTATATCACACAGTCTGACGAGTCCAAATGCCTCATAGCTGGTATGTTAACAGTTTGCTATCACACATACGCAGGAGCGTTAAAGGTGTCTTGGTTTTACTGATACTTTCCATAAAGTAAGTTTCTTATGATTCAGAGAATTATGCATTCAGAAGGTGTTTCTCCACAGGACTCATCTCTTTGTGTGTCTATTAGGAGCAAGAACATCATAGTAATGAATGCTGACAAGGATGGCAGATTAATTATTTTCATAAAGATGTATAATGCAGACTTGGCCTGTATAATCTGATTGTGCATGCACATTTAGCCTTGCAGAATGGGCTCGGTGTCAGATTAGTTATAGAGGGGTCTCTTTAGAGAGGTGGAGGGGGGGTCATATAGGTGGTGTTAAACCGTGCGGATGGTCTGCTAAATGAGCAGGTTGCATTTGAAGCCACTCTAAGGCCAAGAGAAGAGAGTCTGGATGCTTTCAGGTTACACAAGGCTGCGTTTATGGCTAGCTTAGTGAAATAAATAGTGGGCTGTCATAGTGTCGTGCTTGTGATAGTGATTAAAATATTTTGAATACTCACCCACCGCCAGCTGCGTATTCCAAGAGAAGATTAGATTATAGATCAAACAAAGTTTATTGCCCTAGCAGAGACATTTTTCATGGACGTAGAAGTCACAACAACAAGGACACCAACACAGGACAAACAGCAGCAAAACAAAAATATATGACACTCACAACAGGAAAAAAAGTCTCATCCTCCACATATTCAGTCACTCTGCATATCCAGTCACCATAAATAAGTAATAGGAAGAAGGAAAAGGAAGGATGGCGTGGAGGCAGTGTGTGTTTATGCAGTGGGGACTGAGACTATCATTCTGAGTTAATCAGTTTTATTGGCAGGGGAACAACAGGCTGCTTGTTTCTGTTCAGCATGAAGCACTGTATCATCTGCCTGATGGGGAGAGATAGTCTGGCACACCAAGACGTGGGTTAAACACACAGATGTAGGCTCCAAATATATGCAGTAAGCTGTGTAATCAACTTTTTATCAATACAGTGGGACATTATAATATAAGGAGAGTAAAAATCTAAATAATACCTGCACAAATCACAAAAGAAATACAGGGGTGGGGAGGGCCAAACACAGCCTGAAAACAACAGATCTAGAGCCGTTCAAATGATGAATAGCAAGGCGAGGCTGACAGTGAACAAGGGCTGAGACCAGGAAATCAGTCAGAGAAGAGTAAAGACATTTTTAAAAAATAGTTATCAAAAGACAAAGTCCAGGAAATCCAAAGTGAAGGTCCAGGAAATCCAAACCATCAGAATGGGAAGAATAAGTGCTTGTAAATAGAGCATGCAGAAGATTAATTACACAGAAAAAGTGATGCTAATGAGGCACAAGTGAGATCCGTTTGAGTGAGGCGAATAATCAGCGCACGTGAGAATTGTGAGGAATGAAGCTGACTAGGACGCATCAGAAATCTTAAAGACAGAGAATTCTGGGATTGGTTTTTAGATGTTTGGTATTAATATTTAAATTCATAAAAAGAATTAAAGTAAGTTAAAACTTTTACAGTTTCTGCCTCGAGGAACTTGTAGTTTGTGTCAGTTTTGGCGCCTCCCTGTGGACTAAACAGCCTTTGCTTATCTTGTCTTCTGCATACCTGAATAGTAACTTCCTACATAAAAATCTCATCCTGCTAACTCTTGACAGTCAAGTGTATATTAATTGTAGTTATTTGATGTGGATATTGAATAGCTCTTTATTTTAACCCAAAGTGCACGGATGAAGTTGAAGCACCTTGACGAGTCTTGTACCAAGATCAGACTATGATGTTTGATGGTCACCGTGTCAGACTAGTCGATCGCAGAGCCTTTTATTCATGCCGTGACTTGACCGTCAGACATGATGGATCATATAATGGCACCCAACCAATCATCTTGACTGGCGCAATGAAGTTGTAAGGAGGTCGCTCAGGGCGAGACGACCCTCTGAAAGGAGCAACAGTAGCGTCTGAAGCGGTATGATACTTGCTGTGTTGTGTTCAGGAAAGAAAAAGACTGTGGACTCTTTGTTTGGTTGATAGTAGAGGAAAAGCTCTGCCTCTTTAACATTTTGTTTGTTTATGCCCTTTTTGTTTGCACATGCCAAGCGCTCTGTGCTCTAATCAGTCGGTGTCACTGACATGACGGCCGTCTGTCAGATGCATCTCAGATGTGACCTTGCCTGTCATTCATTACGGCCCACCACACAGGATAAAGGCTACACTGTCAGGGCCAACAGGTCCCATACCTTACATCTGCTGCATAATCATGCTTCTAATGTGCAGCCTGACCTTGGCTTTAATGAAGTCTTTCTTACAGACTGGAAATACTGAGGTAAGGGTTTGGATGAAGGTAAGAGATGTGTGGGCTGTGAGTGGCCACGCTGATGAAGGTTGAAGATGCAAACTGGTGAATGAAGGGGATCCTGGAGCACAGATGAACACTGAACTGTTTTAATCTGACAGTTAATGACTGATGAATCAGGGATTATTTGCATCACAGGCTGTCTGTTTGCATGCTGTTTACATGATGGGAAACAGTTGAGCCACCTGATGCGATCATACAGCGGAAATAATTTGTGGGGCAGGTGACAAACACCTGAGGACAGCCACACTCAGAGCCAATCAGAGACAGACAGCAGGAGATGAAAAAGGGGCAAACTTGTGGGCCTGGGCCGTGACACTGACAGTATTTGCTTGCTTCCCTCAACAGCTGCACAGAAACTTGTCTGTAGTTGCAAATAGAAATCCTGATGTGTTGGTCTCATGCAGCTCCTTCACAATCCAGTATTGAAACATTCTTTGAGTCTGGACCTGCAAGAAAGACACGTTGGTCAAACTGGAGATGCAGAGGTTGAGGTACTCTGACTTTCAGTCCCTTGAATGGATCTGACACACAGGAGCACACATTTCCCATCTTTCAAAAGTCATGCCTGAGGTTTATAATACATGGTTTTCTTCAAAATATGTGAACTCTCGACCGCAGAAATAACCTCAGCGACCTCATGAAAGTCTTTGGAACTACCTCCAAAGCTCAAGAAGATCATACAGAGCTTTCAAAAGGTGAATGTCACTTAGCAGATATTCTTCAGAGGAGAAATGGTCATCCCATCCCGAGCAGAAAGTCTCACATGGACAAAATAACCTCAGGCCTCGACAGCATGGACATTTGGGGTGTTGCTTTTTACAGCCATGAGTGTAGAAAGTAACAAGGGGAAGGGGAGAGGCTGTGAGCAGTCTGCTGATAGCCACCAGCTCAGGGAGAGTATTAAGTTTAACAAGCATAGTTTGTTAAGTGAGAAAGGAGTGGGAGCACTTGATGATGTGAGCCTTCACCTCTTCTTCCTCACGCTGTATGAGCTGCACGTCTGGAGGTGTGATGCAGCTGCGGGATTAGAGGGGAGCTTATGCAGTCAGAGAGGAAAATGTGTATGACTGAATGTACTCCAACGCTTTAATCCTACATGAAATAAATACGCAGGCCTCTCCCGTAGTCTGGGATTTTTGTTATTCTGATATATACGTGCACAGGGCTGTATTTACATGACATATGGTGAAGGTAAAGCGCCTGTTTGAGGGTTTATCAGAAATTTATCCTCGCCTGTGGGTAATTTGTCCTCCAGACCGACCCAATCCTTCTTCCCAGCAGAGTCACTTCACCGCCTCCACTTCTGTGGTCGCCGTCCTTGACCGGTACACATATTATATTCATGTAGTGTGCCTTACAAAAACACTCTTCAACTCTTGTTCACTTTCACATGGTGCAAGTGAGAATACAAGCCCCAGTGTGCAGGTTTCCCGTCTTGATATGTAACAACATGGCGTGATGAAACTAGTCTGAATACCTCCCACACATGTTAACCCTCATTTATCTTTGAGACACAGAAAGCGGAGAAAAATGGCCACCTGCTCACTTTCATCTCAGCTCGAAATGTAATTATTTTGAGAGGTGTGGGAAAGTCGGAGCGGTGTAAGCTCGGTGAGTCGCAGCTATCGTCTCTTGATATGCAAAGGAAAAAGTGTGGAACTGCGGCACGAGTTCATTTTGCAGTTTGCAAAAGCTCTTTGAACTTTTCACTCCTCAGTTTTTCCATTACCTGGACGGTAACAAAGTGAAGCAAACTCCCCCTTTTTTGCATATCACTTGGGTAATGAGGGTGAAAAGTGATTTTGTTCTTAGTCAGTCAGCTGTGAGCAAACTTTGAGAGAGAAACAAAAAACTGGTTTAGAAGTATGTGTGTGTTTTCTTTTCTTTTGTGCTTCACCTGCAGCCAGAGTTTTATTTTCCTAAATAGGTCAGCACTTCGTTCGTTAACAATACCCCAAACTAGCTTGTTTGTATGTGCACAGTGTTGTTAAAAGGTC